ATTTTAACTTTAATAAAAAGTTATAGCTTAAAATAAATACTTTTAACTATATAATAATAATAGTTTTATTATAGGAAAATAATACTAGAGTCCTATAACTAATTATATTCTTATTAAAAAAAAATTTTATAAGAGTATAATTATAAAATTTATAATAAAAAACTTTTAGCTATTATAAAAGTATTTAAAAAATAATATTTAGAGTTAGCTAGTATACTAATTAAAAATCCTATTAATATAATTATTAATTATAAGAATTTAGAATATTTTATAATAATAAAGTAACTAAATTATAAATAGGTATAATAGGCTAAGTTCTTTTCTAAATTTAACTTCTAAATTATTTATAAACTAGGTAAATAAAATATAAAGCCTAATAGCCTAATACGCTGCCCTAGTAATATATTAATAAATAATACTAATAAGAGGTATTAGTATTAAAACTAAGTTATTATTAAGTATAAATAAATAAACTTTAAGTTAAAGGTTAACTTAGTATACTTTTTATTAAATAAATTAAAGGAAATAATTATAGATCTAGCTATATTAATATATTATTTAAGCGAAAAAAAATTAAAAAAGGCTAAAGAGTTATTAAAAGATTTATAACTTAATAAGTTTAAACTAGCTATAGGTAATAAAAAGTTAAAAGAAGAAATTTTACTTAAAGCTAGGGGTAAGGCACTTAGTAAAAAGTTTTAAAAAGAATTACTAAGTAAAAAACCTATTTTATTTAAGGCGGAGTTAGTATATTAGATTTATAATATATATATATATTAGATAAAGTAGTTTAAGCAATTATATATGCAAAATAAACTAATACTTATTAAATATTTTTAGATTTAAAAAAAACTAAATTATTAAAACTTAAGTTAAAATTCTATAAAATTAAAAATTATTTATTATATATTAATAGCTAACTTTTCTTACTAAATAATAAAAAGTACTTTTGTACTTATATTATAAAATAAGCTTATAACTTATTAGTAGAAAGTTATTTTAATAGAATATTAATATATAACTATATAAATAGAAAATACTATTAGCCTAAAATAATAAATATTATTATAAGGTTTATAAGGAGCTATTATATATATAATAAGTTAAAGAGTTATTATAAAGGAAAGTAAAGACTATTTAAGCTATTACCTATATTTAAGTATTATTAAATAAATATATCTATTAATTTTATTATTTTACTCCTAATATATATCTATTATAAATACTTTTTTAAATATATTATAGTAGTTGTAAACTAACTATTTAAAAAATATAAATTTTATTTTTTTAATTTAATTAAAATTAAAGCTATTATATAAGTATTTATTAAATAGGTTTAGTATAAGGAAGGTTATTTATTAAATATTTTATTTAATAAAAAAATATAATTTATATTATATTTCTAGAAGTATTTATATAAAAGGATTAGTATATAACTAAAATTATTTTTAGTATTTTACTTTAAAATAGATAAATAAACTAAAAACGTAAATATAGACTTAAAGTAATATTTAAGGGCTTATATTAACTATAACTAAGATAACTAAGTAGACTTTTTAGCTATTGCTAAGTTTAAAGCTAACTTAAATATTAATTATTTAATAAAATTATTACTATTCCTAGCTATTAAGAGTTATCTGCTTTATTTAGGCTTAGAAGCCCTAAAGGAGATATTTAATAGCGTATTACACTTATAAAGAAATAAAATTAAAGCAGCAGATTAGCTAATATATAAGCTAAATAAAATATATAAATACTTGTAGGAGAAGCTAAAATAAGCTTAAGTAATATAAGAAAAATATATTAATTATTATTATTAATTATACTTAAAGTTTAAAATTAGTAATAAAGTAATATTAGATACTTAGAATATTAAAACAATAAAGCTATTACTATTATTAAACTATAAAAACTTAGGTTTATTTAAGATTATCTAAGTTATTAATAATATAGTATATAAGCTAAAGCTTTTATAGTTAATAGAAAATATTTTCCTAGTATTCTATTTATAATTACTTTATTTAGATTGCTATAATCCTTTACCTAGTTAAGTTATACTGTCTTTACTACTAGTTTTTATAGGCAAGGGGTTTAAAAATAATAAAGTATTAAAAGTAGTTAACTTTTATATTAATTAGTATATAAATAACCTTATTATTAAAAGAAAAAGCTATTTATAGTATTATATTCATTATTATAAATATTTAAAATAGAATATAAACCTAGAATAATAGGTATAAATAGATACTATTAATTGTCTATAGCTTATAGCTAACTTCTATTATAAATATCTAGAAAAAGCTAGACTATATAACTTATTTAAAGTTTTAAAAGATTAGAGCTTTATACTTACTAAGTCATTAACTAATTATAATAGCTATAGGTCCTAATTTATAAGCTATACTACTAAATTTACTTAGCTAAAAAAGTGTCCTATATACTATAGTTAATATACTAAGTTATAGGCAATAAATAGCTTAATAAAGCTTACTTTTAAAGGGGAGGTTATATAATAGCTCTAGGCCTAGCTTAGTATAGGTATTCGCTTAGAGCAGGCGCTAAGCCTAATAGGCTTAGTATATATACTTATCTATACTTTTGTCTAATTCTTAGATAGACTTTTACTTATAGTTAGAATTCTATTAATCTTTTAAACTACTATTCTAAGACCCTAATATTCTTATAAAAAGCTATAGCTAGAAAATATAATATAATTTATATATTATTATATATATAAAAGTTATATAAAGTAGATAAAAGTATATACTAAGGCCTAAAAAGTATATACTAGCCTAACTATAAACCTTAAGTAACCTAGACTTTTATATATAATAGACTTAATATATTTCTTTTTAAGCTTAACTTAGACTTTTTTAAAATAATTAAAGATTTATATAAATATATTTAGTTATAGCTTTAGAGTAAACTTTTAATTTTTTAAATTAGGTTAAAATTCTATTAATATATATAATATATAGGTTTTCCTTTACTATAAATATTATATAATACTAAAGTATAAAGCTAGTACCTTAATTCTCTCTAGGTAATATTAAGTAAATTAATAAAATAAAAAGTATATTTTAAAGCTTTAACTAAGTACTTTTATATGAATTTTTAAATATTTTTATTAAATAGATTTTTATAATAATATATAATAATGTTGCTTCTCCTATAGGTAGCTAATTAGCGGGGAAAAAAAAGTATATATATTAAATTTTAATTATATAAAGGCTTTACTATAAAATAAACTAGTATATTAATTTATAAGCTTAATAATAGTTTAATTTATATAATTAAAAGCTTATTAAAATACGCTTAATTAGAGCTTTAAAACAAGTCTTTAATTATAATAATTAGAGTATTAGTAGCTAAGATATAATATAATTTATACTTTTCCACTAGTAGCTAATGAGTAGGGAAAGAAAAGTATAAGCCTACCTTTTTTGCCTATAGGACTACTACCTAATCCTAACCCTAAGCTATATAGAATATTATTTAAATATAAACTTAAAGAAAATAATATCTTTAAAATTAAAAAAATATTAAAAGAATAATATAATTAATATTTTATTAAATAAAAAAACTATTTAAAAAAAGAAAATATATAGGAATTAAAAGAATATTTATTATTTAATTATATAAAGAAGCTTTAGTACTTTTAATAATAATAATAATAAAAGTAAATAAAGTTTCTATTTATTTATTAAATTAATAAATATATATTATTAAATTACTATTTTTATTCTTCTTTATATTGTTTATTCTTTTCTATTTTTAGAATATTTTTTATATTAAAATTACTTAATTAATTTAACTTTTTTAAATAAAATTATTTTATTTTTTAAATATATAATAATTAGAATAAACAATTAGCTTTTATTTATTTAAATTATTAAAAATATTATATTATTTATTTATCTTTTTCTTAAAAAAAGCTAAATTATATTTTTAATTATATTTATTATATTTAATATAGTAAACTAATTAATTAATCTTTATATATTTAAAACCTTAATAAATATAATTCTTATAATAATATATAATAATATAATAATTATAATATTTCTTTTTTTTAAAAATATAATAATAATATTAAATATTATTATTAAAAAATTATATAATAAAGGAAATTAATAACTAAAGATAATTATATTAAAAAAAGAAATAATATTATAGCTTTATATAATAAATATAACTAGGTAACTATTATAAGATAAAAACAATAGCTATATTAAATTATAAAAAAGGATAATTAAAAAAAGGAAAAAATAGCTAAAATATTTAAATATATTTAAATACTAGAAATATTAAATAACCTTTAAATTAAATAAACTTAAAATAATTAAAAGTTAAATACTATTAAATAAATTAAATAAAGTTGTATATATAGAATCTTTTATTTATTTTATTAAATAAATTTCTTTATATTTAATATTAATTATATTTTTTATTATAGAATTTAAAATAATTATAACTTAATTCTATTTCACTATCTTGCTTTTATTTAACTTTTAACTATTATTTATATTCTAGGAAAACTAATTTATATACTTATAGTTAAATTAGTTAATACTATTTACTAGTTTAAATACTAGGGTTATAATAATTAATTAAAAGTCTATAAATAAGTTTAAAATATAATAAAAGCTAAGGTAGCTAATTAAAAAAAATATATTATTTAATTAAATAAGACTTTAGCTAATAGAATTAATTATAAAATATACTATTTAATATAATTAATAGAAGGGTTTTTTAGTTAATAATAGCTTATAAAATTAGTTACTACTTTTTTAACTACTAAAAACTAAGATATTATATTCTTTATAGTTTAATATACAAGTATTACTAAAAGAAACGGAAATTAGATTTGGAATTAGCGAGCTAAACTATACAAGTTTTATATATAAACTTTTATAGTTGGACTAAAACTCACATATCGAACGACCGCATATCCGCGCCGTAATCCTAACCCTCCTCCACGTATAATTTCTTTACTAAGCTTACTTCCATTTGTATTCACATTGTTTTCCTACATTCTCTGCGGCCTCTTTGCCAACCTTGATTTCAGCAACATACAATCCGGCATCGAGCCCACATGTGACGCCCCCAGCAGTAATAGTTCTTATTCTCTTCGAATTCAGTCCGCCATCGACATACCTACCTACCGCACCATCGCCGGTAGTAGGAACAACATCAATCGAACCATCGATTTCCTTGAGCACTTCCAATGCTGAATGATGCGTGGTAGCCCTCAACCCCTTCAAATGACCCGCCGCAGCAATGAGCAGAGCTCCAGTGCAAACAGAAAGCTGGATCCGCTCGTCACCATTCTCCCTTTTTGGATTCGCGTCGTTGAAAGCCTTGATAAACTCAATCTCCGGGCACGAAGTCTTCGCCATTTCCGGAGTCGGAAGCCCCCCAGGTACAACTAAGACGTCGAACTCTTCAACGCGCTTCGTCGCCTCTTCGATCGTCATTTCAACGTTAATTACCAAGCAATTTCCCGTAGTGACCGTTGGCGCGTGAGCGATAGGGTGGATGCTAAACGCGAATTCTGGGTTGTATAGGTCGTTGTTGTAGGTAGTAGTTGAAAGCATTTCTACCGGGCCGGCGAAGTCAAGGATTTCGGCATTTGGAAAGAGCAAGAGAGCGACTTGGTGGATCTTCTTGGGAGAGGCTGACATGGTCATGTATGATAGCGAGGCTTGGGTTACGGCGCCACTGGGTGAAAGAAATGATATGGCTGGGAGAAGACTTGTCTTCGATACTGGTCGAATTCGTGTTGATTCTCTAATACCTATCCAGGCCAAGATGTCTGAAGTGACTTAGTAATGTGGCAGATCAGTTGATATGAGGTGTGTACTGTATGGACTGGCTATAGATGTAAGGTGATGCTTATCGTATAGTCCACTGTGTTGATCGCTGCATCAAGCAGCTATATTCGAACTAATTAGAAGAATAAATGACCTCACGAAGTTTTGCAGCTTATAGACTTTGGCACAATTGACCGCGGAACATGCAAATACGTGCAGCTCGGGTTTATTATCTGATTCAGGCACATGCGGCAATACTACGAACACAGCCTAGTGCAGTCGCTGCTTTAAGGGCCTTGGATTACTCAAAAGCCTGAATCATCTTCTCTTTGTCGAGTGAAGCACTGTGGAATCTAGAACTGAATTGGGTCATTTGAATAGCCAAGACTTCGTTCAAGATGTTATCAGCAAGGGGAGCGCAATGGGCTAAGATTGGATACCTCCACGGCAAGCCAGATGCGTACGACCCAAAAGACAACCCCAATGGTGTTGTAAGCTTCACCAATGCCGAGAATGTAAGTCGAAGCGAGTAATACAAGGGTTAAGGACATTAAGAGGCTGACAGATTTTCCTACACGCCGATCTGGCTGACTTCTTCAATACGCATGTATGCCGTCTCCTCATGAACAGCAGGTAAGAAAAGCTGAGAATTCGATGCGAAGAACCACTTCGACAAGGAATGTTGCGCGTATGGGGAGGGCTATACTGGAACATTACGACTTCGGACTGCGATGGCGACGCACCTTAATGCCTCTTTCCATCCAGCGCAAGCGATCGACCCGGAGGAGGTCACTTTTGCTGCTGGAGTGACTGATCTCAACGAGGTTTGCGCGCTGGTCACCTGTGATCCAGATCGACATGACTCTGTCATGCTTGGGAGGCCTATTTATGGGCCCTTCTCTAAAGATCTTGCTATGCGAACAGGGTGAGTGGATGAGAGCCACCAGAATGCTCTGAGCTCGACTAACCGCTCTCTGTAAAGGGTGAGACTGGAATATGTATCTGTTGGAGATACGGATCAATTCACGCCCGCTTGCGTTGCAGCGTATGATGCTGGATTTGAAGCTGCAAAGAGACGTGGAAGCAACATAAAAGCGCTTATTATCTGCAACCCACACAACCCTTTAGGTAACGGATTGTGTCGAAATTGTTGGTAGAGCTGTACAGTTGACCCTTGATAAGGCCAATGTTACCCACGCGAAACTCTCGTAGCGTTGCTGCAACTCTGCGCTGCAAAAGGGATCCACCTCATTAGCGACGAGATCTACGCCCTCTCGGTCTACAACAGAGACGATCGTCCATCGAAGAAGTTCACTTCGATACGAGCTATAGACTTCAATGGCATCATTGATCCTCAACAAGTTCACATACTTTATGGTATGTCAAAAGTAAGTGACCGAACAACTCACGGGCTGGATTGTTGAATCTATAACGCTGCGATAGGATTATGGTGCCGCCGGGCTGCGCTTAGGCTGTGTTATCTCGCAGAATCGCCAGTTCTCGAAGGCTACAAGGTCCGTATGGTGAGTGATCCGTACCGGCAGATGCTTCTGTAAGCGCTGCTCACGCAGTCCCACCAGTCGCTTTTCCTCGCCTTCTCAATTTTCCATGCAACTTGCAGCAAACTTCCTAGAAGACCGAGCGTTCGTTACACAACTACTTCAGAAATCGCGAAATCGGCTGCTTTCGAGTCGTCTAAAGGCTGAAAACATCTTGACTCGTGCTGGTATCGAATATCACCATAAAGGGTGCGTACCTATCAGATCAGGACCGAGTTGTATCTATGTCTTGAGATGTATCGCTCTGATGTTCGTACAATCTGACAATGATACAGAAATGCAGGTCTTTTTCTATGGCTCGATTTGGCGCCGTATCTTCCGTTTGACGAAGCTAACGGAGATGGGTGGGCGGCAGAGAGATTGTTATCTAAGCGATTCGAGCTAGCAGGTGTCATCATGGATACTGGAGAGGAGTATCATGCCCCAGACCCAGGTAGATTCCGCTTCATGTTTTGTGTCGAGGAGAGTACCCTCAGGGAAGGTATCAGGAGGTCAAGTTTGCCCTCTTCCCACGAGACTATCCGAAGGTACATTCATACTGACGGTAAGAGTGCAGGATTTCAAAGGCGTTATCATCTTGACCAATCGAATGTTGTCCTCCCATAGATGATTCGGACCTGGTCAGAATCCCTTTGGCTGCGGCATTCTCGCCTCGCAAACGACTAAGATATTTTCTTCACCCAAACGCTTATGTCACAAACACACGACATGATGAGAAAGCATTCGTAGCTTTATCGTATAACTACATTTGTGGGAGATCTATCTCTTGATTATTCGCATAGGCCTCAATCTATTCAAATGCATTTCTCAAATCTCAAAGAATGAATAGGGCAAGCATTTCCCCAACTTACGACTTCACCAAATCCTTGGTGGTATGCCGATCCCCATATGCTCTTGACCAGTAAGTGGTCTTTTTGCCTGAGGAACGCTCTATTTTGGACAATGTTGTCGTGTCAGCGATGAGAGGTAATGTTGCTCTCGGACTTGATGTCTCTACTATCGAGTGTTCGTGATGCCAAGTTCCATTATGTCTGTCGCTCCCACCTTGGTCAACTGATCCATAATGGGTGCTATGTTTCTCTTCTCCACCATGACGCTTACAGCAATCCAGCCTTCTTCATCGAGTGCTATAATAGTGGGAGCGCGCTTGCCAGGAGCGATGGCGGTCGCCGCCGCCATATTTTTCCGCTCGATGTTGTACTGGCACAAAACGAACTCTTGCGCTGTTATAACACCTCTGATGCGAGCTGCAATCAGATCTACCAAGTCTGTATTGCTGGGAGAACGCGACTTGATCAGGATAGCGCTGGACTTCACTACAGTATCAATGGGCTTCAACCCAGCAGCCTTCATCGTCTCTCCAGACTCTGCGACAGTTAGCGTCCTACAGAATCTTGACGCTAGCGCAGCTTGAATTCATCGACAATCCCGTCTGCGACCCCAAGGGCATAAGCCGCTTCCATACTGCCACTCAATTCAACTATGTTCGTCCTGATTTTGCCATTGCAAGATGTATCCCCGTCATTAACTCGGTCTATCTCATTCTCGAGGTTTCTGAAATACTCCCTTGTTAAGTGAACAAAACTAGTCCCAATATTTTTCCCGATCAGGTCATGTGGCGTCTGATATCGTCCATTTTCCGGAACCTGTAGCTGCAACTTGCAGGCCCCGAAGCCCACGTCCATAATCGTCTCGGATCCTGTCGTATTCCTCTGTATCTCCCCCGATGTGGCTTCATCCGAAAAGCGTCGCGTCTGCTGCATGGTTCGGATGCCGACCTCATGTTCTTGAACCTGATCGTACCCTGTAACTCCCAGGTCGACACGACCCTGGCCAACAAAGGTGGGAATGTCGGCGGCGGGGAGAAAGACGAGGGCGATCGGGAGGTTCATGACCAGAGCAATATCTAGATGATGCTCTCTACTGAAGTGGATATCGGCGCCCTCAAGGAGATTCAGCGTTGCTCGGTTCAGCCGACCCGCTGATAGACCGACCCAGTGAGCTCGGTTGGGGCTTTCTCGGCATGCATTGTCCAGTAGTACTCACTCTTGGGTACCGCAAACAATAGCCTCCGTTCCAGACTGTGTTGCGGTAGCAATAAGTCAGCTAGCTGTTATCACATTACAGCACTAACTGGTTGAAGAGAGGAGAAGCCAGATCTTGACTCGCACGAATCTTAAAGGTCACGAGGGGCACGCACTAATTGATGAGATCCATTGAGATGCAAAATCAAGTTGCAACAGGGTCACGATGCTTAGGCTCGCAAAGTCCTTGATCTTACAGCGAAGGGGGAAAGACCCTGTGTTCTGTACTTTATCTGTTTCGCCTTCTATGTATGGAAGTCACCCGTGCTATACTGTGGCTGACATTGAAGACAGATCTTCAAATTGACGGCTTCGTCCAAAGCATTGGGACGATCTATCGCGTCATGAGTGGGTGGATTAGTATCGTGGTTGTCCGACGTTCTTAAAGGCGCATGTCGTCCAGTACACTTTCCATCTTCTTCCAACCCTGATTTCTACAGCGACGAAGTATTTCGATTTGCATGTCGCAACTGGTAAGCGTCCACAATCTAGCCTTTTGCAGCTTACCATATTCTATGTCAATGAATTCGTGGACCCTGAAGTGACTCCATAGAGATCAGCTAACCTGAACAGGGAAGTCTCCGAGGAGATCGCCAGGATCCGCGGTGATCAACCTGAAGAGGTAAATGCCAGATGCCACTATGACGCCAACTCTCCGCGGCGCGAAACGGGTCGAGCTCCCTGCTTCTCAATCCTGCCGAATGAAACCACTAGATCCTACAGCAAAGACCCTGTAGAAGAGGTGCGACTAGAGACATAACATTACAGGCATGAATAACCGGGCTCATGGCTTAGTTTACGAGGAATTGCTTGGCAGGCTGGACGCGTCAAGCTTATGGATGCAGAAACTTCACGGATCAGGCTGCAATATCGCCAAAGGATCTTTAAATTGCTTTGCAGATGAAGCAAAAATGATCACGGCAGAGTAAGCTGCGTTCTGAGCAGCAGAGATGTTCACTTTCTGGATCCCACATTTTTATGAACCCAAGCTGTCTCTCACATCACCTCAAATACGTACCACCTCTCAAAAGTGTCTTACCAAAAATTGCAGTAGAGAAATCACGGAGGTATACCAAATCATTTTGGTCATTTTCTGTGGACACTCCATCAGTGAAAGCTTGTAGTTCATATTGCGCTGCACTAAACACTGGAGTCAAATGTCTGATTCAGGTAATCATACCGCAGGGCAATTTAGTTGAGCAGAAGCTTCAGTCCGCATGATGCTCGACTACTGGAAGGACAGCGAATGCTGACACTGCGATTTTATATGATAATGAGTACTTTACCCTGTTACATGCCTCAATACTTCAACGGTCGCCATAACACTCTAACTAGGAGTAACTGGAATAGAGAAGCCCCGTTGTAAGATATTAGATACACGTAAAACATCATGGCGACTTTCTCGGGATGTGATGACGAAAAACGCTCCCATTGTAATAATACCTACCCGTGGTTCTGGAATGCGTTCACCACGTTCGAAAAAGCAAAGCGACTCCGTGACCAACGCCCGATCCTCAGGGGAAAGCAATCCAAGTGTCTCGCCACAAACGTCGTCTGGGGCGCATATGCCACCCCTCTCAGCCCTAAAAAATAGAATCTGGCTCCAAGCCCTGGCATGATGAGGGATGAGAGAATCCAGCTCAAAAGGCTTTGCGAAAGCCTGAAGACGTCCGTAGTCTCCAAGGCAGGCTAGCAGATGTGCATCATACATATTCACACCATAGGCACCTGCCGTAGCCAAAACGCTCTGGAACCCGGGTGGTCTGGGATTTGCTTCGATGAGGACACAACGGGGTGACTGCTTTGTTGGGAAGCTTGCTTTTGGACGCAAATCTACCAGATGGCCTTTTTCTTTGAAGACCATGGAAGAGTTCTGCACTCGAGCTTCGAGGTGATATACTCCAGTCTTCAGCCCGATCTGCAGTAAGAATTGGTGCAATTCTTGACGCACGAGAGCGAGTTCGGTAGCTGGTAGCTTGGAAGGCAGGACGTTGGCGTTCTCCCCGAAATTTTTGTTGCCTGACCCATCATCGCCTGGACTTGGGAAGTCGTCAGACACTTCGAAAAAGAGGATCTGCCCGTCTAGAAGAATGAAGTTGACGTCCAACTCAGGCCCCTCAATGTAAGCCTCTACGAGCACCTGTTTGCCAGAGCCGAGGTCTGTGCGTCTTACTGCTTCTAGTAGTTCGGTCTGAGTATCGACTTTGTACACATGCGCAGATCCGGCACCCTGTTCCGGTTTGACAATGAGAGGATACTGGGGAATGAATTCTCTCGTTGCCATCTGCTGTTCAAGATCTGGTACGTTCTTCACCAACGTCATTGGCGCCGCACCTCCGGCAATGATTCTTGATTCGTACTTGTTACTCGCGCATGCTATAGCCTCTGGAGGCTCTGCTGGCAGCCCTAATATCACCGCTGCTCTAGCAACTGGGGCTAGACATGCGCTGGCAATAGCACAAAGGCCATCTACCTTCCCGTATGCTTTGACGGCTGCGGCAATGCGCACATGAAAGCTGTTGTCGATCGTCATATCGATGGGGACGAAATCACTATACAGATGCTGCATTGAGGGATCTGTAAGGAAATGTCCAGGGCGATCAAAGACCACAAGATTGATCCCGAGTGCGATCGCAGAGTGATATAAAGGAAGGTACGATTTGAGATTCAGGTGGCCATCGATCAGGGCTAGGGTTTTCTGCTTCGGCTTGACATCGAGTAACCATCTAAAATTGATGCGCGCATTTATCTCCTCAAGAACGAAAGCGTCATCCTTAGATCGAGACTGGTCGTCCGGGCGTACGAGCATGAATAGACAGCCGCCGAATAATTCTTGAAGCTCATGGCTGTTGACTGGGCTGACCCGCTGCCCGAAAACAGTACGATCGAGCAAGACACCGAGGTCTGCACACCCAGCGAAACGTCCGTGGAAACACCTGGTGCGAGCAAGATAGCCAGAGCGAATAGGCACGACCAAAAAGACACGACCAAGCCAAGAAGTGCCAGGGATGAGGGGATCCATAGATTCCACAGTAGTCAGCAGCTCCTTCAGGCAGTTGCTGTAAGCAAGAAGTTAGCTGAATATTCATTGCATGCTTCAATAGAGAAGACAATGATGGCCGCTTGTACCTTTCCTCATTCCGAATACAGTCGTCTCCCACACCGTTTCGTACATCGATGCTCACCTGTACCGAAACCACGGCATAGTCACTACCTTTTGTCTCCGGCACGTGAATCACTGGAGACCAAGAACATTTGACCTCAAGGTACTTTTCACGCCCATTGATGTTTCTAACTGGCTGATGTTTGACACTCTGCCTGCACCTCACCAGCAGAGATGTGGAGAATGCCTCACGGTCGCTAAATGTGGATCGCGTCATTTTCAGTGGTTTGACTTTGACCCTTTCTGGACTTGGATATGCGCGCAAGTCTACTTCGTGCTGATCAAATGGCTCGTTGAGTCTTGCTCAAGTGATATCATAGCATGACGAAGATTTCATAACTACGTGCTCAGCTGTGACTGTGACTAAGATATATGGGAAGACAAGCAAGAAGGGTCTGAGCTTTCGACTTACGCGTCATAAACGTTGGCAAACACCTCCAGTCCATTAGCTGGAGCAAAATGAATACTTATGCGGCGAAGTGGAGACCGCACCTGCTCTGTGGACACGTCAGTGTGCGTAAAGAATGCCCACAGAATCACGCTTGATAGAAGGCTCGGCTGGTTCGGAAATGTTTCTATTAATCCCTAAATCTTCCACTTAGACTTCCTCGATATTGATTGGCTGACATACAAGGCTGACCAGCTTTCGGTCCATGGAATGATCCGGTCTATTGTTTTTATACCCATTTTGAGACGATGCAGGCCTCGGACCGGACCGTATGCATGCCCCTGAGTCTAAGCAATTGGCCTTATACCGTCGGCATATTGTTCCTCGACATACCCCGTTGGGTCGAGGCAAAGCCACTGTGGTGGAGGGCGCGTCATCAGACGCATGATACTTTCCGGGCGGCAGTTATTCCCTCCTTGTGCTATACTAATGCCTTCGAGCCGCTGATTGATGAGATAGGTAATTTGTAAAAGACTGCATCGTGCAGCTTGTTCTTTCTCATTGAGTACGACCAGTTTAATCGCTGCCACGCCAATTCAACATTTAGCACCATCATGTATGTCGTTAATCCGCTCAACACCTTCAAAGGAACCGACTCGCTACGGAAATATTTCGATCCAGATGCGCAGCCCCCATTGCCCCTTGTCGAGCTGCCAGAGAAGCTCAACCCCTTTCGTGGCGATGGCGTCCGCATTTACGCAAAGATGCTCACAGCTCTACCCGCACAAAATGTCAAAGCTCTCCCAGGTGAGATACATCCTAAGCTCCAAACCAAGAACCGAGATGTTCTGACAATTGATCGTAGCACTGAACATGCTCTTGAACGACGAAGCTGCCGCAGACGGCAGCATCAAAGAAGTGAGCTCAGGCTCTACAGTGACCTCGCTCGCTATCACCGCCCGGGTGCTTTACGACAACGACGACACGACCGCATTCGTCTCCAACAAAGCCTCCCTTGACCGTGTACGTGAGCTTCAATTCTACGGTCTCAAAGTCGCACTCTACGGCGGGCCCACCTACACCGAAACTACAGACCCCAGAGGCCCCGTTGAGTGGGCTCGACGCTTAGGGAGGGAAGATAGCAAGACGGTCAATCTGGGGCAGTACGACAACGACTTCAATTGGAAGTCGCACGAGCGCTGGACGGGACCGCAGGTCTGGAAGCAATTACCTGAGATTGACATCTTTTGTATGGGGATGGGCAGCACGGGCTGCGTGACCGGAGCAGGACGCTACTTGAAATCGCAGAAGCCGTCGGTGAAGGTGCTGGGGGTGTGCAATGACGAAGCAGATCTGGTGCCAGGACCAAGGGAACGGCCGTTGCATGAGACCAGCCCGTTTCCTTGGAAAGAGATCGTGGATTTCACCGAGAATGTGAGCTCGTTGGAGTCGTATCGGGTGTCTATGAGGCTGTCCCGTGAAGGCCTCATTGCGGGCCCGTCCAGTGGCATGAACCTACAAGGCTTGTTTAACTTTCTGCAAAGAGAGAAGGAGAATGGGACGTTGCGCGAGTATGCGGATCCAGTGACGGGGGAAATCTCGTGTGTGTTTGTGTGTTGCGACTTGCCGCAGAAGCATGTGGACACGTACTTTAAGAAGCTTCCACCAGAAGAGTTTCAGCCTACGATCAATGATGTGAGTGATTCTACCTGCGTGCCGTAGACGAGGCTGATCACTTTCTGGACAGGAGCTTTTCGCAGTAGATCAGCATGTCTACAGTTTTAGATGGGAGATCGATCCGCGAGAGTCTGAACAGCAACTTGAGGGTATTCTTCCTCTCATCAAAGAACTCGGGGCATGTGAGGGCTCTAAAGGGACAGACGAGCCTGATTCAGACCACTTCTCTCGTGCTGTCCGTTTTGTCGACTTGCGCTGCCCCAACGATTTCAAATCTTGCCATGTCACTGGTGCTTACAGCTGCCCGCTGCCAAACTCAATGGCGGAAACGCCAACACCGTTTGACTTTGGAGATACAAAGGTGCTACTGGATCAATGGAAGGAATTGAATGTGATGCTGCGAAATCAGGAGGCTTCTCAGTGGCTTAGTGACAAGGAGTCTCCTTTGGTTGTGATCGATTACAATGGAGACACGTCACGGATCTTAACGGCTATTCTGAGGGCTCAGGGGGTCGAAGCGTATAGCTTCAGGGACGGAATGCCTGGAGTTCTCAAGTATCTCAACAGTGAAGGTACTTGCAGGACATGAGCATTAAGTCAAATGTTGTGGAATCAATCTATGTAATTTTATCAAAATGCAACGGGAATACGTCCTATGTGTACCATTGAGCGAGTTTTCATACCAATAGTTCAGATCATTGCTCGATCACGGGCGCAGCTCAGTAGAACAAGCTGGGAGTACAAGTCTCTGATCAGGATAATCTAGGAGATGTGTAAGCGGGCTTGTTGATCTCGGAGAAAAAGCCCGAAGCTGGCCGATACGACTTGCCTGTAGATCCTAGACCATCCAAACCACCGCGTCATAACCGAGTGCCGCAGTCATGTCGCGGTGGATTATATCAAATTCGCCCGCTATGCCGCGAGTGCGGCAAAGAGAAAATGTAGGAGAATGGACGCAATAGGATAGACGATGAAGCTTATAGGAAGCCTCTCGCGTGCCCATCGATGTAATGAATATCAACCTAGCGCATTCTTGACTTCGTTCGAAGCCAAAGTTCGACAATCAATACTTCCTGAAGCAATATTTCTTTCACAATGAAGCCCAACACCGACTATCTCAATGTACCCGAAAAGGGCATGGCAGCCTACCGAGCGCCCTCACTTCTCCAGCCCCATAAAGCGCGACAAGCCCTGCGTGATGCCTATCATGGCCGGATTCCTCGCATGATAGGGTACTACTGCGGCTTTTGTGACCGCTCAAGTTCTCGAATCATTGCGCAGCTGGGGGCAGATTTCGTCTGGGTGGACTGGGAGCATGCTTCGTGCAATGTCGAGACGATGACGGACGTAAGGCTCTCCTTGCCAATATAATTTGCGTCTCACGCACTGATGACGGGGCCAGGTCGTACACACCATCATGTTCATGAGCGAAGGTCGCACAATGCCATTCGTTCGGTAAATAATCACTGATCTCTACATATACATCGAGCCAGCTGATCATAATTCCAGGATCCCGAACCACGACCACGCATCCATAGGCTACGCTCTCGACGCTGGAACCTCCGTCATCGTCCCCCACGTCGACACAGTCGAGCAAGCCAAACACATCGCCGCAGCAACGAAATTCCTCGACAAGCACGGGGGCACGCGCTCCGCACCGCCAACACGCTGGCTAGGCGGCCTCGCCGACGCCGTCGTCGACCCCACGCGCCACATCTGGGAGAACCAGAATGAGCAAGCAGCGTTGATCATCCAGCTCGAAAGCCGCGAAGGCGTCAACAATCTCGATGGTATGCTGAGCGCTGTGGGCCATCACATCGATGCGTGCTGGATGGGCACACTGGACATGCGGGCGACGATGGGATTGGATGGGATTTGGGGCGATGAGCCCGAGTTCCAGGCTGTGGTCAAACAGTTCGAGGAGGTGCTGAGGAAACATGATAAGCCGAATGCGGGGCCCTGCTTCAATGGCGCGTGGGAAAGGGCGAGGAATAAGATGTTTACGGTTGTGGCGGCGGATTTCATGACCTTGGCGAGTGAGAAGGAGAAGATTGAGGATGCTAGACGGAATTTGGGCCCTTTGGAGGGTAAAGGGCGGAAAGGGGAGTCGTCGACGGTATCAGGGGTGAGCAATGGTGTGAGCAATGGCGTGAGCAATGGTGTGTGCAATGGGATAAAAGTCTAGGTGAGCACACACCCTGTGGACTGAGTAGCCAATCAAGTCAGTTCATAGGCAAGATAACATTGACAACAACGAGTGTAAGCTGAGCAAATCACTGCCGACTCTCGTTAGTGTAACAGCTTCGCTTTTGCTCTTGGACTTGCTTTCAATTTCCTACATTGCAAACATTATGAACTTATCTCGCGCTATTACCTTTCTGTGCTGTTGAAGTGTCCTTTGTACGCAACCTTCATACAGGCCCTCACGCTCGAGTGCTCAAATTGTGCGCAAAGGCTTCCATTGTGACATAGGACTAGTCGATTATCCACTAGCCGCTGGTCAACACTGTAGAAGTTGGTATAAATTGTCGTGTAGATATTAATTTCACCGAAAGATGCACGGGACAGACGCACAGCATAACGGACAACATCAGCCGAAGAAGCAGACAGCTTGCAGCAATGGAGACAATAAGCGCGCATTTTCAACGAAGCGTAGCTAGTCGGGGAAGGAGACCAAGACAAAGGCGCTGAGGCCCTACTCTTTGCCTTGCAGCAAAGCCTCAATGACGTTTCCCAACCTCCTCACCCCTTCCACCAGATCAAGTTCACTCACAAAGCTGAAAGAGAGTCTCAAAAGCCCCTCATAGTCATCCTTCCCCACATCACCGGTAACAGTGAACCACGTTCCAGGACAAACAACCAAATTCTGCCATTCTGTCGCCGAGCGCGCCACCTCAGTCCCCTTGAGCCCCTCCGGCAACGCAACCCACACAAAGAACCCCCCAACGAGCGCCTCTCTTCCCCCTTCTCCACCATCAACGCACTTACACCCCAACGGCCCCAACACGTTGCCGATCTCCCTCACCATCACCCCCCTCCGCTGCCGATACGCCGGCACCAACGTCCCCCCGATGTGTTCATTCAACCATCTCCCCTCCGCCCTCACCATGAGCTGGTGCATCACAGCAGCCATGAACGCCGATGGACACCCGCCCGAGATGGAAGCCCCGCATGAAGCCAAGGCGGCGCAGATGGCGGGGGAGGCGTCGACCCAGCCTGTGCGCACGCCGGGGGCTACTATTTTGCTGAAGGAGCCGTTGCTGAGGGTGTGGCGGAAGCCAGAGGGGTCGGTTGCTAGGAGGGGAAGGGCGCGGTCGATATCGACGAGGCGGGTAGGGGCGGCGTTCGAGATGTCAGGCGCATCGTAAGTTGTAGTAGGGGTTTCAGACTGGTGCTGATTGTTGCCGTTTACCGTGGCGTTGCCATTTGCCATGGTGATACCGTTTGTCATTGTGCTGTCTGCTGATGGGATATCGTTTTTGGCTGAAGTGGTCCATTGCAGGCAGTCGTAGATGTCGTCGGAGATGATTAGGGCATTGTGTTTTCGCGCCAGGTGCATAAGCGATTCTCGACAAGGAAGCGGGATCGTCCTGCCTGAGGGGTTGTTGAATGTGGGAACGACGTAGATGACGTGAGAGTAGATCTTGCGGGATGAGAGTTGGGGTTTGAGGTCTAAGTTGTTGATTTTGCCCTGCCAAAGATTAGCATGTAGACTCAAGGCAAACTGGTTAAGCTAGGTACTGCTCACCCTTTTCAATGCTTGGAGAGAGCTGTCGTCAACCTCCTGCATGCGTCGCTCCAGCTCCTCAAGATCAAGGTCGCCCCCCTCCATCTCCCTAACAGCCTTCAGCTTGCCGCTAAGTCCAGCATCTTCAAACATGCGACAAGCGAGATAGAAGCACGGGCTTGTCATCCACACCGCCCTGGTTTGCAAAGGATCTGTCAATACTGCGAGTACATTCATAAGGTTCTGGCTTGCACCGCCCGTGATGCATATGTGTTCAGCATCTTCCTTGCTGCCATAATAGCGATGCAGCCAGGCGGTGATGGACTGTCGCAGTGGCATGTAGCCGTCGCTGGCGCCGTAGAGAAGAGCTGTCTCCCATATCGATGGCTGTGACAACACCCCTCTGGTCGCGGAGAGGAGGGCATCCGTGGGAAGGAGCGAGGGGGATGGTTTACCCCAATTCAAATTGATATAGTGTGGTCTCTGAAGTGGCTCTATGCTGGTGCTCTTTTCCTTTTGGCCTTCCATTCGGATGGCATGCAACAAGGGACGGTCGTGTAAAAAAGGGCAGCTGGGCTGGCTACGCCAGGCGAATTGCTCTCCCCTCCCCTTGTAGTCGAGGGAGCCATCTTCCTAGGGCTGGGACGCGATCACCTCTCCAGCATCATGGCCTCATCATCGTCATAACAGCGTGGGCTATACTGCGCAGGAAAGTTCATCTCAGCGTTGAGGCTAAGTGCTCGCCGGGCGGACGATTTTCTTACCAGCGCTTGATTGCGGTCTGTCCGAGCCGGCGGGTCTTACATAGTCCTGACCATTTCCGCGGGGTCCTTGAACGGGCCCGATCCTGATTATGTATGTGTCAAAATTGAAGCCGACAGGACAATCGCTCAATCACGTCAACAGGCCACGTCAGCCACTTGCCGTAATGGTACATCGCACCGCCCCGTTTGCCGTTACAGCGCGTCAGCTGTAGAAGAGGAAAGAAACGCCACCTGCTGCGTCCCATTGGCAGGTAGCAACGGTGGTGCAACGTGGCCACTACACCCCAAGTCTTAGCGTCGAGGTGGATCTTCCTCTTCGAGCAGGTACGCAACGGTTCGTGATTCTACTGGTTCTCACGGGCCTCAGCTTGCTCTCGGGGAGTGGACTTGACTAACGGGATGCGTGTAGATTTGCGAACCCGCTGATCTGATCTTCAGGGTATGCAACAGTAAGATGGCTGATCTTCAGATTTAGCGGGGAGCTGGCCTGGTCGATCCTGGGATCTAGCGGGATGAGATGGCACCAAACACACGTGTTGCCCTGATCAGGCTAAGCAGACAGTTCGAGGGGCACGCCAGCAGAAGCTGAAGAGCGTTCAAAGGGGTCGGATGCTGGGAGACCAGGACATGTTCGCGAGCTATCGATCACGATTCGACAATGTTGTAAGGAACGGCTGAGGTAACGACGCTAGCCTAGTCGCGGTAATGAAATTAGGCTTTGCGTGCAAGGGCGGGTGGCAAGGGCGGGTGGTGGGGGGCTCCCCTCCCCGCTTCCCCGCATCCCTGTAACCCTAATCCTTACCCGCCACATGTAAGGTACAATACAATACGCAAATATACCCATACTCATACTCATACTCATACCCATACTTGTGCCCACACTCATACCCATCGGCAGCGGCATGCTACCAATGTTCTTTTCCTCCTTTTCACGGGCCCTCTAGCGATGCCCTGCCTGACGACCCGGACCAGAATCATCAATCACGGTATCGAAGAGAGAGAAAGTCGAATAATACTGCAGGACGGTCGACGACAAATTCACTCCGTGCCTTGTCGTTGATTCCGGGCGAAGTACTTCGGCTTCTTTGCGTTGAGATTGGCGTCACAGAGTTTTCATCATCACTGGACCTTTTCATGCTGTGCAATACCCAATACCGCGCTGGCAACTCGCAGCCTATGGTCCGGAATGCTTGTGAGCCCTGCCACGAGCGCAAGATCCGCTGCATTACCTCGGTCGATGGAGGCTCTTGCGATAGCTGTCAATCCAGGCGATTGTCGTGCTTCTTCCTGCCTCGTGCTCGGAGCGGTCGTCGCCCCAATGCTCATCATGCTTCGGACGCGGACAGCAGTGGCTCGGGGATGAAACAGAATGGCACCGGTCGACGCATCTCGCCACCGGAGACTCCAGAGCCTGACCTTCAGAACGGTCTTTTCGACGAGTGGAGCTGGTCATTGCCCGCGGGGGATCTCCACCAACCCCAGCATCAGCCTACCGGAGCGACAACAGCCTTACTAGACCCCGCTAGACCCTTATCGACCACTGGGGCTCCTGCGCATGGCTACGGTCTACAGACACCCATCCTAGATCAGGATCAAACCGATCTAGCAAAGACGGACTACCAGAATGTTTGTTCTATGCCAGACGCGATGTCCTTCCCAGTGACTGCAATACCAACCATGGCGCCATCCATGCCGCGCAAGCTCTCACTTGACGAAAACGGGAGAGATAGGACAAAACTGGGCGAGAAAGAATTTGCAGTTTTGTTGCAGCTCTGCTCAAAGCTGCAAGGGCACCTGGCCCAGGTCGGAGGGTCAGTCACCAACCAAGCGCCAAACGGGCCAACCATGACACCGTCGATGAGTCCGGCAATTTCAGCGGCACGCCTGCGAGAGATGCTCGAAGACATATCTAAGAGTTCCGATGTCATTTTTGGTCTCTATGGTCAGGGTGACCTGTCGAAGCCCACTGCACAGCTGGTCGAGAATCTGGATCATGCATCGACATCGCTGGCCATCGCGGTCGTCTTCAAGGTCTTCCAGGTCTGCGACACTGTGCTGAGTTGCAACTCGCTGAAAAGTCAAGGACTGAATGACTTGCTTCTCCAAAAAAGGCTCGACTTCAATCTGATGCAGGCTAGAATTGTGGCTGCCAAAATTGAGGAGATGACACAGGGCGGCTTGGCGGTCTCGAGAAAGGTTGCGTTGAACGCTACTGGTGTGGAACAAAAACTCAGGGCAATCTCCTAGACCACGTATGCACAAAATGAAAAAGTTTATTTGGTAGGGTGATTTACATAGGGTTTGTTTTTTGGTACGAAATCCAGCAACTGACAGCGAACGAAGGAATGAATGAAAAATTGAATGATGCATTAATGTCTGTCTAGTCTTTTCATATCTTACGTGAGCCTACCAACGATTCTCAAATCGTTAGAGAATTCCCAAAAAGCCGTTCCTACTCTACATCTACGGATGACGGTCAATTTGCGGAAGAATGTTCCTTCACGCCTGTATTGCCCCGCGGAGGACGCGTTAACTATATACTCCGTATCGCTTAATAGCACGAGGTTTTTACAGGACTAAAGAGCCGCCGAGGGCTCGGAAAGATCTCTTATTGCATTTCCGTGGTCTGGGAAATCAATTACGCCGCGCGTATACGTTCTTGTTCGGTAATGATCTCATCGAAGACTTTTGAGTCTCCTATCCAGGATATCCAAAGAAGACTTTGAAGCTTATGTAGCCCAACACCTTGTTATTGTCATAGTTTTCCACTCGTGAAATCCTCTCCCATGAAAATATAATCCAAAAAGTTGTTTATCAAATTGAGTCCAAGCACGAACCCTTAGCCAAAATGACTGTACTCCCAACTTTCGATATCTTCGACGATAGTCAACCAGCCAGAACACAGCCAATGGACATGAATCGAACGTCTGATGCTGTAGACGACTCTCGGCCGACATCCGCCAAGATTCTCGATATCATCTATGATTACCGGCTCACCAAAGCGGCTGATGCAGACGACAGATGGATCGAGGGCACACCGAAATTTCTCAGCATGATTGAACACTTTGTGCAGATGGAACAGCCAGTTCAGATGTGCATGCCAGCTTTCCCCTTCAAGTCCGCCAACAAAGTATACAAAGTTCTGGGAACCTTGCCTGATGCAGCAGAAGAAGAGGCCCTGGAGTACATGAATTTAATGTGCGCTCGCATCGGCGACATCTATAGTCCAGGCGCCAAGCTTCTCATCATTTCAGATGGTCTTGTCTACAATGGTGAGTGAATTACTGACCAAACTACCTGCAGCTGTGTTAACCAGTGTGCCACTCTCTCCCAGACCTCCTTACCATTTCAGACCGCGACACGTGGGCCTACGGGCAGGAACTCCGAGCCATTGGCGAAAACAAGTTCCCGCACATCAGCTTTTCGCGCCTTCGCCAGCTCGTCGACATCGATCTCCCCGAAAGACTGGACGAGGTCACTTACGTGGCCAACGCCACGAACTTCCGCCACGCATTGCTTAGCCAACACGGCAAAGACGAACTAGACGTCAACAAGCTGATCGAACAGAATGAAGATACGCGTTTGACTTACTGCGGACATTCCCGCTTCCTCTTCAACGACCTGCGCTATATCTTTCCCAAAAGCGAGCTGCGCGGCAGCAACCAGTACAAGCGAGATGTCAAGTTCATTGCACGCGAGATGATCAGGCGCGGATATGTAAGCCGCCCAAGATCTCCCCCTCATGCCCCCCCTTCTGCCCCAAAAAATCTGTCATCGACCCCCTAAGTTATTCCCTCCCAACTAACCCTCGCCTTCCCCTAGGCCTTCGCTGCAGCAATCAAGCACGCCTTCCCCGACCACCTCCGCCTCTCGATCCACCAATCAACCGGCGAGCACAAGATCTCCGTCTCCCTGCTCCCTACCTCGACATCCTACACAACACCGTGGATGTGTGCGGTTGCGTACAATGCCGACGGTAGCCTCACCAGCGCGCCCAAGGGCGATCTGGAGCAGGATCCCAGATATGAGGCGGTCTGGAATGATATGCGAGCCAGCCACTTTGTGGAGAGGACAGAGTCGACGGAGACTGAGGGGAAGGTGGAGAAAGGTGTGTTGGAAGAGAAGTCGGGGAATGAGCTCCGCGAGGGGGAGAAGGATGGGGACAAGGGGATGAGTGGTGGGAAAGCGGTAGGCGGGCTTGAGAAGAAGCTGCCGGCGGGGCCGTGCCCGCATTGTGGCAAGGCGTCGCATGTGGAGGCGAGGTGTTTTGATAAGTATCCGCATTTGGCGCCGAAGTGGGTGCAGAAGCGGATGGCGACGACGGAAGCGGCGACGACGGAGGAGGATAAGGAACAAAAGGTGATCATTGAAGTTGAGTGAGTTTGTAGTATAGTCAAAGGAGTTTGAAGAACTAGGACTGGAACCGACACTCGTTTTCCTCAGATAGTGTACATCATCGAATGAGTTCCACCAAATTGAATGACGAGAGAATGCATAGAAGTTTGGAAAATGCTTTATTCTTCTCTCAAATCTGCCTGAAGAATCTGAAAAACAGGGATCAAGGCCCATGATTTGATTGCAGCAAAATCGGATGAAGTCAGGTTTGATTAATGAGATTCGTGCCTCAAGCAAATATATGAATCTATTGCACGAGACCATCAGTCACAGCTCGCGGATCTAGCCAGAAGCAAGATAACGAGACAGAAATTCTGGAGTCGCGTTGACCTCCCTCAAGCGACCGAATCGAGAATTTGCCATTAAATCTACTCCTATGTACCGTGTGCATGAAATTTGCATTCATTTCTCAACACTTAATCTTGTCCAGTTTTTTCGTCGCAGCAGCGAGTGTCGCAATGCCAGTGAAGGCAATTATCATGATGTATACACCCCGAAGCCCTTTCAAATATGCTTTCACTATACCAGGTACGGCATCAACAGCGAAAGTTGAATATATCTCAGTTGCACCCGCTTTGAGAACAGCTTGTGGGTCTACCGTGGGGGCCAGCGACGGCAGATCGCTCAAGAGCGAATTGTCGAGGATAGATTGGGCTGTTGCCAGAGCCAGAGCGCCACCAACGCCCAAGATGACTGTCAGGATCAGCTTTTGCAGTCCTGAAATCACAAGAACCACTTACACAGTATCATTGCTGTCGCTGAAGGTATGTCCTCAGCCGCAACATTCGCTTGACCTACGATTATTGCAAGTGGAAGTCCACTTCCGAACGCGAGGCCGGCGAAGACTTGGTAGCCTATCCATTGCGAAGCGGGAGAATCGACATCCAGCAAGTAGATCAAGCCCGTGCCGATGCAACCCCCCGCACTCGCCCACACCATCAAGGGCACAGGGTGCTGGAATTTGGAGAAGAGAAACCCCACAGCGAGGGAGCTAAGACCGCAGCTCAGAAGAAGTGGGATATTATGTACCCCTGCTTGAGCGGGTGATATGTCGCCGACGGCTTGGAAGTAGATAGGCAATACGTAGAGCAAGGTGTAAAATCCGCCCTCGAGGAGAAAGCCCCAAATCAAGGTGATGATGATGACGCGCTTCTTGAGGATATGTCTTACCATCATCGCACAGTCGTCGAGAAACTTTTGCGATAAGACGAAAACAATCACCAGCACGACAAACCCGACTAAGAGACCGATGACTTCAGACGAATTCCAAGGCTTCTTCGTACCACCAACCTGTAGGGCCCGACTGAAGCAGACAAGGGCCGCCACCGCAAGCGTGACACCGACAAAGTCCAAGTGAGAAACCTTTTCTTTGAGAGACGCGAGTTGCTTGGGTCTCGTTGGAGATTTGAAAAGCAGGAAAATGATGACGCCTGAAGTACCACCGAAAGGAAGGTTGACATAGAAGCACCAACGCCATGTAGTATGCTCTGCAAAGGCGCCTCCCATAAGCGGTCCAATGCAGTTGGCGACACTATAGACCGTGGTCACGAGACCGGTGAAGATGGGTCGAAGTTCTGGTCTGGCGATGACGGTGAGGATGGCATAACCGCCCGTTGCGATTCCAGCTCCACCTACGCCGGTGACTGCACGGCCGACAATCAGAACGGTACTTGATGGTGAAACACCTATGAGAGCGATCAGAATACTCAGGTCATGCACCACCGCGGGGGCGAGAGCCACCGAAAGAAAGATATATGGAATGCGGCGAACCGTACCTGAGAGAAGAGAGCCGATCTCGAAAATGAAGACCGCAAGGACGAATGAGTATTTCAGAGAGAAGTATTGGTAGACTTTACCCCTTCAAAGAATCCTGAGCGTGCGTTCCCTTCCATGGAAACGATCTTACGTACCAGACGGGCTGAAAGCAAGCCACTGCAAGGAAGAACGATGATCCGTACCATCCGATGAGCTCGATACCACGGAACTCGTCTGTGATTCGGGGGATAGCTGTCGCGATGATGGTCTTGAGAGAGGAACATTAATTTAGGCGAACACCATACTGACTTTTGCGACAGACAAGATGTGTGTTGTGACTGGGAATGGAGATCGGTGATGTACGAGATGAGGAGCAAGAGCTTACCATATCGAAGCCGAGCTGCACAGTGATGTTCAGAAATTGTTTTTCCGGCCGTTGAGAAGACGCTGACTTACACAGAAAAGAGCCAATGCGACGCCTGTGACGATGACAGTCCTCCTGGCCACTGATGGGTATTCCACGAAGACCTCATGGTCATCGTGCTCAGAATTGCTAGTACTTTCCGTAGTATCCAAGTGATCCTCATTGTTCTCTTTGCAGGGCTCATGGTGAAAACCATTATCACTCGGAAGAGCTTCCTTGGGGATGGACACAGGCTTTAGATCGACGTCCTCCATCTCTCAATGGTCTCAAATATGAGCAAAGTTAGGCCAAAATTTGTAAGAGTATCAAATGTCTTATGACCTCCATTAATGCTGTTACAAAAGCCCCTTTGCAATCTTTTTCATCTTATGTCAATCATTCACACAGCCAGACGACTCCAATGGTGGATGCCCCAGACATTCGGCGGACTTTTGACCGACAGCGGACGCGGAGAAGCAGCGCTGGGAGGGTGGGGGACTGGAAGACCTCTCAGGGGTTGCGAAGAAAAAAGGAGGTCACCCGCGACTCGCCTCCCAGGTGTGGGCGTGCCTGTGGTAGTGCATTTTCCCCTTACGACATGACGCACGTGTAACCCCAGACGGGACTTGACGGTCCGCTGTGCCCGCGGGCCATCAAGCTTGATGATGTTGATCTCGGACAATTAATTGAAGGTTCGTTGATCTTCCGGACAGTTGGAGAAGTGCCCGGGAACGGTTGTGTTTATTATCCGATCTTAGTCTTTTTAGTACCCGTCCATGCCTGCAAGGCTAATTTGGCTGTATTTTCCGTCTAAGGCAAGGTGTGCTCAAGAGTTTAGGAGGGTGTTCCTTTGAGAGCCCATCCATGGCCCTCGGATCTCTGTTGCTCCCGGGAGACCGAAGGGTTACTATTCTTGATCGTTCGCGTAATACCCTCACTATGGTTTCAGACAGATCACCTTGCAAAAGCGCTTGGCAATTGAGTTTCTTGTTAGTCTTCTGGTGCGCTCAGCATAGATGTGCGGTGATGGTAACGTAGCAATGACTCTTGAACCCCAAAACCGTGGACCGTACGCAAGGTTGTCTATTCTTGGTCTAGAGATGCAATCTACTCACCGTTCAGTATTGAGCGAGTGGTCTCCAGAATGACAAACTTCCGAAGATCGAGAAAGCACAGACATGTGTAAGAGACACCTGTCTCACGGACGGAAGAACAAGTGGTTTGCGAGAATTGTACAACAATCATTAAAATGGGGCTGTTGGACATGTCATTGGCTCTGTCTTTACAAAAGAACCAGGGCTATGCGAGCGTGATCCTCCTCAATCACTACTCCAAAAGAGTACACTGAAGAGGATGGAGCTAGCAGTCATCGCTCCAGCGAATGATGCAAACAAGATCGTAAGATGTGGATTATGAGCCGCAGGCGCCACTGCAAGCCCAAGCGCATTGCTGATAGCCACCGTCAACATCGTAACAGCCTGTAGGGTGGACTTCATGTGCGGTGCTGCCTTGTTGTACGCGTACTCGGATCCAGACACCGACCAGAGCACCTCTCCCAACGCGCCACTGACATAGATCGGAAGCTGCAACATCACACTCGCTTCGTTGGGTTTATTCCCATTCTCTGAAGCTGGACATTGCAAAGGCATGTTGTAGCATGGTGGGGCATTGTATACCACCTGTTGGACGCCGGATGCCAGAGCCATGGAGACTGCTGTCAGCGTAAACCCGAACACCATTCTCACGGTTGGCCGAGGGGAGAGTTTCGCTTTGTGCATATATGGATAGACATAGTGCTCCAATATCGGCACAATGATTATTACGCATATTGGGTTCAAAGTGGACATGGCGTCGTTCGGAATGCCATATGTGACCATTTGGCCGGCTTGGGATATTAGATTTGTCGTGGCTTGTGTATAGCACAACCACACAATAGGATAAATGGCCCTGCACAATCAGTAATCAATTTTGGTATACTGGAACACGAGTCTAGACTTACCAGACTTTGCAGGCTTGTAGCGCCTGGCGGAGATCTTCTACGAAGTTCTCATCCCAAGGAACAGACCGTCCATGTTTTTCGAGCTGTGCTGCTGGTTCGGCCGCGTCAAATCGAAAGCCTCCCTTGATGGCACAACCGAGAGCTCTCAATAATTTGGCGCGAAAGCTGGCTTCCGGTCTTCGACGGACTTAGGGCTAAGATTTAGCACAACCCACCTCCATCAACGAAGAGTGGACTGACAGTATTTATTGCGTCCCAGGACAAGCACCAGGGTACCAAAAGCCAGTGCTCCCAGCGCAAGCAGAAAGGAAGTCCAGAAACCAAGATATTTCTCCATAGTCGTACTTGCCAAACCTGAAAGCGCGCCAACATTTGTACACCAGTAAAAGGTGCTGTAGACCCGTCTCACGTTCACTTCATGGTCCACAATGACATGCTCGCCTGTCTCGAGAACCGAGACGCGTTTTCCGGTTTCGCGCAACTGATCGGCTTCGCGGGTCATCCACAATCAGTTAAAGACCAACCAGCTTGCAGCGTCAGGAGCACAATACCTGTGAAGGGCGCAACACTGGATTTTACTCCTCCAACACCGAGGCCTATTAGGATGAATGACGCAATAAGGCCTCCTAAGCCCGCTCCTGCTTCTATGGCCGGCGGGAGAGATGTTAATACGAGTAACAGCAAACCGCACAGGTAAAAACTTCATGTGTTAGAATGTCACCTAGTCAGCTTCTAGGAACCACCTTACCAGCAGGAGACCACAAGCGTCTTATAAGGACCCCAACGACCGTCCGCGAGTACGCCTGCCAGTACGGGCGTAGTGTAGCATATCAACTCGAGGGCGGAATTGAGAGCAGTAGCCGCCGACTGGCCCATACCCAAAGCGCCTGGCCTTCCAAAGTCTTCAGCTGGATTCTGTATGTAATTTTCTAGAAATATAGGTCAGCTAGGGTCCGTATAGTCGGAGAGCGCTCGCTTTTTTTACGCAAAGGTGATTGCATAGCGTAGAAGGCGAATCTCTCAGCCCCGGAGAAGGTCGCCACCATCCATGCAGAGTTTGGCACTTTGCTCCCTACACGTCGTAGGGTTTCCAGTTCTTCTTTAGAGGGTTCGTCGGCCTCGTGTTGTTCGGTGATGGAGTTGTGCGATGACGATGTTGCGGCCTCTGAGGAAGAAGAGTCTTGCGAGCCATCATTACTGCTTGCAGCAATGTCTTTCTCATGAGTCACGCCCATGTTATCAGCGAATGGCAGCTCGTCCAAGAGAGTGCCTGCGATGATTCTGAACTAGCTTAGCGTTTGTTGGAAACCAGCTGGGATAGTTGTTCATGAAAAGAAGGCCTAGTACGCAAGAGTAGGAATATAAGTATGATGTAGGTATGCCCTGCAAGTAAGACTTTTCATGAAGGTAAGGGAAGCGGAGCTGAGTAAGCAGAGGTAAGATGGAATGGTCTTCGATCATACGCAGCTCGAGAGAAGGGGTCGTCCTATGATGTAGCTTCCTAAATTACGGACTTGCTCTCAGATGAAACCTCTTGGTTTGACCACTATGACGATGGGTGGCGGTCTCCCCTGTGGAGCATTAGAGAGCTGTTGAGGCGAATAATCGAGGAGCCAGCTATGGCTTAGGCCGATGGATAAATTGACCTGCGCTTTCGTCCCCATAGTATGATCTACATTCAACCCCGGTATCACTGCCCGCTCATACTCTTACGTAATATGTCTGGCCAATCCGAGCTCAAACACTGTGTCTGAGCGGTAGGAACGGACCGTTACTAGGCATGGAAGGCGAAGTTGGTCGATCTCGGACACTTCGGAGGGATAATCTCACTAGCGGATTGAACAAGCATTTCAGGACTAGCCAGGCGCTTTACTTTATGAGGTTCACTCAGCTCAAGCTGACCTTCTCTGGTAAAAGCTTGTTCCAAACAATCTTCTTGTAATGAGCCGATGACGAGATATGTGAAACAAATGCTCATCTGGGCTGTAGACGCTTGATTGGGGCAACAAAAGCTTTTGCTTACAAGAAGGTAGCCGGTCAGACATTCCGGCATTTTCGGCAAGATCCTAAAAAGGAAAGGCGAGACTTGACAGTCTATTAGCTCTTGCGAGCCATCCGAACCAAAAATCTGTTACGTGATGAAGTATTTCTGTGCACACAAGAAGAGATGGAGAACAAACTTTGTCTTGCCCTGGCAGATTTCTCGTGGCTAGCACCATCGAGCTGATATTGAGCCTATGGAGCCAACATTTCTCTCAGCAGTTCGACATGATGTATTGCTGTGTCCAACTCATCAGCTTGCCGAGCAGAAACTCACAATCTCCACGGTTTCACGCGCCCACACTCTTTAGTAAAGGACAGGACGACCTTTGCAGCTTCTGACAGAAACCAACAAGCCCATGGATTCACAGATTCGTGGTCAAGAGCGGCCAAAAACCTACACCAAACCACCAGAAAGCAGAATCGTCCCAGCTGATATTGTGAATCCCAAATTCGAGGATCTCGTCGACTTGGCCCTCCTCAGAGTCTTCGATTCAGCGTCGCTATTAGAAAGTCGACCTCCGAAGTTGTTTCCGACCGCCGAGACAGTGTTCGCAAAATACTACGCCCACGATGACTGGCTCGTGCACGGAGATCTGGAAAGCGAGATGGGAAGAATGAACTACATGCTCTCGAAATTGCCTGAGCGAGGCATGCCAAGCGAATGCATCGCCCCTGTCCGATCTATCTTGTCCTCAGCCTCAGTATTGACTGCTTGGCGACGGACGTTTCCTTGGCTCGAAAGAATCATCAAGCAAGAAACGCGACGCGTCACAAGTCTGATGCAGAAACAACAAGGATCGCCCACTGCGCCTTGCCAGAAGTCGAGGTTCATTGCCGTCCCAGTCGACTATGGGACGGATCGTGCTGCCTCCAGTCAAGCTTTGCAGCTCTGGGAAGGCGCTTTGAGGGAGATTGTCATTGGGATTTCCGAGGGTCACTTCGAGCACGTCAGGACCTTCTTGCAAATCTTCACTTTCCTCAAAGATCCGCTGGGGTGCTTGGAAAGCGTCTCCAGCAAAGCGGTAGACATTTTTACCTATATGATGACTACTCTAGCCAGCTCGAGGAGCCACATGCCCGGCACTGTGTTGAAGAAACTGCGGTGGCACGCGGCAGCGGCACAAGCAGCACAAGAGGCCTTGTTCCTCTCCTGTCCATTATTGGAGTCCGTCAACTACATCCATTTCACTGGCCACCAACAACTGCCCTATGGCGATGTGCCACTAGACGATTTACCGCGATCGGAATTTTCCATTCCAGGACATGTCCTCCGCATCATCGAAGAGATGCTCACTAGGGCCCCTCGCAAAACGGGGGCTACTGTTCCATCGCCCCGATCACAGTGTCATCCTACCCATCCCTTCCAATAGAAGCAGGAAAACACATGACCGTGATCATCGACGGCAACCACCGCGCAACCGCAACCATGGTCTTACGCCTAATCGCCGAGCGTCCAACCGCCCTAACTACCCCCGACCACGCCGTGGAGCTCGACGCCTTCTGCACCTCCCACGGCCTCGGGCTGAAATGGAAAGTCGATCTTGCCGAAGTCCTCGCCGCCATCCGCGGTAGTCGCTGTGCTGCATTAGTATGGAGCAAAATGGGGCTGGTAGAGCGATTTCGTGATGTACAGACCATACCCGCCCTCGTTGTTCGAGAAGACCATTTCCATACGGCATGCCAGCAACGACCGGCTCTCGAAGGTCGTCCGAGACTTTTACTCCCTATACATCAGGCGCTGTACAATGATGAGAAGTTGAGTCTGGCTTTCCCGCAGGCGGGGCAGGTTCATGGGCGGGCGGTGGGGTTTAAGGCTATGCCTCTTGTGAAGGAGGGGATGTGATGTGTACTAGTCGTAGTGCGGCAGCCTATTATTGGGGGAGTGGTAAGGGTCAGGTCTGCCTGCCAGATATTTGAGGGAGCCGAAAGTAGATCTATACTGCTCATTGTAGGAAGTTGAAGCTTTGGGATCATGGTCCGCAGCCTGACTGCGTATATATTTGCCATACTATTACAAACCTACTTTGGGCTAACGTCGAACCTGCTCCGAAATTCTCTCGTCTAGCATCGAGCCTTTCTTACAAATGGAGGCGCAATTCTCAAAATTCCACGATTCTGATACTGCCATGCCCCTCATGACAGATTTTTTGAGTACCTTCAGCGGAGGCTTTGCGTTGACGATGTGGCAAAGATAGCCATCGAAAGTGTTCATCAGGCAGCATTTCAAGACCGATCAATGTTACGCCATTCGTAATGGAAGTCGGTTCTATGGTACCAGAGACTCCGCGAGCTAGGATATCGATGATGATCTTCCGTCCGCGGAGCTTTACGGACCGATTAGTATAGCAAACAATTGGACCGGGCGTTTTCCGAAAATGGCTTACAGGGAAATCCCGTGGCCCATAGAAGTCGAATGTTCGATGTGACCGTGGAGCTACTATGGTATAATGCTATTGTATCAGAATGACAAGGTACTCGAAATCATCGAGTTCGGGATCGACGCGCTCAAATCCCTGTTGAGTCCCAAGGTCACAAATCTTCATGCTATGACGCAGGACGCCCTATCCAGACTTCTCGATGATAAATCTATCAGTAGAAGCAGAGATGGCTACAGACGAAGACGCAAATGATTTGCATAACATAGTGCCAGCGTCGTAAGCAAATCGCTTGACTCAACGTACCGATTCAACAAAAGACGGGCTTCCCACCATTGAGCCCTAACGATTCAGGACTGAACTTAGAACGTTTGCAAGGCGAGAAAAGCTGCGAGAGACGCCAACTTTGTGACCATCCTGCTCCGACGCTGTGATCTTCCCTCAACTCCAGAAAGCGTAGTAGCACATGCACAGCAGCATCAACGCATCACTATGGCTACCACCGAGCCATATGGCCGGCGGCTCATTCCCAACATTATCGACGAGCGAGCTCGCATCGAGCCTGAACGTCCTGTCTACTCTATCCCTTCTATGTCACAAAGTACGCGCCTTGAGCTGATGAATGACACAAATCCTCCCCTGACTTCTTGCTAGCTGTTCCAATTTCTTCGAGCGCGGTCTCACAAGAATTCACCGATATCTCTGCTCGCGAGTTTGCCGATGCAGTTGACAAGGTCGCTTGGTTGCTTGATGCTGAAGTAGGGAAAGGCATATCTTTCCCGTCTGTTGGCTACATTGGTCCACGTAAGTTGCTGCGGGGGAAGTCATGTCTCGAATTGCTTTTGCTGAGTCGTAGATAGATGATATAAGATACGCTCTGGTGGTCATTGGATGTATCAAGGCTGGATACAAGGTACTCATACCAACCAGGAGAGTGCTATCAGGACCACGTCGATTGACTAATGTGTTAGGCCGTCATTATCTCTCCGCGCAATAGTATTGAGGCAGATCTGGCACTCCTCGAGGCAACTGACTGCAACATCTGGTTGCTACCTAAAACCCATCCTGAGTTACAATCTCAGATCCTGGCTCGCCGACCTACGAAGGTGCTGACGATTCCGGAAATCGACGAGCTTTTGGAAAGCACGCCAGTCCCTGGGTTTCCGTACAACAAGACATTCCAAGAGGCTTCATCGGAGCCGTTCTGTGTCCTGCACACTTCCGGTTCGACGGGTAATCCGAAACCTATCATCTGGAAGCACTCGATGCTTGCTACCCTGGATGCCACGCGCCTGCTTCCAAAGCATCTTGGTCGTCCTCCATGGGTGGTGGTTTTTGAGGAAGGAGATCGGTTCTACTCATCCTTTCCCTTCTACCATGTACGTGATACCAGCTCTAGTTTTCTCTCGGCAGCCCCAGTCTGATTGATTTCTGCGCTAACCCACTCGCTCATTAGAGCGCAGCGATGGTGATGAATGTTTTGATCAATGCCTTTTACGGCACCTGCAACGTGCTTGGTCCTGCTCATGTCCCTGCCAGTCTAGCTCTGATCGACTCACTTCTCGATCACGCGAAGGTCAAAATTTGGCATATCGTCCCTTCCATCGTTGATGAGATTGGGGAAACCTCGGCGATTCACGGGAAGTTCAAGGACGCTAAGATGATCATCGCATCTGGGGGTAACCAAAGCATCCATTCTTTGAGGAGTATTGACTGACTCCAAAAAGGTCCTGTCGGATATGACAGCTCGAACAAGGTGACGCCTTCAGTACGAGTCATGAACCTTACAGGCACAACGGAAGGTCTCTTTATGGGAAGCCTGCTGGTCGAGCGGGAAGACTGGATCTATTTTGCTTTTCACCCATATGCCAATTTCGATTTTAAAGAGATCGAGCCTGGGGTCTTCGAGCACTGCATCGTGCGGGACGAAGGCAAGGTTGGCTTTTTCCAAGGCATCTTTCACACATTCCCAGATATACAAGAAATGTCACTCAAAGACCTCTATGCCCGACATCCGACAAAGCCTGGCCTTTGGATATACAGTGGGAGAACGGATGATGTAGTTGTGCTATCGAACGGTTACAAGATTCACCCCAAAGATATGGAAGCTATTATCAACAGCCATCCAGCTGTCAGCGCATGCCTAATAGTCAGTCTCAATCTCCGCCCAATATTCACTTTCGTATTAGCTCTGATTCCCCGTCTGCAATACATTTGCTGATGATACAAAAGATTGGGACCGGATACTTCCAGGCCTCGCTTCTCGTTGAACTGGTGAATCCCCGAGCAAGGTCGGCGGAGGAGCACCAAACACTCCTAAACAGTATCTACGAGACAGTGAGGCAAGCTACCAAGTCTAAACCTTCGTATGCAACTATCACAAAAGAGCACATTCTGTTTGCGAAGCCTGACATGCCGTTCGCTCGAACTGATAAGAGCACGGTCAAGCGTCGCATGACCGAGACTCTTTATGGATCCGAAGTCGAGCAATTTTACGAGAGGCTGGGAAGAGGAGACGCACCAAGCTTCGAGACAATGATCGACGCTACATCCCTCGAATCAACCGCGCAGGACATTCAGAGACTTATGATGATATCGCTCTCTTCAGATAAAGAGGTAGGGCTCGACGACGACCTTTTTGGCGCAGGTCTCGACTCTGTGCTTTCTGTCCGCGCCGTCAGATGTCTTAGGTCAGCAGCTGAGAGATACATCAAAGACTCAACCCTGAAGTCGGCATTTGCACCGCATTTCGTATATCTGAACCCTACCATCAATCAACTCGCAAGCGCGTTCTTCAACCTGGTGAATGATGTTAAGGGGGCTCATAAAAGCCCGGTCGAGATGCAAACGGAGAAATTGGAGGAATATCGAGCTAAATATACTGCGAACCTGCCACAAATCTCGGGTGCTCGTTCTCGCCCTCCCCCTTGGACAGCAACACTGTTATTCTGAGTGGGAGTACTGGGTCCTTGGGCTCATATATATTAGAGGCTCTGCTTCGCCAGGCAAATGTCGGACGGATATTCTGCCTCAATCGGGCATCTAACGGCGCGGAGAAACAAACTCAAGTCAACAAAGCTCGGGGTTTGACAACCGACTGGCCCGCAGAACGCGTACAATTCTATCAAGTCGACTTCTCAGAGCCTAAGTTCGGGCTCGATGATGAGCCGTATGATATTCTATTGCAGCAGACCACGCATATCATCCACTGTCAGTGGCCAGTGAACTTCAACATGAGCATCGTGTCCTTTGAGCCGCAAGTCCGCGGCGTTCGGCATATCATTGATTTCTGCCTGCGAAGCAAGCGCTCGCCATTCCTGTTCTTCGTGTCAACCATGGCCACCGTCAGTCATCTGAAAGATCGTGCGGAGGTGCTAGAGGCGCCGGTCGATAGCTTGACGACTGTTCACGGCGGCTACGGCGCGTCAAAGCAGGTGTGCGAGCTCATACTGCAGGATGCTTACGAACACAGCGGATTGAACGGTGCGATTTGTCGAGTGGGACAGGTGGCTGGGCCCGTACTGCGGTCGGAGGGTATGTGGTCGAAACAAGAGTGGGTCCCTACTGTAAGCTGACCTTGCTTTATACCCACGCGAAGAGTTGCTCAAGCTGATGACTTTTAGATCATCAGAAGTTCAAAGTTCCTTCGTTCGCTACCCGCCACCTTGGGTTCCATGAACCTAGTCGACTGGATTCCCGTTGACCTTCTCGGGAACATCGTCGTCGAGCTTGCTGCAGCAGCGGAGCTCCATCATGAACGACAAGATGGCTTCCATGAGGTGGAAGTCGAGCTCGAAAAGACGATACCAGTCTATCACGCCGTCAACCCCGAGTTTTCAATGTGGGACGAGCTGGTCTCTGTCGTTAAGAACAGCTTTAGCGACCCCGATGTCAAAGTTGTTTCCTGGGCTGAGTGGGTTGCTATGCTTTCCAGCTCACAGCCTCAGACTGTGGATGTTTCGCAAAACCCTGGGCTCAAATTACTGGACTTTTTTGATGCTTTGAGACGCGATGCGGAGGCCGGCCTGATGATGCCGAGACTGGAGACGGAGCGCTCTGAAATGAAAAGTGGGACTTTAGCTGGGTTGAAACCGGTGGGCACTGTGTGGATGGAAGCTTGGATGAAGCAATGGGCTTTCTGAACTGGGCGAGGCACCCATGAGAGAGATCGGTGACTTCTTGACAATGAAAGCGATAGCATTCCTGAGCATGAATGATAGTATCATCTCGAAGTGATGTAAAGACAGTCTTTTTGACCATCTTGAAGCTACATTGCAGCAGCGATTATTGATCATTTAGCTAGCTCATTCATTAATAAGGTTGGTCGAATTCATGAAGCCGACCGACTGACGACAGTGTGACACATGCTTTATTCATGGCGCAGTGTTACTCAACTACTTCATACTAGTAAAAGGCCTCCTCTGCTGCAAATAGCCCTCCACAGCCGTATACGGCGCATCTTCCCAGCCGGGCTTCCCACCCGTCGCCGCCTTGACATCAAGCGCATTATACCTCGTATCCCCCCCACCGCGGCATCCTTATCCCAAAACGGCTGCAACCAAGCCCAATCTCCCAAGCCCACACTCGGCACCTTCAGCGACCCAGTCGTCTTGGGCGCATTCACCGCATCGTCGAGCCTGTAGTCCGTCGTGACGGCTTTGCTAGCCTCGTACGCGGGCACATCGCCCGGGATCAACAGCGGGCCCATTTTGAAGAAGGTGCAGATCTCTTTGACGCCGGTGTCGATGGCGAAGGGGGGAGAGAGAGCTGCTGGATGGGGAGGAGGGCGGTGTAGAGATTGAGAGGGGTGAAGGGGTCGAGGATGCCGACGAAGGTGGCGAGGTTCTGCATGCGCTGTGTGGAGTAGGGGACTGGGTCGCTGATATCGCCGACGTGTGGGTCTGCGTAGAACGGTTGTAGAGTCACGTCTTGAGGCATGGAGCGAGATGGGTCGCCGGCGATGGTAGGGTCGTCGGCGGCCGGGGGTGGTAGGTGTAGAAGTCGTTCCAGTTGACGTCGACGCCGTTCTTGAGGTCTGGAGCTGTGGTGAAATAACCATATAGGCCGTCGTACACCTGTTTGGGAGTGTAAGAGATGGTCAGACTCAACTCCCATGTTGACTTACATTGTCTTTGTCGCCGATCTTGAGGCCGAAGTTGTAGCTTGTCAAGTCTTTAGGACTGACTTTGTTTGCAACAGTGCTCTTGTTCTTCAGAGGAGACTCAGCCAGCTCGAGGTTGATGCCAAATGTTGTTAGAGCAAGAGGCCGGCCGAGAACGCTGAGCATTGAGTCCGCATACGATGAAGGTGTTGCTTGGATCGCTTCCGTCACCTCTGTAAGCGTCCTGAAAACGCCTTGCAAGTAGCCTGGTCGAACGAACTGCGTCATGAAGCTCTTCAGCACGGGATCAAGGCTATTCAGCAGTGTCTGGTCTTCCGCAAATGGTCTTTTGAGCGGATACTTGCTTTCGACAGCATATTCACGCACAAAGCGTCCTGCAGAATTGGTAAGCAGGTATTGCAAGTCAGAAGATGGCGCCTACCGTCGAAAGTAAACACTTGCAAGCTTCTATTGGCTTGGTTGATAACGAGCCATCCTCTCACTGGGTTCTCCCACTCATCAAGAGACCTCCAGGTAGGAGCGGCATCTTCTGTTAGGAAGTGCGCATTGACACGTGCGTTTTGGTTGATGCTCGGCGGCAGCTGTATGAACGGACATTTTGTATCGCCGTTTTGACGCGGGAGTACAATCTTCGGTGAACTGCCATCGTTCGAATAGTCCACCGAGTATGAATCCCCTAAACATGGAAATAACGGAGTTGGAGTTGGACCAATGCCCTTCCCTAAATCGGAGTATGTCTGAATCCCTTGCACAATCTGATTGAATTTGTCGATAATATTGAGCTTTGTAAAGCGCAGCTGTCCATGAATGCACGGCTTAAACGGGCTGTACTTATTCGGATCTGCGGGGATATCAACTAGGGAAGCGAAGGGCGTCTTCGAAGTTGCGCCCGCCATTACTGTAAAGTCTTCAGGAGCGCTGAAGCCAATGTTGGCGCCTGGAGCACCAGGCAGCATTTGAGGGCCTGATGTGGTGTTCTTCACTGGTAGCGTATGTAAGCCTTGAACACAAGTGACTAATTGCTCGGTAAGACCTGTCATCGGGCTGGAGAGAAAGTCGAGTGAACTTGCTTGTTTGATCAAGTTGTCCCGATCTGAGGTTGACATCGGATTGTCTGGGTCTTTTGAGAATATCTGCTTGAGAGTGGCGGCTAGAATTGAACCCGCCTGAGGCAAGATGGGACAGCGCCCCTTTAGGAGACGAAAGTCGCCCTGTGTATTGGGATCTGCCGGATTTGAGTCTGGGGTAAGGCCGTAACCATAGCGAGCGTCCTTCCCTCTGGCGGTGAACTGCCACTGATCGAAAGGTATGTGATAGTATTCCGCTTCCCACTCGATGAAAAGCGGGAACCAGCCATTCCGCAAACTCTGTGTGTCTTGTCCACCTGTGCAATTATTGATATGTCAGCTTCCCTACATATAAACAGTCATTCTAGATATGAGAGTGATTCAGGGATAAGCAGTACATATCCGCCATCCGCGAGGGTCACTCATCGTACTACCGGACAACCACTCCTTTCAACGTAGTCAAGGACTGAGCTAACTCACCAAAGTACTTAGGCGTACTCCGGAACGGAACTTGTCCGATCGAGCCAAATTCCCCTTCGCTGATGATCTTGGATATCGTGTCATTCAATGCAGTAGGTAGCTTTCCCGTCGGCATATCAGATGGTTGAAATCGTGGAAACTTGGGGAATCCCATGGGTTCCCCTCCCATGAAATTCTGCGGATTGATCCTTACTTGGAGGTTCTGGTCCCAATCGCTAGGCCATTTCGAAGAAAGTCCAGCGAGGAAGAGTGTCGGATCCCGCTGAATGTAGAAGGATGGGTGCTGGCCAACTTGCAGCAGTCCCAGCTTCGCCTTCTGAGTCGCAATCGCAGCGTTCAAGGTAGCAATGGCACCAACATTGCCGTTCTTGTAATCGGCATTAGCCTTGATACGCTTCTGTAAGTCTGGCACCTGATTGATTGCCGTGTTAAATGCTGACACTTGGGTATTATCTTTGTCTGCAACATACGTCCACCAAGCGCAAAAGAGTTCGCATTTCAGGCGTTGTTGTTCACGTATAATTGCGTTGAGTCGAGATTGGATCATGTTGAGCGTGCGGAGATCCAAAGCTTGCTGTGGCGTTGGTATCACCGGTTGCGTAGTAACTTTCGAGTCATCCGGTGCTTTAAAGTGCCAAGCTGCTCCTCCCGCGGAAGGTACAAAATTGTTCGTCGCGAGGAGGTCTGCGTATGATTTAGTGATTTAGTCATATAAATCAGGGCAGCGACGACTTGAAAATCGAGCGACTCGAGTCTTGATGTCCGCAGAAGAGAGAAAAGGGACGTACCTTCGGCTGAAAATTGCGAGTCAATGTTATCGTTGTAGTCTAAAACCAGCGTCTGGATCTTGAGAAGCGATCGTTTGATGTCGTCGGTCGACTTAACTCCTGTATCCTCAGTCGACCTCAACCAGCCAAACAAAGCATCGATCGGATTTGTTCCCACAGAAACAGGATGTGATGTTACTAAGGACTTCTGGAGCACATCCGCAGGGGTGACGAAGTCAGCTCGAACTGCTTCCTCACTCTTAGGATTACTCCAGGTAAGATTGAACATGTTTCCGTAACAGAGTGTCCGCATACTAGCCTGAGTTGCTGGGTTCAAGGCTGCATCTTTCCACGTAGTATCATCGCTGTTGAGCTGGTTATCAATTTTCAAAGAACAAGCATCTAGTCTTTGCTGAGGAGTTTGGCCTTTGTCATAATTCATGTCAAGGAACAAAGGGTCATCTAGAGTACGGGTATGATAGCCAACCACGGTGTAAGAAATCGACCCTTGGCAGAAAACAGCATCTTGTCCTCGGACGCTAAGATCATCGAAGAAGGATAAAACAGAACTGTTTTGAGGCTGAAAATCTGGAAAGTAGGGATTCCCGACTCGTTGCACAGTGATTGGCGTTGGATTACTTGGGGGTTGGTTGTCGTTACCATCCCAGCCAGGAGGCCCATTGATCCAAGAGGCTTTGCCCATGAACAGCTGACCTTGCTCGCTCAATGGCGCTGAAGTGTTGACGAATGGTGTAGCACTGACTTCAATGTCTTCAGTCGGTGGGATAGCGGTCTGGTCGGTGATGCTACGGATACGATCCTGGGTTTGGGTCAGATTGAAATCCGTTTGACTCCAAATGGTTTCTGCCTGACGTTGCAGACTTTTTGCGAAAGGGGTTGGATAGGATGAACTCACGCTTTCCACCATGAAACAATCTCTCACAGCGGCGAACTCGGATGCATTGGAGTCATAAAAGGTATACTGCCTTTCAGTCCCGTCTGACTTATTTTTGATCCAGATCTGGTTGTTGTACTTGGTACCTCGAGCTCCTCGAACAGTTCGCCAGACAAACCAACGATTGGGGATAGGACGAAACAGCGGTTGTCCTGGCTGAATGTTGTTTTCGGGATACCCAGCAAGCCTTGCTTGATCTGTCATGCTTTTCTTACTGTCCGTACTGTCCGACGCCGCGAGTCCAACACGGTACATCTTAGGAAGACTCCAATGGAGGTATCTGCCACTGTCAGACGATGTCAAGTGTTAGGGCAATGGATTAGCATACACGCCTTGGCGTCGCTGTTGCTTACGAGTGCGATCCACGGCACCCATATAGGGTGCACTCTTGTGATGCTCAAAGATGTCATTCTGAAGATTCCTGCTGTCAAGCTGCAATCCCTGGAAGTTCGGATCGTTGAATGGCGCGAGATAGGCTCGCTCCCGTGGATCACTTTGCGACTCATATTGTGGCCCAGAGTTGAGATAGGCATCAAGCTTCATGGGCACCCATACCTGATTAGACGTCATCTCTTTTGCAAACGATGTTCAGTGTTGAACCAGCAACTACGATCTGAGATAATCGTGGATGATGAGCGCTGCAGTCCGCCAAGGAAGACTGCCTTTTCCGCCAAATTAACGAACTTCTCCTTCTCCGGGCAGCGGTGGCGGTTGAGTTTTCGATGGTGAAGCCCGTTTGACCCAAGCTAAATGTTGGTGGCATGGCACTAATCCAACCACTTTGGTGTTGCATTAGCGTGCGAATTCAATCTGCCGCTATGAACAACGCCGTTCGGAAATACGCGAGCTCGCGAACCGCAATACATGGCTTGCAGTAGTGGGAGCCCAGCTACGTGGCAGTCACCCGCACTGTCAGGACACAGTGGTCTGGTCCTGCCTGGCCAGATCTAGTTGATTGCCAAGTTCAACCGAGCTGGTGGCGTAGAAAAGTGGCTTGCATGTCTTGGTCACATTGTTGACATCTCGTATTGCGTAACTTCCCCAGTTACTACACTAATCAGCATGACTACAGTGGCATCTCGTGAATCTCAGCGCGCACTAGTGAAACCCGTAGCTTGGCCACGGTAGGGTCGAGGTCTCTAGTTCAATTTTCGTTCTTTCCACCGGACGAGGATCTCTCTGCCTCGCATGCACGGCTGGGTCGCGAGTTTGATCTATGCAGAACGCGCATGCAGTGGGCCACTTAATATTGGATCTTTTCATGGAACAATTCTGTCATCTTCTTAGGATTCGAGCCTAAAGACATGAAGCTAGTGAAGTTTTGGGGTAATCCTCGAACTTCTTACGTCGACACCGTACGTAATCACATTGGTGTACGTCCCAACCGAATAGCTTGAGCCATCATGATTCGTGTACTCTTCGTAGATTGGCATCTGGAAGTTCACCGCACTACTACCTGCTCCAAGATAATTGGGTTGTAAGCCTTCAAAGCAGTTGACTTGTACTCCCTCGACCACGATGCTGGCGTCTTTGTGCCTGAGTAGATCCCACGCGGGAACAATGGGGTAGTCAAGACCGCTTTTGTTGTTTGGCCATAGATCAATAGTGAAAGTGGCTGGCGTGTTACCTTTAGCCGCTGTATATGACGTTTGCGCTCTCCAGCGACATCCTAGGCCCACAGTACGGACTTTGGGAAGTATGACGCCGTACGCCTTCGACCCGCTGGATGCAGGCTGAGCTGGCCACTCACCTAAAGCATTCGGTGTCAAGGTGGAAGGCGGCTTGTTGTCTGGGAACGGCGCAAGTAGGGTTGTTGGCGTGTTACCAGGGGTGCAAGGTCCGACCGATATCCAAAAGGAGAGCCTTGACAGATCGTAGCGTGATGTTGCGAGAGATTTGGTGTCAATTTGAAGGTCTGTCTTGAAGCCTAATGATAAAGGATAGAGTGACACCAGTCCAATTTGGTATGGCCCAGAGTCCGGATTGGTCGATTGTGCAAAACGTAAATTGTATACATCTGTGCTAAGCTGGCATTGCTGGCTTTGAATATACGGAGTGTTTTTTCGACGAGCTTGTCTGACCTCTGGCGCTTGCAGTTTTGGCCCAGGATTAAAGATATTCGGTATCTGATATAGAACGAAGAAGGTTCCAATCACAATATTGTCCTCGGTTACCTGAAGGTCTGTCTTTGCTAGAGCTCTGATCATTTGGTTGACGGGCGTAGCATAGGTAGGTAATTGAGAGGCTCCTTCGACAGACCGCAGTGGACGTCGAGCAGGCGCGGGCTTCAGGGCTGGAAGTACCCGTTGCTTTGAAGTGATAAGGCTAGCTGGGGCGGCTATGGTCCTTTGAGCACCAGGTTTCAGCATATTCAAAGCAGGAACGGATGCAACTAGCTGTGCAGCAACGAAAGCTGCCCTCGCATACTTTGTCGAACCGAGCTGGGAAGCAGAAGACGCAACGTTTGCCAGAGACTGCGGATACAATGCCCGGGAGTTGCTGTCAAAGTAATCGCTCACAGTAGCTGGATCGATGAGTATAGTAGGTCGAGTGTTATTGTATTTGCTGCTGATGCCACTGGTCGCAAGGTCTGAGAAGACCGGTTTCAGTACAATCGTTAGTGTTTTACCACCATTCAATCCATCGTCGTCTCCAACGATGGACGTGAGCTGGTGCTCTGGAGGGCTAATCGTAATGCCAAGGTCGGAGAAGTCACCTGGCTCGCGATCGAAGAGCATCAACAAGAGGTCGGTATCAATTCTTTCATGACGTATCACCTCCAATTGTACACCTTGTTTCTTGGAGTCGACAAATGGTGCAGATAGACGCATATCCGGAAACTTGGTGACAAACTCTGATCGCAGTAGTATGCCCCATTTCGGGACTTGTGGTACAAAGCCTTTGCCTGCGCCAGACAGTAGAGGCTCGGACACGTACTTGTGTAGGCTCAACTTGAGCGCTTCTCGGACATCATCACCTTCATCAAAATGTTCACAAATGGAGAGAGCGCCGTCAGTGAAGGTTTTGAACCAATTTTGATCGACATAAAAAGAACGGACAGTCTCATTCGGTATGAAGCCTGGGTCAGAGACAAGATTCGCGAATGGAAGTCCAAATAAATACCAGCGATCCTGATCGTAAAACAGCGTGATTAGTAAGAGTTCAAAGATAATGCGTAAAGCCAGAAGAACAAGCTAAATATAATGGAAGGGCCGTGAGAAACTTCTGCGATGTTAATGGCATGTGTGTCAGAACTTTGCAAGTTCGAGTCCACGCGTGTTTGCGCCTTCACTCTACTCGAAGAAGGAATGATCTTGACTTACCATTAGCCATTGCAAGACCGTAGCATAGTCGGTCGACTGAGGAACATTGTACTCGTTAAACTTCGTTTCGGTGTCAGCGGGAACTTGGGAATTCGGTGCAGGCTTCTGTGACTGCTGTGAGGCAGGCACGGCCTCGGCCAAGACTGAGATTCCTTGCGATTGAAGCTGTTGCCTGTACGTCGTCTTGACAATAGAATCGGTAAAAGCATAAAGCTCACGCTGATTGTAGCCTAATGGTTGGGTCGACCACCGTTGAGACTTGAAGGCAGACTGCGTGTTGAGTCGAGTGACTACAGTACTATTCGCGGTGGCAAAGGCAGCAGGCGCTGAGGCTTTAGCAATGAAGACGCCTTGAGCTGTTGCTTTAGCCACCTTCGCGTCGTCGAGAAACTTGTCGTGAACCCCTTTCCTCAGTCGCATCAGCGCAGATGAGAAAGCTCTATCCGCGACAGCCATCGTCTTGCCGAGCTCCCAGGCGATCTGGAAAGTCAAGTCCATAAATCCCGATTGCTCGTCTACTATCGCTAAGTCTGTGCCGTAATCTGACGGCGGAAAGTCGAAATCATCGTACTTTGTAGGTGTCAGAAAGCCGCGTTGAAGGGCAATCGTCGGCTCTCCGGTGGGCGTCCTATACCTTAGTAGACTATATCCGCTTAGCATTTTATCCTTGGTCCAATTGTCCTGAGATGTCGACGTGTATTTCGCGAGACTATCTTGTGCTTGTACCTTTTGAAAGGAAGCATCTAGCGGTCTTAATGGTTGCACCGTGTCACCGAGGGCTTGTAAGAGCTTCTGGGCCGAAAAGGATTCGGACGGGAGATACGTAAAGCTCCAACTGTAGAGACTCGTGAGGACAGCGGGCTTCGTGCCATCTCTTGTGACATTACTGTTGTCGAACAAGCCCTGAAGTGAGACGACATGAGCGAACGCGGTTTTCGGTGATGTAAGGTCATATGGTCCAATTCTGGGCGAATTGATGGCTGCGAGGTCATAGACGCCTGGGTCGTCTGTGTTTGCCATACCTGTCGTATTGAAAGTGCGGATGTGACTCATCAACTTGAAGCGGACGGGATCCGGAGCATCAGTACTCTTAGCATCCTTGCCGGCAAAGAGACTAGCGAACAATGCTCCTTGTAGCACAATGATTTCGACAGGTGTGACATCCGTTTTGAGGGCTTGGTCTGTGAGTGAGGTAGGCTGCGTTGCAACTCCGTTCAATTTCTGTATGTCCTGCGCTTTGAGCTTGTATGATAATGTTGATGTCTGGTTAAGCGCATTTCCACCGTTTGGAGCCAATTTCTGATTGAAGGCCGTTTTCTGAGCCTCGGTGATAGACAGCTCATCTGCTGTGAACACAAGAAGCGCCAGCCATGGTGTCTGATCACTAGCTGTCTCAGAGGTCCGAACCTTGAGTAGCCTGCAACAGCGCTTAGCTTCTACCGCAAAAATGAAGCAACGCGCGTCAAGCATTGATTGGATACCCAGATGTGCTAGGGGACATCTAGAGGATAAGAAAGCGGGCTCACCACGGTGCATTCTTGTCATCGAATAGGATATGAGGAAGTGCATCTAATCGATGTCAGCTTGCGGGCTCAGACTGAGAGACGCTCGATATGAATTTGCAATGCTTGGGTTCTGGAACGGTGTCACGTCTTTCCGCCTGACGGCATGGAAGAAGACAGGTTTGGGTTGAGATGGACTTCGTTCTTACTCCAATAGATACTATGACCCGGAGGCGGATATACCGAGTGAATACTTGAGGGATCAAGAGCGTAGGGCGAGACTGGGGAGTTGAACGTCTTCTTGGACTTCAGGTCGGAGTAGTGAGCAGTTTGGTTACCCTTCGTGACCGACACAGACTGAGTGAATGTAGCAGTATATGTGACATCGCTTGTTAGGTCCGGAACAGAGGACGAGTGAAAGCAAATATATCCCGGTGGAAGTTGGGTGTTGCTGGAGCTACTATATCCAGTCGACAAACCGTCTGGGGCTCTTAGGATAAGAGAGCGGGATGTCACCATGATGGAGTCAAGACTTTGCAGTGAGCGGATCTTAGAAGTCTCTGTTTGGTGTTCTGGCGAAATGGACTACAGGATCACTCCTCAGTCCCTGGTGTACACAACGATCACCATGCGTACAGGTCCAGCGTTGTGTGGGGTCACTCATGGCAGGCAACTCGGACTCAGACTTCCGTCCGAGACGCTCTTTGTGATTAGCCCCTCGATTTTCTGCTCTCTTGCCTTTCGCTCTCTCTTCCTCGCTTGTTGGCCATCGGCACTAACCCCGCCCTGGTACGGAGGGTGTCCACCATTTTGGTGGCGTGGCCCAGCCCGACTGACGATGGCGAAAGTTCGTACCTGGCGATGTGCATGGCGTAGAGTAGACTTGTTAGGTCATGGTATTCTCGCATGTGGATGACAAAGAGGATCAGGAGATGAGGGGAATTTGCAACACCGCGTCCGGCGCTAACCTAAAGGGTGATAGCTTGAGGGCCGATGGCTTGGCCCTAGCACTAGTCGAAAAGAACAATACGGAGCTAAAATAGCGCTTTGCGGAGTAGCGGTATCATATAATTTTCAGCTGCCTGCATGTCAGCCACTTCCATCAACGTCCACAGAGGGCATGCGCTTGTCGAGTAGGCTTGGCTAGTCGAAAAAGTTAGGCAAGATCCCCACTTCACCTGAAGGCCTACGTTCTAGGCTTCTGGGGCGTTGCTATGGACTATGCCATTCCAGCGGGATGCAACCCCCCTTGGTACCATTGCTGGCGAGCATTGAGCGCTGATCAAGAACTTGTTTGAGAGATCAGTGGTTGATACCGAGACTCGAGTCATAATGATGCTCTATCTACAGTGAAGCTATCAAAGCCAGCGATGTCGACGTATCAGGTGACGCTATACCAGCTCAATGCTGGGCTGGACACAGCCGGCGACAGCGCAATTGCGCTTTTGGCAACCAAGACTACCGGTGCTACCAAGCCCAAGATCAAGAGTGCTATACTCATAGACGGTGGCATGGGAGCCAATGTCGCGGTATCGATGAAAACAACGATTAAGGAGATCAAAGCAGACTATGACATTCCCGGTGACAGAGAGTTCAAATTTGACGCAGTCTCTTTAAGCCATTGGGATCAGGTGAGTACCCTGCATCAAAAGTCTCTTGCACACCTCTGACGCGAGCAAAAGGATCATATCTTGTAAGTTGCTACTGCCTAAGCATTGTTGCATACGTGACGTCCACCTAGGGGATTGTTCTTCTTTCTTGCAGACAAGTCTCTTTGGGAAGCGACGACGACCAAAGGTGAGGGCCAAGAGTGGGACCCTAATGACGCCGCAAAACCAGACGCGACGAAGCCAGCAAAGTGTTTCAAGTATTTCAAGTACGACAAAGATGGAAACCCTCTGACGAGGCTCTACACGCAATCGTGGGGATTAGACAGCTATAATGATGGTAAACCTGCCCAGCTCGTGCCCAAGGAGACTAAGAATCCAGCTTGTCAATTCCATAGAAATGCAGCCAGCATTGTCACCGAGCCACATATTGTCAATGTGACATGCTATGACAATCCAGGGGACAAGACTTATAAACTCAGGGAGAAGGTCATATGGTCTTATCAACGAACGGACCTCTTGATGGGCGTTGACTTTTTTTCGGGTACACCCGGTTACGTTGCAGCGAATCGAGGCTGGTGGGAGCTTTTGACATCTCCGCAAATGTTGATCGATGCAAATGATTTGAAGGGAGCCCCGGGACTATACGTTGGTCAGTCTTTTCACTCTGCTTCCATGCAAATGCAGCAACTTGGCTTTCCAAACTGCCTAAGCTCGGCGTGATTGTCGCTTTTTGTCTGCATTTAAAACCCCGCTGACCTGTCCTCGTCTGCGCATAGTCTCGGTTCATGGTGAGATATTGGGTGTCAAATCTAAACCTGATAAAGCGAGATATCGGTCAGTGCGTGATGTCTCGAGTGGTAGTGGTGACGATGACGATTTGCATGATCGCGGTGTACGAGTAGTACCGAAAGCGGGAGGAACAGACACGAATAAGTTTTCAATTGTCTTGATGCTGATATGGAAAACGACTTCTGGCGCACCAAAGTTGGCATTATACTCAGGCGGAGATGCCGAGTTCAAGACTGAGGATTTGGTGGCAAATTGGCTGGGCGCGCCGAAAGATGACAAAGTAAAGGAGATTGTCGATATAGTCAAGATTGGTCACCATGGAAGTACCAGTGGTACATCTCGGAAATTCATGGAAGCCGCGCGACCAGGACGGTGTATGATATCTGCAGGCACCCAGCATGGTCATCCAAGTCAGTATTCTAGTCCAGGGTACCTTAGATACGCTGCATGGACTGACTCAATCTCCGTTTTTAGCGCAAGAAATCATCATGTATTTGCAGGCATTTTACTCAGCCGCTGGCTTGATCGGCAATCGTGTTTCGGCCCTCAACTATCCATACCACCTCGGCTGGGTGAATGACGACGGCAACGAGCGCCCATATCACAACGCACTCTCTCGCCCTGAATATCTCCAGTCGGACACCACAGAAAAGAATTACAAGCAATTCATTGCAAAGATGCATGCTCTTTGGGAGTCGACATACATTGGCCCTCGGTTAGATCCTATCGATAAATGGACTCCGGAGCTGAAGGCAATCACTAAAGCAGACATTGACAATGCTAAGGCAGCTGAAAAGGCTGCCAACCAGGCATTCACTGGAATGAGAGTAGCCAATACAGGTTATGGTGCCGCTAAGGCTCTCACAGATTCTACGAAGGCCAAAGTCAAGTTCGAAGAGAAAAAGTATTTGCTGGACAAAGCAAATGTCCTGGCACCATATATGAGGGTAATGTGGGATAGCATAAGCACAGTGGATCGCACGGTATATCCTGTCCGAGCCTTCGATGGTGACGATGTTTTGCCATCAACCCTGAGGATTATAGATTACCTAAAGATAACATTCTATCCGCTCCATACTACAGATATCGTTCCCATGGGAGCTGGCAAAGTCTACGCCGAGGCCTTTGCGGCCGACAAAGCAAAGACGAAGAAAAACAAAGTGGTGGTAAATGACGCCAAATCGAACCGAGCAGTACGTGGGTTGGACAATAAAAGGAAGCGTGCTCAGCGAAATGAAGAGCCTTCGTCAGTCTTTCCGGTCCTGAGTCCGGCGAACGAGGAAAATCTCATCGCAAATCAGTCAACCGCAGAGGCAGATGACGATCCAGACCTCCCACCGTTGGATCCTGATGAACCCGCGCCCATGGACGATGATAATCAGCTCCGTAACCTACGATCAGAAGCAGCTCCTATGGCTGTCACTGCTTCCAGTGTTGTCCCTGCTACTACGTACACGTCTATCTATCCCGCTGATGCAGATCCACCGTCTGGCGCTTTACTTGTAGAAGCTGACTCAAATGCTGACTACTTTGTCTCGGGTCTTTTAGACGGTCATCTATCCATAAGCGGAGGAATACCTCTGCCCTCAAAACCAAGTATCTGGGCGTATGGAGTGACAGCCGACGATAACTACTCTCTATGGCTTCAGTCCTTCTTTGGAGGAGCATCCGATAACGTTCAGCCCAGCATCAGACTGAACGCGGCAGATTCAAGCCCGAGTGAGGTTTCCTTGATGGTCAATAAGTTGGGGACGTTGTTGATAAGACCTCTGACCTTTTCTTCCACGCTGCAAAGCTTGTCTACCGCTTTGAGCCTGACGCCTACAAGTACACCCAATCTGGCGCCAGAGATTGCCAAGGTAGTGGACAGTACAGGCTTCCTTCAAAATAGTAGCGGCGTAATCCTGGGTTTGCAGATGGATGATCAGTCTTCAAGCGTAGATATGACCATTGGGAACGTTTTTGCTTATCTAGGGTTGGACGTACCGTTCTTCCTGAACAGCGATGCGCAGTTGTCTTTCAATTTCCACGATGGCGCTGTCAACGGACTGTGGATCGCGTCGACCGAAACAATGTCCACGACGCACCGCATGTCGCTGACTGGTGCCAGCAAGTCTGCGTTTCTCAGTGTGGGCAACGAATTCCCCGGTTTCTCATTCACAGATTGGGATGTCAACACATCAAAGCATGCATACATGCAGACTGCTGCCTTGGGAGACGCGCCGCAAGATTACATTATTTCCAACAGCGACTTCTGTGTGCACGCGAAGACGGTCCTGGACAAGGTTGATGCCGATTGGGACGCATACATTGGATACGGTACCGAGAGTGCTCGAATCATGCTGCGTTTCCCTGACCAAGGCAAAGATCCTGTGGCTCTTCTCTGGCCCTGGATGCTAGCTAAGTTAGGATTGGACGCGGAAGGCTCGTGGGACTCCTTCAACAACGCCCGGACAGCTCTCAACTCAAGCTTCTCATTCAGGGAAGTCGCCATAACTGCCATCCATGACACCTCGGGGTGGAGTTTTCAGTCTTTCTCCATGGTGTTCGAACTTGATCTGACATGGGGCATAGATACGAGTACAGCTAGTGCAGATACGCGTGTGCCCTTGCGGTTCTCCTTCCTCTACAAGAAAAATGGCACTTCTCCCACTATCATTTTCAGCGGTGGACTTTGGCCTGCAGTGTCGGTAGCCAAGGTGGTTGTTGACAGACTGAATCCAAACGCCGACCTCTACCCGCTTTTGATGCCCATCAAGAAGGACCCGCAATACCGCATCTCAATCAAAAAGTTGGGGGGCACTTCTGGCCAGCTGACCCTTCCAGACTGGTTTCCAACTGATATCACTAACCTCAACCTTGCTCTGGAATATGATGGGGCAACGAACACCAGCTCAATCAGTTTCAGGGGCACCATGTCAGCTCCAGCGAGCACTCCCCATGGCTTGTGGTCACTGGACAGTGTCGCGATCAAGGCTTCGTACTCAACAACAACGGCTCAGACGGGAACTCTGAATTTTAGCTTCGACGCAAAGATGCTACTCAGACCAAGAGATTATGATATCTTCACACCCATCGCTACGATTCTTGTGGACGTTCAGTATGGCCATACTTCCAATGGGTCCACATGGCTAATCAGAGGCGGAGCAACCGACTTGAATGTGGGAAATCTCTACTCTCTATTCGCGGGGCCAGAGTCCGATACCGTTATGGATATTCTGCAGGACATTTACATCGCCGGACTAGTGATTGAATTTTTCCATAGCCCAACAGTCACACGTCTTGAATCGACCGGGGAAATATTGATCGGTGACATTGAGTTGGATTTAACATTCAACTACACTTGGTTCGTATCTCCGTGCCTAACAGCTTTCATCTTATAAATAGAGCAATGCGAATTAATGTCACATTACTTACATGCCAATAGGAATAGCGATAAGACGACCTCGTACGATTTCTCCGCGACGATGTCTACAGACTTCTCGATCGACGATCAGAACCTTGGGGATTTTCTGACGGGAATATCGTCTACACTTGCCTCCCTTCTGCCTCCCTTCCTTACAAATATTAGCTTCGCCGTCCTCGACGACTGCTCTATTGAGTTGAAGTGCCTCAAGACAAAGACACTCTCGACTGGCAAGGACGTCATCTGTTTCGCAATTGTCGCCAAAGTCACAGACTTCGAGTTCAGCTTCGTACAATTGACGGAAGTTTACGATCCCAAAAACATGAGCACTGCTGACTCCACGACCAAAAGACTTTTCAAGTTGACGCTCGAGGCTTTACCAAACATTCCGATGAAGGACATGCCGCTTCTAGACAATTTGACCCAGCCTTTTGATCAGATTGACTTGGTCTGGATAGGGGACGATCTCACAAAGGAGGAGGTGGACTTAATGAACAAGGAAGTCTACGTTGACAGACATGACAGGCTAATATATAAACAGTCGACTTCTCCGGGTATCACCATCCAAGAAACTGACACCGTCATTCCTGCAGGTTGCCATTTCATGATCGTCGCCGAGCAGAACAACGTCCCAACTCCTATTCTTGACTACAATTTCTCAGCACCACCGCCTCCCAGGGAGAATGTCGAAGATGACGATGATGACCTGAAAGAAATCATACCAGGTGGACAAGGGCGCGAAACTCGTTATGCTTTCAGAGACAACACCGCGATAGTGTCCAACGCAAACTATGGCTCCGCTAAGGGAGGATGGAGCAAGACATTCGGCCCTTTGACGATCAGGTAAGCCTTGTTCCCCTTTCATCGCTCTCCCCATGGCTCGCCTGTATACAATCGTTTCTGGCGCCTTCAAAGACGTCCACGTCCACAAAAGTATGAATTCTGTAATATTTACTGACGCTATGTAGTGCTATCGGCTTGGGGTTTGCAACGGTATCGGATGAAAACATTCTATCCATTCATCTCGACGCTGCTGTCAAATTAGGCCCAATCGCCGGCTTTGTCAGAGGTTTTACTATCGGACTGAAGCTTGTAGACATGAAGCGAATCGGAGGCATCACAGTCAGCTTTTCTGGTCTTGGCCTTGAACTTGATCGTCCCCCTGTTCAGCTTGCTGGAGAGCTGCTTAAGGTGGACCATGGGTATGTTGGAGGAGTCGATATTGCTATCGAACCGTACAGCTTCATTGCTGGCGGTGGATACTACAGTGATTTGAAGGACAACTCGGTTACCCCCCGAAGGTACGTCTTTATTTATTCTCTATCATTCTATACATCTCTATGGATCAGCACTGGAGCGAGTCCCAGCCGCCTTTGATTCTACCTTTGATGCACCCATTACTAATGCTCTGCGACACAATCAGGAGTTCAAATCCATGTTCCTCTTCGTGGAAGTCGATGGACCTATTGCAGAATTTGAAGTTGCCAGTTTGTCAGGCTTGACTGGTGGTGGAGGCTACAACTCGCAGATCAAATTGCCAAACATTGACAATGTGACGACCTTCCCGTTCCTGGTTCCTGGATCTAGCACAGGTAACACACCTTTCGACATCCTGACCAAATACCTGAGCAATGGCTGGTTCACACCTGCCGACGGGCCTGCTTGGCTGGCCGCAGGCATCACAGTCAAAGCTTTCCAATCCATTAAACTATCGGCCGTCGTGGTGCTTGATCTCTCTACAGATATCACGTTCGGTGTCTATGCGCACGCAAGCGCTGATTTCCCAGGCGACGTGACGGATCCGACAAAACTCTTTGCACGCGTAGACATGGGGCTTCTTGCTGTGCTAGAGCCTGCGAAGGGGACTTTCCGTGCTGAGGGTCAGCTGACGCCAGCATCCTTTGTTTTGTCAAGCGATTGCCATCTCACGGGTGGGTTTGCGCTTTGTTACTGGTTCGCCAATTCGGGCCATGAAGGTGACTGGGTCTTCACGATTGGAGGCTACCATTCAGCCTACAAGCCTCCTGCTTGGTACCCTGTACCTCCACGCCTTGGTATTTCGTGGCAATTCGACAACACGATATCGATCCGCGGCGAGGCCTTTTTCGCGATTACTCCAAAGTGCTGCATGGGAGGTGGGAAACTTAGTCTCACATTCCAGTCAGGGTCTTTATCAGCCCACTTAGATGCATACGCAGACTTTCTAGTGAATTATCGCCCATTTTCGTTCATCGCAGATGTCGGTGTCAACATTGACGTGGCGTATACTGCCGACTTAGAATTCGTCACTCACACGTTCCACGTACACCTTGGCGCCAGTCTGGATCTTCACGGGCCGCCTTTGGCGGGAGTAGCTCATGTGGACTGGTCAATCATATCCTTTGATATTCATTTTGGGGACGCCAACCCAAAGACGGTGGCATTGGACTGGGACGGTTTTTGTGCACTCCTCCGCGGCGTACCAGCAGTCACAAATGATGACAAGAAAGACGAGATCACTGGCCAAGGTCTTCATGCTGTTGCTGCTACGGGAGGACTACTAGGGAAAAACACCGATCCCGCAGCGATGAAGGCAAGCACTGGTGTGGAGACGCTTCAAGTCAACAAGTCCACGTTCAGCCTACGCTTCTCCACCCTGTTTCCAATTACGAACATTGTCTTCGATGGCTTTGCTGGGAGTAAGACTCCGACGGGTGTGCCCCCAACCTACATGAAGCCGATGCATATTGACCACCAGTCTACGGTCTCCTCAACTGTAACGATCACCATCAGTCCTGCAGCGAGCTTCAATCTTGCCTGGATCTATAAGCAAGTACCTACAGCTTTGTGGGATGAGTGTAAGGACTTCTTCGTCTTAAGATCAAGAACGCATACTAACGCCCATGTGCGTAGATCAAAGCAATACCGATCCAAGCAGTGGCAACCCTGTCAGCAGCCTCCTAAATGACCCCAAGTCTACACTCGGTCAAGCAATGGGCTTGGACCTGACTGTGCCTCCTCCGACCGAGAGTACAGATTTCGTCTACTCCAACATTGCGCTTGCCTGCTCTTTCCCCGCAAGTCAGCACAACATGCCTGGCACCCTTGACGTCCCAGCTGGTATCAGTTCGTCCCAAGAACTCGATGCCGTGGTCAATGTCAGCTATCCCATGACACCCGTGATACCCTACGCGCCAAGGACCGTCCTTGGCCGGATCACGGCGCCCCCGCTTGCAAAGCACGACATTGTCAACAACTGGATCAAGTGGACTGGAGTGGAGGCTTCGGCACCACTTGCCAAGCGGCTTGCTGACCTTGGTTCCGACGCCCAAAGCGGTTTCGCGCCGGCTTGGATCAAGGAGCTGCAACAGACCCCCACTGTCCCGCTTCCCGTCTTGTCCGCAGAGGCAAGCGTGAAAGCTACGATGAAAGACGGGACGAGGTTCGCAAGTTTTGGCGGGTATAGGGGCACTGGCGCAATGCTCAACCGTGATTGGTTGGACGGGGGTTTTATTCATGGGACTGACTAGATTGTATGCGTCTTGATGAGCTAATATAGGTCGTGATCACCACTGCAAGAGGTGAGACGATTCAAAGAATGAAGTGGATAGTCTACACCTCCAACACAGCTCCCCACATCAGGCTAGATATAAGTTCCCGAGCTGATGACATGGCATACGGAACGGACCCATCCGGCAGGATCTCGCCTCCTCATGGGCATGTGACAGCACGATCCATCGAGATCTGACATGGCATTGTCTGATCTCACCGATATAGGCTAGAAGTGCATCAAAGGCTCGAGTGCTCGCGTGGCGTACAGACTAAATACGCTCGGTATAATAATTCGAGGCTAAATTAGGACATGCAGACTACCCTTTAGCACATACTAACACTTTGTGGAGGGGCACAGCTGACCTTTTGCAAGCCACCCAACGCAACGTGAACATCGCCCGAGATCTGGACCTGAAGAATACGAGATTCACACGATAGTGCCGGCCGTAAGTGCAGGGGCCGTACCTCTCTCTCTACGCAAGGCCGCTCACGGAGTGCATCGAAGCCAGCCAACGCCCATCTCCGAAAAAGGCTCTAACAAGGCTTGAGAGACGAGCCTGAGCTATGAGATCATGTCTTCACCGATTGAATCAAGTGGCTGATCGTAATTCATCATTCCTCTAACAAGCCGAACAATTTAGGGCGAAGCATAGCTGAGCTAAATCGAGTGGTATCTGTCGGGCGACAGTGTGCTCCACCCTCACCGGTCTCTGAAGCAGCATTGAAGGTGACAAGATAATCATCAATACCAGCGTGTCAAGCCTGTTCACTTAGCAGAATTTCGCAGGAGGAAGAGGGCAAGACGCTGTTTACAAATCGATAGAAGCGACAACGCTCGAAAGGCAACTGCGAATTACCCACCCAGTCAACATGGGCGGCGAGCCTCCAGACGATGCCAATGTTGTCGAGATCACCTCAGCAACCTATGGTAGCAAAGACGTGACGACCTCTGTCAACTCTTCCTTCCAAGCATATTACAGCACCAGCCCTAGGAGTCGTTCATATAGTCTTGCAGCATCCAACGCAGTTTTTGGAGATCCTAATCCCAATGTGTTGAAAGCGTTTGTAGTGGTATGGCGATACTCATTCAAGGTTCCCAACGGGGAAGTACTTTGGAGCGACTTCAAGAGTCTTGCTGCAACTGAAGGAGCCAGTGTCACCCTGACATGGGGTGACACGAATATTACACCATGGCAGTCGCCCGCTCCCGGACCCAATGGGCTCTATGTCATTGCAGCGTATTGGTTCAATTCAAATCGCACGTCAAGTGTATCGGGGCTGGCTAGACAGTGGGCGAATCCTTACAAAGGTATGTCACGCTAATCAATCCTCTATTCTTCCTATTATTTGCAGGATTACATGAATGCAGTACTGCATGAATGTCAAGCCCTACCCCACCTATGACCTTAAGATATTCTCCAACCCCATTGCATGAGGACTTCTTGATAATAGATGCGACGAACAGGCCTGGTCCTCAATGTCAGCCCAGGATCTCTCGGAGCCGATCCTAATCCTAGCCTGATAAGTGAGCAGTTCACTGTGGTTTATGGGACATGGGTAGCAGGGAATTACTGGGACTTTCAGACTTCAGTCGGTAATGGTAGTGGCTCTTGGACGTTGACCTTGCCACTTTGTTTCCCACCTTTGAGTCTCCCAAACATGCTCACCAAGGATACGTACGTCACCTTCCAAAACCGACAATTTGATCGGAACTCGACAAACGTTGTCATCTACCCTGTTATTTACGATGCGCTCAGTCGAGACATGGTATGGGATGGACGAAAGAATAGCTACGGCATCAGCAAAGGTAGAATCAGAGAAGCGCCTAGTCCGGTAGATACTGATCTTGAGTACAGGCGGGAGTCGTGACCTTCACCTTGTCAATGATGCAGGCTGTGAAGAGCGTGGCAAGTACTTTTTAGGATTCACCACTGCCGATGGGGAGACGGTGCGAGGCTGCTGGGATACTTATGTAATTGCGACCTCTTCAGCCATGCGGCCCTTCCCATTTTCATGCTACTGGCAATGGACGATCGACGGGGTTGAAGTTCTATTCGACTATGCTAATTACAACAAGCCATACAAGTACTCGTCCGCAGATCTGCGGTTGAACATATACTCTGTGACTTGGGGCTCGTCAGACGTAAGTTAGGCCTCAACTTATGTGTATCCATTATCTCCTCGAGTTGCGAAGTCGATTTTGCAACTGATCTAGCATCGAAACACTAGCTAAGTCTCTCGCGATAGGTAACAGATATCATTCGCCAGCAATACATCAGCCAGACGATCAACGACCCAAACTACATTCCCTCCGACACTTCCAACCAATGGTCGATTCCTGCATCAAACACAACCCTCGTAAAAGATCCCAATCCGGGAGGCGGCAAAGTCTGCGTGATCGTCTACCGGCTCGCGTACAAGATCGGCGAGACGGACGGCCTGATCCAAGGCTACAACGACCCCAAACCATGGGAAGCCGCGTACACGACGAACAAAATCCAGCCCGTGCACACGAACCGCTACCCCGTGCTGCGTGACTACACGGCCTTTTACTGGAAAGCGGCCAGAGAGGGTACCACAATTAACTTCAACTTACTCACCGAACCGACGGACGTGTGGGCGCCCCCCAACGGGCCAACATTCTACCCCTACATCGCGGCCGCCGTCTGGTGCGACCGAGGCGTCACAGGCTGGGTGCAAGACTACCTCGACGAGCATCCCAGTAACAGCGGCGCCGTCTCCGTACCCGTCAGCACATCAGGCATGGGCACCTACATCGACGTGCCCGATCCTTGGATTGGGGTCGCCAAGCAGCTCACCTGTCTCGTGGGCTATGCGGGGGGTGGTACAGATTCTAATCACGTCGTCTGGAAGACGTATGTGGATCTGGGCACCGCGAACCCCTGGTACTTCAGCTTGCCCAAGACGGCCGCGCCGCCGAAATTCCCGCAGCAAATGCCAGTTCCCAATGAATTGCCACCGGTGGATCTGATCTGGTATCGCAATCGGACGGCGTTTGATGTCTGGCCGAATGTGGTTGTCGATAATGGGACTGTTGTGTGGGATGGCGGGAGGAAGGATAATCCGGATTTGTGGAAGATCGCGCCGAGTATGTTGCCCCCTAGCCCTTTGTTGAACGGTGCATACAGATATATCCGTTCGGAAGTCGATTTCTCTGGCTGGATATCTGCTGCTGCTCAAGACGTGTCACTGCTACTTCTACTCTCACAGCTTCTTGCACGCTCGTACATAATAGCAACTCAGCCTACTGTTCCTGCTTTCCCCCAGTCTTCTTCACTTCCTCACGCTCGTCCCTCTCTCCAGCTCCTTTGACTTCATATAATACAGAGCTAACTCATTCGATCTTTCCTGTACAGACACCGACAAAACGATCAAACTCAGCGCCTTGACATCATGTCAGGAGAACAACTTCTACAGCCCCACATTCGACGTCAGTGCGGACACGTATCCGCCGTTTAGTGGCTGGGTGAGGCATTCGGCTTTGGAGCCGCAGTGGCTCATGACGATGACGTATGGAATGAACAGCACGGAGCCATGGCGGTATACCATATTGAAGGAGATGAAGAAATTGGGGTCGTAGATGGAATATTGGGCCAGAGTTCTGAATGTCGTATATACCATGGATAGCTTCTTTATACATACGATGACATGGAAAATCGCCTATGAACATTGTTTCTCATAGTACTATATCATCAATGAGCAACGGGCTGTTGCAAGGTCGGTGCCGTACTATGATACTATGACGGAGAAGTCAAGAGTCAACATAGAGTTACGAGTAGGTATACTTTACTTTCGAATTAGAGCAGGATCTCTAGAGAAATAATGTTAAGCCCTGAGGGTCGATGGTCGTGGTGTTGGAAAGTCGTAGATCTAGCCTCCCATAATCAGGATCTCGATGTTGTGATCAACAGAATGGACTGCCTATCGTACATGAGGATACAACCATTTGGATACGCATCATCCCTTCAATATCGCCTTTTGATCGAGGATTAGCCAGGCTCATATAGAAATCTTTGCTACCGGCCGAATTTCCCAATGTCGGGACGTGGCATACATCTCAGTGCCTATGTTACCAAAGAAGCGGCTATAACGTGCATATGTCGCCATGCGGCCCATCAAAGGAATGACATGTTGCATGAGGGCGGTGCACTGCGCCTGAATCTCCTCGCCTTCTCCGCCCCTCAGATTTGTCGTCTATTCTACTCGCACGGAGTGAAGACTGTTTGGCAGTAGAAATTGTATCGAGACCTCTCTACCAGAGATAGACAGTCATCAGGTGTCATCCACCGAAGACATTACTGCCCACAGCTTGCTTAATAATAGTCCTGAGAATCAAGTCGTCGATAACTTATCAAAGCATTCTCACTTCCAAGAAAGAAATGCCATGAAGTATTTGCGAGGGACACGACTTCGTGAGGGCTCTCGAAAGTGGCGCCTTTGGACTGGCTGCTTTCTGACACGCTTCCTACGAATCTGGTGGCTAGAGATTGCTGCCTGCGCTATCTCTGTCATTTCAATCATTGCTGTAGTCGCTACTCTTTGGCCTCACCAAGGGAAGCCATTGCCCCAATGGCCATATCACCTATCAGTAAACACCCTTCTATCTATTTACATGACTATTCTTAAAGGCGTTGTGGTGACAGTCGCTACAGAAGGTATCGGTCAACTTAAATGGAGATGGTTGATAGAATCAAGGCCATTAATGGATATTACGCGATACGACGGTGCAACGCGAGGTCCGCTTGGGGCCATTTCTTTTCTTTGGCATCTTCGATCGCGTGATCTGGTATCGTCAATGGGCGCCGTGGTTACGCTTTTGATTCTGATGGTGGACCCTTTCACGCAACAAATCGTACATTACTACCGCTGTTCCATGCCATTGGCACATTTGCAAGCAACGATACCTCGAGTGAACTTTCTCGTGCAAAACGTTGCCAGTACTGGTCCGATGGATGGTGAAGCTGGACCAGCACTGCAAGCAGCTGTGATTGAAGGTGCACTTGGATCTGTTGACAAAGTTGAAGCTGATTGTCCTTCAACAAATTGCACATTCTCTCAGGAGTATAGTACCATTGGATACTGTAGTACCTGCACGGATACAAGTGATGAGCTATGGTTCCTCCAAACAGTGGTCCCGACAAACGGCACTGGTCTTATAAATGTGACCACAATACTGCGGAATGGTACTAGATTTAATGAAACTCTCGATCAGTCAGCATATGACTCACTGTTCAACCGTATGACCCGAACCACAACGGTTTCGAACTCTAGCTTTTCCATGATTTCGGGGCCCGGAAAAGAGTTCAACTTGACAGGTATGAAAGTCTACGGCAAGGACCCTCAGAATCCCAATTCAGCTCGTCATCGTGTTGCAATAATTCTTGCTAAACAATTCAAAACTTTTGATCCAAAGACTGGCAATCAGCCATCTGATTGTGACAATTATGGAAAAACTGATTGGTACTGCAATGGCCTTGGCTCCGCAACATGTACACTTGAGCCATGTGTACGCACCTATGTGTCTAGGGTCAAGAACGGTGTCCTGGAAGAGGAACGTCTCGATCATAACGATCATTCCAGAAGTCTTTGGGGTTACAATCAAGGTCCATCAACCGATCCAGCCAATAGAGATCCACCGACCGATTCAGTCAATAGAAATCCAAGGACCGATTTAGTCGCACCTACCAATGATTCCACCTCACGCTCATCTCTACCATATGTACCCTATCAGGCAATCATAGATCTAAATTGTATTTCAAATGCAGAGCGCCAAAATCTGTCAAGGATTGGCTACACCCTCGGAGCGAAGCAGAGATGGCTCCAATACAATGCAACATTTGACCCTCAATCATCGAACTTCTCGTCTGACGCTAGCTTCCCTATTTCAATGATGGTGCATGGCTGTGTGTACATGATGGATAGTTTCTTTCACTGGAGACTGTGGGAGCCATTTTTAGAGCAGTTTCTCACCGGTGAAGTCGTTGGTAAAGCCTCAAACGGTACAATGGGGTACATCCAAACCCTGAGCGGGCCACAAGTCCTGCAAAACATCTATAATTACGGCAATACAAGCTTTGGCCGGGTCGATAGCATCTTTCGAAATATCTCGGACTCAATTACCGCCTTCATGCGACAAAACAGTGAAGCTCCCTTCTACAACCACCCTGCTATAGGAGATGTAATGCATGACGAGACTTGTCTGGCTGTGCGATGGAAGTGGCTGATTTTCCCCTCGCTAGTCACGACAATGGCAATTGCCTTCTTCATCAGCAGTCTTGCACGGACAAGGTCGACTGAGAGTAGGCATTTGCCAATTTGGAAGTCATCATCGCTACCGCTTTTATTACAAGACGCTGAAGCTGCGACGACCAATACGAGGCACAAGGATTGCCACGATATTGGAGTTTTGGAAAAGATTGCGAAGGAATGGGATGCATCACTTGTAAACAATGAGTCTACGTCCAGTAGACTTGTGAAAGAAAGAAGAGTACCACGCCCCGAGGAGGAAGCCCCTGAAGAGGTGTAGAGCAGGAAACAAAGATAGGCTCATCTTTTGGAGAATTCTATACTCTCAATTCTTTATAACAAGAGACCGTACGCCTCGCTGCTTCAACATCATCAATGAGATTTACAACACTAACCTACCATTCAACAAGGGCAGCTGCATAAGTCCCTTGAAATGCACTATTCGTATCACACGGCAGGCTGGACAAGTTCACTTAGGCACAGAACGCAGAATACCGAGTGGCTAGACAAAACAATCGGCTTGGACTTGGGTATGGTCTCATGTTTGTGTTTGGTATAGTCAAAGTCGATAGCGGTGTTTACATTCCATCATTAGCGAAAGAGAAACAATAGCGGGAGAATTCTTGGCATGGCTCACACTGACTGGATAGCTAGCATTACAGTCCACAACATACAAGGGCGGACTTGACGTGAGATTCAGGATAACTCAATCTTGTAACTTAAGATCGAAAGGAAGTCGAGGACCCATCAGGTGTAATATTAAGAATGAGAAGCACGGTGGCAGGTTTCACGAATACCCCTGGCGGGGAACTCTTCTTACGAACAGCCATCTTACATACGCCGCTGCTGCGTGCGAGCTGCCTTCAGAGGCGTGTTTATATAGGACCCGCCAGACTTCTCCGTCATGCCCCTCGCTATCGGCATGGAAGAGTGTCTTTCATCGCCCTCAGCTGCCTTGACAGGATCCGCCAAGATCTTTGCAAGCTCGTGATCCCTGTCTGCTCCTAGGATTGTCTTATCACCATTCAAAATCGGCGATTTTATGTCAATATCCGATGCAGCGCTTTGACTATTCAGTAAGCCCCATTCTCTATACTTCCTCCCAATGCGCCTACTTTCCTGTTGCGAGGTGGTTACACTCGTTTTCCTTGTCCATAAACTCGTCTCACTATCCATGCCGCTGAATATTTTACCCTTGATCGTACGGCGCCAGTCGCCGAGCAAAGAGCGCTGTGCAGTCGCCTCCACGTCCTCCTTAGACCTTTGCGTCCGAATCGGGAGGGCGTCGAGTACCCGACCAGCGATCAGATTCGGACCTTGATACCAGAATATATCGCGCAGCTGTATGCGACGCCGCATCTCAACGAAGTCCTGGTTAGGACATTGGCGCGAACTTGATGGCAGTACTGTACCTGTGCGGTGGATGTAGGCAATGAATTGACGGATCGCGGGACCGCACGCGCAGATGATGCCCATTTCACCCTCGACCAGGGAGCAGGTTCCAGTGACAAGCAGACGGACTAGAGAATGTTAGCCGTTGTTAACTGATGTGCAGATGAAGGAAGGGGAAAACGATGTATCTGTCTTGGGGATGAGACCTACAACTCGAGTCCTCATTTTGTGCTTTATCACTGATCGTAGCAACGCGCGCTATACTAAGACTAGACGTAATCAAGCCAAGGCTAAAAATAATATTTAGGCTTCGTTTACTGGACTTCTTCATCTGTACCTTCCAAAGAAGAACTTGGGGAATGATGGCAGTGACAATGTCGACCACACAGGAAAGAACTGGAATCGAATTAGCAATTGTGGGGTTATCATGACATAGGCCAATCTCCTGGTCACGTTTACCTCCATTGACTTGGTTGGTGATGACTAGATTGCGAGTTGAGAAGCATCTAGCGTTAGGAACATCCTGGTACCAAGCCCTGAATGGTATACAGCTGAGCCCGTAGCTGACAGTCGCAATAAGAGTTATTGCGATATTGAAGACAAAAGCGGCGAGGATGACGTTCTTCTGCCAGCGTTTATAAACAGGCAAGAGACGGAGGACGAAAAACAAGATAGATGCACGGATGAAGCCAAAGCATAAGAATCCCAGAATCCAGTCAATATTCGTCCTGTCCTGCTGTTAGACTGAAGATCATACCACCGCTAGACATGATGATCGTGAATGAGCAATTGCTGACATACCATTTCCGAAATTGCTTAATTTGTGCTGGCGGTATCAAGCTTTCATGCTGCCCAAACCCATTGGAGACGGCCATCGTATCGCCTACGTTGGCGGCGATAATCACTGCCTACGTTAACGTGAGCTAGTTGTTGTTCCTGTTAAGTGACGAGCTGATCGGGTGCAAACCAATGCTATCAAGATAGTAAAGTCATCAGACCCGACTGATCGAGTAAGGATAGCCCGTGAGTAAAGCCTGATTGCGCAAAGGACTGTCGAAATGAATGTGAGCCCCCAGCCCAGCCCGAGGTATGCAATGCCGCGATGATTGGTCGGGTCTATCATTGTTGCAATAACAGGTGGCAAAACAAATCAGAACACAAGTATTGCGAACAGAATCCTAATAGCAGTAACACTCACTATATGAGCAGACTGGCATGACTGCGCAGATATGTGGTTCTATGCTGTGCCTCAAGTGATCGACCACAGGTGTTTCTGCAAGCCCGATTCTACATACAATCCTTCCTTAGTCAGATACCCTCCGCGTCCAAAAGTGTCTAACCACCACCCTACCCTCAACAGTGCCGTAATGGGAGTCTGTAAACCGTACTTTCCAGCATCGCACGTAGCCCAATACGAGTTCTTGAGGCAGACCTAAGCTATCGGCTTTGATTCCCATGGCAGGCCTTACGTGAAGCGTTGCCTTCATATGGATTTTCTAGGCAATACCGCCGACGATCTTGTGGGTGCTTACAGTGGAGAAGCGATAAATTGTGACCACTCAAGCAATGGGCGATCTATATTTCCCACTTCTTTGCCACGGCTCTGCGTGAGAATCTTACGTCAAGGGTCCTTCAGCCTGCCTCGAAATTTCCCAGAGACGAGCTCACATAAGCAAAAGCGGCTGATGCGGCGTTCCAGTCAAATCATCTCATCCAGTACTGCGGATATGCAAGCCCCGCGATTAGTGAGCATTTTCGCCGTTGCTAAGGTACCTTAAGGGACGTTACCCCAAGAAACTGCTTCAACCACCCAAAATATCGGAATAATTCTTGGGCTCAGTTTTCAACGACAGCCATCATCGTCCACTGTGACGAGAGTTAAAGGTTTGTATTTACTAGGTATGCTGAGGAAGAAGGAACTATTCTAAAGAAAAAAAACCGTTCAACTAATCCGTTAGCTCCGCTAACACCGAGCGCCGGTCAGGCAATGTGGATGACTGTAAGATCTCACATCTACTAGAGTAGTCAATGTATGCTAAAACCTATGATCCGACTATGTTCTGCCCGTTTGCACGATCCGTCAAAAAGTCTGTTCTTGACTGCTTCGGTAATGCTCTGATACCCTGACAGTTGTGATACCTGATCCCTTCAACAGCGTTATCCATAGCCTCAGAGTTCGCTCAATCTCATTCAAAATCAGAATCACCCAGGATGTCTGCTGATGTCGGCCGGCGTATGAATCAGAGAGTACCGACGACGGTACGACGATGTTATGGTGCACTGGATTCGTTGTTGCAGCGTTCCGCCCGATCTTCTCCTTCCAAATTCCAGGTACCAAGTCGACTCCTGATCCAGAGCCGCCTACAAACGCTCCTCCCGTGGAGAACAGATCTCTAGGAGATACTGGTGACGGCGGTGCTGTATTGCTCGGGACAAGCCTAGGAGCCGAATCATCTCCATCTCAGAATGATGGCACCAGTTACTCCTCGTCTGAGCCTCAAGTCGCTCCGCAAGAAACACGCAATACGAAATCTGGCAACGAGGATCTGTTGAACGGAGTCATTTGGCAGCGTACGAAATGGGTTGTGTCGTTGGCGGTCAAGGCTTGATGTATTTCTTTGGTTGAGATCAGTCCTATGCGTTCAATTGAGATCGGTAGACCGAGTCAAGGCTGATGATTGAGCTTGTTTTGAAAGCGATTCGTGGAGGTTCAGGATCTACGGGACCTAATCTTTCTCAATCCTTACTTCGTCTGTTCACAAGCAGTACATCTATCAAAACGCGCCTAGATATCCCCAATTCTTCAGCCAAAATGAAAAATGCGCTCTTTGATTATGGGGGACTCTGGCCCCTCTTCTCCCGGCTATTTTACCTCAGCGAGTTTTTACAATCGACAGCTTATATCTTGAAGCGATGGGTACAGATCAGCTACCCCTAGCGGAGGGCAACAAGCGAAGTTCATTTGACCTTTCAGCAACTCGGACATTGTAGCGGGCTCAAGAGAGGAATGATATCTCAAAACGTCGTACTTGGCGTGATGGACTAATGCTCGCCTGCTATTGCACAAAGGTTTTAAAATTATCGTGCTGCTTCATTTGATCTCACAAGGGGGCATTGTTTTCTATAGGTTGTCTGGTCGACATCGGTCTTGATTGCATCATTTCCTCCCATATGTGTAGTCTCCCTGGCTGGGGTGGAGTCAAGTCATGAAATTTTGAACGCCGGATTGCATTGGTGTGGGCGATCGTAATGTTACCGTTCATGTTCTGGTCATTATCCAACACGGCTGTCGCTACTTTCACATTTTTGGGCTGCGAGTTGGTTGACTTCTCTGATCGTAGCCATAAGATGCTACGGGTACTGTGGAGTAAGGACTCAGGTTTGTAGCCATTTTTAGATTTGAATCGAATGGTAGGGAGATTTGCAGCGATCAGACTAAACCCTGCTTCGAGAAAGCAATAGTAGAAGGTTTTGGTTGTGACCACTATGTTGTGTTGTTAGCAATGCTGGATGGCAGAAGGAAGGCCATGGGGTACGTACAGCGAGCGTCATATCTTGGATCTTGGCTAGCTATAACGCGGTGGGAATCAGTGACTATCTTGAAGTACGACTGCGTTGTTCAATCGAACTTACATTCCTCGGCCTGAGCCTGGACAAAGATGATAAGCCTAATAATAGAAGCTCCCAATCCCCTAGCTGCTTGTGAGCAAATTGCAAATTTTCGAAGAAGAGATTCATGGCTGCATACGTTAGAGCCAGCATAAAGACACTTATAGTTCCGAGTCGTCGCTTAAGCGACGTCATGAGCTTCCAGATCTGTGTATCTTAGCATACTGCAGGTTTGCATCGTCCTATATTCAGGGATTCTCACTTCTGGAATTGGTAGACCTATCACCCACACTTCAAGTAGTATATCTGATATCGTCCACCCAAGTAAAGACGGGAATGCACTTTTGGGGCAATATTTGGCAGATTCTCCGAGATGCCAGAGGGCAGAAAGGTGGGTCCCACATTGTAGTAGAATTTGAAGGGTAAAACCAATAGTCCACAAGGCGGTGATGCCGATACTGGTTTTTGTGACGATATTGATGGTCGTATTGCCGGGCACGCAGAAGATGCGCCGATGAAAGAAGAGAGCACTGAGCTTGGTGAAGCCGTGTCCGGCAATGGCAAATAGGTCAAACGTAATGTAAAGCTATTGCGTCATTACTTCGAGTACAGCAATGTATTGAATCGGTGTCTTGTTCTCACCTTAGCGAACATTGCGTTGGATTTGGCCAGCTCTGCAGAATTTCTTGGTGTCGCGTATCCAAGAACCTTGTGATGTACTCCTAAGTTGAGAGAATGTCATCAGCTTCAAAACTAGAGCAGCAATGCTAGAAAGCGCACCAAAACCATTGAACTCACCATAGAAAATACAAGCAGCCATGCCTGCCAAAGTGACCTGGTTGGCGTGTCAATATATGTATCCACATACCAAGCGTCATACTGATTGTCGACGCGTGAATATGGCTTGGTATTCACCAAACATGGCACCATAATCCAGTCATCGACTTTGAGTGGCGCTATCTGGGAGCGACGCGCAAGGAACCGAAGTGCAATGGTGATCACAGATAAGGCCAGCAGGCTACCGCTCAACGCGTCGAGGCTCTCTTCGGATAATGTAGAAGCCATATCGAGATAAGAAAGGGAGTGGCAGATGTGGCCTTGTATCTCCTTCTTGAAGGCAAGAGCGCCTTCATATCAGTCGTGACTCCGATTTTGGACACTGCAAACTGATTTCAAATAAAGACCTAGACCGAAATCGCTGTGTAATTCTATCGCTCAACACCTTCCCAGTCAGCCTTGAACACCTTAAAACTCGAGCGTGGCTCATCAGGACTGCATGAGGCAGAAGATACGAGGGAATAGGGGAGAGATCAAATATGCATGCAGGCTGAAGTGACCTAAGCGAGCGAGTCGGCTTCAAATCCAGATATCCGAGAGAGCAGGATGTTTGTCTCATAGGCTGCTAGGCATGTCCAATGCTTGTAATGTGTACAGCCTCAGCCGAGGCCGGACTTTCCAGTGATTCGGGCTGTTCGAACATCCGCAGTCTCATCGCCTATAGGGACTGCGATGCTTACTTCAGCGGTGATTGAAGTCTCTTCACGTCTTGACATCTTGTTGGGCCATCCCTCGAACCCGTTTTACAGAGGAAAATAAACCTGTATGCGGCAAAGCCGATAAGCCTGCTTGGACGAAGCCCCTCGCATCTTCATGTCATGTCAATGCATTCATCCTCGTCAGCCGAAGAATTCCAGTTCATTGGACATTATTTTCTCGTTTACAAGATCCCATGCAGCGTAAATTTCGCGATTGGGGAAAGCGTCGTTCCTGGCTTTGATTGGCTTAGGGGTCGCACAACCATCTTCAACTGGCAAATCCACGCTCTTCACCACCACATATCCTGCTACCTTTCAGGACGGCTCGCTATAATGCATGTGTGAAGGCCAATGAATACACATTAACATTGCGATACTTGTACGAAGGTGTTACGCACGACACCTTGCTTGAAGGAAAAGGAAGTCCCGACTTACGTACGAATCAGATTCTTAGTGTCAAGGCTCAAGGAGTATAGATTTATGCCGCCTTCTTCCATGTAGCACTATCTAGCTGCAAGCCTTGTTGCGAGCGAAGACGGAGAATCTCCGTGTCCGCGTGTAGGAGACTCCTGGGTACAACGAAAGGTCGTACAATGAGACCTGGAAAAGCAGAGCCGACGCCAAAGCCTAGGATCATTCGATCTCGAGCTCCTGTGCCAATAGATCATTATCAAGCGAGCCTCTTGCCACCCTGATCAATGGAGCATATTCTTGAATTGGTTTGACAGCCGATACCTTCGCAGCGAATAAGGAGTGACAACGAACACGGAACAATGTTATGGAGGAACCGGAGTTTGCCGATAGCCACAATAAAGTGTCGGTATCGTTTAGAGAGCACTCCTGGACTATTGGCAGAATGCTAAGTCAAATTTCATCGAAGGTGTAATCCCTCATATCAGTTTACTAAAGCCTGATGCCCTCACATTGGCGTTGCGGTCGCGCAATGGTTTTGGACTGTAGGTTGGAAGTCTGCCAGTGGGCTTCTTTTGGTAAGGAAAAGACTATCGACAGGGGCGATGGAATGACAGTCGTCCCCGACAGAACAATAGAGGACGCCTAATTTCGTCATTTGGAACAATCGGTAGAGAGAAGTCCACACTTACCACAGATGAGATTGAAGTCGTATCTATGCAGAGCACTCTAGAACATCATGCGCTCAAAGATTTTCGATTGGAATCATGACAATCTTGCGTCTCGCGGTCGCGGTCAGCAATTGCCACAGGTGAGAACCAGCTATACCTCTGGCTTCTTTTATCTGATTCGCCGACTAGTTATAATCTCGATCGAGGGGTTAGAAATCCATTTGAGGCCTTTATGGAACGACGAGGAAATCTGCCAGCGAGAGATTCTGCGCACGCAAATCTCGCAGAATGTGCGGAAGCATCAAGCAGATTCTCGACACAAATCCAAGCTGACATAAGGAAATATCTTTCACCTACAGTGCTTCTCCATGAAAAACTGGGATGGATGTCAGGCTATGTGAGGTAATGCTGATCAAGACTGACCCATAGTAATCCATGCAAGCCCTCTCTTCAGCTAATTCGAGGAGTTCACCGAGAAGATGACCCACAATGTACGCTCCGGCAGATCAGCCCCGTCCCATGGCCTCTTACTTTCATTTTTCTATCCTCGATCACTCGGCTTCCAAACTTCAGTGGCAGGATCCTACTTCCAGTGCTCGGGGACAGACGACCTTCTTGCTAGCGGTTTCGATCTTTTGCCGTTACGTGTTCTTGTGACTTCCTTGTTGCTATTCGAGTTCTCAGGTTAGCGACGACTTCAATGGGAAAAATGAAGATTAAGACCGTAGAGCTACAGATCTGAGGCGATCGCCGCGGTCTTGTCTCGTCGTCCTCTATTCTCAACTATTGTTTCCAGGATTGATAGTCCGATAAATGCGCCTAGGCGTTCGTGAAGCTCGAGTTCATGTACCGCAGGAACGGGAACGTCAGTAACCTCAGATAGACATTTAGTTTTCTCCTGAACCGCATTTGCATTCATTTTCCGACCTTCGACGCGAATGACTGTTCACAAAAATCTTGTCAATTACACAACCTCTTTGACCTCGATACAAAGCAATCATCATTTCCTGGGCCATGCCAGGGGCAGAGCGAGTCTAGGCATTATAGCTTGAGGTATTGACGTATAGTCTTTTGAAGACCTCGCCTACGACAAGGTCCTCGACTCTGTCGACCGTGCTATCTACACAAAACCCCGCAGCGCTAACGTAATCTACGACTACAGCTACGCCTGCATCCGCGCCCTATTCCAGGATTGGAATGTCGAAGGCGCGTCGGAGTGCAACGCTGCTCACTTGCCTATCCTGCGCGAGGGGGGACCCGAGGTTCCAGGACGTGAGGGGCGTGGTTCCTGGCGCTGGACTGGGCTATCATGTGTATGAGATGATTGAGCTTGTGTCCAAAGGTGAAGGGAAATAAACATCTCATATCATAGTTTGCTGGCTATCATGAATTGCTAATGAAGTTGTATTCGTTTGGTTTTGAAATCGATTAGGGATAATAGCCTCCCTGCCCCTAGACAATTCAATTTCTCTAACCACATCAGCCAGGGCCGTCAATTGCGCGAATTACGGATTCCCGGTGTATGTTCTGCTGCGGCTGTGCACGTCCTTACCCCTTCCTCAGGTGCACCTGTATCTCCACCACATAGCCTTGAGCGAAATCACACGAGCTTCACAATAGGCGGTTAGTGACACCCTACTCCCTCCGCGCCGCAACGCACACATTTGCCGAGTAGGCGAGGAGCTATTCTATCGACACGTCTCAAGCTCAGCGGGGTATGGTTTAACATCAGCCTGCTGCTTTGGAAGAAGTAGCCTTGACTTAATAATATTGTGCGTACTGTTCGGCGCAGCATATACCGCTGCTTTGGGAATGAAATCTGGAATCCTGTCATATTTGCAATTGAAAATAACGACAAGCAAAACTTTTCCAGACCACGAAGCAAGTGCTCAAAAGATATGCTCAACTTCTGAAGCCAAATTCCTCGCAGCTTCTCGTCGACCTTCGATCCGGGATAGATCGGCCACAACCCGTCACCCCTGCACTAGGCCATACCATCCTCCTCATAGCCGCAACAATCTCACTGGTCCATACAATTCCGCGAGAGAAATACACGCACCACGACTGGCATCGCTTAGCTCGCAAACCTTCGACCTTCAGCTCGCAAACTCAATCTTCTACGACGACATCATCCTACGCCTAATTCAGCAACCGTCATGGAGTCATAAAGGGCCGCCATCTCAGACCTCATTCCTCCTATCTATTGTCCTCACCATGTCTCCCTCTCACACGCAGCACCTCTTCTACATCAGCAACATCCTCAGCCTCGCAGCAGCCCAGATCACGGGCACATACCCAGCCTTGCCGACCAACGCACCAAACCCAGACGGCGGTCTGGGCACGAATTTATCAAATTATCCGCAGTGCGCTGTATGTCCCTCCCCTTCCCTCCCCCCCTCCCCGCCCCCTTGCCCCCTTGCCCCCTTTCCTCTGTTCCCATTCAAATACCAGTCCCACATCTCACGACTCTAACGACCGCCATCCAGCAAGAATGCGGCAACACCTACGCCCCAGTCGCGCACTGCCCCGTGCCTCCCGCAACCCCCGATTTGACATGTGATTGTGGGCCTGTCAACCGCGGCATCGTATCGCCGTGTGAAGCGCAGACGTGTGATGATGTTGACTTTCTCAGTGAGTCCCTTTCCCTTCCCTTCCCTTTCCCTTCCCTTCCCTTCCCCTTCCCCTCCCTTTCCCCTTCCCTTCCCCTCTTCCCTCGTTCCACCGCATACCAAATATTGATATCGTAACAGAATCCCAACAACTCTCCCAAGACCTCTGCAGCCCCGTCTACGCCGCCAACGCATCTCTCAGCTCCTTAGCATCGGCCGCGATCGCGTCCGCGACGTCGATTGCGCTAGGCCCGCAGGTTGTGGGGAAGGATGTGGGCGATATTAGTGTTTTTCCCGCTTGCACTGTACGTGCTTTCTCCTGGAGTGCTGCCGTAATTGAGCTGATGAGGGAAAAAGCAATCATGCTTACCAGCCGCTTTGACGGCGAGTGGATGTCTCGGCCAGGACGATCGCGAATGCGTTTGCCATTGTGTGCTGTTTGTGGATAGTCTTGCGCCGTGCGAATTCTCTTCTTGTTCAAGTGAGGAGCTGAGTTGTAAGTGCTTGTTTCTTTTTCTTTCTCGGGGAGGAGGTGGGGGCTGCTCTGGCGTCATGTCTTTGAGGATTTCGCTGATGTCATGGTGTGGTAGTGATATCTTACCTCTCCAACAACCTTTGTCTGCCTGTCGGGGGCAGCTGCCGAAGAATTTGAGCGCTTGTCGTGCGAATACTGCCTCTGCGTCAGGGACTGGGTTGATTGGTAATGGGACTCCGGCTGTGCCTACTGGGGCGATCAACCCATCAATCACACCATTCACTGGGGTGGGGTTGACGGTGGAGCCTGGTCTGACGATGGTGGCGCTTGGAGGTGGCTTGGCTTTGTTGCTTAGTGTTGTTGGGTAGATAGGCAAATTGGTTCGCTGCGGAGTAAAAGATTTTGGACAATTAGGATCATTGTCGGTCTTACTGATGGTTGAGAAGTCAGGTATGATGGACAAGTCGCGTGACATAAATCTTTACAAGTTTTTCTCGTTTGAGTCAACGCACGACTTTTGGCATAGAGATCTTGATTGTGTCCTTGTTTCATTGAAAAGTACAGTTTTTCAATGCTGTCAGATAACTAGCTTTTCGATCCAAGCAATTGCGAAAGGTAGGTCAAACTCATCGTCTTTGCAAAACCAGATTAGCGCTAGAAATTGAGTTGCAAAAGTCAGACACAGATGACAACATCAAATCTCGTAATCTTCTCACGGCGGAGTACTTCCTGTATCTCGTATTCATACTACGAAATCCAGACTCCAAAGCCTACCAATCTCCATCCTCCATCCCACCACTACCTCCCCAACAACACAATCCACTCTAAAAAAGCTTCCAAGCATAAGCATAATCCTGCGGCTGATCCAACCTGGTCGTACTCGCGCACCTGACCGTGACACCCACATCACCACTCGGCACATTATCCCACGAAACCTGCTCCACATTATTGGTGGTATCAAACCCCTCATCCGTGCCCATATTGCCATGCCTCTCCTCAACACCCCCCACCCTAACAATGAGATTAAGATTATTCTGCAAAAGCGGCCCAACAGGGTCCGTCCACACGAGGGTGATTTTCAGCTTAAGTCCCGACGCTCTGGCCGTCAGGGGAGTCTGGTCTCCGACAGGAGCGCCGGGGATTTTCGAGGGGACTTTGATAGTGAAACCACGCGCTTCGCCCTCGCGGAGGGGGGCGCCTATGCCGAAACCGGCGGTCGCGGAGCCGGGGAGGATGACGGAGCCGGCGAGGTCGACGCGGCCCCAGCCGCTGATGGGGTTGGGAGAGGGACCGACGTCTTTGGTCTGATACTGACCCTTCATGTCAACTGCGCCGTTGATGAGGAGGGCTTTGAGTAATGCAGCTGGCGGATTCGGTGTTCCGTTCTTCACGAGCGTTTCGCGAAGGACGGCAACACAGCCTGCAACGAGAGGCGTGGCCATGCTTGTGCCGTTCATGAATGTCCAGTCAGGGTCGTCGGATGCCTCGATGGCGCTTGAAAGAGAGCGGGCCCGGGTGGAGAGGATGGTTGTGCCGGGGGCGGTGACGTCGGGTTTGATGCGTCCTTCTGCTGTGGGGCCGCGGCTGCTGAATGCTGCCATGCCTTCGGGATCGTTGGCGACTAGATCGTTCTTGATTGGGTCGGAGGGGAAATCGTTGCCCCCGTGGTGGTCGAACATCCAATACTTCAAAGCAATGTTTGGGCGGAGGCTCTCGCTGGCGCCGACGGTGATGCAGTTTTTGGCCGCTGATTCGGAGCCGAGCTGTCGTAGATCGATTACACCATGTTTGCCAGGGTCTCTCCCGTCATTGCCCGCGGCAAAGCAGATGGTCATGTCTTTATGGGTCCATATGAAGTGGTCGATGTCCATGGCTGCGTGGTTATCTTTATCGTTGATGCTGTATGCAATCTGCCGACCAGAGTATGGAATACCCCACGAGTTTGTATGGATTCGTACATTGTCATTGTCATAAGGTGTAGTGAAGAGGTTACCTAAGCTAGGAAGCGAGCTGATGTATCCTAAAGATCCGTTCGCGTCCGCCAATGCTTGCATGACAAGTGATGCTTGCGGGGCCGTCCCTTGAACTTTGCCACCATAGTGTGGAGCCACCCCGTCACCGAGGACTGAACCGCAGACATGGGTGCCATGACCACCTTCATGTCTGCCTTCGTCATCAACGGATTCCGGGTCAGCTGCATCTGACTTCCCAAGAGGATATAGTCTTGACACACGATTGGTAAACGCGGGATGAACGTCCCCAACTTTGTTACCTTTGTCGAAGCCTGTGTCAGCCACGGCGACTGTTTGGCCACTACCGTGGTATGAAGTGTTGTTCACATTCACTTCGGCCTTGATAATTCCTCGTGCGACGTTGTTGAAGAGCTTTCTCTCCTGGACTTTTTCAATCGTGCGTATCTCGTCAATTGCTGCCAGACCTTGGAGATACCGCTTTTCGACTTTCAATACTGCTTTTTGACCACTGGTGTTCAGATCAGCCACATCAACATGGGCAATCTCTGCGACTTTAGCCTTAATCGCGTCAGAGGATGCGTCGACGCCTTGATGAAATAGGATGTTCACATGCAGTGAATCGGATGCCGCCTGGGTCCCTTCGCCCGCTGGTGCGGATTCGTCGTCGTCTTTGAGGACAGTACTGGCCTTGAGATCCTCCAGGTATACATTCGCGTAAAGTATGTAGTTCTTCGCACGTAAAACAGCGAGATCGTCAGGGCTGTATTCGCAAAGATATGTGGATTCGGCGACATAAGTTTGGATGTGAACCCCAAGGGACTGGAGCTCCAGTTTCTGATCAGTGTTAAGAAGGCCTCTACTCTGTATCAGAATATGTTTTGTACCCCGTGCATCTTCGGCATCACGAGGAGTAAGTGGCAGATCTGGCCCCTGCTCGGTGGGCTCAAGGGAGTTCCCCTGGATTTCAATAGTCTTGAGAGACATGATCTACACGCGACGAGAAGATGTTTTGGCCAATTGGCGAGCGAACTATTGGAAGAGACGCCAAGAAGAAAAAAAGTTTTGGTAGGAGAGGGCACAGTATTACTGCCAGTATCATAAGAACGACGACTCGCTCCTTAAATAAAGAATTCGCGCATCTTCTTTTTCTTATCTTGAAAGACTGGAATGGGGCAAAGTTGCGTGTGACGAGAATGCAAGAGGCGTTTCGCCGGTGCCAATCTTCAGCCTGAGCCAGTCAAGCCATGTCTATCAACCTCGAGATAGTCAAGACTCAAGGCTTTCACTGATCACCGGACATGCGCTATGGTCTCGTCATGCCATTTCAGGCGTGTGAGTCCATGTGGCTGGCGATTTAGCTCGCAGCATATGCGCTTAGAGATCCTGAGAGTGATCGCCTATGGTTCTAGAAAGCTGCAGCCTGGATGCTAACTCCGGAAGTGGAGGACTGGGACGCTTCTTTTGGCGCCGTTGCTGGAACATGGCATGGGCTAGATTCTTTCTTGAACAAGCCGCCTGTGTTTGCCTGGCATCGAGGTTGATAGCGCCCGTGATAAGAGCATATTCTCTCAATGAGGAAGTAGTACTCAAGCCACCGCTCAGTCGAACCACTGCAGCTGATTCTCAGTGCGCCCTTTCCAAGATTTGCAGCAATGGATAGTCGTGGTCAATGTGCGGTGGCGTGACCTTTGAACAGCTGAAGACGAATTTGAGAACGTTCTAGACCTACCAAGCGGCGCGACTTGTTGGCTAGTCGCTGTCGCTAGACTTGGTAAGGCTGAGCTGGCAGCGGTGTGGCGCACCCAGAGTCTCTATCGGGAGAATGTTGGCCAATGTGACCTGGTCCTAGCTCGAAGGTGATACTAGCTGCAGGTAGATGGCATGATGGTGGCTTGGAGCTCCCTTCACAAGGCATATCCCCTCCATAGGCAACCAGCCGATCTCCAACGATCTGCCGCTCAAGCAATAGCACATCGAGCTCTGAACCCCTTAGACATGTCAGCGCGAGCGACTTCATATCGCGTTGGCTTCGCTGTCAAGAGTAGCATACTGTCTGATACAGTGTTTGCGGAGTGAGAATGCAGAGGAGCAAAAACAATTGTATTTTCGCGCGTGCCAAGACCAAAGACCGGGCATCGGATGTGGAGATTGAAATTTCTTGGCAGGAGAGCAGCGGGGCGGGAAAAGGTTTCTCCGCACTATATCCGATATTTGGAGAAAGGGGAATTTCCTCTTTCATATTGACCTTTACACTACCACGATATCGACGAACAATTCCAAACTCACAGAAGATCTCTCGGGAATGGTCATCGCGCCACCTGAAGATTAATGTGGTGACCGGTGTGAGGAGGCGAGACCGCATGGTCAAATCTGAAATGAACGAGTGCAACGACTCGATATCAACAGCTGTACGAATAGAGGATATCCGAGCATCGAGGTCTTCTAGAAAGCTGTCCATGAAGCAGAGAAAGTCCTGATAGCCCATTACAGAAGAGAAGTTCTATCATGATGTCTCAATCCGACCAGTGAAAGTCTGGACGCCATTCAACACAACCAAAATCAACGCTCTTACAATAAGATCACAGAAAAGAACGCTCTTCATCTAGCGCAGACCCCCTTCTCCGACTCTAAAATCCGCATTCAGCAACCTCCACGCGCGAGCGATCGATCACTGCCCCTTCCTCCCAAACCCAGCACTAAAACTCTCATTAAACCCAAACCCATGCCCATGATGCTGACCCCCTTGACCCTGACCCTGGCCCTGATACCCCGCGCCCTGCGCCCCTCCACCTCCATGGGCATTAAACCCCGCACTCTCACTCACGCCAAATCCACCCCCATGACCCCCACCCCCGTGATGCCCTCCCTGCCCCTGATACCCACCATAACTCCCCACACTCTCCGAAACCTGAAACGAACCCCCATGTTCCTGTTGTTGTTGTTGTTTGTGTTCCTTATGTTTCTTGAGTTTGTCCTCGGCGAAGCTGCCGAGGAGGGCGCCGCCGATGGTGCCGAGGATGCCGTGGCCGCCTGAGTGGCCTGTGAATGCGCCTGCGAGACCGCCGGTTAGGGCGCCGCCGAGACCGCGGTCGGTTTCGCTGCCGTTTTGGGGAGGGGTGGGGCCGTCTTGGGTGGGGTAGGGTTGTTGGGGGTCGGAGTGGGAGTAGTCGGTGGGTTGCTGCTGGTGTTGTTGTTGTTGTTCTTGAGGGTGGTAGGGGGAGGGGGAGCGGTATGGTTGTTGTTGTTGGGGTGGGAGATCTTGGGTGTTGGTGGTTTGGGGTTGGGAGGGTTGGGAGGGTTGGGGAGCGTAGTTGGGTGGTGGGGCGTCGTAGGGGTTGTAGTTGGACATTTTGGCGTGAGGTTGTTGATTATCTAAGGATGGTGAGCTTTTGAGGGTCGATTTTTGGCTGAAAAGGTATGTATTGCAAGGATTCCTTTCTTTTGTTGTGCTGATATTTCGTGGTATCTGGGCCTATATATCTTCGACTTGGCGGTGGTTTGTCATGCATAGATGTTCGCTTCTAATATTAGGCCGTTGACACGGTTACACTTATTTTGAAGCCATTCGAAGCCACCCGCTTCCTCAATCCAATCGGCTTCTCAAATCCTCAAAATATCCAGTTCGCCAGAGGTTGGATGGTGGTCAGCCTCAGCCCTGGCTGATCGTGCCTATGAATAAGCGACAATGCAGTGAGAATTCATTGGCGGATATAACGAATTATGAAGAGCCGTGCATAAGCGAGACGAATGGTTCGCGCGTGTGAGAACGCCTTGCTGCAGTAAGCTGAGCTCGCTAAATCGCCACTCCGATTCAGGTCAATGATCCGTGTGCATGTGGCACGTACGCGAGGAACGGGTGCGTAGGAAGTATAATGTATATCAGGCCGTGGGTATTGTTCTTGACTATTCGAGGATGACGAGATCTCCTAACGCTAGGATCACTTGCACCAGTAAAGAGGTCCGCGACTGCGGCAATTATGATGAAGACCATAGATTCTTCTGTGGCTTAGGGTTTGGGGTTGTGCTAAAGTTGGGGGGAAGATTGCAAAGTATAAGAAACGTCCAGGTGGCACGACTGATTCCCCGCATCGCAACTTTCTGCTCGTCAATCTCGTCAACCTCGTTCGCTTGAGCAAAGAGAAAGAAATTTGAGAAATTTTCTTCATATTTCTCTATTAGACATAAAATATATTATCACGTATGAACAAAGTGAGTCTCGAAAATTGATGCGTTAGATAGTCTTTGCTTTCAGCTGCTACTTCTATCAAGTCTGCCTTATAGATTCAGATCGTAAAGTTGTTTCCTCAATCATTCATCATGCATACATGGAACACCGAGCCCGAACCAAATACTCAATCGAGCTACTACCAAGCCAACACAGACTACGTTGACATACCGAAGGGCAGCCAACGCTTTCCTAACAAGCTTTCTCGCAGTCTTTCCGAAGATCTAGGCTAATGCCGATCACAGTGAGCTTCTTATTGACAGACGAGGGTTTTACTGAGCGTAAGAAATTGAACAAGAACATACCATATTTGTTCATCATGGAAGGGATCCGCCTGACACTCTTTAAATACTGTCTCGCACTTGCTCTTACACTCTATCTTGCCAGTCGCAGACCTTTGCTGTAGTAGTGGTGACGAGAAGACAATGAAGGGAAAGATCGTAAGCGTCACGGCGAAGGTGGTGAATTGCATCTTTGATCAGTTGTTGTAAAGAGCTCGTGCGAATAAATTGCAGCTGAAATGGTAGCGATGATCTGAACAAATGTGGTGCGTTGCTAGGATTATGTGGAAGAACGAGATGGGGATGAGGGAGGAGGGTCTTTATGTGCACTTTTGCTTGGACGTTGGTGCTTGGACCGAAGAAGACCGTACGAGGCCACCATTGTACTGGTTGCTACACGATGGTGATGAAATCGTGCGACTGGCCCTGAATGGAGCGTGATGTCACTGTATGTCACATTATGTGCGTCCCCTAAACTCTACGTGCATGGTTACGTTCTTGCAAAGTCTATGTTGTGGAATGACTTCACTCGTGAGAAGCAAACAAAGTGCTGAATGGATATTATATTTCCCTAAAAATTATGCCTGGATTTGATGAATATTGATACGACGGACCTGTTCGTATCGCGAAAATTCAGCCTACGGGACGATGGCAATTACATTTGGGTGTTGAATGAATTAGGTCATGATCGGTTGGCGATTTCTAACGGTCCTGCTGCATAGGCTGAATAATTGAGACCATACCCTGTTGTGGAAATCTGGCAGATGATCCCAAGTCAGCCGTTTTCCATTGACCCGGAGTGGTGTTCTAAATTGAGGAAATGGCGACGACCATTACACCATTTTAGAGTGCAATCCCAGCGATCAGAGAGCGTCTATACAGATTGATTGCTTATATTAAAGACCAGGGGCCAGACTCAGTTCGTGCTGATCAGATATATCATGTCTCAAAGCGTACAGCATGCCCTGATATCCCAATCAATTGATCGAATCTATGACACGAAATACTTCGCCCCAAATTCAACGATGGTATACCATCACGTGCGAATCACCGAATGCTCATTACCCCCAATCCAAAGTATGTACTTACTACACTCGACAAAGCGACCACCACTCCACCAAACCCCCGTCGCATAATCCAAACATAGCTACACCCCCTCTCGCGAAGCGCCAGTCTCAGCAAGATAAGAATTGCAGCCGCAGGCTCAGACATAAGCTTAATTCTTGCATGATGTCTTAGGCTTCATCCACCACCATCCCCACCATCCCCTCTCCCCTCCACCACTCATATGAAGATGCACCTCACGACGCATCATTCGTCAAAATCACTCGACACCATCAATCCTCGAGCGTGCATCAACTGACTCCTCGCTTGCCCAATTCCGTACCTCGCACCATGCATCTCCACATCCTTCCAATCCTTCTATTACTATCCCACACTTTCTTCACCAGCATCCACGGCTTCGAGATGACGAACACGACGTGAGCTCCCCCCTCCCCCTTTCCCCCTCCTAGCCACCTCCCCCCTTCCCCTTCCCCCTTAACCATTCCCACATTCCCCACCCCTGACTAAATTCCCACCAGCACCACCCTACACGACCCCTTCCGCCCCCTCCTCCCCGAAAACTGGTCCGAAGCCTTCGGCGCCACCGCCGTGCTCCACTACGTGCAGCAATACGGGCACTCCACGATCCCGGCATGGAATTTCTACCCCTGCATCGTTCAGGGATTAGCAGGGAGCGCGTCTCTGGGGCCCGATCGGCCGTGGACGGAGACGTGGTCGTGTGGGTTGCAGGGGGTTTATATGGAGATAGTGCCGACGATGAGTGGGGGAGGGGGAGGGGGGGGGGGGGGGGGGAATGGGTGGAGTGGCGACGGTGGCGACGTTGGCGAATATTCTCAGATTGATGGCGTTCACGATTGTGAATTGGGAGGTGCCGAATTTGGTGTTTGAGTACAGACTGAAGGATTTGGCGGGGAGTTTGGTGGCGAGGGGGAAGGTGGAGTTTAATGGGGTTGGAGGAGAGGGAGGGGAGGGGGGGAATGGGACGCAGACGTCGTGATGCGTGGTATAGACGGGGGGGGGAGCGTGAGGAGAGTTATGGGGGCTTTTATTCCGAATACAGTTACTGTGGGTCATCCTCCCACCTCAATGCTTCTTCGTTGATTTCCCTGCCTCACCATCCCCTCAAACACTCCGCCTGTTCTCTTTATCAGAAGCGCTGGTGGCCCTTCCTCCACTACTCTCCCTCCTTCCATGACAATGACTCGATCAAACCCACTGACCGTTTCCAGCCGATGCGCTATCACAATCACAGTACACCCATGGAACAATTCTCTCATAGTCCGTTGAATGATGGCATCAGTAGCAGTATCCACTGCCGATGTTGCTTCATCTAGCACAACAATCTTATTGCGAGATTGTGAAAGGGTGGCGCGAGCGAGACACAGCAATTGTTTCTGGCCTTGTGAGAGATTGGAGCCGTGGTCGTGGATGTGGTGGTCTAGGTTGGCGAAAAGATCTGGGTTTGTTTTCTTCTCCGTTTTAGTCTTGACAGAAAAATCAGGGTTTTCGAATAGATGCATCTTTCGCAGAGCGTTCAGAAGGTCCTTGTCGGTGTGTTCGCTCAGCGGGTCCAGCGCAGAGCGGATGGTGCCTGAGAAGAGTACTGGGTCTTGCGGTATCAGTGTCATGCGCTGTCTGAAGTCCTTGAGTCTTAATTGGGAGATGTCTATGCCGTCGATGGTGATACGTCCACTCATGACTTGCAGACATCGGAACAGCGCGAGAGTCAATGAGGACTTGCCAGCTCCAGTGCGGCCGACGATCCCAACTCGCTCGCCTGGAGCTATTGTGATGGAAAGATTGTGTAACACTGGTGGGAGATGCGGCGCGTAGCTCACGGATAGATTGGCGGTATTGATCTGGCCTTCAGATGGCCAGGAGGCCGGGGGTACTTGACCTTCCTTTGGTTCGCTCTCCAGGTCTGTGAACTCAACTATGCGTTCAATGGAGTTCATGTTGAATTGAAAAGCTGCAGATCTGCGGATCGTGTCTTCCATCGCTTTGGAGTAGTTCAGTGCGAAAAGAAGTACGAACCCTGCTAGGGAAGCGTCGACATGTTTCAGCATCGCGATAGCTATGGCGACAGCTGTTGTGAAGAGTGCACCGATCAAACCCATGCGGAAGCTCATCCATTGAGTCACCAGCCAGAAAGCCCACGTTGATTGACTCCAGCTGTCTATGTGATCGCACATTCGAGTAGTGTAATCTTGGACCTTGCCGAAGGCCCGTAAGGTATCCAGACCGGGCATGGCGTTGCCGAACAGGTCCAGTATCGGAGATCGGGCTGTGGCTTCTAAGCGCCTGATTTCTCTTGCTGCGCCGATGTATTGCAGCGTATAGTAAAGGCTTGCTGCTAGAAGGACCAGATAGGGAGCGGCCATGTACGGCGATAGCAGTATTCCTGCGATGAAGATGCAGAAGAGAGACATGCCGGCAGAGAGTAGAGCGTGGTTCTCTGCTGGTACTCTGGAGTCAACGGCGTTGAAATCAGCAGTAAATCGATTCATGATCCTGCCGAATGGAACGGTATCAAGCCATCGCGTGTTTGCTCTCAAAACCTTGGAGATCAGATTACTGAACAACGTCTTTGATGCGCGAAGTCCGCCGAGGTAGACAAGCAGACACTTTAGAATCTCAAGCAAAGCTGCTGTAAGGGAGATTCCAACGTATGCCATCAAGAACAGCTTGAGTGAGGCTTGTTCGCTTGCCACGTCAGAAGCAGTAGCCGCGGTCCATTTCTTCATCCACCACCCTCTTCCCAGCAGCGCGAGTTGAGAAGCTGCAATTGCTGCCAGTGCAGGGATCCATAGCCAGAAACTACCTGATGCGCGTAGATACGTACTGTATGTAGCCCATCGAACGTGGCCATGCTCTCGACTTTCGTCTTCGACAAACTTCTTTGGACTTTGCTTTTCACCGCTTTCATTCAACTTCACTTTTTCAGTGATATCCTCATAGACATCTTCGTCTGGTCGATTTGAAGGATACGAAAGAGACTGGGCGCTTTCATTGTCTAGCGCAGAAGTTTCGGCATGTACTTTCACCCTCGTTTCACTATTAGCAATGCCATTTTGGACGTGAACGAGGCATGACGCTCCTGACAGTATCAAGGAGACATGGTGTGTAGCCAATATCCTAGTCCTTCCTGTACATATTGGTCCCATAAGGCCTTCGTTGTATATATGATATCCAACATGCACATCAACAGCGCTGAAAATGTCATCCATGATCAAAATGCTTGCTCTAGAGTAGAAAGCTCGAGCCAGTGAAACTCGCCATCGCTGCCCGCCGCTAAGATTGACACCTCGAGCACCAATTTCCGTAAGATCACCATCGGGCAGGATTTTCAGATCTCCACCTAGTGCACAAGCTTGGAGGGCGTCTGTGTAACGTGATTCATGAAATGGAAGACCGAAGAGTATGTTGCTCTTCAAGGTCGCATTCTCGAGCCATGGTGTCTGTGATACAAATGCTACCATGCCAGGAACCATCCACTCGGAGCTTCTTGGTAAAGACGGTCTTGGAATGGTGATCTTGCCGCCATGAGCTTTGGCTTCACCGATGATTGACGCGAGAAGTAGACTTTTGCCAGAGCCGCTACGGCCGTGAATAACACTAGAGACGATTAATTCTCACGATATCCTCAAGTATCCAAGCACCTACCTCAGCTCGCCTTGAGGAAACTTTGCATCCACACTTAGGCGAAAAGTATCAATCCCAGGCCAGGAGACCGCTACATTGGTCATTTCGATGTCATCCAACTCCTGCCGCGTGTCCAATCTCTCGTCGCTGTTCAGCAAACCCATGATCCTCATCCCGCTCACCCTTGCATCCAGCAATTGTGCGATAAATAGAGGTACGACGCTGAGACACCATTCGAGATTGCCGAAGATCGCGAGCGAAGTGAAAGCAAGCGACGCAGAGAGCGAGCCATTTGTCCAGGCGTAAGTCGAAAGAGCTGCAACGGAAAGAAATATGGGTGAAGCTACCCAGCAAAATCTTAGGACTAGCGCCCACATGAAGATCTTTCTTTGTTGTGACAGCTCGGCTCTTCTTATGTCCATGATTCGACCTTCCCATTCGTCTTCTGTCGCAGAGAATTTGATCTGCCGGATACCTTGCATGGCTTCAGACAGGAGCTTGGCTTTGTCATCTCGAGCTTTCATGAGGTCGATTTGGGCTTGATTATATCTTTTGGAAGACCATGTATTGAGTGGCACTAGGATCAAAGAGGCTGACAATCCAGCTACGAGACTGATCAAACCGATCAATCTGACTAGTACTATGATTGCGATTAGGGAAGTCACGGTGACACTTGGAAAGATATTGCTGAAAGAAGAGAAGTCTGCAATCCTTTGAGCATCCACACTTAGTAGGTTGACAGCATCCTGGTTGCCGACTGCGGCGTCGTCGATCTTTGTTTCTTGGGTGCTGCCATCCTGACTGAGTTTCTCCAGTGGGATGTCATTTTCATCGTCGTCGGATGAAAGAAGTCTTGCTTCCTCTTCTTTCTCCGCAACCTGGACTGAAGATAGGAATACCCGATCAGGATGTGTCTTTGTTATTCTATAGTAGAACTTGACGTACCTGTACCATCATCCGATTTCCTGGAATTACTTCCGTCTTTAACAATGTCCATGCGCATACATTTGCCAAAAATAGCGGCAGAAAGCTGCGCCCGTATCGAGATCGCCAGCTCCGCAAAAGAAAGCCACGCCAACCTACAGTATACGATCAATTCATCAGTTCTCCGAGTGATGGTGATTAACCAGGATTCGTCGTGTTTTTAGGAGCTGGGATGAGTGCATCTTACCTCGCCTCAACAAAAGTCTGAAAGACTCGTACCGCCCCCAAAGCCAGAGCCCAAACCCACAGCTTGCGCTCATTCTGCGCATCCCTGGAACCGTGCGCCTCCAACAGCGTCAGGATCTTGTACATAGCGAACTGCGGCCCATAAGCCGTGAAGCTTTGGACGATAGTCAGACACCACTGCCAGATGAACAGACCTTTATGGGATCTCAGAAGAAGAGAGAAGATGGATCGTCGGCCGTGAGTTGAGCTATTCAGAAATCGAGCTTCGAGGTTCTGGGCTCGGAATTTGTGGCTCATGGCTGGGAGGTCGGAGAAGTAGATTAGCGATGCGGCTTTGCCCCAGGCGAGAAGGGAAAGCGCCCAACTGAATGAGTATCTGTCGGCGTGTTAGTGCAATGATTTCTGGCATGATGGCAGTCTAATGTTTGGAGGTGGGGACTTTCGCACCTTGCGAGCGCCGAGCAGTAATCTTGTCTGTCCACCAACCGACCTTTGCAGTATACATCAGGAGATCGAGGTGAAGAAAGTGAGGCAATAGCGATGACTGCGGCCGCTAGGACCTCCATGGTAGAAAAGATATGCAAGAGAATTGGGATGACAACGTCGGTATGAGGCAACGCATGCTCATTGAAGAAATGAGACCATGATCGGCCTAGTATTAGAAGCAACGATGATACAGCCGTCGAGAAGCCGAGTATATATTGCTGCTGTGACAAGCGAGCGACGACACATTGTGCCAAGAGCAGCAACCAAGCTGCTGCGTGAGTCCAGTCTTCAAGTCTTCGTTGGTGGGAGAGAATGAGAGTCAGTGTGCTTCGCGCTATGGCGGCGATGAGGCCAAGCACGGCGACGTTCGCGGGGGTGTTTCTTGACGAAGAGTCATTGTACCTGATGATCGAGGCCTTGGTGACATCTCCGTCTTCGTTGCCCTCCAACAGAGGCTCCCGGCGCCGACTTCTAAGCAGTAAGCTGGTGTAGCACAGGCTGAACAGCAGTAGGACACCAATGCCACCCAACTCGATGCCGACAACGAGTGTGGTCATTGCGGTGGAGCATCTGAGCTCATGATCTCTCAAGCTGCTTTGCTCACCGGTCGTGTGTGGTGATTTCGCAGCGGCATCACATCGTGCTTGGACTGCCGATAATCGTCGTGATGATCGTCATGAGCTTCCATGCGTCTGCAGCCCAAGGAATCGTGGAGGAAGCTCGGATTACACGCTTTGCTAAAATCTTACATGCATCCCTTTGAATATTCAGCGTCTAGCACCGGACGGAGAACGCCTTGAATGGCGGATACTGCCAGACCCACCCTGTCATCCAACGCTGACACTAAGGCAATGATCCAATCGACCGAAATAGGAAGGTAGCATAGCTGTTACGTCATGCCATCATCTGCGGAAACAAGTTCGAAAGGGTAGCTGCTCAACAGACTAAACGAGTCAATCAAATCAGAGAGAACCATGATCACGATCTCTTGTTACTCAGAATCAGTAGTACGGCTGCCCACAAGTCTCAAATCCCACATTCAACACTGTCCGATCCAGCTCCAACTCCGGTCTTTCCACCAAATGATACACACAATGCTTAGTATGGCTCATCGCCCACAACTCGCCCTCAATCGCCTTGCCCCTCCTATACGCCCTCAGAATCATCTCCCACGCATACCCGCAATGGACGAAGTGGTAGTACAAATTGGTGTAGATCTCGATGTAGTCACCCTGCCGGACTTCGTCCAACGTGATGGGTTCTTCCATGGAGCCTAGGCGGTAGAAGGGGAAGGTGTGGGACTCAAGATAGCGCTCGTGGAGTTCGGCGTCGAAGCAGTCGGCGTGGATCCAGGTTGTAAGGAGGACGTCGAAGACGCAGCCTTTGGCTCGCGCTTGGGTGGAGTTTGTGCCGCAGTCTTTCCATTGGGTGAAGGTGAGAGTGTCGTTGAGGGAGACTTTGCCGTGGTGGTGGAGATGATTTTGGCGGGAGAGGAGGAGAGTGAGTAGACCGATGGCGAGGAGCGTGGAGATTAGTGTGAAGGCGGAGAGGATGGTGGAGAATCGGGGCCACTTTCTTTTTCGACGTGGTCTGAGCTGTAGTTTCTCCAGTCCACCTGCCTCATGTTCGTCGAGGAGAGAGTCTTCATCGTCTCCGTGAGTCCCTCGCTCAGGCTTCATTGTGTCTTCTGAAGATCTCGAGGATTGCATTGTGATGAGATGCGGTTGGGAAGGCTGAGGCAGCGTCCCTCATGTGTTCGTGCAAGAGCTTCCCACTCGATAAGCTGCAAGCGTGTGACGGACAAATCTTAATGCCCGAAGCAAGACGACAGGTCATGCGGAGAAGATTCAGACCGGAGTGAATATCTGGCTAGTAGCTGTGGTGCCGAAAGGCCGAAATCAAAGTGAGCCCGGGAGGTGGTTCCGTCCACCTGTAGGTAAGACACGGGCGGATACAAGGTTCATGCATGTCCATTTCATGAAGAAAGTGAGCATTGTGAGCATCTTCCACGTGCCTTCCGAAAATGCCTCTTTCCATTTACTCGTTCAGTAATCATATTCTCCTTGAAAATCTTGACCGCCGAAGAAGCAGTAAGACGGGAGTGGGGTGCACAATCAAGGCCTCCATGACTTATGTTCAGCAGGGATAAGGTTCCTACGTTGAATGGTCGGCCTGACACCGCCTCTCACGCTACTGAAGGTGAAGTTGCGAGGTTGAAAAATTTCGTCAGATTTTGAGCGCGTTATATATTTCGCGCTAATTTAGCGCTGCCGTCTTCAATATTACCATACAGGGGACCCACTGAGGCCCCGTCCAATTTCTTACATGCAGCATGACAAGTGTATATAAGCTTCTTGATCCATTTGTCATCCTGCGAGAGAGCCTCAGGCTCGATTCGTGGAGGTTTTCGCCCGTGTTCGTCTTTCTGCTTGCGGGGTTTAAGATGCGGGGTCGATTGACCGCATGCATTGATTACTGCTGACGCCCGGGACGCCTTGAACCCTACTCAACAATCATCAAGGATCGTGAAGCTTACGTGGACGGCCTTGGTCCGGTCACACATGTCATTATCGAGGTCACTCCCCGCATCAAATCGTTGAGTGGGTCAGAAGGGCGAAACCAGCCGTGGTGGGACTGGTGCTCAACCGGAGTACACTGAAGATGCTTGGCAGACAGTTCCCTCGCAATTCCTTTCCAGCTTTTCGAGAAACCGAGTAAAGCACGCTCAGTCATGTACTTCCCCAACCTCTTCTCCCGATCTCGCCCCTACGCGCCGCTGCACTCCACCCTTTCCGACGACGAGACGCTCGACGGGGCCATTGCGCCGCACGTCCCACCCAAATCCTCAGCTTCGAACTTCTCCATCCTCGTACTCCTTCTCGCCCTCTCCCTCTCCATATTGACCAATTTCGTTCTCGGCCTCCTTCACTGGCCCACCCAAGCCCTGTGCTCCAATAGTCACGCCTCCCGCTACGCCGGCATAACACGCCATGTTTCTGCGCCATTTACGTTAGAAGGGCCATTCAGTGTATCGCAAGGCCGAGATGTGGCTGATCGCTCCTGGAAAGAACTGGAAACCGACGCGGGTCTTGTCGCATTGACAGATGGGTATGTGAGGGAGAAAGGGCTGCCGAAGGCGATGAGATTTCCCTGGGACGAGGGACGGGGCGTCTATTTTGTGAATGCGTATCATAATTTACATTGCCTGGTACGATCTCTCTCCTGTGTTCTCTCTTCTTTTTTGTCGTTTAGGTTTGTTGACACCGTCTGTGTATGTGCAGAAGAAAATCTATCGCGCGCTCGACGAATACGATCGCGGCGTGCCACAGAGTGGTGCTTTCCCGCATGTGGTGCATTGTCTTGATACGCTGCGCCAGGATGTGATGTGCAATGCGGACGATACGCCGAGGTATGCGGTTAAGAAGAAGGAGACGCCGACGGGAGGGGGGCAGGTGAGGGAGTGTAGGGATTGGAGCCAGTTGGAAGATTGGGTGCAGGAGAATACGGCGTGTTGGCGGTATGTGAACTCGACGGATCCGGATATGGATCCCATGGAGAGATTCAAGTACTGTCCGGCGGGGAGTCCATACTTGGAGAAGGCGAGGGAAACTTATCCTGATGCAGGAGTCGTGATTTGAGGGAAGGACTAGTGGGGGGTTTGATTGCTGTTTTTGATTAGGCTGTGATTGCAAATGATCTTGAGAGCGAATGATGTGACACAAGGCAGAAATGATGTCTGGGAGCAAGAGAGCGCCAATAAATTGATGAAGTGTTATCATACAGAGGTACGAATGGTTCTTCTCTTCACTTCAATTGCGCCATTGCTCTCTTAAGCCGGCTCTCTGGCAGAGTGTATTCGTGGTTTGATCCCATATTTCTTGAGTTCAGTAAGCATAGCCTTGGCAACATGGATGTTCACTGGTGCAACCACACCGCGCTGTGAAAGCCGGCCTTGTATGATCATTTGCGCTGCAACCGCAGCGGTAACTCCAACGAGGGTAGAGAGCGCCGATTGACCCTGAAGATCGCCGAAGCGCTTGATTGAAACACGTCTTGTCTCCTGTTGTACATTAGTCCTGATCTTTTCGGGGGTTTGTTTGCTTACCATGTCGCCATTGTCATGCTCAATTTCGAATTGATGCTCAAGTATCACCATGTCCCGCTCATTTTCCTCGTACCTCAGCTTCTGCTCGAGTGTGGTACAAAGAGTGTCGAGCGGCGTGTGACGAGGTGTCACAATCTCGTCCGAGAAGAGACCCAGCCATTCGATCCCAGCGAGAATCTGGGCCTTCGACTCGTCTGAAGAGAATGACGTCTTCGATTCAATCGCCCGTTTGAGACTCGTCCCATCGGAAGATTTAGTATCCAGAACGAGTCGCATTAGATCTTTCCACGTGAGCTTTTCAGTTGACGGCTCTAGATATTCACACATCTCGTCGCAAAGCAGCCCAAGATCTGACAAAGTTTTGACGATAGGTGGAAATTGGGAGTATCGCAAGGTATTACGCATGACGCATTTAGCTTCGGATAAGCCGTATAGTTTGCGATATGCTGTCGAGTCTCGATTGGGGTATGCAACGAGTCCATGGACCGCAGGCGCGGGAACAGTCTCGAGCTTGTCCAATAGATCGTCCGAAGTGACAGCTGTGACTTTGCCATCTCGATAGTATCTAGCGCCGCTCTTCAATGCCATGAAGACACCTCGAGGCGCCCACGAGAATTTGTATCCCAGAGGATTGTCTGAGCATTCTGGTGCTGGCAGAGCGCCGCAATACGAACGAAAATCTCGCACCAGGCCGCCATTTTTATGAATTCGGTCGATGGTCGAGACGGCGAGGAGATGGTCAATGCCAGGGTCTAAGCCGCATTCGTTGAGCACGATAATGTTTGCTGCCTTGGCAGCTGATCAAAGTGAGCTGAATGACATTCCGTTTGCGACCCTACTGACCTGCGTCAAGCTCTCGCATAGCCGGTGAGACGTAACTAGTAGTGACGACATTCTTCTGATTTCGAATGGCAGACTTTATGACGGCAACGTGCGACGCCGGAGGCACAAGACTGATGACAATGTCTGCCTTGATGACCTCTGCGTCGAGGCTTGCGCTCTGCTCTACGTCGAGGTAGACCGCGTGGGCGTTTTCCAAGTGTTTGCAGAGATCAGAGGCGGCAGGAAGGTCAATGCTGCCTGGTATAGTTCAGTCTTGCGTGACTGAGAGAGTTCGAGGACTGGTAATACCGACAGTGATCCTAAAGCCTTGATCATGAAGAGTTTGCAATGCAGGCTTTGCAACAAAGCCTGCCCCTACAAGGAGCACATGTGTAGAGGATTCAAGATATCTAGATGCCTTCATGGTGTTGTACTCAGCATAGAGAAAACCAAGCAATGTAACTGCTTGACTTACAAGTCCTTCACTGCTGAGACGACCCAGGTTAGTAGATTTCTGAGTTGTAAGCAGGTAATTCGCAATACACTCGAGCTGAGCACGTGGTAGTGCCCCTTTGATGCTGAGTCATGATCCTTTGTACGATCAAAAACAACAAAGCTTCTACCTGTCCGACTGAACTGCTTGATCTGGATAAGCTGATCTGAGAGGTCAAGGGCTGAGCTAGAATGGCATGTCATTATGTTCCCCCATGACTCGAATATCCCCAGGACACGTGGTGGGGAGCTATGGTTCGGCAGTCATGCCAGCTGACGTTGAGTGAGCTCAACCTACAGGTTGCTGTGTTCTAATATTAGCCATCTGACGTTGACACAATGGAACACCGTCAAGATATTTCAGGTGGAGTTGGAGCGGGTCAGACGGGTAAAGTAATTCTGTATTTTATGTTAGCGCAGCTCCTAGCTTTAGACTTAGCGTTAGGGCTGACGCGCTCTCAAGGCACGTCGCGTCATTACGTCATTGCCAGTTTTCTTCATCCAACAACAGTCTCCATCACTCAATATCGTTACCTTAACGCTTGGAAAGACTATACTGTTCCATAGAGGGCCTGAAAGTCAAACATTGCTTAAGCTGGAAACATGACGGTCGAACTCGGGGCCTCACCGCCTGAGTCCAGCTCGGCCTCTAAAGTCTTCCGGAATGCCTGTGCCGTCAGCTTTCCAGGATACCTTCCCCAGAGCTATATCGGAGATCATGAGAATGAGTCCGGGTATGACTGTCTTATGTGCATGGCCAACCAAATGCCGCTGCGGGGATCCTCCTTCTTGCTTCCTTGCCACAAGGATCCACCATGGGACAATACCCGCTCCGCGAAGCTGTCTCATGTCAGCGTCAAAGAACTCTGACCAGGATTTGTCAACATAAGCCCGCGAGAGAAAGTACCTTAGCTGGCATGTGAGCTACGGACCTCGGCGTTCGGTTTCAATGGCGGCGAGTTGACGAGCGCCCTGTTCGGCACACCATAGCCTTAGGGCAATGCGCAACTTCTCGCGAGTTTGAAGCCAAGTCCCACCGACTCTGGATTGAAGACGTCTCAAGATATCTCGAAGGCCATTGATGTCGCCATGGATATCAAGAAGCCGAGTCGACTAGGTAGAGCCGGACGGACGAAGACTACTCATGGCGTTAATGGCACATCCAGCATCCCTCTCTCGAATGGGACCCTGTACGCCAATGAATCCCACTGTACTCTCTCTATTGACCTGGGCGAAGAAACTTCATCAAGTCTTGCAGCCCTTTCTTCTGATCTGAAGTCGTTCGTTATCTTAGCAGCATGGTCGATTGTACTCAGTAAATACACTGGAGACGACAAAGTCTCCTTCGACCTACTTAATTCATTTAATCAAACCTGTAGCAGCCTTCAGGAAGTGTCTTTGGGTGACTTGCCGCACATCCAAGACATTGTGAAGCATTTGCAGAAAGTTGGCCAGGCTTTCACTTCAGAAAGCGAATATCAACAAGGCTTAGAGCCTAGCCTAGGATGCGATTCAGCTGTACATATTCATGGATCCACCTCCAATGATATCGAATATGTGGAAGCCATATTTCCAAAGGTACTTTCCGGAATGACTATTCCGACTCTGTGTGAAGATGACTAATTCAGACATCAGTGCTCATTCATTCTAGACGTCGTCTTCGCCAAGAATGCGGTCTGCCTAAGTCTCTGGTGTGACGATCATGAAGTCTCGGATGGCTTTGCTCCAAGCATTGCGCAAACTTTTTCCAAAGCGCTAGAATCCGTCATAGCTTCTGACCCTGATACTGACTGGCAGATGATCGAAATTTTGAGCAAACGTGACTTCGACAAGATCAATCAGTGGAACCAGGGGAGCCTTAGCACTGCCGAGTCTTGCATTCATGACCTCTTCCAACATCAAGCTGAGCGCAATCCATCAAGTCAAGCAGTCTTTGCATGGGATGGCTGCTTGACTTACTACGAACTAGATATCCTGTCCGGAAATTTAGCGAGTCATCTCAAAAACTTAGGCATACAAAGAGGATCTTTAGTTCCAATCTGTCTCGAGAAATCTCTGTGGGTCACTGTCTCAATACTCGCGATACTCAAAGCTGGTGGAGCGGTCATCCCTCTCGATCCGTACCATCCTGCGAAGCGTCTCTTGGAGATCGTAGAAGATACTAGACCGATTGTTGTCGTGTGCGACTTACAGAATTCTGATGTATTCACTGGAGCGGTTCAGACTGTCATCGCAGATGTTCGGGTTGCAAGCCAGAAGAAAATTCAGGCTAAGGCCGAAGCATCCATGCATGTTCATCATTCTGACCCTGCGATTGTACTTTTCACCTCTGGATCTACCGGGAAGCCAAAAGGCCTGATTCATACTCATATGAGTATGTGCTCGAGTTCGCTGGCTTATGGACCTTCGCTAAGCTTGTCAAGCTCGTCACGCTTGTTGCAATTTTCTTCTTATTCGTTCGACATCAGCATGATAGACAATGTAGCTGCTTTGATACATGGCGCATGTATATGTGTGCCATCTGAACATGAACGGCTCAATGATATCACCGGATTTATCCAGAAAAGTAGTGCTAATTGGGCATTTCTTACGCCCAGTTTTGCGAGGCAGCTTAAGCCCGAGCAAGTACCGTGCCTGAGAACGCTGGTGCTAGGAGGGGAGGCTGTGACTCAAGACAGCGTCGAAGAATGGGCGTCGCCATCGCGACAGCTATTGAACGGGTATGGACCAGCTGAGTGCGGTATTTGCGTATCCGAGTCGCTGGACTCATCAAGGTCTCCTGGAATAGGGAAAGGCGTTGGATGCCATATTTGGGTTGTGAATCCATCGAACGCTTTGAACCTCGCCCCCATCGGAAGTGTTGGTGAGCTTCTGATTGAAGGCCCCGCGACTTTCAAAGGTTATTTAAATCAAGATGAGAGCACTGCACACGCATTTCTAGATCACCCCCCTGGCTACTGAAAGACCGATATCCGTACCGAAGGCTATACAAGACAGGAGACTTAGTTCGCTACAGAACTGATGGCAGCCTTGTTTACCTGGGCCGGAAAGACACTCAGGTCAAAATTAGGGGCCAGAGATTGGAGCTTGGTGACATAGAGCGACATTTACGCTTAGAGCTCCCACAGAATGCAGTAGCTGTGGACACCTCAAAATCGCCAGATGGGGTATCTACTTTGATCGCGTTCGTTGCATTCGAATCTACACCCACAAATTTCTCCAACCTTGCAAACAAGGTCCAATTCAATCTCCAAAAGTCGCTCCCTTCGTACATGATACCAGCCCTCTTCATTCCTATCAAGACATTACCCATGAATGAAAGCAACAAATTAGACCGGAGAATGCTCCGTCATTTTGCACATCATTATATTCAGAATCGGCAGGAATCTTCATCTTCATTAGAACAACTGTCAAGCTCTTTGACTGCCATAGAGCAAAGACTGGCGGACTTATGGATCCAAGTACTCAAAATTGGAGTCGCACTTAAGGCGACTGACAATTTCTTTGTTTTGGGCGCTAACTCTCTCACTGCCATCGCTTTAGTGTCGAGAGCCCGAGAGGCGGGCTTACGAATCTCCGTCGCCGATATCATGCTTGAACCGTCTTTGTCAGGAATGGCGCACATGTTGACTCCAATAAAGAGTCTAAGTCGTGCACCTGTCCCGTATGAGCTAATCAGGAGCGAAGAGAAAGACAGAATTCTGGACGAGACAACTGCGCAATCCAAGATGCCACGATCAGATGTTGAGGACATATATCCATGTACTCCTACGCAGGAAGGTCTCTTTGCCCTTTCTTTGGCAAGCCCAGGAACCTATGTGGCCCTATTCAAATATGAAATACCTACAAATATATCATTGCCTCGATTTCAAAACGCCTGGGCAGAGGTGATCCGACGAAGCCCTATCTTGCGAACACGCATTGTCCAATTTGCTGGACAGCATTATCAAGTCATCGATCAATCCGCACATCATCCAGAGATATCACATATCAATCTCGAACAGTATCTGACTTCCGACAAACATCAGAACTTCCATTACGGACAACCTCTTCTTCATTCGGCCATCTTTATTTCCGATGCGTCGACCAACTTCGTCCTGACCATGCATCATTCCATCTTCGACGCCTGGTCCTTAAATCTCGTATGGAAAGAAGTTGAAGCTGTATATATGAATGAGCCAGCACCTTCTCGGCCTCCCTTCTGTAGCTTTGTCCACTACATCCAACAAAATACTCCAATCAGCGAGAGTTCCAAGTCATATTGGCAAAAACACTTCCAAGGTTCTTCCCCAGCCTTGTTTCCTCCATTACCATCTGCCTCCTACAGACCGAAAGCAGATGTCCAATCTTCGACCTACTTCCAGGCATTGCAGACTCGAGCCAAGGTCACGCTAGCAATCACCATTCGCGCTGCCTGGGCTCTGCTTATCGGCCAGTACTCTGGCTCCAAGGACCTCACTTTCGGCATGACTCAAAGCGGCCGGTTTGCCGAATTTGATGACATTGACAAATTGATCGGACCAACACTGACCACGCTACCAGTACGTGTCCGCATTGACCCAAGCGCTTCTGTTCATGAGTTCCTCCAAGGCGTAAGACGCCGAGCTGCTGATATGGTACCATACGAGCATATTGGACTGCAGACACTTGCCCAGCTTAGTCCTGAGGCACAGGAAGCGTGCAATTTCCCGAGCATACTTGTTGTGCATCCAGAGGATGACGACACTGGACCGTTCGGCGCCAAAGCTAGGATGACCCATTTTGTACTTCCACATGCTCTCGTCGTTGAATGCCATCTGAAAACTTCAGGAATCATACTCGAGGCAAGCTATGACTCACAAGTAATACAAACTGCAAACGTGCAGAGATTGATGGCTCAGTTTGCGCATGTCGTGCAGCAGTCATGCAAGGCGGATGGAGATGCACATGTGGATACTATTCAGCTCACTAGTCCGGCAGATTTACAGGACATCCAAGAGTGGAATGCAAATCTTTCAGCAGCTGAGAATGATTGCATACATAGTGCGATTGAGCTCCAGGTGGCCAAAAACCCGACCACTCAAGCCATCTGCGGCTGGGATGGGTCACTTGCTTACAAAGAGCTTGATGTTCTTGCCAGTCGTCTAGCTTCGCACATATCCGCCGGCGGTGTTGGTCCTGAGGTCATTGTGCCTCTGTGCTTTGATAAGAGCAAATATGCTATCATCTCACTCTTGGCCGTCCTCAAAGCAGGTGGTGCCTGCTTGTTTCTCGAACCTACGTGGCCCGTCTCGCGTATTGATTTCATTCTACAAGCTGTCAATTCTCCTGTTGTGATTGCAGATTCCATTCATGCAGACAAATTCGTGCAAAAGGCGTCGAAAGTCGTCACGGTATCTGAGTCTCTTTTCAACCAACCAGAATTGGCCCATCCAATATCAGGCTACCGGCAAGCACAGCCAAGTAATGCCAGCTTTGTTTTCTTTACATCCGGATCAACAGGTACGCCGAAAGGTATCGTACAGTCCCACAGTGCCCTTCTCACCAGTTCAAGAAATCACGCATCAACATGTAGGATCAATGAAGAATCCCGGACGCTACAATTCTCGGCTTTCACCTTCGATGTCTACGAAATTGAGATAGTCACAACATTGACGCATGGTGGCTGTGTCTGCATTCCGTCTGAACACGATCGTATGAACAACCTCAGTGGAGCCATGGAAGAAATGCAGGCCAACTGGGCTTTCTTCACGCCTACTTTCTGCCGTTCGATGGATCCATCGCAAATGCCGCATTTAAAAACGTTACTGGTCGGTGGCGAAGCAGTTGATAAAGCAACTGTCGATAAATGGGTTGATCATGTGACGCTTTTGAATTGCTATGGTCCAGCGGAATGTGGCCCGACAGTAATGTGTGAGCTCACTCCCTCCCATCGACCAGAATCTATTGGGATGCCTCTATGCTGCCGTTCTTGGATCGTAGACCCGGATGATCATAACAAGCTCGCCCCAGTAGGAAGTGTTGGCGAACTACTCCTTGAAGGCTACACCATGGCTCGTGGATATCTGAATGAGCCGGAAAAGACGGCAGCGTCTTTCATACCCGCTCCCAAGTGGCTTGAAGAAATGGCAGCATCCCATGGATCCAAGCTCTACAAGACGGGCGATCTTGTCAAGTACGCAGAGGACGGTAGTATCGATTTCATAGGGAGGAAGGATACGCAAGTCAAGATCCGCGGACAAAGAATGGAATTAGGCGAGATCGAGCATCACCTACGGCAGTGTTTACCTGCAACTATTGATGCTGCTGCCGAGGTCGTTCAACTCGATGATGGTAAGGAAAGAAAGAGTCTAGTTGCCTTCATCTGTGCCAGATCTGCAGAATCGAGAAGCGATCCAACGAGCTTGTCAGACGACACTTTTCAGTATCATGAACTTGTGAAGGCCGCTCAGGATTTGAAGCCCAGAATGGAACAATTGGTCCCGACATCCATGGTCCCTTCTGCTGTGCTTTTGACCACAGCCATGCCTGTCAACGCATCCGGTAAGCTTGACAGGAAAGTCTTGCAGCGCCTAGCTTTGCAAACACCCCTTCAGAGTTCCAACTGGCTGCATTCAGGCTCCACCGTCAAGACAAAGATCGAAACAGTGATGGAGAGGACATTGCAACAGCTTTGGAAGACATGTTTGAAAGTTGACTCCATCATGTCCAGAGAAGATGACTTCTTTCGTCTGGGTGGGGACTCAATCAGCGCCATGTCTCTGGTGGCGTCAGTTAGAATGCAGGGATATTCGTTGTCTGTTGGACAGATTTTCAAGAATCCAACCCTGGAGCAGATGGCGAATGCTATGTCCTTAGCTCGATCAGAAGATAAAAACCATCGCATTGAAAAGTTTGCACTCCTCCCACAGCCTAATTATGAAATCCCTACCATTACGCGCGAGATAGCAGGGATATGTCACGTCAATGAACGCTCGATTGAAGACATATATCCTTGCACGACATTGCAGGAAGGAATGTTGGCGCAGTCGTTGACTCGTCCAGGATCGTATCTAATGCAAAATGTATATTCGCTTCCTTCGCACATTGACCTTGACAGGTTTCGTGCTGCATGGGACATGATCATCCAACAGGAGCCTATCTTTCGTACAAGGATCTTGCAGACATCTGTTGGCACCCTTCAAGCTGTAATGTTTAATGTTGTGAAATGGGAAGAGGCCGAAAAGTTCGAATCTTACGTAGCTAGGGACAAGTCAAGTCTTATTGAACATGGGCAATCGATGACCAGACTTGCACTTTTCCACGATGATTTCAGTAATACAGCTCGGTTCGTGCTCACAATTCATCATTGTTTGTACGACGGCTGGATGCTTGAGCTTGCCTGGAAAGCAGTCACTGCTGCATACGCAGGGTCTTGCCTGCCAACCTCAGCACCGTTCAACAGATTCATTCAATATCTGTCTAGCATAGATCGAAATGCTCAGAAAAAATTCTGGCAGACGCAACTGGCAGATGCCAACAAGGCGTCTTTCCCAGAAATTCCCACCGGGCATTTACCTTCTGCTTCATCTATTGTGGCTCACTCTGCGATGTGTACAATACTTAATGGCCAATATAAGCTGGCGGCCACTACACCAGCAATCATTCGCGCTGCTTGGTCACTGCTGATCTCCAGATATTCCATGACGGAAGACGTCACATTTGGCGCTGTATCAATTGGGCGGACTGCTCCTGTTGCAGACATCGAACGCATAGCAGCTCCTCTTATCGCGACAGTGCCGGTCAGAGTCCAGATAGACCGCCGACAGCGGATATCTTCATATCTTGAGCAGATACAGGAGCAAGCTACCGAGATGATCCCTTACGAGCACACTGGACTGCAAAACATCAAGTCATATCTTGACTCCGAAACCCAACATGTCTGCGATCTACAGACTCTGCTTGTGATACAGCCCGCGAACACAACAGAAGAGACTATTCCAGGAGTCGAATGCATATCAGAGGGCGTGGACTTTAAGGTGCCGCATGCTTTGGCTGTGATCTGTTCGCTTATCCCGGACGGTATTGAGCTCCAGGCCAGCTTTGACCCAGTGGTACTGGAGTCAGAGACTGTTCGTCGTATGCTGGGTCATCTTGCCAATCTCATCAATCATATCTATCACTCGAACCGGCAGACCACTTTAGGAGAGCTCGAGTTGATCGATGAAGCGGAAACGAAAGAGATCCTTATACGAAATCGAAAAGAGCCACCGATTACGAACAGATGCATTCATGATGTCATACAACAAATTACCGACCACGATCCTCAAGGTACAGCTGTTGTTGCTTGGGATGGGCAGTTTACATACCAACAACTTAATGATCAGTCCGCCCGAATAGCTCGCGACCTTGGTGGCCGAGGAGTGAGGCCAGACGAGATTGTGCCTCTACTCTCTGAAAAATCTAAATGGGTGGTCGCTAGCATTATCGGTATTATGAAGGCTGGTGCTGCTTTCGTGCTTATCGATACGGCAACCCCTGACGATCGTCTGCGATCTATCCTGAATATAACAAATGCGAGAGTAGCTTTGACTTCTTCCGAGTGTGCTGGAAAGTTTCCTCCAGGCACTCTTTCTGAAATCGTCGTCTTCACCGAAACCGATACCGGTTACTCTCAGACCAAGACTCACCCAGACAAAGATCCTACGAGCATTGCTTACGTCAACTTCACATCAGGAACGACATCTCAGACCCCTAAAGCGGCTGTAGTAGAACACAAGGCTTTCACAACCGCTGCTCTCGAGCACGGAATTGCCTTGGAGATCACTAGCCATAGTCGAATTCTTCAGTTTGCGTCATACAATTTTGATAGCGCGATCTGGGAGATGCTTGTACCCCTAATGCATGGAGGATGCGTCTGTATCCCATCCGAAATGCAACGACTCGACGATCTTACAGGCTTCATGCAACAAACACATGTCGACCTGGCGGTCTTGACGCCTACGGTCGCGAGAGCATCTCTCAGAACAGAAGAGTTGGGCTTACTCAAGACTTTGCTGCTTGTTGGAGAGCCGATGTCGCGAGACGATCTCTCCCGTTACAATCGCGATAAAGTGCGCTTGTTGAATGGCTACGGCCTCGCAGAATGCTGTGTCTGCAGCTCTATATTGGAGCCAGAAGAGGGAAATCTCGGAGCCATTGGAAAACCAATAGCCTCTAATTTCTGGATCACTGATCCTGAAGACCATGATCGTCTCGCACCATTGGGTGCAATTGGGGAACTGCTCATCGAAGGATCGGTCCTCGCTCGTGAATATCTTGGCGACGAAGCGCGAACAAAAGCTTCTTTCGTAAAAAATCCGGCCTGGTCAAGGAGTCTTCGACCTATGCGCTTGTACAAAACCGGGGATCTAGTGAAAATGCGGCCTGATGGCAACCTCACCCTTTTAGGCCGCAAAGATATGCAGGTGAAACTTCGCGGACAGCGAATCGATTTGACCGAGGTTGAAAGAGTCATCAAAAAGCATGTTCTCGATGGTACGGCAGAGGTCGCTTGCGATGCTTTGCTACACGCAGGAAGGAAAACATTAGCAGCTTTTGTCTGCTCCGAGATACGGATAGATAGTCGCGACAATGACCTTCTCGCCAGCAGTCCAGCCTTCAGAAAGCGTCTAGATGCTACTATACTTGGATCTAAGTACGACATTATGGGAGATCTACCTCAGCACATGATACCCAGTCTTTACATCCCCGTAACTCAAATACCACTCCTGCCATCCGGCAAAGTCAACCGTAGAAAGCTAGCATCTGTAACTCAAAGTATGTCAGCTGAAGAACTTGCACAATTCTCCGCCAAGAAGCGAGAAGATGTTTCTGCGCCAATGTCTCAAGCAGAAAGTGCCCTTGCCAAGGAATGGTCGAGCATCTTTGAAATTCCACCAGAAATCATTAGAGTGACTGACGACTTTTTCACGTGGGGCGATTCAATCGGTGCGATCAAATTGACAGCCTTGCTGCGAAAGCAGGGGATGCTTATCTCCGCTGTTGATATCATGAGGCATCCGGTATTGGCAGACATGGCTACGAAGGTGACAGAAGCACAAGTTGTTTCTAGTGGACAGCTCGAGCCCTTCGCCCTCATCGACAGCTCACTCGATGATGTTTTTCAAGAATTGCATGACGTGCATGCGATTCGGAAGAATGAAGTCGAGGATGTGTACCCTTGTACTCCTCTCCAGGAAGGGCTCATGGCCCTCTCGGTAAAGCAACGAGATTCGTTCGTAGCGCGAAATATCCATCACCTCCCGTCCTCGGTTTATGTAGATAGGTTCTACCAAGCGTGGCGACATGCCATTGAAGTGAACGCAATACTTCGAACAACAATAGTACAGACCAGGAAAAGTGGTCTACTGCAAGTGGTATTGAAAGAGCAACGGTCGTGGGTAAGACCAAAAGACCTTGCTGAATATCTTGCTCAGGACAAGAGATTATCTCTTGGGTTTGGAAAAGACCTCAATCGATTTGCTTTGGTTGAAGATTTCAAGGGCTGGTACTTTGTATGGACGAGTCACCATGCAACGTACGACGGATGGTCTGTCAACTTGATCTTCCAACAAGTGGATCAACACTACCGCCGTCTCAGCGTTGAGAACACTTTGCCCTTTAACATTTACATCCAGCATATCACCTCGATTGACACTGATGCCACCAAAGCTTTTTGGCTGGCCCAATCTACGACTTCGAACAGCGTCGTGTTTCCGATGCTACCGGAGAAAGCCTATACTTCAAAAGCAGACAGGTCTCTTACTCACGTACAGACTCTTGTGCCAGGAAGCAGGCTGTCATCGGCCACAATTCACGCTGCATGGGCATTGTTGGCTTCAAAATACGTCAACAGTCAAGATATGACTTTCGGTATAGTCATGAATGGCAGGACAGACTCAATCTCTGGCATCGATAGAGTGGTTGGTCCAACAATCGCAACCGTCCCCCTCAGCATGTCTATCAACCCAAACATGACTTTCCGAGCGCTCGTCGAATCTGTGGAGCAAAAGTCGTTGAACATGATCCCATTCGCTCATTATGGTCTGCAGAACATTAGAAAGTTAAGCCCAGAAGCTGAAAGGCTGTGCAATTTTCAGACCATACTCATTGTACAGCCTGATACTCAGGTCGATCTCCCATGTGGTGCGAAACATGCGGAAGAAGAGTCTCATGAGCTATCAAGTTTCAACAATTACGGCCTCATGCTTGAGGTTCAATTAGGTGCCAAGAGTTTGACCGTGACTGCGAATTTCGATAGCAAATTGATCGATACAACGCTCATGGAGGGAATGCTCTCACAACTTGGCTATATACTGGAGCAAACCCAAGTGTCCGCTCGCATGGGGTTGAAGGATGTGGAATTTTCTTCCCCGCGCGAGACTGAAGACCAAATTCGCTTCCAAGGTTCTCGGCTGGGATCCAAGCAAGTAACAGTACAGGGTCTCATTAGTGCTCAAGCCGGTACACAGGGTGACAAGCACGCCATCGAAGGTTGGGACGGGAAGCTCGCATATTTGGAATTGGAAAAGCTATCAACAAACCTCGCTGCGTACCTTGTCAGCCATGCTGGATCCCAGCAGAAATCAATTGTATCCATCTATTTTGCGCGATCAACATGGACCACCATTGCGATGATTGCTGTTTTGAAAGCTGGCGGTGCTGTCATCCTGCTTGATCCCACATATCCGGTAGCTCGGTTGAGCGACATTGTTGCGGACTCTGGCTCGCAGCTGTTACTTTGTGATCCCGAGCATTCCGATGTACTCGAAATGAAAACTGTCGTAGAGATCACGCCTGGCTTCCTCAGGGGTCTTCCCACCCAAGAAAATCCCAGCATCTCCGTCGATCCTGATGAATTGGCCTTTGCGATATCTACTTCTGGCAGCACCGGTAAGCCAAAGATCATGACACACTCCCATGCAGCGATCTGCACTGCTATCACCGGATATGGTGAGAGCCTCAATCTCAGCGCAGAATCACGAGTCCTGCAGTTCTCCGCCTATGCCTTCGACATGAGTATCAATGAGACGCTTGCCGCCCTTTTCCATGGAGGAACCTTATGTGTTCCCTCCGACCATGATCGCCTCAACAACCTTGCAGGCTTCATCCAAGACTCAGGGGTCAACTGGATGTTCGCTATGCCCTCATTGATGAGACGAGCACGAATCACCCCAAAAGACATCCCTACAGTCAAGACGATGGTCTTTGGGGCCGAGAAGACTTACCAAGATGACATAGACTGCTGGAAAGACAAAGTCACGCTCCGGTCTGCTTACGGCCCTGCTGAATGCCAAGTCTGTACAGCTGGACCTCTGGAAGTGCCCGGGGAGATTGGTGTTGCGAATTCTTGCGCTTGTTGGATAGTCGATCCGGAGAATGTGGATCGACTTTTACCCTCTGGCATGATTGGCGAGCTTCTTGTTCAAGGGCATATCGTGTCCCGAGGCTATCTGAATGCACCAGAGACATCCTTCTCCGTTAGCCCAAATTGGCTTCAGTCAGACTTGGCAGCCAAGGGACGAATGTTCCTCACGGGCGACCTTGTCAGGATTGATGCTCGGGGTAGAATGATCTATGAAGGCAGAAAAGAAGCGACGCAGGTCAAGCTCCGTGGCCAGAGACTTGAACTTGGTGAAGTGGAATACAGTCTCAGAAGTCTACTACCCGTGGGTGTTGATGTCGCAGCCAGTATCGTGAACCAATCCGATCAGGCAACACTGGTCGCTTTTCTTTCTTCTGCACAATCGCTGAGTGAAAAGGTAATAGCCCAAGAACTGCAGAGCTTGCAGACTAGACTTCAAGACGCATTGCCAAGTTTTATGGTACCTAGTGGCTATGTCATTCTCGACGCACTGCCGCTAACAAGCTCTGGTAAGATTGACCGTAAGAAGCTTCAAGTAATGAAAGTCTCGGAAGATCAGATGATCGTTGTAGGGAGTACCAGCACAGATGAATCAATCCAGCTTTCAGATACCGGGAAACTTCTTCAGCGGGCTTGGATTAATGTCTTACAGCTACCAGAGGGTCGCTCAAATGCGCGGAGCAATTTCTTTAGGCTTGGAGGAGACTCCATCTCAGCAATGAGGCTTGTCAGCAGAGTGCGTGATGATCACATGCAATTGACAGTGGCAGACGTATTCAAGTATCCGATATTAGAGGAGATGGCAGACCACGCGTGCGTGCTTGTGGATGATAGGAATTACGAACCGTTTTCGATGCTTGGTGAGAGAGCCAGTGTGATCTCGGAAGAAGTAGCTCAGCAGTGCAATGTGACGGTCGATCAAATCGAAGATGTCTATCCTTGCACCCCACTTCAGGAAGGGTTGTTCGCTCTATCGCAGAAGAATGGCTCATACGTGGCGCGCAGTGTCTTTAAATTGCCATCCAACGTGGACACCGAGGCTTTCAAGGCTGCTTGGGATAAAGTGGTATCCTTCCATACCATTCTGAGGACTTCTATCAGTCAAACATCCAATGATGGCCTTCTTCAAGTCGTACGAAGAGCACCTCCTACGTGGGACATTGCAGCTGATCTTGACAATTACATGGCTAGGCAAGTGACAATGGGATTAGGAGAAGCGCTCACCAAGTGTGCGATTGTGGATTCACGTTACTTCATTCTCAGTCAGCATCATGCGGCTTATGATGGCTACTCCCTCCCACAGGTATTCCAACAAGTCGAAGACATCTACAAGGGTGCTAGGACCAACGTCTTTCCGACGTCATTCGGTCGATTCATACGTCAAACGCTGGAATCACAAAGTAAAGCGTCTCAAGAGTATTGGACGTCAGAGCTGCGTGGCGCGGCAGCTTCAGCCTTTCCATATGTTCCATCCGGATACGAACCTGTACCATCTTCTTACATCAAGCAAGAATTTTCGCTCGATCGCGGCAACATCGATGCCACAACTCCTACACTGCTACGAGCTGCGTGGGCACTGGTGCTTGCAAGCTATACTGGCACTCAAGATGTCACATTTGGTGCAACTCTGTCTGGTCGCCAGGCTGCCGTGCAGCAGATTGAGCGCATTGTCGGACCAACCATCACCACAGTCCCGATTCGGGTCATGATTGACCTAGAATTGCAAATTGGGCAATACTTGCAGTCAATACAAAACAGCGCGGCGAAAATGATTCCTTATGAACAAACTGGTTTACAAAACATTCGTGACCTTCTGGACGATGACGCGAGAAGTGCCTGTGATTTCCAGAATCTAATGATCGTAAACCCACAGACTGCATTTTCGTACCTACAGAGTGACCTATTTGTCCCATCGAATTACAATAACAAAGATGCAGCTACGTTTCGTACCTATGCCTTCAACCTGGAATTCACCATCCTGGACAAGAACACTGTGGCTGCAGAGGTTTTCTTTGATTCCAAATTACTGAACAATGATCGAGTGACTCGGATGCTAGATCAGATTGAGCATGTCTTGAAGATACTGACAAGCTCACCAAGTCTACAGCTCAAAGACGTTGACTTGATAAGTCCACAGGATCTGGCGCAAATAAAACTCTGGAATGCTAAAGCTAAGACCTCGCCATCGCCAACATGTGTACATACAGACATAGAATCGCAGTCAAAGTCTAGCTCTGAAGAGAATGCAGTAAGTGCCTGGGATGGTGTTTTGACATATACGAAAATGCAAGAGCTATCCACGCATTTGAGCTTACATCTCACTTCCTTGGGTATTGGCCCGGAGGTGAACGTTGCCCTTTGCTTCGAGAAAAGCCTTTGGATGGTGGTCGCTGTTTTGGCTGTCATGAAATCTGGAGGATGTTTCGTGCCTCTTGATCCATCGCATCCAAAGAGCAGATTGAACTATATTGTCGATGAGGTCAGAGCGCCTGTTGTTCTGACTTCAGTTCTACATAAAGACCTTTTTGATACCAGCATTGAGGTCAGCGAAGCAGGTCTGGACAACATGTCCATCGAACTTGAAAATGTCTATCCTAAGCAGCAACTCAAGCCATCAAATTCTTTGTATATCTTATACACCTCAGGCTCCACAGGAAAGCCGAAAGGGGTGGTCATTGAGCATCAAGCTTTCGCATCGGCGTCAAAGTCACGTCGAACCGTCTTAGGGCTTGATCAGCATTCAAAAATTCTACAATTTGGTGCATACAGTTTCGATACCAGTGTGGAGGACATGCTCTCGACTCTCATGGCCGGAGGTTGTATCTGCATTCCATCTGAAGAAGAGCGCAGAGATTCCCTCGCACAAGCCATAGCGAAATACCATGTGAACTATGCCGACCTTACTCCAAGCGTGGCAAATCTTCTCAATCCTCAAGACGTGCCGGGACTGAAGACCTTGGTACTAGCCGGCGAGGCTGTACCAGAAGTCAGTGTCAGGATATGGCAGGGTAGAGTCCGATTGATCAATGCTTATGGGCCGACCGAGAGCTCGGTATTGACCCACATTCAGCCAAACTTGACGCTGGACATGGAGTCGAAGAACATTGGAACTGGGGTTGGTTGTAAAACTTGGCTTGTAGACGAGAAGGATCACAACAAGCTGGTTCCAATTGGCGCACCGGGAGAGCTACTCATTGAGGGGCCCGGTCTCGCTCGAGGATATCTGAACGACGACGCAAAGACTCGAGCTGGGTTCATTGAGAATCCATCTTGGGCTGAAAAACCAATGAGGGCATACAAGACTGGTGATCTTGTGCGCTACGACTCGGATGGATCCGTCGTTTACTTGCGCCGCATTAATGAGACACAAGTCAAGATTCGGGGGCAGAGGGTTGAATTGGGCGAGATAGAATCACAATTACGCATAGCACTTAAGGAGGCTCGAGACATTGCGGTGGATACAGTTCAACAGGAGTCGAAAGCCCCGGTGCTGACGGCATTTGTCGCCCTTCCCAGTGTCGACCGTCAAGCAACAAAGGCTGAAATAGCGAGCAAGGCCAATTCGGAGCTGCAAGAAGCCTTGCCAGTTCACATGCTTCCCACCGTTTACGTGTTCGTTGGCACGATACCACTGGCTTCCTCAGCGAAGATTGACAGGCGGAGGTTGCAGCAGATCGCAATCGCATCTCTGCTCGATGGGAGTGCAATCTTGCCAGACAGCAGTAATAGCAGCGCAGAAAAGCCGACTTCTGATCTAGAGCTCCGAATGCAAGCGATCTGGAGTGAAGTGCTTAACATCCCGCAATCTCAAATCAGTACATCCACTCCATTCTTCAACCTTGGCGGTGACTCAATCTCTGCTATTCAAGTAGTTGCCAGAAGTCGCCGACAGCAGCTAGTCGTGACGTCTTTTGACATTCTGAAGCATAAAACCATCGCGAAGATCTGCAAAGCTGTGGAAGAACGACTGGTCGAGGAAATCCCCGTCGAGATCGAAGATGTTGAGACCGAGGCGCCATTTGAGCTGTCACCTATCCAACGACAATTCTTCCAGACCATGCCCGAGGGCAACAACCTTTTCCAGCAAAGCTTTCTGCTTGAAGTTCAAGAAGATGTTAGCCCAGAAATGGTCAAACTTGCAGTTGACAGGATAGTGGCCGCTCATCCTATGCTCAAGGCGAGGTTTGAGAAACGAGATGGCGAGTGGAGATCGTATGTCTCGAGCGGAAATGCGAATGGCTACCCCTTCCAGACTGAACTTGGGGAAGAAATTGAGGTGGTAAGGCAGAGAATTGATCAAAGCATTAATGTTGAAAATGGTCCTGTGTTTGCGGCTGCGTTTCTTCCTGCTCAAGCGAAGTCGGTGGTGTATCTGACCGCGCATCATCTGGTGATCGATCTTGTTTCATGGAGGATCATTCTGGCAGATCTCGAAGAGCTATTCCGATCTCCAAACCCTTTGATCGCAAATGAGCCGTTGTCGTTCAGGACTTGGTGCCGTCTGCAAAGGGACTACATCAAGAATCCGCTCAATTCAACCGATCTTTTACTACTCGACAAAACGAAGTCTTCGGACCTCGGCGCCTATTGGGGCGCTGAAGCAGCCCATACTTACGAGGAGACTACGTCGGATCATTTCAGCCTAGATAGGGAGAGTTCTACCTCTCTTATAGGAGGTAGCAACGGACCGTTGAAAACGGAGCCAGTGGAGATATTTCTTGCCGCTCTTGCCCATTCTTTTCACACAATCTTCACCGACAGAGAACCTCCTTCCATCTTTAACGAAAGCCACGGTCGTGAGCCATGGTTCGACTCTCTCGACCTATCCCGTACTGTTGGCTGGTTCACCACCATGTATCCGCTTAACGTCAACCCCAACGACGACATGATAGAGACTGTAATCCAAACAAAGGATGCTCGACGAAGCATGAGAAGTAGCGGCTGGCAATTCTTCACGTCACACCACCTGAACAGCCACAACAATGTGCCCCTGAATCCAGAAATCATCTTCAACTACCAAGGCCACTACCAACAATTCGAGCGAGAAGACGCGATGTTCAAGCTCCTCCCTATCGCAGAGCCAGCATTCTCAAGACCCGGAGCCAACGTGATACGGCAATCCCCCATCGAGATTTCCGCCATCGTGCAAGACAAGCAGATCCGCTTCGATTTCGTCTGGAATCGACACATGGCGCACCAAGCCAAAATCCAACGATGGATCCAGCAATACCAGCAAACACTTCACGACGCCGCACACCTCCTTCCAGTGACCGAACCACGCTGGACATTGAGCGATTTCCCCCTCCTCCCACCATCCTTCAAAGCCTTCTCCACCCTCTCTCAGGATATCATACCACATCTACCATCACCCATAGCAGACATCTACCCCTGCTCGCCCCTGCAGCGGAAAATGCTCACCAGCCAGCTCGCAACGCGGACATGCTATCAGACCATAACGACATTCCTCGCGCTGCCCACGCACCCGAGCCAAGAAATCTCCATCGAGCGACTCCAGCGTGCGTGGCAAAAGCTCGTCGACACCCACCCGCTCCTGCGCACGTGTCTCCTCCAGATCGACGACCACGCTGTACAGATAGTGCTCGAGCACTACGCTGCCGATATTGTCATTTCTGACTTTACAGGAGGGGCAGGGGCGGGTCTGTTCGCCAGCACACCGCCCCATCTCCGGCCGATGCACCGGCTCACCCTTTCCCCAGCCCGCCCTTCGTTAACGCAGATGGGGATGGGGGTACGGTGTCAGCTCGAAATCCACCACGCGCTAATCGACGGCTCATCGTTGCAAGTGCTGCTTCGATCCCTGCGTCGTATCTACAGCACCCCTCCACCCCCAACCCCAATCCCAATCCCAGCCCAATATACGCCCGACACGAATACCTATCGCGCATACATCTCGCACCTCCTCCACCCCCGCCCCCGCCCATCCCTTTCCCCACACCGTCCTACGATAGGGATGGGTCCTTGCAACATCCCCCTCACCAACCCCACAGCCCCGTTTCACTCCCCCGCCTCCCGCACCGTCGATCTCGGCTCCGTACAAGACCGCCTGCACATTTTCTGCAGGGAACAGGGCGTGACGGTAGCGGTGCTGCTGCAGACGGCGTGGGCGCTAGTCCTCCGCTCGCGGACGGGGATGGAGGGGGTTGTGTTTGGGAATGTGGTTAATGTGAGGAGTCATGTTGGCAACGTTATGCAAAGAGAAAGGGGGAGGGGTTGGATGGGGTGGAAGGGGCGGTGGGGCCGTATATCGATGTGGTGCCTTGCTGCGTGAGACTAGACATGGGAACGGAGGGGAGGGAGGGGATGGGGGGAAAGGAGGCATTGCGTGCTATGGCAGAAGAGAGCGTGCGGCGTATGGGTGCGATGGGAGAAGAAGGGATCGGGGAAGGAGTGGGGGGTTTTAATACGTGTATGAATTTCCGGAAATACGCCACCAGCCCCCTTCCCCCAATCCCTCCCACACCAGCACGACCACTCCAAAAGAAGAAGAAGAGGGAGGAATCACATTCCAGCTCCAAGCTGCTGGCGGGCAGTCCGATCCGTGGGATTACGACATCATGGTGGAGATCGCGGAGGATGGAGATGGAATTAGTGTCGTGTTGGCGTTTTGGGAGAGTAGGGTTGATAAGGAGGTGGTGGGGGGGATTGCGGGGGGTTTTGCGGGGGTGTTGGGGAGGTTGGTGAGAGGAGGGAAGGCTGGGGGAGGTTAGGGGAGGTAGGGAGGTGGGGGAGGTAGGGGCAGGTAAAGAGAGGCTGGGGGAGGTGGGGGGGTGATGGGGAAAGGTGAGGAAAGGAGAAAGGAGGGAAGGAGAGAGGGGGGAGGAGAAAAAGAGGCAAAACGGGCCAGGGATTCAGCAGAACAGAGACGATCACGCGATGTTTATCAACGAAAAGGGTGGGAACAACAGATTGTTCAAACAGATATATCCACGATTTAGAACACAGAAGCAAGAAGAATGGGGGTGGGGTAATATCAACACTGTCATTACCGCTCAAATAACCATGCTTGAAATTCCATACACACTTCGCTATTTACACTCTCCCTCCCCTCCTCCCTTCACAACCGTGCCCTTTCATACCATCGAGTTCAGAAACCACACCCAGCACGCATCATCATTACATCCACCCCCCTCATCCCCTCCATCTCCCGCCCAAATTCACGAAACATTCGGATCCAAGCGATTAGCAGTCTCGGTATGATGCGGGCCCGGGTGCAGAATATCAGTCACATGTCCATGTCCATGATGATGTTCGCCGTGACCAGTGCCTGACCCAAGCCCTGACCCAACCCCCGTTCCTGTCGTGTCAGAACCGAGACCGGTGCCTGTTGTTGTATTATTACCGTGGCCCAGTCCAGCTCCCGTGCCCGTCCCTGTTCCTGTCTGTCCTAGACCAGTACCTGTGCCTGAGCCGAAGCCTGTTCCGGTGGTGTTATTTCCTTGGCCAAGTCCAGTGCCAGTCCCCGAGCCCAAACCCGAAGTGTCATCGCCATAACCGCGCTCGCCGGTGCCAGTGAGGCCGGTGTTGTGATGGCTGCCTGTGAGCCCGCTGCCGGTACCAGTGGTGGAGTCATCGTATCCAAGTTTCGAGGAGGGGATGTTGACGTCTGAGAGGCCTTGATTGTTGCCTGTGCCTCCGATACCGGTGCCGGTGGTGTTTCTGTTGCTATCGAGTGGGTTGTGCGTGCCTGTGCTTCCGGTATGGTGGCCAGTGCCGCCAATGCCTCCAAGACCGGTGCCGGTACCGGTGGTGGTGTTGTCTCTGCTGCTGCTGTCAAGCGGGTTATTGTGTGTTCCTGTGCTACCGGTGTGATGGCCACTGCTTCCGATACCGCCGAGGCCTGAGCCTGTGCCGGTAGTATCTCTGTTGCTATCGAGCGGGTTGTTATGTGTGCCTGTTCCAGTGCCCGTCAATCCACTCCCAGTCCCATGATGCCCCAGCGTGTCATGAGTCCCAGTCGTGCCCGTGGTATTATCGAGACCACGATTACTATCGTGGTGATCACGCGATCCGATACCCGCACCAGCAAGCGCACCAGCACCCGCTCCGCCCGCGCCAGAAACGAGGCCACGGTCGCGGTTGTTGGAGTCGTAGCCTGAGCCTGCGCCAGTCAGATTAGATGGGTTGGCAGTGTTGCTTTCACCGGTGAGGCCGTGGTGACCGGTATTTGAGGTGTTGCTGGAGGACGGAGTACCACCTTGGTTCAGGATATCGTGGACTTTGCTGTGGCGGTCGTTGTATTGTTCTGAACCCGGATAGCTGGATGAAGATGTGTTTTGAGTGCCGTCATTCTGGTGGCGATCTGTACCTGATGAGCCGGTTGCGGCTGAGAGAGGGTTTTGGCGCGTGTTCTGTGCGTCGTCGTTGTAGTTACGATCACTGCCTGTCCCTCCGACTGCTGCAGCGTTAGGATTTTGGTGGCTGCTATGAGTGGGATCATTGCGATTCCTCTCGTGCTCTGCTAGTCCGCCTGCTGTGGTAGTGCCAACAGCAGCGGGATGATGATCTCTATTCGATGAGCCGGTTGTTGCTGAGATTGGATTTTGATGCGTTGTATCTCGTGTACCATCATGGCGATGCTTCTCGTGCTCTGCTAACCCTGTTGCAGCTCCGACTCCTGCGCCGCCGTGATGACGATCTCTGTCTGTCAGACCTTGGCCAGTCGATGAAGTGGTGGGGTCGTATTGCTGCCCACGTGTATGGTGGTCGCCCGTTGTCGTGTTGGATCCAGTAAGACCGGTGCCGGTATGCGATCCCGTGAGATCTGATCCGGTATTCGATCCAGTAAGGCCTGATCCGGTGTTGGATCCAGTGAGGCCTGTCCCAGTGCCAGTGCCTGTGCCTGTAAGACCACTCCCAGTGCCAGTTGCACCAGTACCTCCAAGATTCCCACTTTGAACGCCAGAGTCTCGTTCGCCGTGGATACCAGGCTCACAGCTGTCGAGAACGCCTGGCTTGGTTTCACCCACGGAGGAGCCGTGAACCACGCTTTCCTCTGTAGGATTATTAGAATCGCGATAATGTTGGAAAAGAGGATGGCATACCGGTGTTTGTGGTGCCTGTGTGAGTCTTGTCACCTCCTACAGCATTCTTGACTTTGTTAAGAAGGCCTGACATGATCGATTTATGGTGATTGACTTGAATGAGTGGGTTGGATGGATGCAATGGGTATCAATGGGGAAGCTGATGATGGATTGGAAAGAGAATGCGAGGGCAGAGACCCTTTAAGTACCAGACAATGTCAACACAGATGACGACGCAAGAAGCGGGGGGATGTTGGAAGGAGCTGTGGGAGGACTTGGAAGTGGGGGAAGTGCTACATTGCACCTTCGCATGTGACCCTGCTAGACCCAGTCTGGATCCAGGAACCAAGGAACGGCCGCATTGCACTTGCCCAACTTGGCCGCCAGCGCATAAAGAATCAAGGCACAGGCCGCATTCACTTATACTAGAGGCAGATCTGTTGTCGATTGAGACACCTCGAGGTCGTATATCAGAGATGAATGACGTCTGTTTACTCCACAATTGGGATCGGCACTGCACAGCCACTGTGGCGCATACGCACAGCCACGATTCTGTCCCGGGTCCAGACCAATTGTGGCGGACAGTTGAAATTTTCAAATTCCATGCGACGCAGATCACCGGAACCTGCTTCACTGGTCAAGCAAGATGAGCCAAGAATATCATAGGACGCTCAAGTTGGTGAATAAGACCTTGACTCAGTCTCTTGATGAGTCCCGTACCTGCGCAAAGGTGGACACGAGCATTGTCAGAAAGAACCAATCATACCACTTGTTCTATTGTAGCAAGTACGTCGTAGATGATGGATGCAGTGAATTGAGTCTCAAGGAGAATGCAATACGCACGAGCCCCTTTCCAGCCCTGAAGCTAACCTCATTCGGTCGAACTTCTCCGGAAGTAGCACGGTAACCCCGACTAGCACTCCCATTGCCACAATATTGCAGGAGAGCCAATGCTTGCGTGTTATTTCATGCAATGCTATGCACATTGCTTCTAAGAGGACTCAGCATCTGAGAATAGGTGCTGAGTCTGATATCTCATATTCCTGGTTCAAATAAAAAGCAAGCTCTCCCGCTCTAGTAGTTTGCAAAGCAAGCAGGCAATTTGGCAAATACCGCATGTTGTTTGACTGTCAACCGAGGTTCTGTAAAGCTCGTTCCTGCATTTGCAAGGAATGCTGCGCCATGCTTCGTCCCGCTTCATTCTACTCTTCCTCCTTCTCATTCTCCTCCTCCCCAATTGACTCCTCGTCCCCGCTCTCTTCCGAAGACACCTCTTCTTCGCTACTTTCCTTAGCTACACCAAAGGTGTCGTAACAGGGATCTACTATCTTTCGCGTACACTCCAACCTGCTGAGCCGCTTATTGCATAATTCTCGCTTTCGGATTTCCGTCTTTTTCCATTTCAGTATTCGATCCTTAGCCACTTTGGACTTCCGTTCGTAATGATTAACTTGCCAGTACATTCTAGAGTGCAAGTCCTTGAGCTGGTTTCGGGTTGCTTTGAATCTATCCAGGAAGTGCTGGACGTGCGCGACCTCGTAGATCTTGTGCCGCTCGATATCCCGTCTGGCTTTTTTGAAGACTGCTTGGCACAATATCTTAGTTTTCTGGTAGTCTTCGCAAATCTCTGTTTCTGTCCACTTGTTTCTATTATTGTCGCGAGACTTCTTTGCGATGTGAGCGCCATTTGGGTCCAAGAGGGCAGAGTGAAATTCTTGCGCAATACTTGGGATTGCGGGGTTTTCCCTTTCTGAGTCTTGCTTATCATGAAAATATCGTGTTTCTGCTTCCATGTGGAGGATCATCTGTTGTAGGTCTATCGCTTGAAGAGGTCTGAAGCAATCGAGTGCGACACGAGCTACCATCACTTCATCGACATATGAGCGGCTATAACCACCTGTGAACTGGTATTTGATGTCCAGCTCAAGATTCTTCACGGACTTTAGAGCGTTGATAGTAGTTGTAGGTATCCAGTATTTCCGGCTCCTTGTATCTTTCGCCAGTGCCCAAGACGAGAATTCTATCGAAGCTCTAATAAGAATATTGCTCAATTTACGTTTCTGTGCTGTGTTCAGCGTATTTGCAAATTCTAGTAAGGAAGAGCGATCATTAAAAATGTAGGTGTTTGTGACCCAAAGGACACTCTGAGCCTCCTCATAGAGTTGACGACAACTGCTCAGAATCCCTAAGTCTAGCACCTTACCTTCTCGCCTGGTAAGATCGTCCATGCAACAGGATTCGTGGCGATCCGTTGATCTTTCCGGACGGGATACACTGGTTGTGATCGCTTTCCTTGGTGAGATACCTGGATTTTCCTCAAACTCGGATGCAGTATGAGAAAAAGACTTTTTTTGAGCAACCTAGGGAATGAGCAGTCAGTATTGTCCAGTTGGAATACTTGTTACAACTTTCCACACAAACCTTAATTGCTTGCCAATTGTTCGGATAAAGGGCCCAATCCCGGATTTCTCGCAGCTTTAAGTGGACACATCTATTTCCAATTAAGAACAGTAAGATCTTCTCCCGAATCTCGATCGGCAATGAGAGGAGTGGCGAGTCCCGCGAATTTCTCCGGATCCTGTAAAAAGCATTAGTCAATTAGCGGCATTGCTGAAACATTTTTCAAACATTTCAATGGTTGCACGATTACTAGTTTTTGTCACCGCCGTGGCTTTCCGTCTCTTGGTGGATGGGATTTGAGCCACTGCCGCCTCCTCGCGTTGTCCCTCGGCCTTGCGTTTCTTCGCTCTGGGAGCCTGCAAGCATTCATCAGTCTAACCAAGAATCCTTGTGTCGATGGGATGACTTACCATGGTGATGCAGGAGCCACGAATCTTGCTTACCAACGACTGCGTCACTTAATGAGGACGAAAAGGATACCCCATCAAATGTGGCGCAAGAGAACAGTCGGAGCCATGATGTTTGTTCATGAGAGTTGATAAGAGAAGGAAGAATAGACAAGAACAAATAGGACGTTCAGGCCAGCGCACAGTGTGTTGAGTCGGCGTAACAATGGCGTAGCGCAGGTGTCGCCCCTCAGTGTCGCCCCTCAGTGTCGCCTAGGCAATTGACAGCAACCGGCTCTGCCGTGATATCTGGAGTGATGATGGTCGTACAAACAAGTCGAAGTAATTACTCCTAATAGCAAAAACAGCAGGAACGACACACAACGGATCCTAACGCTAACCATTTTGGGCCGCGCTCAAGAAGGATTGATTGACACAGCAAGCCCGGCCAACACTTTCTCTGCCACATTTTGCAGAACTTGCCAATCATTGACACATTATTTATTAGATGCTATACACGCTTTTCTTTGCAGCCTCTGCCCTCACTACCGGCTGCAAGAAGAAGCATGATAGACTCGCATGTATTCGCACGCTACTTACAGTCTTATGGGTATTAGCTGACGAAGGAGCTGAAGAGGATCATCTCTGGCACTCGAAATCCTTCTTTGATATCTTTGAGACCATTCCCGGTTCAGATCCACAATCTCTTCTACAATAAGTCCTCGCCTTCAAGTATTCTCATTTCCAAAAACACAGCCGTCCTCACTTAGTTGGCCGTCATCATTGCAGGTATCTTCGTTATATTTTAAAGCCTCATCCTCAGTCAGAATTGCTGCTCTCTCTCACACGGCGCAGCTTTTCAAGACGCTTATCACGTTCTTCTCGTCTCTTGCCTTGGATCTCCTTCCACGTCTGAGTAGACTTTTCAGCTTCATTCCGAGCTTTCAGCAAGCTACCAGCTTTTCGTTCCATTACAAAATTCAGAGCCTTGAGCTGGTCACGGGACGCCTTCTTCGATTCTAGATATTCTTGTACTGACTTCTCATGCTCATCATGCTCTCGGACCTTCTTTTCGTTCTGCTCAAGGATCCTGTTACAGTACAATGTCCTCTTCTGATACTCTCCATAGATCGCAGCTTCTGTGCAAAAATGCTTTGGGGGCTTTCGGGCAGTTTTGGCCAATTCCAAACCATCTGGGGCCAGAAGCGCGGACAAAGCTTCTCGTTCAATCTTTTGAATCGTAGGATTACGAAAGTGCGGATTTTGATGAAAACTTCGATCTCGTTCGAGATGTAAAGTCGCTTGCTTCAACCTGAGAACCTGGAGTGGCATGAAGCATTCAACTGCCGCAAGAGCTACCTCAGTCTCTGCGCGTGAATTGTTCCAATTGTATCGTATATCTAGGTCTATGTGTTCAACATGTTGGACAACATTGGCTGTTCCTGTAGCAATAGCTTTACGGCTACGTCGGGCGTTGCGTAAGTCGTCTCGGTCCATGAAATATATCTTGGCTCCTATATGTACATGATTCAATTTTTGTCTTTGGGCGGTATTCAAATCATCCGCAAAAGTCATAAGAGTTGCGCGGTCGTTAAACACAAAGGTGTTTGAAGCCCAAAGAATGCTGTGGGCCACAGCATAAATCTGGCGGCAGGTACAAAGGACAGAGAGGTCCAACTTGTCGGAAGGTTCACACGAACTCCCATCCCCAATGCATGATCTATGTCTGATCATGGGAGAGTCTCGTGCCTCAGAATCGATAGTGGCTGTTCGAAACATTCCTACCGGGCGTGCCCTCACGACTTGACAGACAGCATGGTGGTAGCGCCTGTCTTTAGAAAGCTAGTCCTGGTCAGAAAAAAAAGGCATCAAAATTATAATATGAGATTGTTGACGTACTGATCCCAAATCCCAGCAGTCATTGCCCCAGCGGGGATGAACAAGCCATTTGAGCTTTAAGTGGACGCATCTGTCGCCAATGAGATATGTCAGAATTTTGATTAGGAGCTCGGTTGGAAGTGATAAGAGAGGCGATTTTATGACATTGCTTTGAATGCTACGAAATGGTTAGTCATATCAGGAGGTCTTGAAACGTGTTGCTGTCTTACAGTTTGATGGTAGCGCGATTGCTAGTCTTCGTAACCGCTGCCTGCTTTCGGCTCTTGCTTGGAACCGTTGCTAACGTTGGTTCTTTGAGCTCAATGCTAACCGGAAATCCGTTCTGCCTGGCGAACCTTAGGAATTCATCCAGTGTATACATGACATTGAGAATCTGAATGCGACAATCCTGTACCCTAGGTGCACAGTTGAGGAAACTTCTGGCGGAGCGTTATTGATCTGGCGCGCAAGCCAGTCGACTTAAGTACATAAGATGACCACTTGGCTGAGACACGACGAGAACTCTGTCACAACACGCGAGTCATTCAACACGATGACGAGTCTTGATCTCAGTCACATACCAACTAGTCTTGACGTGCTCACACTAGCAATGCGGGACTAGCAGTCACGTCTGATGTCACTTTATCGTGATTTGATCGTGTTCAGAAGATGGTAAGAGACAACCCTAGATAAGTGTCGACAAAGGAAAAAGGGAAAAGCGCGCGGCTAAACCGATTCTACGTACAATGACACATCAGTAGCAAGGCAGAACCCTCTCGCGCCACCTAGAGCTTCACTTAACGATAAACTCGGGGGAAATACGAATGATCGATTCTTTTCGGGTGGAGCTATCGAGCTTCACCAGCAGCGTACTGCCGATATATGTGATTTCTTATGCTTGGCTCTAGCGACTGCTACATACCTCGATGGCGTTTTCGAGAAGACCCTTTCGTGATTTAATGCCCTTGTCCAACAGTCCTCGATTATGATTTTCTCAATTCAACTGCTTATTCCCGCCTTTCTTCGCCTTTGCTCCTCCAGCGGGAGCTAAAAGTGCAGCATGCAAGTCCTGTACGTAGCTTGAGATTTCCGAGGGTATTGGACGTGTCTCATCCCTGTATAATCTATATCGTTGCATGTGGATAATGACTTCCGCGAGATCAACAGCTTTGAATGGCAGCAGGCATTCAGTTGCTACACGAGCGACGTGCACTTCATTGTTGGATGAATAGGGGAACAGGCATCCGTAGCTCATGTCCAGTTCTAGACGTTTCAAGCCCTTCAAGGCATTCACTGTAGCTGCAGCAACTGTCTTTCGGCTCCGCTGGCCTTGATACGGAAATCTCTTCCATGACCAAGTCATATCCGCTATAATATGAATTCTTTCGAGACTTCGCCTTTGTCCGGTGGTCAGGCTGCTGACGAATTTTGAGAGAGTAAAGCGATTGTCGAATACGAACGTATTTCTCGCCCACAAGAGACTGTGAGCCTCAGCGTAGAGCTTGCGGCACGTGCTTAGGCAGGCTAAGTCTAGCTCTTGAGATTTTACCTGCCAATTCCGTGCACAATTTCGGTGGCATGTCATAGATGGGTGTCGACTTCCAGTACCAATGGTGGCTGCTTGCACAAAGTCTTTTGCTTTGGACGACTCTAGTTTGCATATAGCAAGGCGGAAACGCCCGTCTTTACTAGGCTGCACATCATGAAGTGTCAGCCAAGAGTATTCAAAGTCTTGAGGAAACCCATGTACACACCTTCCCTCCATCCCATTCACGGCTACCGAGGACCGCCTTGTGCTTCAAATGAATGCATTTATTTCCGAATAGGTGTGTCAAGATGATCTCTCGAACTTCAGTGGGAATGCCAAGAAGATGTGCCTTAGGATATGTGTTCTGAACACCACTACTGTAAGCGATTAGCTTCTTGGACTGGGGCAATATTGAGTCGTGATCATACAGTCCGAATCTACTGGCTTTGCTGGTCTTTGGAGCCGCCGACTGCTTCTGTCTCTTGCGTGGCGCTTTGCTCAACTCATCATTGCTTGCCTCACCTTTCGCCACCCGCTTCTTTGTCCGTGGTAGCTTTGTAGTGTCAGTTTTCGAACCCTGACCTTGCGGAGAATGATGCGACTCACCTTGATCTCAAGTATTGGCTTGTTCATATTCATATCACGAGATTCCTTGTAAGCCTTTGCAAGCCATCAGGTTTTGGTGTTGACACAAGATTGTAGGAGGATCGTACGGTTGATAGACAACCCCAGTTTTGCGAACTCAAATATTGCGACGAGACCTCAACTTGTTCTCGAGGCAGTGTCGCATCAACGGAATGCATACATAGCAGGCACTAGCACTGCCAAAATGCAGGCAATGCCGACTGTCTTTGTGTTATGAGTACTTGTCGCTACCGGATAGATGAAGGAAAAGAAGTTTGCTGTTGAGAAAGAAAGAGACTGCAGGAGGGGGCTACGACACTACCCCGATTCCAGCCAACAACACTTCAATTGCTAGGCAACAATGAAAATTGCTACCAAGACATTCACTTCGACATGACGTCATAAGGGCAGCTGGAAAAAATAATTCACAGCAGGGAGGTCCATCCAATTCCGATCCCTGGTGTATTGTCAAGATAAGATGTGGCTGTAGGAACATGCAAGATATGAGGGGTTCACAAATAACCGTCAACGTTGAAAACTTGCTTAACAAGTAAAACTAGCTCGTCAGTTCTTGCCTAGCCTGCGAGTCTTATCTCTGAATCTTAAGCTCAATATCAAATGCCAACGTATCGCTCTTCCCATTGAGTATTGAAATACAAGTTGCTCCGCCCAGCCAGACTTAGGCACAGCCACATCAGCTTCTCAAAGCACCATCACTCTATTTCTCGTGCCAGAGTAGCAAATACAGCACATAAGGCCAACTAACATACTGTACAGCCACGTTCCCAGCCAGAATAACACACTTTCCCTGTCTTGTTCCGCCCTATTCTGCCTTCTCGTCAATTCCTGAATCTTCATCTTCCACCGAGCTCATATCTTCCACAGGGTCATCAAAATCAGGCGTTTCCTCACACACGACTGACGCCAAGCCTTCATGGGAGCTGTTCTCTCCGTACGCCTCAAGGCCCTCATACTGAGGATCCTCGATCATCTTCGCACCAGAAAACTTGCTGAGTCGCTTATTGCACAATTCCCTCTTCTTACGTTCCGTCAACTGCCATTTGGCAACCCTTACTATGGCGTATTTAAGTGGATAGACTGGGTCGTTGACATTCCACAAGGAAGACGCGAGCCCTCTATATTGCTGACGCGGAGCGGCCTTCTCCATGGCAAGAAACATCTGTATCGCTCTGCGCCGATCGCCGGGATATCTATTGATCTCGCGTCTAGCATTTTTGAAAACAGCGCGGCACAGCGACTCTGTTTTCTGATAGTCCTTGCGGATGTTTCCTTCTGTCCATACAGGCTTTTTGCGCTCCCGAGCCTTTGCCGCTAACTTGGCTCCATTCTCATTCAAAAGGGCCGAACGCAGCTCCTGTGCGATGCCTGAGATTTCTGGATTCTCTGCCTGGCCTGGATAATTGTAGTCAGATCCGAGACCTGGGAAGTTCTCTCCTAGGTGAACAGTGACTTGTTTCAAAGAAATAGCCTGCAGAGGTCTGAGACAGTCTACAGCTGCTCGAGCTAGTTCCAATTCGTCTGGCGTTGGACCCCACGCGTCCAAAACAATATCGTAGGTCACGTCTAGCACGAGATTCTTCACGTGTTTGAGACCATCAACCGTGCTGGTGAAAATCTTCTTCCTGCTACGCTTAGTGTCGTCTTGAATCTCCCGGAGCGAGAAGTCAACAATCGCTCTTATGTAAACGTTGCAAAGTTTTCGCTTTTGAGCAGCGTTGAGGAGGCTTATGAAGGTCGACAGTGTCGCACGATCATCAAATACATAGGTATTTGTACCCCAGAGGATAGTATGTGCTTCCTCATAAAGCTGACGGCAGCTACCAAGAACGGAAAGGTCCAGCGTTTGACCTGCGAAGAATGGGGTCCAAGTCGTCTCACAACTGTTGTGGCGTAGAGATGATGACTTGCGAAGTTCAAGGCCAGGAAGAGCTCGCGGAGGGTCTCTTTTGGTCTGATGCGGTGTGGTCTTGCACACGTTGTTCAGAAATTGCTTGGTTTGTGTAGTCTAACCGTCGCCCGCGAGTTAGCAAAAGCATATAACCTGACTAAGATAGGCATCAGTGGACTTACTGGCTCCTCCCCCCAATTAGGACACGGTTCCGCGGAAAGAGCAATTTGCTGAAGTTTCAAGTGGATGCACTTGTCTCCAAGCAAGCACACGAGAATCTTTTCTCGAATCTCCGTAGGTAAGGAAAGAAGAGGCGAAGTTGTAGCATTACTACGTATACTGATAATCTGTCAGCAATACGATTGATATATTGAATAGTCAAAGTCCAACAGCTCGATAGTAGCGCGGTCGCTGGTTCTAGCGACCGCTGTGTTTTTACGCCGCTTGGGTGGCGCTTTAGATTGACGAGGTTCTTCGATTTGCTCTTTCGCTTTACGTTTCCTCGTTGCTGATGTCTGTGATCAGTCAGCTACAAGGCCATTGTTTGGCGATGACGAGCTGTTTCTCACCATAGTGTGGCAAGAATCTCTACACTCAACTCGCCTTACTCTAGGATTTGCGATGACCAATGAGACCGAACGAGAGGAACATTGAAATGGAGTGCACTAGGAGGAGAATGACGGTAGATAACAACAAGATTGAAGCGAAAGGGACAGCAGAGGACTTCACGCGGTATGCAAGTCAGCAGACGTTTGTGAAACCCACAAGGCGATGCCGTAGCCGGATGTCACTGTCTCAGCACTGAGACTAGCATCGTGAGCACATCAACGAGATGTGAGTCATCTTTGCAAGGTCTCCGATGATGATAAACGTGGAAGCCGAGGATGAAGGCGCGGAGAGTTGTAGGTAAAGACGGGCAGAGTACGACCTTTGAAAAAGCCCTAACGCTAAGCCGAACCTGGCAGCTCAACGCATGACGTAGTACATACATCTGAGCCAAGTTTCGACAATCAATTCCATGGGAATATTGGTTCCTGAAGGATGATGGTAAATTGCTCGGATCGCTGTTGCAGTGAAAGCGAGATTCATTATCCACCATCGCTCAAATCCCCAACCTCAGACTCGATTGATCCTGCAAAATGTCTGCCAGTGGCACAAATCCACATCTAATTTAGATCGGTGGTCTAGAGTAGCTCTTTGCGTCTCTATGATTACCAGAAAGCCAGCTATTAGTCGACATCGAGATGTATCAGGTGACTGTCACGCACGAGGCAATAGCAGGAACGCAACCAGTACTTTCCCGTGGCCGCCCATTCGCAAGTTCAGATAGCCATCTCTAACCATGCCCCATATCTTTCGAATGTAAGAAGAGGCAATAGAAGGTGCTCATCTGAGTTTGAGTGGTACTGTACCTAGTCATCAGTATGATTATCATGCCATCCATGAGAGGCTCTGTGTTGTGAGCAACTGGAAAAGAATAACATATGAGATTCTAGCAAATGCCGCTAAAATACTTCAACGTTACGGATGGTAGAGATGGCGTTTTACGATTTTCTGTTCTGTCTGGAATTTGCATCGTACACCCGGCGCAGTTGTGTAGCTGTTATTGCTGTGATGGTTAGCTGTCTTGCGCCACAACATCAATTCCGAAAGTGGCAAGTGCCTTACGTGGACATACATGGATCGAAACAGTGTTGTTGACTCCTCTTTACAATTCGTCAAATGTCTTGAGGATGGTTCGAACCACTCATCTTCTCCGGCGCCACCGACTCAAGCGTCAAGAGCTCCAAACTCGAACTGCCGATCAGTGAACTCGACGCCAGTTGAAACTCGTACGTGGTTTGATCTTTGGAAGCAACAACTCGTAAGCTTCTACAGCAGGTTCCTCCTGGCGATACTCTCAAAAAACACTCTTCCAACCCGACGCAGATGATTACACCGATGTGGTAAATGGTTCTATCCAGGTAGGATTTCCTGTCCGGCACAAACCCACACCACGCCTCACCGCCCTCAAGATACCGTCGTATTCCTCACCTCCAGCCCACCCACCTCCAAAACCGTCCCATTGCCACCCCGACTCTCACCAACCACCCACCTCGTCGTCACATACACATTTCCATCCTTAGTCATATACCCTTTCCCCGTCATACCCAACGGATAACATCTATCCAGCAGCGCCTCGGCCACATTCAGCAAATGCAGCATGCGAAAAGTATCGACTTCTCCCTCCCCTCCCCCACCCCCTTTCCCCTCCATTCCCCCCTCCCTTCCCCCCTCCCTTTCCCCACCCCCCACCCCCTATCCCCTCCCCAACATCATTATCAACCCACCACTCACACTCAATAGGAACCTGCGACTCGCTCTGCCTCTGCAACTGAAATCTCGCGGGGAGATGCACGCCGCCGGCCGGATCCCAGGGCGGGACTGAGCGGCCCCAGCGTCGATACGGGTCCGGGATGCCGGGGAATGCGTGTTTAGCCCACAACCGCGCGAGGACGAGACGGCAGTCGCCTTCGGGCGCGAGGATGGAGGGCGGGTAGAGGGTTTGTGGGTGGTGGCATGTTATGCGGGGGTTGTTGGGCAAGGGGGAGGGGGGGGGGGCGGGGAGGGGGGTTGGGGGAGGGAGAATGATGGGGGGTGAGAAGGAGGAAAAGAAAGAGGGGGAGGAGGAGAGATAGGATAGGCATGGTTGAGAGTGTGGGAAGTGATTGGCAGGGGGGAGAGTGTTTATAGGAGCTGGTGGGACCGTCAGGGGAAGAGTATCACGTCGAGGTTGAATGTTTTCAATTTTTTTGTCGATGCAAAAGTCAGCTTACTGCAGCTAGTGATGCGCGCTGCGTGGTGCGTGTATCCCAGATCTTGCGCTATATGCGATGTGAGATCTGACCTGCTATTTTCGACGACGTGGAGGGTGAGACATACAGGTCTGTCAAGCCGCGATCATGGGATTTTTAAATGCCCTCATTCGAGAAGTGTTATTTTGCGTCTCGATGCAGGTGTTCGTTTGTGCGTGACCGTTTTTGACTTTGGGGTGATATGCTGGGCGGTTGCTGGATTGGAGATTAGCATACATGATAATATGCTGGCATAGTAATGCTTGGAATCATTGAGCAGAAAACCAGGTCGTGAGCAGTTTCAAGGGTTCCAGAAACCGAGTCAGGATCTGTCTCGAACACTGTTACTATGTCTCTGCCAAAGTCCAGCGTCTTCATACTTATTAACTTTCCTTCGTTGTCAAAGTTGTGACCTGCATAAGTTATGTTATACAACCTCTTCCTATGGCTTCCAGCATTTCTCAAAATCACCCTCGCTCTCACAATCTCGCCTCAGCCTCAAAATGCATCCACCTCCATCCCCCCCATCACCCCCACCAATCCGGTAACCGCTGACCGCTTCCACTGCTTCCAGCCCTCACGCTTCGTCCCCTACCGCCCCTCCCTCCTCCCCACCCGACAGACCGACTGCAGAGCCGCAACTCTCCAATGGGAAGCCGCATTCACGTCCGGCCCCAATCAATACGCCCTAACAGTTTTCGCTCGAAACATCAGCGCGCATCCCGGCCGGCATATCGATTTTGAAACGCCGTGTTTCAAGAAGTACAGGTCATGTATGGTGAAGGTTGTTATTCTGAATGATGACGTCGTGTCGGGGATACCGTACGGGCTGATGAATATGGCGATGGATATGAATGATGAGTGTCAGGCGAGGTCGCTGAGGTGGGGTGGGAGTTATGCTTTGGGGAGCCTTTTGATTACGCTTTGGGGCGTGAAGCAGGCTGGTGGTGAAGGGGAGGTGAAGAGGGATTGAGGCTTGAAAGTCAGTATGTATGTTGTGTGTTGGACAGTGTAGTAAGCGAAGTCGGCTTACAAGGTTGTTCTCAATACGGATGTTGGGTGCGGTAGTTAGGGGCGCATTATAAAGATACTGAAGGCGTTAGCATGCCGACTATGTTTTTCGAATGGGAGAGCGACTTCAGGAATCGGACGTCTCAATCTCAGTTGTGGTTTTGGAACAGGTCGCAAGCGAGTATCATCAGCGTCGGGCCATCTGTGAACGCATCGCTCCCGTCACGGTGATTGTCTTGCTCTGCCAGCGGCTGATCTGGCTGACTGCTCGTATCTAATTGAGTCCTCGAGTCTATTTCGGAATCGAATACTGGCGAAGCTGGCCTGCAAACCTTATTCCTCGGCTTCCATTCTCGTCGCTTCTCTCCAGGGCGTGAAATGTCCAGTCTGTTCAGGGCCATTGTGAATTTTGCAATCGCCTTCTCCGACAGAGGGTGGATTTGGGAGAGTCCAATGACTCCGTCATAAAGAAGGATAGCAATTCCTGGACTGTACATGTCAAACTTCACTTGCATCTGACTTGGCTTTCCCAAGGGTATCGTTAGGTATCCACGCAGATCGTACATGGATTGGAATCCGTATGACATGCTGCCACTGCAAGTGAAGACTGGCTTGAGACCAAAAATCTGGGTAAAGATCTGACCAAAATCATCGGCTCACTATGCTTTGAGTGGCAACAACAAGGAATGGAGGTGCATTAGCTTACCTGGCGGCATTGCTCAAATTCCACAAGGGAACCAAAAATTCTCGCCTGGTACCCTGGTCCATCCCTATAATCTTGATAAAAGCCCCGAACATCATCTGTTATACCATCCACAGGACCCAGGTTCAGGTCCTCCTCTGAGTTGAGGTAATGTTCCTCCGCAACTTCATTTGCGTTGTCATACTCAGAAGAATAGTATTTGTTCCATTCTTGCAGACCACTGTCTGAGGTTTTCCAGGGATTTCTGGGGGCGCATTCCAAGTACCTTGAGAGGAATGTTTCATACTCCACAGTTGATAGGATAGCGTCAATGATTTCAGAAGGGAATTTGCCTAAGCAGAGTGAGCGATCACGGGCTTTTTCACAACATATTTTGAATGCTTGTGTCTGCTCCTGAATCTTTTTAAACGCAGACACCCAAGCTAAAAGCTTTGGGCCATCAACACGATAGGCCCATCCGAGCTGAATAGGAGTTGTCATTGTATGGTGTACTGTCTTCAAATATGTGACAGTTGAGGGGATTTGGTCGTAAAAAGAAGGACGGATGACTTGTTAAAGATTTGCACACGGGTCGAACTGAGAGTTTAAGCGACGAAAAAGAGGTGGATTTTGTGGCGTCGCCTCTACAATGTTAACTCATGACCAGATCTTAATATGATAGGGTGACAGTCACAACCACACTCATTAACTTCGTCCATGTTTCCAGTAATCTTCGAACGCCGCGAAGAGTTACTTGAGCTTTAAAAAAGCCTAATATGGATTCTTTGGGTATGGAAAAGGAAGAGACATAAGTCAAAGGAAGACAAGAACCAACCTCGCGAGACTACAAACGGTCAGCGAAGTTGGCTGTAGTCTATCAAATATCAAACCTTACCAGCTATGACCCAAAAGCCATCCTCGCATCTATCCACTTCTGCCAATTCATCAACCAGTAAACCGCTAACCCTTCTCCCCCTTTGCACCTACAAATCGGCATTCACCAACCCATAATCCCTACACCTAACATAGAACGAAAAGATCCGTCAAGTGACTCAGACCTTCGCAATACCCTCCCCCCCTCCCCCCCTTCCCCCCCTTCTCCAGGTATCCGCTCGCAGCAGATCCCTCCCTCTTTCCTTAAATGAAACATACCGCAAAACCAGGTAGACCCTATCTAAACACCAGATGCCCAATCCGCAGAACCGCCAGCCCCCTTCCTTGCCCCATGTCTTTCCTTAGTCTAGAAGGTGGTTAGCTGATGCGGGGAGTATTGAGGTCAGGGATTCGGTGGCGAGGCCGGGGGGAGGGCGTAGTTGTTATGTATGGGAATCTGGTTTGGGAAGGGAGGGCGGAGGTGTGAAGAGGGGCAAGATGGGAGAGGTAGGGCGCCCTGTTTTCGTGTGGCCGTGGTCATTTATGTGTATGCCATTTTAATATTGCGTGTAGCAGCGGTGGTGTACTGAATGTAAGGGGGAGTCGGAGAAATCTGTGCATGATGGGTAATCAATTCACTATTTATAAAGAGGAAGCAAAGTTATTCAAGACAAGACTATGGTATCATCAGTATATTACCCTCATGTGGTGCCCTTTCCTGCACCTATCCCCTCCTCCATTATAAGCGTGCCACGAGTCTCTTCCCATTACCCATCAATCATCGCTTTATAAAGCCCTTCTTCCTCCGCTTCACTAAGCTTCAAAAATTCATGTCCTCCTCTTCCATCCATAAAGAATCAAGCCTTCCTCGTCCTCCTCATTTCCGTGACCAAAAGCGCCGAGCAAACCAGCCCCTCAATTCCCATCCCCTCTCCTGTCCCAGCCTCACCCCCCTTCAGATCCGTCGTCGCAAACAAGGCCCCAAACTCATCCGGCGCCGAGGGTCTCCGTCGCCCACTTTCCGGATCCATCTGCTGCGCCGGATCGCTCGTATAAACAAACAGCGCTATCCTTTTCTCCTTTCCCTCCTCTTGCTCCGGATCAATCAATTCCAGCACCGTCTGCGAGGGGCCCAGAGTCTGCCAGTACATCCTCTTCAGATTCCGTTCTTTGCCGAGGACGCAGTGGTAGCGCGAGCGAGGCTCTCGGTCGTGATGGATCGATTGCAGGATTGAGCCTGAAGGGGAGGTGAGGGTGCAGCTTGTGCGGAGTGGGTTGAGCTGGACTGAGGCGATGAGGCTGCTGGATTGTTTTGGGGTGGGAGAGGTTTTGGCGATGGTCATTTCAGGTGTGTCTTCCTTGCTCTTTTTGTCGCTGCGTCGCGTCCATCGGAGACGGGGTGTTTTCGCGGTTGCCATTGTGTAGTAGGGTTTTGGATCGAAGGAGGATGAGGAGGAGGAAAGAGGAGGTCGGGTTGCTGGGTTGAAGGTTGTGAGGGGCATGATTGTGCGGTTCTTGCTTCCTGCTGGATGTCGCAGGCTCCATGCTCGGGGGACATCGTCTTCGAGGCAGCCTGGTGGTGGCTGCGGGGCGAAGTCGTACTCGAAGAAGCTGTCTTGGAGGGGTGAGGCTGTCATGGTCGTTTGCGCGGTGCGCTGAGCTTGCTGGTGTTGGAGGTGATCAGGCGGGGATGGAGGAGTGTGCGCTTGTTGTTAGTGTTATTCATGGTTATGTCTTAGAAGAGGTAGAAATATGATGACTACTGGGTTCAAAGCCCAGAGTCAATTCCTGCGCCAAAAGGCCCGTTGGGCGCATTAGCAGAGATTTTTGACTCACGATATTGCGGGGGTGGCTGTTACGTTACCGCGTGACCAACAGGATGGCTATGTTAGCGAGGGGCTTATAGTACATTAGTAGGTAGTCGGAAAGGGGCTCGGATGTAGTAGAGAAGGCTTGTGTCGCAGTAGGCTCTGGTCATTGCATCTGTAGCACCCTGGAGGCTGCCTCGCGAGGAGCATGTCACCATTCTAGCGAGCCTGGGGGCTCGCCTTTGGCCGTCACGGTCGCCAAACCTGCATCAGTGGACACTGACTCTCTTGGTTGCCACGTACTGAGTCATTGCCTTTTGCAACAATGGCTCACAGAGACATCAGGGCACAAATGGACAGAGGCGATGATTTGGCATGCTCGTAAAAGGCATGCTGAGCCAGTACCTAGCAGCTTTGGTCAGGGCATCTTGCAGTCAGAGCTTTGACCTCGCCACCAACAGCCCAATGAACAGCGACTCGCATGCTCAAAGGAGACGGTAGGTATCAAAGTGCATGATGAAGATGAAGGGTGAATGAACAATGGAGATTCACGAGGAAGACATGACGCCAAGAAAAGTACACTAGCTCCAACTTTAGCGGTATTCTCTATGTCCTCTAAAATCTTCAGCCTCTTTCTTCTTCGTCTTTGTTCCCTACGCAGCACAAAGCCAGGCAGAGCATTCTATTCGAAAGCTTCCTCAAGCTACGCACATCTGACTGGGGCCTATGCTGTCAGCCGACTCGTGCGATCCATGAGTACGTCAGCGCAGCTGCTCAACAGTTTCGCAAGGCACCTTGCTGGACGAGATACGATGGATGGGCCGTGAAGCAAAGCCATGAAAGAGCAGTACGTCAATTGCACATTGCATTAATTACAATTCTATATTCCTATCGTATCGTCAGCTTACAATATCCTACAATCCTCCCTCTCCCTTAAATGCTACAGATACAAACCTCGCCCCCACGCTCCCTAATCAGGACGGTCCATCGTAATATCCACCATTGTACGCAGGAGGTGGCCCATTGTTATACTGTGGCCTCCTCTCCCGCCGCCACGACCACCACGACGCCCGCCACGACCGTTCCCTTGCCCATTGTGGGGGCCATTATGGTACCCTTGATTGGGCCCATTAGGCTGCCAATGCCCATGCCCACCCGGAGGCGGCAGCGGACCACCAGACCAGCTACCTCCTTGATTCGGTGGATTATAGCTTGGTCTGCCGTCATGCCTTTTGCCTAGATACGGTTTCGGTTGGTGGCCGCCGTTGTTTTGAGAGGCGCATGCTTGGCAATGTCCGTGGGGATTACCAGAGGAGTGATCATGGGAATTGCCCTGAGAATGATTATTGACGTTGCGTGTCTCCTCGGGGGTCAGCAGCCTCTCAAATTTGGGTTTACCGTCACTATCGATGGAAGTCAAATATGGAGGCACATAAGTGATTTCTGGCTCCTTTTTCTTGTCGTTCTGTCCTTCGTTAAGGATGTAGGTGGCTATATTCATCATCCATTGCCGCTCTTCACTTGGCGGCATTCTGTTGGCCATACTCAGTGCCTGCTGCGCGTATTTTACGTGTTCTGAGGTCTTTTGCTGCTCCGAGACTTGATTGTTTTGCTGCCCATTGCTTTGATTCCCCGTTTGTTTTTGATGCTGCTCTACAGCTTCTTGCGATGGGTCTTTCTGCACTGGAGCTTGTTGCGGCGGTGGTACCTGCTTCTGGGGCACACCGTCAAAATATACCTTCACAGGGGTCTTACACTTAGGCGCATCAGTCATTACCACATCTTCTTCGGGCTTCTTGGGGAAACAATAAGGATTCTCCACCCAGGGGCACCAAGGGTTTCCCCTTTTAACACAAAATTTAAAACCGGTCAAGAAATCCGGATCTTGTAGCTTTTGTAGGATCAGATAGTCGACGAAGTGGAGCTCTTCGGCGGTCGTTGCGTAGACACTAGGCCCTAGGTTTGTATAAGCCGTTAAGAATAACATTTTAGTGGCGAGTGTCATGCCTGATAGGACGTCTTCTGCTTCAGGCATTGTAGCGATTAGAAATTTGTATTTTCGATTATGTGTTTTGTTTGGTTCGGTCTCAGATGTTGATGTAAATTAATCTTGGGTCTAAATCTTCCATCCCGCGAAGGCTTTTGTAGATATTTTGACGAAGGCCCAATTACAAAGGTCCGAACATTGTGCTTTCACTTGAAAGGACAATGTTACTGTCTAGCAGTTCTTTGTGCATTATGAGCTTAAGAATATCAAGCACTATTGAATTGTTCAAATCTTGGGACACCGGCCACCACCAAGATTGAAGAGACATTCATGGTTCTGGACGCAGCTTTCAACAACTTAAAGGGCATTAATGTGCCTAGTCACATCGCGGGGCCAATATTTTCTGATTGCATCTGTGACTGCCAACGAGTTCAAAGGTTGACTGTCAACAATGAGAATTTAAACAATGCTCTGTTCAACAGCATCAATGCACTGTATCGACATTTCTCTTTCGCAAATCAAATGTTCTAGGCCTCCATGTGGCGCTGATCCCCACTTCGGCCATGCATGAAAGACTTTAGCGGAATCCATCGCGGCTGTCTTTTGCATGTCACTATCGTTCACCGTCCAATCGACGACTTCAAAAGTAAAGCTAAGCTCACTGTCAAGGACATAAGCTAGCGACACCCGAGGAGTACTATTCTCATTGGAGATCAAAAAGGAGATCGATTGGCTATGCAGACTATCGGCACCAGTTGCAGGAAATCGTACTTGGTCTCACCGCTCTTTATGTGGCAAGATGATCTTGCAGTGTTTTGAGTTGACTTAAGAGAGCGATCCTCTTCGTCGTTTGCTGCTTTATTCAATAACAGTACGTGGAGGGTGGCTTGCCATACTTCTCATACTTACGATAATGGACTATAAACACCCTTCCACAATTTCAGTCACTTCAATCGAAGGCGGCGTCGAAAATGATGTTGTCTTTCAGAAGGGAGGAACCTCTCATGATGCATTCGAGATGGATCGACTGGGCAAAGTCCAACAGCTGAGGGTCTCTCGCTATTATCCCAGGGACTTGATGCCAGCTGATCTCCCTGATAGCGCAACTTCACCGTCCTATCTATCGCAGGATTTGTCATGATCTTGCAGTCAAGCTGGGAGAGTACCTTAGTCGTCGCGCAATACGGCTTGACCAATGGTGGCACTGCTGGTATGATCTGGTTGACGGTATTCGTTATTGCTGGGGTAATGTGCATGATTTGCTCGATGGCCGAAATGGCTTCCATGGCCCCGACGGCTGGAGGTCAGTACCATTGGGTCTCTGAGTTTGCGCCACCATCGATACAGAAACCTCTCAGCTATATCGTCGGTGAATAAGTCTCGCTTGAGAAGATCTGAATGGGCGCTGACTAGAACAAAGGTTGGTGCTGCTGTCTTGGCTGGGTCACCGGAAACCCTTCGGCTGCTCAAATCACATCGCAAATGATTCAAGGACTCATTCTTCTGAAGAATAACGATGCCGATGTCGCTCAGCTGTGGCAAACGTCCCTCTTTGTGATGGCCATCCTCGTGATTGCCGTGTGTTTCAACATTTTTCTTGCCAGAGCCCTTCCAGCGATCGAAAAGGCGATCCTCGGTTTGCATACCGTAGGGTTCTTCGTCTTCTTGGGAGTCTTCTGGGGCATGAGTGAGCATGCATCTGCGAAAGACGTCTTCACCAAATTCGAAGACAACGGAGGCTGGGGCAACCTCGGCCTTTCAACCCTTGTCGGCATTACGGCCCCCCTGTGGTGCTTTTTGAGCCCTGACGCTGGGCCTCATATGTCGGAAGAAGTGAAAGATGCTTCGCGAGTGCTACCGTCTGTCATGGTATGGGCGCAAGCTCTCAATGCGTTCTTCGGGTTGGTGATGATGATCACCTTCTGCTTCTGCATTGGCAACACCGAAGAGGTGCTGGATTCACCCACTGGAGTCCCTGTCATTCAAGTGTTGTTCAATATCACTGGTTCGTTTGCTGGTACGGCTGTACTGACTGTCACTCTTATCGTTCTCGTCCTTGTTGGTACCATTACATGCATGACTGCTACATCTAGGCAAGTGTGGGCTTTTGCAAGAGATAATGGCTTTCCGCTATCTCGGTATATCAGAATGGTGTGTCCATTCATTCCTCTGCTTTCGCTCTTTTGACATTTTAGGTCCACTATGATATTCCCATCACCGCTCTGATCGCGGTTTTCAGCATCTCAGTGATCCTGACATGCCTCAATTTCGGCTCTGATGTCGCATTGGGTGCCATTCTCTCAGTCTCAAACGCTGCCCTCTTGTTCTCTTACATCTGCTCTATTGGGTGTATCCGTTTGAAGAGATTGCGGGGCGAGAAGCTTTTACCGAGACGATGGAGCTTAGGCAAATGGGGCGGAGTAATCAACGATGCATCATTGGTCTTTCTAGTCATCAGCTTTGTGCTCAGCTTTTTCCCCATGAGTCCACTACCGAGTGCCGCGGATATGAACTGGGCTATTGTACTCTTCGGGGGGGTGATATCACTGGCTTGGGGATATTATCTGCTGAGGGGGCGGAGACAATACGTGCCACCTGTGACGTTGGTGAAGCCCATCTAGGAATGTATCCCAACAAGTGTTTCCTCAAGGGAAGACCGACTGTCTAGAGCTTCAATCAATAGTGTACCCACTCGACGCCATTGGCGCTCGTATCGGCATCAGCAAGCGAAACAACGGCTTATGTCAATAAAGGGCAGGTTGTTAGAGAACAAAGAGCCTCCAAGCAGCTCTTTCAGTCCTATTATAACAAACTCTGAACTCTTACAAGCGCGACATCATTCTTACGGAATAGTTTCCGCTCCTCTTGGCGTTAGATCGATCGCAACATAATTTTCATTTCTCCCTTGCAGTACATAATGGCTCTTTCAGCGCATTGACCAACTCAAAGACAGATCATCACGTGGACGCCTGTTGTTTTCAGAACACAGAGATTCGTATTATCACGGTATTGGCCGTTCAGCCAAGCCATCTTCGCAAGACAATTCCATTCCTGGGCCCAGAGGTAGGTCCACTTTGCGCTCGCGAGCGAGCCGTTGTGATGAGCCCAAAAAGCCAGAGCGTAATGACCTTGAAAACGTGTCACATGAGACTTTCCTTTTGCTAGCTCTTACAGAAGTCTGCCTACACCGAAACGTTGAGCCTGAAGCTAGAATTTGGCCTTGCCCCCATAAATTCATCTGCTAAATCGTTTGGTTCGCGAGATGATCGCGGACGATACTTCATACTCTTCAGGTAGACTGGTCACAACAGATATCAGGGGAGAATTGGTGATTGCAGGGCGAAGGCGGGACCGGCGATCTGAGGATGTGGTGGGCTGTAATGCTCATTTGATATCAAGAGAACAAGCTCACCGGAAAGTGGAAATGCGCCGACGCTTGTAGGCATGGGCAGGCGAGTCGTTCGTTGCGGGGCTGTTATGTCATTTCGCTAATGGGAATTATTAGATGGTGGTGTTGTATCTGGCCACATGTAACTATGGTCCCCAGATGGCTTCTCGATCGGGCTGTACGATCTCCAGTGAAGTAGATCTGGGGCTACATTGCAGTGCAGGTTGAGGTTGCCAGCGAGTGAACTTCATTTCAGGCAGCAAGCCATATCTTCACGTGATACTTCATTCAAATCTGGTTTACCGAGAATGAACACATATCACAAGTGTGATCATACTTCACCCGACTCTGAACACATATCGCAAGTGTGATCACTCTTCACCCGACTCCTCTTGATGTCTCGAACTCACAAACACGTGACACGTGCAGAATTCACTGCCAAAAATCAAATCCCAGACCGCGCGATGACCAAGAATCTTGTCTCGCCTGTGTGTGAATTAATGTGTGTCTCGCCCATCAGGTCCGTTCAAATGCGTGATAATACCTTACACCTTCCAAATCCGGCCTGTGTGAGCATCTTCACTTCCCTCGCCCCAAACACCAATTCTCACACGCTCAATTTCCGCCACTTGATGCTATGAAATCTTCACTGTGTAAGCAAAAACATGCGAGACATTCGTCATGAATGTGACATTGTCTGGGATGAACGCATGATCTTTGCCACGTACTAGCGCCTGCTGGTGTCTATATAAGGCCTGTCCTTTCCCCTCTACTTTCTCTTTCTTCATCCGACTTCGATCTCTCGACTTTCGACCATCTATCTCTGGTCTTTTGAAGTCGGTTCTAAATATATATACATTCACCCCAGTTGCATCAACTGTCTCGCCTCGTGTCAGCTGTACTGAGGCGCGATACAGGACCATCTTTCTTTCCGGCCAGTGAGTCTACTGCTTGTTGTAGGCGTCAAGCTTTGTACAACATACAAAAACGGGTGCAAAGAATGTGATCTATCTGCCTGGCTGCTGGAACTTTGGCACGACGACCCTCGAAGTGCTCTTCGATGTAGAGAAGAAACAGCCCGTGGAGGACACCTTCTCGCAGGGTCAGTGCGAACAGAATGAAAGGCGCTGTTATACCCTTCTCAATACGATATACCCCACTTCATGCAAATGTAGCAGGCTCTAAGAAGTGTTGCCGGTCCTATCAGTCCAGTCGTCACTCGACCTTACTTCGCGCATCTAATACCAGAGACGTGGATTCAGGTGGCCTCCTTGAACGAGCATGTTTTCGCGGCGGCCAAACTCTGGCGGAGTCCGAAGATCAATCAATTGATCGCAAACACATTCACTGGAGCCATGAGAGTTTTCATACCGAAAAGAACATTTCACGCAGCTCGCTCATTATTGTGGACACGGATGGCCTGATACTGGCATAACAGAATCAAGGTGCCATTGCGGTGACATGTGGTTGGGAGTCGCCTGGATCATAACAGCAGAGACGGCCTACTACCTTACCTTCCACCAGGTTGTTCGTCGATACTCCAAAACGTGGACAGCGGCATCAAAATCGACTCGGCTGATAGGCTATGAACGTATGTGGGCAAATATCGCGGCTTTGTACGAAGGAGCTTATGGGAGACAAGTGCCAGCGGGATTGGGGACATCAGGAGATGAGTCACCGGAAGATGAGGCGTCGGGAGATGAAGAGAAAGGAGATGGAGACTTTGAAGCTTGGATTCTATCTCGACCCGCGCTTGAATTCAATCATCTGCATCCGCGGTAAGACATGCGTCTCTAGGGTCAAAAACACCATCAAAGCACACGTCAACCATTTGAGTCTCGATTGTGGCTCACCGAGTGTTCAGGCTGGCTTGGTCGACCACCTCAAGACCTTGGGGAATTACCCCAGGGATGGCTTCTCACACCCGGACCCTCGCATCGTTAGAAATGACGACTTGGCCTCCAGCAGTAGCCTCGTGAGTCGAAGCGAGGAGATGATGTCAAAGCATCTGTACACGGCCCATCAGCGAGGCGGGGAGGAAAGAAGGGTCGTTCTCGCCTATATTGGTTATATGTAACTTTCGGGACAACATACGAGGTCCTGGAGAAGCTGAGGGAGGACGAAGACGAGCTAGTGGGGACAATGCACGACTTCCTCGAGGGGAAGCTGGATGACTTCGATACCTTCGAGGCTAGGGACCCCGAGATACGACATTCGATAGCGGACAGGGTGGCATGCTTTCCTCCAGGACAAACCTCTGACGACCCTCGGCAAATCAAACACCCTACCCACGGAGAGTGATGTAGGGTTGAAGGTGACGCATTGGTGGGACTGGTGGAGGGCTTACAATGGCGTCTGTGCGACCTTCCCTCCTTATCCCGTCCGACTCGTTGCATCCGAGTCCAGTGCGGCCGGCAGTCTAGCGAGAAAAACCGGTCAAGATATGTCGCAAATGCAATGAGCCGGGTCACATAGCTTCTCATATCCAGTGCAGCAGATGTCTCGAGACAGGACATATGGTTAAGGACTGTCATGGCAAGGAGATGAGAAAATGCCAGAAATACGGCGTACAGGGACACTTGTCGTCAGGTTACTACTTCGTTAATACACTAGGCAAAGTAAATGTCGGCCCAAAGTTAAATGGTCGCAAGCAGAAAGAAGTCAACTCGGAATTCCTACCACTGGACGAGTTGGAGGAGGAAAACACCGAAACTGGTCAGCCGGAAGGTTACTTAGGAGTTGCGGCCACCGACTCAAGTCCCCACCCAGCCGTGGTTGGCAACTATCGAGCACCACACCCTCATGGGACATGCACCAAGGGGTAAATATATATACTGACATGCTTGAGTCTCACCGGAACAATCTTTGATCGCTGGATTCTTCACGAACCTCGGTTATTTAATAGAACTGACCTAAACTCTGCTTCGGAAGACGCGATGGACACCACTGGTGATTGGCGTTGAGCTCCCTGTGAAGCAAAAGGCTACACGTAAACAAAGAAAAAAGGACTTAGCCAGAGAAAAAGAAAAGTAAAATGGCAAGGCCAACACAACTCATGCGACCTATGCGGAAGCAATAAAAAGCAGCTGGATTCAGAAATCCCGAAAGCCCACACTGCTTACATTGATGCAGAAGGTCGTTCACTCTATGTCTCCCTACCGGCGGCCTACAAGGCCGACCGTGACCTGTTCTACACCTTAAGGCGACACGTTCCCTCCAACGACAATGCGATAAAAGACATTTTGTAATCTGGTACTTCGTACTGGATATTCACATACAAGGACGCTCTCAAAGCCCAGGCTGCCCTTCAGAGGCACGCTGGGGGAACCCTCGCCGGTAACACGCCTTTCAAGATTGAACTGTTTGGAACAAGATCCAGTTCAACAGTATGGGAGATTAACGGAACGACGCAGCAAAAGCCTAATTTAAGACGGCTATCGATGAATGCGTAAAGACTATCAGAATCCCGGATTACGCACCCCCTACCTATGACATCAAAAGGCGCTATGAAGAACGGGAGGTACTCGATATAGGAGAAAGTGGCAAGCCGGGGACGACTCAGACAGGCGACGGAATGTACTATATCTTATGGTATGGTCAAATGGAGTATGCGGGGAAGAATCTCTTCTTGCCGGGGAGGCTCCCCCGAGTCAAGACGCCAATTAGAACGAAAGGGAAGAAATGTCTATTATGCAGCGGGGAGGTTCATTCAATGAGGAAGTGCAAAACGCCTCCCAAAAGTCTGACTGTGCGCGACTGGCACCCCGATCTGCTCACCACCCGGCATACCACCCGCCGTAGATCCCACGCCTAGAATAGCAACATCGAATGCAAACGGCCGCCGCGAATGAGGACTACGATGTTCTGATCGAAGCAGCATGTGCCCAATGATGGGATGATAGGACAATTTGGAAATGAATATGCTTTCACCATGGGTCTCAACCACGAGCGATATCATCAAAGTTGACTCTCGAGAAACCTGTCAGGAGACTCCAATAAGCGAGAGCTCAGAATGATCAGCATCACGGCTTTCTTGGGCAGGACTAGCATGACTTACAAGCCAAAATCCAGCAAATTATGTGGACGATCTCTCTAAACACTCCAATGTTGCCTAGAATGGGAAAAACATCAAGAAAGAAACGTTTCAGGACGTCCAAGAATTTCTAGTATGGTCAGATGAACGGATCTGACGTAGGAAAAGTTTAAGCTATAACGCTATTGAGAAAGCAGATAATGCGTCTGCAAATTGTATATATATATATATCGACGAAACAGCAACGCCCCACAGTCTCCCGATAACAATTGTGCCGATCTAACGTCATGAAAACCACGGACCTCGACCATCAAATCCAAGGATTCGCTGCAACTTGTGGCAGGGATGACTCGCATCAGGTGGCACACTATGAAGATTTTGAGACAAGAAGACTAGACGCAGCTCCGAGAATCCTGCAACCAAGCAGCTGACCAAGCTTCGAACATCCCAGCCTCAAGCCACCAGAGCCCAAATACCAGGGAAAAAAGCCAAGGGTTCCTATCAGGAATACGTACCCAGGCAACACAACATCCCAGCGGAACCACCGATGACTCCACAGAACCATGTCTTCTATGATACGAGTTGGCCCGTCAAAAAGAAACGCCACCTTGCGTCCCTGCTTATATGCTGTCTATTCAGAACGCGAAGGACGCTAGCGAGAATTACGAGCCTTCTCTGGGCCTCTTCAGAGCATGTCAGCCCCAAAGACGTACCAACTTAGATTTTGGTTAGTCATTAGTCCTGATTGTGCCAGAGATCCACTCTTTCAGGTTTTTAGATAAGTGGCATAACTGGAAACTACGAGTCTTCTTCAAATATTGGCCTTACAATCAGGAAGTCGAAAGTGAGATGGGCTTCCCGTATCTAAACCGAAGTCGAGACATTGAACTGTTCATCATATCAGAAACGCAACGAAGTTGGCTCTGGCTTCTTGTGGTGGGCATCTTCCGGCATAGGAGCATAAACTCTGTTGTCGACGCAAGAGCGAAGTCCCTTCGGGAGCTCATACCGCTAGGCTCCGCAAGAAATACGTGCTAGATGACCAAGGAGAAATTTCATGGATTGGAAGAATCAAAGAGAGCATTCGCTTTCCAGTACATAATGTCAGAGCATTTCCAGCGCCTTGCAATAGCTGTAACGAAGCAAGTTCAGAAAGCTCAAGAGGAGGACGTGGTGCGCGATCATCGACGAGGCCAACCAGCTTTGGCCGACGTCAAGGATGAGGATTTGCGGGACCCAAGTGTGAACAAGGGTCATAAATATATATAGAACTGAATGGAAGTGAAGGCGAGCCCAAAGCGCCATAAAGTCTTCAGTCGGAGAGGAAACAATGATTGAAGTTGCCCCAAGACCCTGCAATTTTCCGCACGGATATCTGGAGTTGAGAAGAGTAGGAACATTGCCTACTCAATGAGCAAGAGAAAGAAAGGTGGCTTTCAAGACAATTGGCTTGTTTTGCGTGAGCGAGTCTACGCAGATGTCAAATTTTCTGCACGAGCTTGCTGTGTCTCAAAGACAGCGACAGAAAGGCACAATGAGCGTTCTCGGGCTAAGGCGAACACGATCTTTGGATGCTTTCTCCTAGACTACCTGACAGCTATCGCTTTCCATTGGACTCGAACCCCTCTAACTGGCAACTTCTCGAGGAAACGGATTGGCAAGGTACCTTATGGAAGACAACGCGACAACGCCGCTTTTGAGCCTAACCGAGTGTCTATGATTTAGATCTGGAGTATCATTAATAAAACTTGAGGGATATCACAGAATTCTGCTCCAGAAGTAACCTCTCTTTGAAAGACTGAATGGCAAAGATATCGCCAAGGCTGAAGAGAACGAGAAGCTGAGGCAAGAGGTTAAATTCATAAAAGCTAATCTGGTCGAAAAGACCACTTTTCCCGTGAGGGAAAAGTCGCTACGATCCAGAAAGTTGATCTATATAGACTGTCAACAATGATAAAAAGCGCAACGAATGACCTTTCGCGGTGGATGAATGGATCGACGGGGTGTCAGACCCCAAAGACGCCAGCACTTATGGAAAAATTGCTCGGAGAAGTCCAGCATCCTGGGGAAGAACAAGCGACAAGAAGAAGGAGGATTTGGACCATGAGGACATTGTGTTGCTGAGATATGAATTGGGCACTGTCACACGAAATGATATCGTTGAACCACAAGGCATCGTGAAACGATCTGTCGATGAATGTATTCAAAACGAGGCTAGCCGAGTGGTGGCCAAATATCTGAGCATGAGCTGAAGGACAAGGAAGATCATGACTGATAGATACGTGCATCGCATTGATCACTGGATGTTTATGGACGAGAATAGAGATATATCAATGCAAATCATTATCATTTCGTGCCCCTTTTCTCACCAAGAATGCAGGAGAAAGCCAATATCGAATTGTTGTGAGCAATTTTTTTCTTCTCCGCAACAGGGTGTCGATTCCCTTCTTTTCTTTGCTCTATACTTTATTTAGCTTTGAGAAATGTCTATAGAGCTCCTGAAGAAGCCTAATAGAGAAGTCTCACTCAACTCTAATCCTCCCTCCCACACTTGCAATACTGATTCCCTACAGCATCCCCACCGTGTCATTATACAGTCCCATACATTACTATCTTCTTTCCCCACCACCACCTAGTTCCGAAATAAGGCACATATGCACCCCAACCAGTGCGCGATTAACGAAGAGTGGAGTTCTCCCTCACCCCTCGCACACGCAACTCATGCATGTCTCGCCCGCCATCCCCCCATCCGCGACAGCGTCTTTGCGTGCACGCGCCGAATCGCGTCCACCAAACACCACCATCCTTCCCCTCGTTCTTTCGGTTGTTCGGCGCTCCAACGTCTATTTTGTTAAACACCGAATACATCCCATATCATGATGAAGCCTTCGAAGCACGGCTTCCGCCTCCGCACTGCCCTACCTTTAATGCTGCTCCCAAGCTACACAGCCGCCGCCATTTCCTCCCCCTTCCCCCTACCCACTTCCAACTCGACCAACCCCTCCCCCTACCCCTCCCCTGCCCTAATCCCCGACATCGTACCCAATCCCGACCCCCGCTTCTCCTACACAGTAATCCCCTCCCTGACCCCCCTCCACAGCACCCTCGAAGCCTACATCCTAGCAACGCAAACACTCTCCTACCTCTCGAAACTTGATTTCATGGCGCCGGAACCAAGACGGGAGTTTAGTTTTCGATCCGTTAGTATCACTATTACCACCACCTCCCCCTCCAAAAACGGCACTGAGGCAGGGGACGATGGGGCAGGGGTAGAAGCAGGAGCAATCCCACGCTACCTCCTCGTATGGACGCTCGCACAGGCAGTGGGGTTCTTCCACGGGCTGGACGCCAGGCAAGGGTTGGTGGAATACGGATTCGTGCCTGAGTACGACGGCGTGGCGAGGGGGGAGGTGAAGTTTCGCCAGATGCGTGTTGCTACAGTTGGGAACATGGCCGGGAAGGGTATGACGGAGAATGGGACCATCAAATCCACCACCGCCACTGCCGCCGCCGATATCAACATCACCGCGCCCAACAACACGATAGCGACAGCAAACTCCAGCAGCGAAGAAGTAGGAGAGCCGCACATAACCACCACAATCCTCCCCCTCCCCGCGCCCCCCGCCCGTCCCCTCCTCCTCTCCTACCGCGACGTGCTGTACCTCCTCTCCGCGGTGTACAGTGTAATCGCATCGGAACCGCAAAGTGAAATAGCCGTATCGCGGCGTTTCCAGCCAGATGGGTGTCCATTGACGCTATATGTTGCGATCGCGGACCCAAGGCGGATCGTGGAGCCGCCGTTTTTCACTATTGCGGAGGTGGGGGTTGCGATGGATCGGGCTTTGGAGGAGGGGGTGGTGCGGGGGTTGTGGTGCCAGGTTAGGGTTTTGGTGGAGTTGGTGGGGGACGGGGAAGGGGAGGGGGAAGGGGTGGAGTTGGGCGGGGTGTTGATTGTGAGGGAGAGGGTGGTGGGTGGGGGAGGGGTTGTGGGGACGGATTGAGAGGGGAAAAGGAAAGAGAAAGAGGGACGATGGGATGTTTTTGGTCAAGGAAGACATGATCAATTCACGCGATATGGGTATCTCGTAAGCACGCACGCACGCACGCTGTCTATATCAATCCGCAACTCCCTCCTACTCGCCATTGAACATACTCAACACCCGCCTCTCCCTCCCACAAACCCTCTCATTCGCGAACCCCCTCCACCTCCCCAACAAATCCGTCTCGGCCATCCCCCCACTCTGCAACGCATGGCTGAAATGCGCCGCCAACGCCCTCGTAGCAACAAAGACCTGCTTCTTCATCCGTCTCGGCGCATCCATGGTGAAAAACCACTCATCATTCCAGCCCTCCGCCAACCTTTCCCCCCCGGCCCGGCAAATTCCAACGCGCGCAGCATATCGTCGGAACGGAATGCGATGAAGTTGATGTTCATGTGGTGGTACATCATATTCCAGGTTCCATCGGGCCCGCCGAAGTCGTACCGCCACAGCTCGTCGCGCTCGATGTTTTCGAGGAGGGAATAGTGCTTCTGTGCGGCGTGGGTCCAGTGGGAGAAGTCTGGGGAGTATTTTGCATACGCGGTGTGCCACATGGGTGTTAGAGGAAGGAGGGAATCGTCGCGGAGGGGGAGCCAGCGGTGGTGATGGTAGGGCGAAACGTATTCCGTCTCCGAAGGCTCTTCGTAGCCGCCGTCTTTAGGGTGGCCAGGTAATGCGGTGCCATCTAGAGGTAGCGGGGCGGAGTATGTCGGGAGTTCGGAGGGACGCCAGGAGTAGGGCTTTGGTGGGGTGGAGGGGGCGGTCGGTTCGGGGAGGTAGGCGTGGATTGCGCCACGGCCGCGATGCATCCAGCCCATTTCAGCACTATTGATTAGATTTGCGGAGACGAGGAAGGCGTCTGGGTGGTTCACGAGTTGGGTAACCATTTCTGAAATGGCATTTTCGGAGAGCCAGGCTGTGTCGTCGTCGATTTTGAAGTAGATGTGGCCCGGTTCAAGGACTTGTTGGTAGAGGCTGAAGAAGACGGCGAACTCGTTGCCGATGACATTGAGAGGGATGCCTTTGTATTCGTCAACTTCAGAGACTGCACTATCGATCCAGGCGATATCGTCCTCATTGTGTGTGTTGATTGCAAAGTGGACGCCATCTAGCCATCCGCCGTTACTAACGAGGTTTTTGCGGAGGTAGCAGTCAAGGATTTCCAGGTTTGCGCGCCGTCCAGCGGTGATGAGTGCGAAGATCTTGACGTCCCTCGGTTTTGTGTGGGCCGAGTCGGGTTCGGGGGTCGGTTCAGGCTGGGTGAGACGATCTACAGGCCTCAAGGAAGATGAATTATTTGGCAAGGTGTTGAACGTGTTTGCAATGCTTGGCGTGGAATATGTGAGGCAGAGAAGTAGTATTGAGACGATGGCAAGGGCGAAGACAATGCTCCTGCGCCATCGTACACCTGATGTCTGTAGCCTCTCCAGAGCGCCCCACTCTTGTAGACTCCTTCTCCACCGCACAGCGTAAATGCCAGCTACTGTCGCATAAGCTTCCATCTGCTCTTGAATCGTAGTCCCCTCGCCTCCGGATTCGAAGAAATCCTTTGGCTCCTCCTCTCCGAGTATTGTAGATGAAGACGAGGAGCTTTCGCATGCATCGGAGCTCCTTCTTGTAGTAGTATCTGAAAAGTCGTCCATGCTGAACAGCACCGCTATGGTTTTGACAGAAAAACCAAATGAAGGAAACAAAGAGAAGTCATAGTTGATCAAGGTAAAGTCATCAGGTGGGAGATCCATCTTACCTTTAATCTAGTCAAGGTCTTTGAAACCGATACGGGCCGCAGTCATAAATTTGTTGTACCTAGGACAATAATGCCCGGGCCAACAAGGTTGGCGGCAAAAGGTGAGCAAAATGTCTGACAATGTTGATGGAATCTACCGCGCCACAGTCCTATACATGTGATGACCTTCTTTCCAACAGCACCTACATTTACGAGAATCGGGCCATCAAGACCACTGTTTCGTGGTCGGAACATCGTACTGCATTCGAGAAGGTGGCCATTTGAGGCTACAAAGCCTCGTATGAGACTCTACGGGCGGTCCAATCTCAGGCAGAACAGCAATGAATGAGTGCCTTGGGCGGCTGGTCATGCGCCTAATAACAGGATGAGCCACGCGGTGAGACCTCGACTCCCAGAATAACGAATGTTAATTGTGGCGGGATTCCCAAGCAAGTCAAGTCTGTGTTGTTGGGCTGATGGGCTAGAGGCGAAAAGGGCATTTCCAGGCTCGTTGGTGCGACACGGCACAGCAGCATGGGCGATATAAGCCTCCTTTGCTGACGCTGACACACGCTACTGCTGCACCACCAACGTGGCCTGTGTCGGACTATTATCCGACATTAGTGGAATCTATCATAATAGATGAGAGCGTGGCGGGCGTCATCTGATCACGAAGCTGCTTGCGTGGGCGGATTGTCGTATGATGGGGTGACTGTTGACCTGACGCTGAGTGGTGAACAAGCATCATTGATATAATAGAATAACCCAAAGTCCATACGAGAATCCCGTATCGTCCTCATGACACGAAGCAGGTCCTGTTGATGCAATAGAAGGCAAAACAATGGTGAATCGTCGCAATCTGCGCAATTTCTGCCTGAGAGCGCAAATGATCGTGGTGCCAAGACTGAGTGCCGGGCATTGAGTGTGCTTTACCCAGGCCAATGAGATCTGCAGAAAAAGAAGTAAGCAAAATATGGCTTCACACCTACAACAATTCGCGACGAAAGCAGCGTTAGGCAAGGGCGCATTGGCGTTGTGTTACGAGATCAATTACTGTGTAATTCAGCCCAAGTACATGAAGACGGGCTCATGCAATATGTTAAATTACAGTCTGCGGCGCTGTCTAGGGGTGCATCCAGCCTCTTGAAAGACAAGAGAAAAGAAAACAGAAAGATATCCCTGCTGATGAGACCCGCAATCAACGACACTATGGCTTCTCTTGACTCCAGTATCACCTCGCTAAGAACTGCAGCTGCACTTCACTGCTCGACCACCCTCTCGCACCTCCCATTGACATCGCTGATCAACTCCAACAATTAAACCACCCTCTGTCTATCCCCCCTTACTCAACTCCCCATTCCCGCTCCTCCTCTCCTTCCCTACCCTCAACTCACATAAACCTCCCCGACCCCACTCAGCCCCCCATCTTGCACCAAACTGCCCTCGCCCACCCAAAAATAACTATACCTCTCCACGTCCGCATGACCATCCAACCATGGCAGCACCTCTTTCAAAAACCCCTCCTCGTCCCCAAAAGTCGCAAACTCCGTAACCCACAATGGCAGCTGGCGTCCCTGATACACAGCCACCTCCACCGCCTCACCCACATGTTTCTTAAACTTGTCGACATCAGTAGCCAGCGGACACCCTTTACGGCAACCATACCAATGGATCGGCACGAAATCGATCCGGCAGGGCTGCGGCAGCGTTTCGCACTTGGCCAGAAAGGCCTTTAAGTACGGCAACCCTTTGGGCTTACCATCATCACCAGGGGCAGGGCGGACATTGCTAACAGCGGGACTGCCCAACTTCAACCCGTCCTTATGCGGCGGCGTCGACGTGGCGAAGGGCATCATGTACTGCGCAAACCCTTGCACGGCATCGGTCACGGAGATATTGGCCTGGTCAGCGAGATCCGGTTCGTTGAAGGACATTAGGTACATTTCGCCGTCTGCGCCCGACGGCGAGGAGGAGGTGGTGGAAGAGGAGGCGAGGGCTTTGTGCACGTTGTCGTCCCAGTCGGAGGTGTGTTCGGCGCGGAGGGAGTGGAGTTCTGGCACGTAGGCGAAGCGGGAGGGGAGGGAGCGCGGGGAGGAGTTCCAGTTGTAGCCCCAGGTTATGGATGTGTGGGGGGTGAAGAGGGAGAGGGAGCCGGATGGGGAGTGTTCGTTGTAAGCGAGGCCGCGCTTGGAGCCGAAAGGCGGGTTGAGGGAGGGAGCGGAAGGGGTAGCGGTGGAGGTTTGTGGGGCTCGGGGTTTGGGGTGATGGGGGGTGGACGTTGTGATGGTGAGGAGGGTCAGTGTTGTGAGGAGGAAGAGGGGAGGGAGCATTGCGAGGAAAGGTGCTGATAAGTGGGGCTAAGGAGATTGAGAGCGAAGTCGAGAAAATGAAAGATGCTCCGACGATATATGAAGGCCAGACGGAATGTCAGGAGTGGAGGCTCCATCTTGTACTGCCGTCAACAAGAGGTTTGTCATCGTCCAATTTACGAGGGCTTCATAAGCCAGCAGACTCTAAGCTATCTTTTCTATAACTAGCTCTCAGAGTCTCCATGTGAGTCTGGAAGCATATATGGCCCCACGAAGCCATGGGCAAGCTGAAAATGACAAAGGTGCTCTGAGGGCGGAATGAAGAAAGTTGGACACCGAGAGCCTTAGACGTGATGCAGTAACCTTTGACAGGCATTCTAATTACCATAAATCCCACTCATATCGGCCGTAGTAATTCAAGGATGCCTTACTGAGCCATCCTCGGACCCCAATATCCGAAAATTCGATGTTTCGTGGCTGATGATTCACGTAGGCACAGCACCGCAATCTCCGACCATGGACACATTTCTTCATGTCGCCCATCAAAACATCTGCGTGCATCAATTTATCAACTTCACCATCACTCAGCTCCCGCTTATCGCCAGATACAGATCCATATCCCCTTTCCGTAAGGCATGTTTAGGCATCAGGAAACTTCTCAAACATCCACCACCCAGTCACCGGCTGCATCGAATCCAATCCCACATCACCACTCGCCAAAGCCTCACCACTACTCCTACACTCAATACCCACAGACCCAGCAATCATCTCCGCCTCGAACTTGCCCCCACCATCACTCACCGAGACCGGAACCTGCAGCCACCCCGCCGCAACACACTTACTATCCACCCTATGATACCTGACCCCATCCAGTTCCAAATTCTGCTCAACGTGCCTCGTACACTTATACCCACCCTTATCCTCCACAACATCCCCAAAAACGCTCTGCTCATAATCCTTCTTCTCCATCTCCAGCCGTGCGCGATCATACAAACACCTCCCCTGATCCGTCCAGAAACAGAAGGCCGCAATCCAGCCCGAATAGCGCGTAAAGCCGCTCCCACTCTTCACATCCAAGACTCTCTGCCAAAAGCTGAGGACCTCCCCACTCTGCGGCTCGTCAAAGCTCAAGACAAAGCGACGGATGACAGGTTTGAGCAGATCACAAAAAGTGGAGGGTTCATCCCCAAAAGTTTTCAGCTTGTCCAGTCTCGCGTAGATGCGCTCATAGTCATCCTTCTCGCCCAGCAGCGTGACAGACGGCAATCCACACATCACAGACGCGCCATAGCTAAAGAACTTCTGCATGGTACCCATCATGAGGATGGACGCCACCACCCTATCATGCTCCGTCGTCGTCGAAAAATCCGGCATGATCCAATCCCTCAACTCGGCATCCACCACATTGGCATCAATAAGGCCCGTCATCTTCTTCGCAAAATCGCCAAAATCAATCGTTTGCCTCGTATACCCGGCCGGATATTCGATCTGCAGGTGTTTCCTGCCCTCATGGGCGACGAAATGGTGACGCACCGCTTCGCTGTTAGCGTTCACGAAGCTGCTGAATTGGGTCAGGATGGCGAACCAGACGTCTTCGGGGCGGAAGGTGAGGTGGCGGTGCTGGCTGTAGGAGTGGACGATGGAGTTGACGAAGCCGTTGCGGGAGGCAAGGACGTTGGTGGGGATTTGGTGCGAGTGGAAGGATGATTGCAGTAGTTCTGTGCATTTCCATTGAGTTCGGGGGGAGACTTTCTTGAGGAGCCCGAGCGCGTCTTCTTCGAATGCGTCTTTGATCACGTTGGCGCCGTGGGGGGAGGGGCGGATTGACACGGGCATGTTGTTGATGAGAAGGCGGGGGAGGTGTTGAGGAGATCGAAGTGGCAATTTGAAGTAGGCTGTGACTAAGGCACTCTTCAATGTTCACTAGGTAGCAAAAAATGGTATACGAGGCAAGCAAATCTCGAGCTCTTTTCGCGCGGTTGCTATAAAAGAACAATAAGTGGAGATCACTTTGACGATGACCAAGTGATATATCAAGGTAAATCATGAATGTACCCCTCCTGCTGCCTAACGCCAAGACTTGGCCCTGCAGGATCGGAAGGTACGAAAACACCAGTCCCTATCAAAATCCTCTTCCCTCAATTCTACCTTTGATATTACTCGATAAGATGCCTCAAGAGCGAGCAAAAGCTCGCTGACGATGATTTGCCCCGAAAGCCATGAAAAGAAGGGACGTATAACTTGGCCAATGCAAGTATCAAAGTGAATCGACAGCTCATATAACTTGTCTTCCACAGACAACATTCCCAACACCATGATAAGAGACCTACAAGCCACTTCTCTCTCTAGATTAGACAACACATTCCCAACACATTAACTCCGCTCCCTCCGTTCCTTTTTTCCATCCTTCTATACATAACGCCTCCCCTTCTCCTTCTGAAAAGCAAAGCAGTCCTCCCAAAAACGTCCGCCCCTTCAAACGCCGGGAGCCTCAACCCTCCCGTTTGTTGGTTTGAAACACCACAACCGCCACGCACGGACACGGCTTAAAATCGGTGATCAGCCACTAGGGCCACGATGGTGGTGGTGGTGGTCATAGCTTTTCCGGCTGGGTATCAATGGAACTTCGCTTGGGCAGAGATGAGACGAGACGAGATTTTGATGGGAATCTTGAGAGTAAGTAATGGGTGGTTATCTCACGAGTTTGAGGAGCTTCTTCAACGCAGTGTCATTGTGGAGAGCTGAATTACCTATTTGATAATCAAAGTAATATACCGACTATTCACACCCCCCCCCTCCCTCCTCCCCCCTCCCCCCTTAACCCCTCAAAATAGCAGCCAGCCCAAGAGCGCCCTCCACAAGTTCCGCCCCTATACCAGCCCCCTCCGCCGCACCCACAGCCGCCTCTCCTGCCCCAACGCCCGCAGCCGCTCCCTCTGCAGCCCCCGCTCCCGCTCCCTCTGCAGCGGTGCCCGTCGCTGCTCCAGTGGTACCGCCGCCGTTGCCGAAGCCCTGACCGGCGGCGTCGGCGAAGGGGCTGTTGGGTCCTGCCACCTGCGGGAGTTCGCCTGTTGTGTGGTAACCTTCGGGGGGGTGGTAGTCGGGGAGGGGGTTTGCGTTGGGGATTGCGTTGGGGACAGGGTTGGCGATGGGGAGGGGGGAGGAGGCGGTGAGGTGGAGGAGGGCGAAGAGGAGGGAGAGGACGGTGATTGGCCTGTAGAACATTGTTGTGTTGATGGTGGTGGTGGTTGTGGGAAGGTGAGGATGAAGAGTTTGGCGGATTGAGGTAGAGATGCTGGAGTTGTACTCGATATATGATGACAAGTTGGGTGACTTCCGAGATGTTACGAGAAGGTGTGTTCGTCTACTGTCGAAGGAGATGATCAGATCTGAGAAAGATTCGTCCACACAGGCTTTATATACCCACGAGGCGGGTCAAAAGTGCAAGCCTGTGATACGTTCGATCGTCTGATTGACAAAGAGACGTCATAGGCAACGAAAGAGCCGCTGCGACTCCTCGCGCTCCTCACCCTCCTCTCCACAGTCCACTAGATCTCACACATTTACTGGCAAGGGCAGTCTAGCACCATAGCTTCAACAAAGGAGCAACATCCCGTGTATGAGGTAGATTAAGTCCTTGGCTAAAACGAACGGCAACGTCACAGACGGGACGGCAGCGTCAGAGAGCCACAAGGTCGAAATTATCGTACGGAAGTAGTTGAAGCTCAGACGGAATATCCATTGTGAAATCCGGGGGAGGATCTGCGGCTAGTTGAGCTTCCAGGGTGTGGTTTCGCTTTATTCTTTTCTTATAAAGCCGTGTTCATTGCATGCTAGGATCTTAGAGATGAGGGCAACTCCTAGTTGAATGTTTGGTCTTCTTCTGGCTATGTTTACAGTAAAAGCACAATAACTGGCCTCTTCTGCGGACGTGAGCTTATTGCCAGCTCGCCAACGAAGGCGAGGCCGAAGAGGACGTCTCACAGGCAATTGTTGCTTGTCCTTGCTATTGCACTTGACATCTCAATCACGGAAAAGCTTCGAAGTCTTGATCCTGTGGCAACCTTCGAGGCAAGGATTCTCCATCTCATACATCTTCCAATAGATATTGGCGCACAATAGTGACCTTCGCAGAAGCTATGACATCCCTTACCTGTAGCACCCATTCCAATTAGCCAGAGCAAGCGATGCCGCCCGTTATGTACGACTCCGAAACTCCTTCGCCCGTCTAACTTGCAGACCGAGCTCCTTCAAGTTTTGGCTAGTGGAATTTGCAGGTTGATGTCCAAGGATACTCCCATCGAGTTCGCCGAAGGCCTTAGTGGTGAAAGTTCAAAATCGAATGCTCGGTTACAGTAGATGCGAACACGGGCTATCGCAGAAGTGAATTTGTAGTATATATGCCTGCATACTATCGTTCTAGGGCCACCTTCCTCGAGTTATACTGAAATGTAGTATCCATCCATGAAATCGACCACTGCCACCTCAAGGTCACAAATAACAGATGCCAGCATCTCCATCTTCTCCCTACATTTCCAATCTGACAACAACCTACATCACTATCTCGACCTCTCTATCTCGACCTTCATCCCCCATATCATCCTCCTACTCCTCCCCTTTAACTTCCTCCCTCTCCACCCTTGTCACCCTCATCATCCTCACCCCTATCCACCATATCATCCTCACCCCCATCCACCATATCATCCTCCCACTCCTTCCCATCAATTTCATCCACCTCCGAGACTTCCTCCACCACCTCTTCCACCACAGCCTCCTCAACAACCACCCCACCGTCGAGCAGCCGTCCACGACATAGCAAGCCCATCATGGTCTGCGAGAAGTCTTGTCCCTTGCGACGTAGGGCCAACCACTCCTGCATGAACTCTCTCGGCTTGGGAGAGAAAGCTTCTCGCTTCTCCCGCTCTTGAGTCGCGACGCCAAGTAGCTGATTTATTCCATTGACAGGCAGAGTGTCATCACTAGCGGACGCATCACCTTTAGGTAGGCTAAACCTTGAGGAGAAACCCATCGTTTCATACACGGCAAGGGCCTGCTGTTGAAAATCAAAGTAAAGTCGTCCACTAAAAATCCCTAGTTCACATACAAGCCATGCTGGGGCACGCCAGTCTTCTGGCATGGCGGGAATGGCATAGAAGTCTAAAGTATCGAAGACCAGCATTTTTGGTGTAACAGGCGCGGCGTAGGTAATCAGATGGCATGGCGCGATGCCTTCGGAGTTGCGACGCAAGATAGGGAGCAGTACATTGGCTTCGAAGTCTGCAATTATCAGAGCGGTTGCACTGGCTGGACTCCACAAGATCCAATGAACAGGACGTATATACTCGTCTCGTGGTCGATTCCTCTGAAGCACGACGGTCTTGAGAAACTCGTGCGTCACGTAGAATTTCGACTGAATGGCTGATTTTGACACCCCAAACCGCTTGCCCAACTCTGTCATGCTGAGAGACGCAAAAACTTGTGTGTATGATTGGGATTCAGGATTGAGATTACCTGTGATTGCGAATTGTCTCACGTCTTTATCTCTAGGTCGTTGTGGAGCTCCAATAGCGTGATGAGGCTTCTTGACCTCCCGTACGTTCTCAATCTCGACGGCGACTTCGCGTTCCTGCTCGACCTCCTGGTAGGCAAGCATCTGCGTTGAACTTCCAGATTTGCTCAAATGACGTTTGATGTCGTCAAGTTCATTGACATACGTGGTAAGCCTCGGGTGCCCTGGTGCATGAAGAGGCTTGGCTGCACTGCCACCGCGTCTTCCGTAGAGAGTCTCCAAGGAATATTGTTCAGGTTGTTCCAATATCTTGAGATACTCCTCGAGATGCGTATTATCGGTTGTCACTTTAGGGTATCTCCATGCCGCTGCCTTGCGAAGGCAGTAGTCATGCCCCTGGCTTACATATAATGGCTGAAATTGCCTGATGTTGCAGCACGTCTGCTCCAGGAGCCATGCTATGACGTCACTGGAATCTATAGCGTCGTTTCTCATCTTGTGACGATAGTTGATGATACTCTGATGTACCTCTAGCGGCGCGAAGAAGATTACAGATTGAGTAGTCGCAAGCTGGCGAAGTCGCATGGCCGCTGAGGGTCAGAAATGTTAGTTTCAAAAATGAATATAAGACATCGCAGCTTACCTTGTACTGTGTGGTCCTTGGTCTGTCCAGGACCAAGAGTCACGGCTGCCACGGCATACACGGGCATCTTGAGATCTACTCCTCGTGTATGCGCTTCATCGAGGTAGACGACGCATCTGCTAAGGTTATTTGAGACCGAGGAAGCCGCCAGTGGTAAATTTCTGCTATTCCTATAGAGAGCCCAAGCACTGCCATCCTTCTCGAAATACACGGCGGCTTCAGCTTCATAATCAATATTCAGCCAAGCTTCTGCAAGCGACTTGTTATCATATTCTATGACCTGAGCCCCAGCGTCCACTAGCATACGAATACGGTTATTACTGAGATGCGTCAAGAGATCTTTTTCACTCCACCGATTCCCACGCCGACCAATTGCTGGAACGTACGATCTGTTACGCTTTTGTAATAGATAGGTCAGAACCTCTGCATTGGTGTGAGAAAGTCCAGGGAGATCATTCTGACGCACGTTCATAGGCAACAGAGCTTTATTATCGTTGGTGCCGCTGAAGCCGACGGTTAGTGAACCTGATGTGCAGTCTTTGATAAGGCCCAAGTCAGATTTAGCATTCCTTTGCGGCTTATCTTTTGATGTCTTATCGGCCTTAGTCTGTGCATCCGGAAGAGCTATATCCCATCCCGAGCTCACCAGCTTGCGATCAAAGACACGAGCATATTGTGGGAAAACGAAGTGATTGAGGTAGAAGTTGATGACACTCATCTGATGTTTCAGCTCGTTCCAGAGAAGAGCACCTTGGGCTTCATCCTCAAGATTAATTGATGTGTAGGAGCCAAATTCCGCTGCCAGAGAAGGAACATGGCGCGTCCACGAGTCATACTCGGATGCAGGCTCATCCGACTTCGTCAATTGTGTTAAAGCTTGCCGGAACTGCGAAGACGAAAGGCCGCCATAGTAAAAGCTTAGGCACGTCAGAATGATGCTGACATCCGGATGCCCATACTCTGCTTGTTCGGAAGGGATGCCTTTACCATTGAAGGGGACAGCAACTGGCACGCGCTGAGGATGTAGTCCATACTGAACGTTCCAACGTTTATTGAGGCCGAGGAGCAATATAGAATGTGTCAACAGGCCACGAAGAAGTAGTACAACCTTCCATGTATCGATATTCGCTTCAAAGATGCGCGCACATTGCGCGGCACCGCTTTCTGTCAACTCCGAAAAGCGGAAAAAGTTACTCAAGGCTACACTTTCCTCCTCCGTGTACTCCGTCATAGGGAGCAGACCTCCCTCTCCTTTCAAGAGTGAGTCTGCCAATCTGTTCGTCAAAGAGACCTTTACATCGTCCTTGAGTATGTATACAGTTGGAAATGCGCCGGCGCCACGCTCAATAATCTCGATGGCTTGGGGGTGGTCGTGACGAAGCCCTGGTAAATGAGCTTTCACGATTTGTAGCAAGCTCTGTATACATTTCCAGCGGTGAGGATGGGCGTCCACAGGGCTCATGGTACCCGAAGGGTAGATTAACTGTGTTCTGACAGCCAACATGTGGTCGCATTCGTCAAGAATGTCACGGCACTGCTGCGAAAGCCAATTTTGCATTTGAATCATGCGATTTGCCTGTTCGACTTGTCTGTCAAGAAGTGCTTGCTGACCACTCAGCTTGAAAGATAGTATATGCTCAGGTAAAGTTAGCATTACCCCTTTACTTCCTACAATGTCGGTGTGTAGACCATAATATCTATCAATGTGCTCCTCATCCGTTGGAGAACGACGTGAGAACGGCACATACCGAATCTTGCGCCCTAGGAGACCGCCAAGACGACTTTGAAGCAACTGTGCCGTCTGGCGGAGTAAAGGCTTAGGCACAACTACGCGAACCAATTTTTTTCCATTAGCAAGGGCAGAAGCCACAACAGGGATAACGACACTCGATTTGCCTTGACCCATGTTCATCTGGAGAACGAAATTGTGCCTCTCTGGTGGAACAATCATGGCTTTTGCGACCTCAACTTGGTCAGCTCGGATCTTGAAGTTGAAATCGATCTCAAGAAGGAACCAATCGAGGCTTTGGCTATCTGTGGCTGTGTGACTTGAACAAGATATTTCTTCAGCTAGTAATTTTTGGTCACTGAGCCTGTGCACATTCTTGATACGGTACAAGCGCTGGAGATGCTGAATTCCTTGCCCATATTCAACAATGACTTGCTGAATTTCATCTAGAGAATTGACAACACGTGAACGGAGTTGTTCCAATAGCGAAGTTGTTGTAACGTATGGCAGCAGCTGGCCTCGTGCAAGCCACTGTCGCTTACCCGTGATGGCATTGCGAAGTTTGTTAAGAAGGCCGTCGATCTTGTCCTGTGTGGCGACGATATGAGAATTTAGTATCGCAATATCAACCTCAAGTTTTCGAGCCGGACTTAATTGGGTGCTAGATTGTGGTAATGCTTTGAGGGCATTAAGGCTCTTGAAGAGGTCAGCACCATAAGCTTGGCTAACAGGATCATTGCTTTTAGCAAACGGCCTTATGATAGAAGCGAGCTCATGGTATAACGGATTATTTTTGCGAGATGTTGGTTGAACTGGCAATTGAGTTGCGGCTCTATTCTTGAGGAGCTGCGAGACGATAGGCATTTGTGCGTCTTGCGATGAGGATGACTGCAATCTTTCGTTTTCTGAGACTTCGCCACACCGAGTAAGTAAACTTTCCAGAGTCGGAGCTACATAGGACTTCTGGAGCTGAGGGTAAAAGGTCCGTTTCGCCTGAATAGCTTTCGGTCTCGGCGTTGAATTACTGCCGTTGCACCGGTCTAAATGCTCCTGAAGCCATTGAACGTACTCTGTGAACGTGTAGTTGTCAGCCATGCGTTTCCATTCTGGCTCAACTGCTTCAATAGCTCCCTCGACATCTAAGATTTCAGGGTCTATCTCAATCGACACCTCTATCTCTGCTGACGGCCATTGGTCGAGTATGCATCTTGAAAGCGTCTGGCAGCCTACAGTAGCGCGTCTTTGGTGGTCAACTCGCGCGGCCTCTAACCGCTGACGCTCCCAGAGACTTGTCTGGGGAGTCATCGGAGGTAGTCTGAAAGGTTCGCAGTGTGGCTTAATAAGGTCTAATAGCGACCGTAGCGTCGGCACTTGACCGTAGCAGAACCGCTCAAAGCTCGAAGCTTTAGGAAGCTGGATAGATCCCGGTTCAAATGTCGTTGCAACCGCGACCAGGGATCTTATGACCGACATGTCAACTTTGTCTCTAAAAGCGACAGCTGCTAGAAGAAACATTAATTTATACTGATCATGTTGTCGGTCTGCGTAGAGACAGGTCAAAAACAACGACCCCCAAGTCAAGCCAAGATCAATGCTTATCAAATCTGACAGCAAGTGGGGAGTTTTGTCATGTTGAAAACCCTGGATCAGGGGCCAGTCTTTAGCGATCTTAGCGAAATTTGAAGGCAAGGCCATGATGTGTGTCCAGTCTTTGAGTAATGAAGCAGCCTCAAATGCGTTCAGGAAAGCGTCAGATTCATCAGAGTTCCGTGAAGCGTAGTGACGTTTGGTGCTCTGCACTGAGGACTGTTCATTTTTGGCACGGAATCGATCGCGTCGATATTTGCCACGATTCAACAGATGCTCGTCAGATTTGATGTCCTTATCAGGAGGTTGATCGAAGAACGAATTGTACAATTTCAATTCTCGACATTGACTGTAGATATTTTCCACCAACACACGGAAATCGTCGTGCTGCAACTCTACAGGGAGGTCTTGCTGCCATGCAACGCTTTCGAGAGTCCTGAGCTCTCGAGGATAGTATTGCCGTATCGGCGTCAACCCGGCGATCAATTGTAGAATGCTATACGACTTCATGTCAAGCGGCTCCCAGGGCTGAGCTTTGCCTGCTCGTAACTGATGTAAGGCCTCATCAGTACCCGTCCTTTTTGTAAGCGGATCTGGAAGTACAGAAGATGTTAAAGCATGACATAAAGCCATGAAGTAAATCAAACGAGGTTCAGGCGCACATTCTAGGCGCCCAAGGATGCTGTTGATATGGAAGCGTGCGTAGATTCTGTCATGATCAATTCCAACTCTCTGATGACCAGGACCTTCTTTTATTTCTATTTTGCCAATGGTAATGAGAATGCTCCGCTCACTGGGATTGAATTGATCACGCAGAACCAATTTATTCCGTAGGCCGTACAAGGTTCCAGCATCCTGGTCTGTATCTACTATTGCTCGTAACTGTTCCGACTCTAGAGACCCATTGCCATTGACTTCAAATCTGAGTCCAAGTGCGGGAAGCTCAACTGACAAATGCCTCCTCTCTGGCTGATACACAACAATGTTAGCACGTGACTCAAAAGGTTCCAATACGGAAGCGATTTGGTGAAAGATTCGACTTTGAGGCTCTACGAGAGAAACATTCTTGTTGCGCCATGCTTCACAGGTAATAAGGTTCAGTTTCCAGTCGCTCCATTTTGCTTGCCACACGGTCGAATCTGGTCTGATTTCGACAATTTGGTTTTCAATATCCAACCAATGCACGCGGTGGTCGATCAAGGATGAAGGCAGCTCTGGGGTGTTGTTAGCCCCTAAGAACATTTCTGGAGGAATGAATTCGAGAATCTTCCCACGTTGGCGAGTCCTCAGCACAAGGCGATCGTTGCGAAGTCCGCAATGGACTTCGTGGCCCTCATGCGGGCTGACAAGCCTATATGACATGCCTACAATATCTGATGGTAAAGTCATGAGTACTCGATCCCCCAACAGCTTCCGAAAAGCAGGATGCTTTGAGTACAATGGCGGAAGTCTTCCATGTATACGTCCGTCAATGAATAGATCACCTTTCAACAAGTCGTACATCATTGTTTGACTGAAGCCGTTGCGCCGATATGATTGTGCTGAAATACAATGATTCCGATCTGGCATGAGATTCCATGAAGAGTAAAAGCGAACACCAAAATGCTCTGCTTCAGCTAAGATGTTAGTTATGGCTGTGTTGATAGCGTGGTCAGATCTGTATAGCGACAACTTCAGGCGACGCTCGAGACGATGAACCATCTTAGTGTCATTCACGAATAAGTGCTGAAGATGTCTGGGTAATTTGCTGATATGGCCTTCATCCTCAGAAGGCAAGTTCTCTTTCAGGGTGATAGAGCATTCAACGAAACAAGAAAATGCGGCACCTCCCAGTATATCGGCCGATTCGGCAGACTCAATAAGGAAAGTTTTTCTGCAAACGAGTGCAGACAACAGAGTCTCTTGAGCCCTTCTCTGAGCTGTATCAATGTCGGGTGCATTACAGGTCCGTATTCGCTGATCTCTCATCCAGCCTAGCGTCATATCACGAATGGCGAAAATTTGCGTTGCCGCCTGGCTCCGGATGGAGGGAGACTCCGCCAAAGCATGAGATCTCAGGAGTAGTATAAGCATAGAGTGAACCATCTGGCACTCTCGCCAATTACTTGCACTTTCACGAAGTCGATTTTCAATGCGCCTCAACAGCTGCTCACAGAAATGGGCGTCCATGAAAACCCAGTGCGTCGATCTCAGCCAGCTCGTTCCATCTGCTGGTCCGACCATGAGTGCAAGTTGGCTCACGAGTGTGCCTACTTCTAATGTACTGAACGATAAATTAGATGATTGGAGTTCACGAAGGAGTTGAGGCCACTGCAGCAGACCTCCAAGGCGGAGTGACTGGTAAGCCGAAAACTCCGCCACTGTCAGAATGTTTGGACACCTTGTTTGGTTTGCGATGACCTGATTATGTGATTGTGCTCCTTCACTGAAGGAAGGACGAATACAGTGGCGGACTGAGTCGTAATCAGAGTCACAAGGTAATTTCGGAGCGCAGAGGTCTCGAAAACTTGGTTCAAATTCATCGCTTCGGCAGAGATCTGAGATGGATACGCCATTCTTGTGATCATAGTAGATATACCTACCAGCATGCGGGACGCAAACCATTTCCATCAATACTGGGAACGTCGTTTCCTTGTAGTGAGTAGCGGCAAATCCTTTCGTTTTAGAGGTCAATGCCACTGTGTTTGACGAAAAGTAGGCATGTTTCGACAGACCCGGATAATTAGTTGCTTTGAGCTTTGCCGCTCCGCCACAATGATCCAAATCTTGTCCAATTTGAAGTATGCGCCAGGTAGTGTCTCGCCAGATGGCGATCACCCGAGGCAGCAACAGCTCGCAAACCACAGTTTTCGACTCAAGATCATCCGCAGGTAAGAAGGCTTCGTGGACGCTGATTTTTACTCTTCTTGCCTTTCGCCTGAACAGGCATGAGGTACAGCACTTGAAATGCTGCTCTTCATCATCACAATCGGTTCGAACGCAACGCGTTGCTGCTCTTTGCTTGATAAGCGAGTCGTAAGTCGCGTGCAATTTCTCCCATTCTTCCTCCTTCTCCATTCTTTTCGCTGCATCAGCAGCATGAATTTGAATTCTGCATTGTTGCATATGAGGTAAAGTGTCGAAGAGACGCACGGCGAGAGAGTGCCCTGATTTCGGATGAAATACATCGCGAATCCCGTACGAAGCTTTGTCGTGACGATCCTGCAAGTAGACTTCGACCGCTCTGATCCTTTGCATCTCCTCAGACGCCGCTGCTTGAAGTGAGTAGAAGAGATCGGATGGAAATCCGTGATCATAGTCTGCCATGATTGGGTAGAGCTTGATGCTTATGAGGTCCAACATTTGCCATAACTCCATGACAATAATCAACATGTGAGACATCTGTTCAGGGTTGCCCTGGTACACCTGGGAGGCGAACCTTAGATATTGAGAAATCTCGGCCATTATTGTGGCACAATTGTCTTCATTTGCTACAGTTGACAGACTTTCGGACATGCTAGCGAGGTCGGCTCTCAACGAAAGTTCATAATCGGCTAATTCAACGTAGCCCATTACATCTAGAGTGGTCTTCATTGGAAGCTTGCTAGCCATTCTGTTCTTAAACATTTCTCGAGACCGAGCAGCAATGTCCACAGGTTGAAGCACTGCCGTCGCAGATGAAAGAAGTCGGATCTGCGTCAACTGTGGTCTGCTGTGAGGAAGCAGCAACGTAGTACTTTTCTGGTCAGCACGTGTAGGCAATGGAAGGATGCGCTTCAAGGCCTGTGACCGAGCGTACTTCCATTGCTCTTCAAGCTCCGTGTTTACATCTTGTAATATGCGGCTCATAGACGGCTCGAATATTGGGAAGACACCTGCAATGCTAAGACCCAGGTTTGAAGTTGGGACAGCCATTTCCTGGGTCAATTTATCCAGCCGGCGTGCTAATTTCGCTCGAGCATGTGTTATTTTGTCGACCGAAAAGCGAGATACCCTGAGCGAATCTTTGAGCAAGGTAGCCATAAGGGAGCACGTAAAAAGCTTGTAGTGCGCTGTTCCCATACTGCCGCCAAGAAGTGTACAGAGGGAACGTTGTACGGCGACACGTATAACGAACCAGAGCGGGTTCCGACGCCATGGGTCTTTGGCCCCTTCGGACCAAGTGACTTCATCGTGAACCATTTTACGAGTAAGGGGAACGCATTTCTTGTGACCGTTTGCCTCTAATATGGCCAGCAAAAGTTGACTGATAACAGCAGGGCTGACAGCATCACGGCTTTCATAAACCTTTGCGCCTCCTTTCGAGACTGTTGGTACGAAGCGCTTAACACTCTCGCTGCTGGCGGTATCAATGAACATGATTAGCTGCGTCTGAAATTCTGGATTCTCGAAGGTTGCAAGGTCGATCGCGATTGCTCTGCTTGGCAGATTCCATTGTAATGCACTCTCGGCTGCTAGCACTTCTGCTGTAGACGCTGACGCTTCAAAGACCTCGACCACGTATTCTGAGCTATCTTTGCGAATAAGAAGGCCTGCATTTTGGGTGGCGATATGCAAAAATAGAGTGTCGGATTCAATCATATCTCGGACCGCCACCTGTAAAGACTCTTTTGTCAATGCGTCTGCATCCCCATGCAGCCTCCGGCATACTCGCAACGCGCGGTATACTGCTGTCCATGCTTTGTAATATTCTTCAGGCAGTCTGTCCCGGAAATCACGGCTCTGGTCGACCACAAAATTCAATAAAGCAAGCTGTCCTTTCTCATCTCCAGCATCATTTGCATACGGTACCTTTGGGGGAAGACAGATGTGATGATGCAGGTAAGGTAGAAACGCTGAAGACAGAGGCTGCGTGTCATTGGCCATCATGGAAGATCCTTGGACACGTCTAGTTGTCAATGTCAATGAACTTGCCCTGCGCTCGTGGATTCTGGTTTGAGGTGCGTACGAGCCCAAAATCTGCGCGGTCTAATGTTCAGCAGCCAGAGGCTCAGTGGCCATGCTCAGGATGCTTTCGAAAATTTTGATGAGACTAACAGTGTATGTGTCGTGAATTGACAAATGTCAAGCACGTCGTAATAGGAATGATCTAATTCGCGACGACGCGTCAGTGAATGCAACGGTGAAGAGTCCAAAACCTCGATGGGTACAGCGACGTGCGACAAATTTGCACTCACCAGATCTTGTCAAGTTCAACAGACCACATATATTCGAGTGATTAATATTGCGCAAAGCGCATGCGAAATTATTAAGCCACCAGCCGTTGTATAGCCCAGAAGCAAAGCAAAGTTCAGCCAGAAGTATGAATGTTGGTACGGGATATCAGTGGAAAGTCAAGGACACCACCACCAGACGTGTCATATTTTCTGCGCCGGCGCGGGCGATTTATTTTGCGTTGTTGACGTGTTATTGCCATCATCGACGGTCGGTGGTGAAGGTCATAGCCTACTGTAGTGGGGCTGCAGCAGCCAATCAGACATAACACTCTGAAAGCAGACTAGAGGCAGCCGGCAGGAGGGGTGATAGAAAGTTGAGAAGATAGGAAAAACCGTGAAGTGAATGGGAAAGATGATATCATTTTTAGAAGGAGCAAACATTTAGGACTGCCGAATCTCACCGCCGGGGTCCTAGATGGAGGCATGCACCCGCCTTCTTGCATGTCGCCAATGCCATCTTGCCATTTCGTTTGTAGTAGAAATTAGCTTGTGACAGAGAGATGGGTGCATGTTCTTGACTCCATTGGTGCCTCCTAGTCATCTAAGGCGCCTTGTCTGCTCTTTCCAGATGAGCAGCATGACAAGTACCTCTCTCAAAGGATCCGTGCATGCCAGTAGTCTTTCTGACATTATCTATCCATAAGCCGCTGTCCGCATCTGGTACTGCTCATCTTGCCATCCTGGATTCTTCTGCCAGCAGATGCAGCCATCCGACCGAGCAAACAGCACGGGGCCCCTTCCCAGGCGGCATCTCCACAACGCAGCATGTAGACCCGTTGTGCAGGTAATTTCGGCTCTGCAGCCGCATCTCGATCTTCAGTCCCCAGAGCTCCATCTCCTGCATATAGTGTCATGTCACATCATACTCTCTTTCGTATTTCCCACGCAGGGGCCGCAAGAAGCCAAGTTCCACTTTGGCGACAACACATTTGATTTGGCGAGGTGGGTGGGGCATTGCATATGGGCGAGGCGACTCCGAGGTACTCGATTCTGATCGAGGTGGCAAGGGTAGGACTGTATGGGTCTAGAGAGGAGGCTGTAGAGGGAAGACAGATTGTCTGAACCGAAGCGGCGTTCACGTCACTGGCGTGTCTTGCATAACATCAATGTAGGTACTTGACGCTGCAGGGTCTAGAAGCATGCTAATTCTAGAGCTCTTCGCTTTCGAATTGGTGCTACCTGGCGACAATAATGTCCGAGATCATCATAATGGAATTTATTACCGAATTATCCGCGCTAGCATCACTAGCAGTTATTAAAATACGTAACTGTCAAAAGTCAACATTTGCTCTGGGTGCCATGGCAACATCAACCAATACTCCAGGCTGTAGGACTTTACTCTCATCATTATCGAGTCCAACGAGATTAGTGCAGAGCTTCCAAACTTTGCCAGGCTTATCATCCATACTGTTTTCGTGTCTTTTAAATCTTCGGAATTTTGGTGCTGATTGAGAATGTATCGCGAAAAAGAAAACGATCTGATGAGCCACCAAGTCCAATGAGCCTCAGACATAAAATTATGAAGTCCTCGAACTTGCCATGATTAGCTGACTTACACATTCTCCCAACATTCATCCTTTGCAAAATTGTCAGATGCGAGAACAAGACTGGGATGCATAACCCATCATTCATCTCTTCCATCTTATCAATTGACCATCCGTAATTCATTCTCGCAAGTGCTTAGCGAACCTGTCACGAAAAGTCGTAAAAATTGTAAAACAAGACTATCAGTTTTTACTACAATAACGAACACCCAAGCAGAATCTTCTCCATTCCGCTGCCTGCAATTTCTCTTTCGGGAAAAGTCAGAAACAAATATACCTCCCAATTCTTTGAATATTTAGTCAAGTGCAATCCACAGCTCACCCCCTTCAGCGGAGGCAAAGCTCTCGTCCAAGCGCCCCTTCTCGTACAAAGCACAACCCTTCCACACGCCTCCCCTCCAATTTCTCACCAGCAATACCTCCTACATCACTCACCTCTCGCCCGTCTCCCGCCTAGACCTCTCAAACCGACCCTATCCAGACCCTCATCTTTCTCCCTCCGATCCTCTTTCATGTACAAACTCCACTCTCCTGACCCAGCCCCAATATAATGAACAGATGGCAAGCTGGATGAGGGGATTCATTCTTAGCTAGCAGGAAAAAGCAAGAGGAAAGTGTCCATCAGAGAAGCGTCATTTGAACCTTTGCATGAGTATTTGAATGTAGTCGTTGACGTTGACGTTAGTACGGTCGTACTGACCCCCTTTGTTGCCAAAGCTTGCATCTAGGGAATGCTCGTGGATCAAGCCTGCTGTATACACCCGAGGCAAGCTGACTGTCTGGTCGGGACAAATTGTTCACATCATTCATAGCACTGCTGAAATATAATATGTACACAAGTCACACCACGCATTCATCCTCACTCGCAGAAAGCCACCTCCCACAAGGCCCATAAGTGCTCTTTTCGCCCCATCGCAATGCTCGCAGCAGCAGCAGCAGCATCATCATCCCCCGTTACTCATGCCATCACACCACAGCATCCCTCATCAAGCAAAAGCCATACTCTTCTTAATCTCCGCAATCGCCTTCCCAGGATTCAAGCCCTTCGGACACGTCCTCGAACAATTCAAAATAGTATGGCACCTGTACAAACTCATACTATTATCCAACGCCTCCTTCCTCTCCACCTTCCTCTCATCCCTACTATCCGCCAACCACCTGTAACTCTGCAACAAGACCGCCGGGCCCAGATACTCTTCACTATTCCACCAATAAGACGGGCAGCTCGTCGAGCAGCACGCGCAAAGGATGCACTCGTACAGACCATCAAGTTTCTTGCGCTCAGCGGGAGACTGCCGATTCTCGCGGCCGTCGGGGGAGGGCGTGTCGCGTTGCAGGAAGGGCTTGATGGATTTGTATTGTTTGTAGAATTGGGTGAGGTCGGGGACGAGGTCTTTGACGACGTAGGTGTGCGGGAGGGGGTAGATGCGGGCTTCGTGGGAGGTGGAGGTTGGGATGCGGCCTGTGATAGCAGGGGAGTATCAGCAATTACAGTTTCAAATAACATATTATAGAAATCTTGAGGAATAAAAGTGGAACCATACATAGACAAGCAAGTGTATTCACCCCATCGATATTCATAGCACAGCTCCCACAGATCCCCTCTCTACAGCTCCTTCGAAATGTAAGGGTCGGGTCAACCTCATTCTTGATCCTGATCAGCGCATCCAGCATCATTGGCCCCGTCTTGTTCAAATCGAGGGTATATGTCTGCATTTTTGGTTTCTCAGTCGGCCGCTCCGGCGACCAGCGGTAGATGTGGAATGTCTTTGTTTTTGCTTTGGGGCCTAGATTTGGTTCGTCGATGTTCTTGGTCTTGGATGCTGGTTCTGGGGGCTGAGTGGCAGACATGGCTTCGCCGAGCTTGGAGATGGGTTCTTTGACGCCGCCGGTCTCGACTGTTGCGTAGGTTCGGACGAGAGGGGAGGGGCGGAAGTGACGGGGAGCGGAGGTGAGGAGGCGTGTTGTTGGGGTGCGGAGAGCCGCCATGGCGAGAGATGTGGGTTTGAAAGCCGATTGAGGTGCAATTGTATGTCACTGCAGCTTATATAAGGCCGTCCTCGAGAATAATGGCGGATGTTAGAGGAAGAAGTTGATGATGATATGGAGGCAAAATGGGCTAGAACTGGAGCCGAGGCTTTTCCGCTTTGGGATTGGCTCGTAATCAAAATGAACGACCTGTGATTGGCTGCGCAATCTCCTTTTCGTGGTACAGTCAAGCGCGGTGCGGAAGACTCCAAAATTGCACCAGCCCTAATTTTGATATCACAAATCTATCTACCATTTGATGAACATCTGTAGAAATCAAGTCGTAAAATGGAACAGCCAAAGAACCACCCCCAAGCCCCCCAACATCAATTACCACCATGGGAGACTCGCCCAACTACAACAACAAAGAAAACAGACCCTCCTCTAAAAGATCAATGGAGGGATATCAAGTTCACGCTCCAATCCACCTTCGACCGCATCCTCCCACCCCATCGTAGATACCTCAGCCACTCCCGCAAAACCTTCATCATCTTCCTCCTCGCCCTCCTACTATCACTCTTAGCCTTGATCCTCGGTCTCGCAATCGGTCTCTCCACCAAAAAGAGCAACAACCACAAATCACTCCCGCTAGGTTCGCAATCCTACACTGGGGATTTGACATACTACGGGCCAGCATTGGGCGCATGTGGCGTCACGTCCAGCGACAACGACGATATTGTATCGATTAGTCATTTCACGTTCGATGGGGTATCGAAGGGGTCGAATCCGAATGCTAACGTGCTTTGTGGGCATAAGATCAGGGCTGTAAGGGAAGGGCGGAGCGTGGATTTGAGGGTTGTGGACAGATGTAGGGTTTATTATACTTAATTATCAGATTTAATAATGTGAGATGGCTGACTAGGTACAGGTGTGGGATGCAAAGCTACTGATATAGATGTCTCACCCGGTGCGTTCAAGAAGCTCGCAGATCCTGATCAAGGCAGGGTGCAAGTCACCTGGGCTTGGCTGCCTCCTATTCCCACCATACCACCATAATTGTCCGGGGGTCCGTCAGTCTGATCGTGGCGCTGCCAAGCTCCATTGCCTAAAGCTTTAGGACCTACTATAGGGATGCAACTTCAGAGCGCGCCTTAAAAGCTAGTCTTCTACTCTAGGCATTGCCCCTTTATCCCGCTACGTGGGGTTGGTAGTCCCATATTCAGCCTAGCCACTAGTGTCTCCATGTCAGGGTCCTCGGGCTTTGGAATCTCAGGCTGACACATGCCATATGCTTGAGCAAAGCTAACCTCCTCGCCCGCCATCATTCTATAAGCTTTCCTGACACAATTCTCCACATCATCAACAATGCCAGGCTCGACTCTGCCGAAAGCTGTCCACATATCTGCAAGGCAAGCGACCACCTCATCGATTCCGAAGCCCCATTTGGTGATCTCAAATTTTTTGGCGGTCACGTTGATGCTGAAACCCAGAGCTGTTAGCATGATCAACCCGAGCTTGACGACCGGATACCACATTTCTCCGTGTACGCAGGCGTAAATAAGGTCCATACAAGGCACAACGAATGCGGTTCGTGGCTCTTGGCTGGCCGGATGCTCATAAGTATCGTCCAATTCGCCAAGCAAACGAAAGCATTGCTCCAGATCTGTCCCGGCCATATTCTCAAAACTGTCCACTAATTTCTGCTTGATCTGTTTCCTCTTCTTAAGGCTCTCAGCTGAGGTGTTCCGCTGGCTTTTGCAGATCGAACACTGACATTGGAAACCGTATTTCTCTAGGCCGTTTTCTCGGTCCTTCTCATCATCACAGCTACCGGCGTATTCTATGAACAGCTCAGTGTTTGCTGGTATGTCTTGCCTTGCGCGGAAGATCATCATATCGCCGAGGAAAGAACGTCTGACGTTGGGATAGCAGCTGTGGTTGACGAAGCTGGCGTTTATCCAAACACCCATGCAATGTGCTGGAGTCTTCCTGCGCTGATCATCATGCGCGCGTGCCACGAGCTTATGCATTAGATGGGAGAAAACTGGGAATGCAAAGCTGTTGTACATGATGCGAAAGTTGATCATGTCAAGCGTCAACTCCGGATGACCCAATTTCGGGTCCACCTCCTCCTTCGCATTGGGTCCCGGATAGAGTGAAGCAAATTCCTTCATCAAGGACGGATTGTTGTCAAGCCGCGACAAGAGGTTCTCCGCGATGTTTTCTTTAAGTGTCCAGAACCCTTCCCCAAGTCTCATGGTGCCGTCTTCTCCGTACGAGAAATCGTCCTTGAACGTACCCTTGTCTGGAACTGGAAAAGCAGCCATAAAAGCCTTTTCTATCAGCAACTCCTCACCAGCTTGTACGTCTCGCGTGGCGAACAGGCCTCGTCCGTGCTCCTTCACGGCGCATTGGCGGACCTCGACTGGGCCGAGAAAAGATGCACGGTCCATATCCGCCTTTGGATTCTTTTCATTCGCCTCCCTCAGCATAGAGCCATAATCATAATCGCCCTTTTGCTCTTTCAAGCGCTGTTCACATCGTTTGAGGTCTTGCTTTGCTGCAGCGCTGGAAGGATTAAGGGTGACAACTTTAGTGACTGTAGCGTACGCCTCGTCGTACCGTCGCAGTCCGTAAAGTGCTCGAGCGGAACGAAAAAGTGCCTTTTCATTGTCTGGCTCGTTCTTGATAATGATTTTCGCATCCAGCAATGCTTCGTCGAAGTGTCCCAATGCGTTCCGGGCATGCGCGCGGTTGAGGAGAAGTGGTAGTGGCGAGGTTCCTATTTTGGTCAAACGGAGAGCTAAGTCGTAACTAGATCATTATCAGTCAGAATTTGCCCAACGAGGGAACGAGGGTTGGTCTATCGAAACACGGCCACGCCAAAACAAGCTGCCTTTTGGGGAGGCTGACTCTACATAAAGCCCCACAAGTTAGGATCTGAACTTATGCCTACCCCTATTCAGCGCCTACAATTTTGAGGCAGCTATGTTCCGATAGACCAACCGTTGGAAGAGGGACGTTACCATTCAACTGCTCTTGCAAAATCGCCTGATTTGCAGCAGGCATTGCCTTTGTTTCGCCAGTTATCGGCAGGGGTTGAAGTGATCTGCGTCATCTCCCTGTACGTTGAACAAACTTCGAGGTCAGACAAGAGATTCTCTGCTTTGAAGTCAGACAAAAGCTTCTGTACGTTTTCCTTATCAGCAAGCGACAGAACGTTGGGCTTCCGATCATATTCCGACACGATGTCAAACTTCCGACAGATTTAAGTCATTTGATGTGCTGAGGCCCTGATGAAGGTGACGACCTACCAAGACACTGACGAGGCCGAAAGTGTGAAGGTCTTTTGACAAGGCAACGGCGTGAGGCGAAGAGATTCATATGAAATTGTCTCAATTATGTTGAATTTCTGTTTGATGCAAGAAAGTGTGAATGTGAAGGAGAGACAGAGAAAGCAATGTTGTCGTGAATAATTATTTTTATAGCAGTGTGATACGATTCTTCTGCGATAAATCAGCAAATGAAGGTAGGTACATGTTTGCCCTCACATGAAGGTAGGATATCAGGTTTCACATTTCGAGTGACACCTTTGCGTTTCGAGCAAATTCGAAGGCCTTCCTTAGTGTTTGCCTTCACGCGTCAGGATGTGTCGTCAGAGAAAAGAGTGTCACCGTTCAGAAGCTTTGTTCGATGATGATTTGTATCTAGACAACACATGTAGCCAGAACCTAATAGTGAGCGGTAGCAGTAGTCCAGGACAAGAACATATGCTTTGCTCTTGCTATTGGAAGTGAGGATCCCATTCCATGACCTTTCTAGGGCCAGCAAATCGACGACCCTAGCGCTAGTCCTACTTTGGTATCACTCAGACTTTCCAAACCTAGATGACGTTCGCCCTTGTGTGCATTGACATTTCCAGTCAACACGCGAAGCAAACGAAATGGAGGTAGCAGCAGGTGCGGTTGTCGCAGAACAAGCAGTATCCACTGCTGTCGAAGCAGGCGTCGCCTACGGTATCGCAAAACCCACTCCTCCATTGTCTGCAACTTTCACACGGATCTCAAGCCCCGCTTTCCTCCCGCGATTGAAGCATTCTCTCGCCGTCGTCAATGGGCAGATATACCTTTTTGGAGGCGAGGATGAAACGGGAAAGCTGGCAGGAGATGAAGTGCATATCGTCAGCTTGCCATTGAAGAGCGCAGGGAACGAAGGCAAACCAGATTACAGTATGCCATTCACATAGCTGTCACAACATCCACTGATGGGTAGAAAGAGTGCGTGCCATCATTAGGTGAAGGTGAAGATGGGAAGGTCCCTGGGAAAAGAGCAGGACACAGTTCGATCGCCGTTGCAGGCAAGATCTACATCTTTGGTGGAAGTGGAGAAGATGGAAAGCCAATTGAAGAGATGGGACGCGTTTGGATGTACAACACCAAGACTCTGGGCTGGAGCTACATTGATCCTGCTGAGGACGCGTCGCTTCCTCCTGCACGACACATGCATGGCGCTGTATCCAGCGATCGACCAGCTTCGGCCACCAAGGCAGGGACTCAGCACACTATGACCGAGCAGATTTCCTCAACCATATCCAAGCTTCCCAGTATGATCTCAAAAACATCCATCGACGACGGCCCTTCAGAGCCCCATGGTACACTCATCATTCATGGCGGCCAATCTGCTTCCTCAAGTGTTCTCAACGATACTTGGGCCTTCAACATCGCAACTCGCACCTGGTCCTCCCTCCTTCCACTCCCCTCGTCATCCTCCCCAACGTCTAGCCTCGCCTTCGTATATTCTACCCTGTACACCATAAGTGGCACCACAGAATTTGCACATGAGATCTCCACCCTCCCTCTTAAGCCTAAGTCCTACATCAATCTCGCGGGCGAGAATACCGAAGACTTCCTCTCTACACAAGAAACCTGGTCCACCATCACTATCCCTACTAATCCTCTCACACCCGGTCCAAAATCTCGCACTGGTGCCCCATTCCTCCCAATATCCACCGGTGCAGGACGGGACTATATCCTCTACCTCCTCGGCGAGCAAACCTCCGCCCCAAAAAGTCCGCCCGGCACAGATTCCGACGATAAGCCTGACCCCTCATCTACAACCCCAGAAAACACACCAGTCTACTACTCAGATACCTGGGCATATGGCCTCGCACCACCCGCTACCACGCCTGCAGGGATCAAAGATGCCATTCGCTCGACAGTGGGCGCGTCGGTCAGCTCAGCAACATGGGCAGAAGTCATAGTCGATGCAAACGTGGAGCCTGAAGCGGGAGAGGCAACTGAGACTGGCGGCAAAGCACACCCGGGGCCAAGAGCGTGGTTTGCAGCCGACAGATTGGAAGGTGGAAAGGGCGTTGTCATGTGGGGTGGACGGAATGGTAGGGGTGAGGTTGAGGGGGACGGATGGCTTGTAAATGTGGCTTGAGAAGAGCTATGAGATGTCTGTATAGGAGGAGCGAGGATGGAAATGTAGGAGGAAAGCCTGAGCGGTGCTCAGAGAATATTACCACGTCGCGTACGAAATGAGCTATGGCTGAAAAATGAATAGAGCCTCGCTGCGACCTTGGACCAAATGATCACACTCAAGCATTACTGCTGCAAATATTTTGGCCTCTGTTACGCTCTTCAAATACTCACAGATTGTTAGTCGAGACCAGCCGCTGGAGCACTACTGCATTTGACTGCCAAAAATCTCGTCGGCGAAAATGCTGACACCAAAAGCCCCCTCCCCCTTTCCCCTGCCACCTTCAACTCCACCACCTCATCAACTCACGCCATCCATTCTCCCAGACCCAGTCTTCAACCCCCTCCCCTCTCCAACCTCAGAAAGCTCATAAGGCCCAGCCCCCTAGTTGACCAGACTCTCCGTCCCCCTCAATAATCGACTCAAATCGGCAAATACAGCGTCCTAGCTCGGTCTCTCTCTTGGACTGACTTCCACCGAAGCACTCACTCCATCGTTGTCTTCAAGATCGCGTACGTGAATCCTTGGTCCGAGGGTGGGGATGGGAGACCGGCGAGGTGAATTCACTTACCAAATTGTCAACAAATGTTCCTCAAAATGCTACTCCTACAATTGCGTTCCTTTCGAAGATACTAGACGACTTTTTCAGCGGTATAAAGCACGTTGAAGAAAAGCATAAGGGCAATTACGACAAAAGAATCAATACTTCATGATAACCAACCCAAGAAAACCCACATCATGTCATATTTCTTCTATTCAGACCACCCACCTCATCAGCTAACATTGCTCAGCTCCCCTGTCAAACACCTTCAAGGCCTTCCCATGTCCACTGGCCTTCTCATCAATCACCCAAGACGCGAGACTCTTCACACCCCTATAAACATTGACTTCAGACGGAAAATACAACCGCTTTTGCATGTTTCTGCTTCTCAACCAATCCTCACACCAATCCTCGGGTGCTTACAGCGAAGTCTTCAATACCCCATCCGTGAAGTCTTGAGAAACCGGCATATTATGAATAGTAATGGCTAGATCTCCGTGTATAAAGCGGGCCCCATCCTGAGCGGTGAGATAGCCCTGTTAGGAGGCGAATTGAGGACGAGAAGAGATGGCGCGGTATGATGGAGTAGAGGAGATGATCAGGTACTAAAGGTGCTGCCAGGGAGAACGTACAGGAGCTACCTCGCCTGTTGGCGGCATGAAGCGTGAAATTTCATGCAAGCACTCCCAGAAATCGTAGTAGTTCTTTACGTCTGCCTTCTCGCCGCTGCCGATGTCGAAGTGGAGGGCTATGTATGGATTGCCGCAGTCATTGCTCGTGTATTCTTCGGTCCAGCTGCGAGTAGAAAGTTTATGGATTGATCTCGAAACCTATATATCGAATCTAAAACCCCGTCGACTCACACTATCAGTTCCACCATCAAACACCTCCGCCCCACTATCCCCTCCCTCCCCTCCCTCCCCTTCCTTTCCATTCCCAGCCTTAGGCTCATCAACCACCCAATACGCCAAGCTCCTCTGCGCGCGGAAAACAACGACTCGAAACGGTAAATACAGCCGCCTCTCTATAAGAATGCCCCACAACTCAAGAAGTCCATCCATCGAGGTCTTCCACTCCGCGAACGTGAATTCGAGCCTCGCAGGTCCGCCGTTATGTACAATCATATCCAGCTCCTGGCCTTCCTCTCGACGTCCGTCCTAGATGAGAGGTCAGTGGTTTTTTCGGAAGGATTAATGGAGGGGAGGGGAACGGCAAATGTGCTTTCGGGGCAAGTGCGAGGAGAGAAAACGTACACTGACCACCCTGTCAGATGGACGCACATTTCTCGCCGTGTTGCTTATGCACTCCCAGATTTCGTAAGGGTCAGCGCGTTTGCTACGGCTGGCGCCGACCTCGAGGTGGAGGATCATGGGTGGAATGCCGGAATTCTCGACTGTGAATTGGTCGAACCATCTGTGGGGGTTTGGAGAAATGAGTCGTTTAGGCATTGAAAGGAAAGGAAAGTGGGATCTTCAGGATGAGATTGCAGAGGAGGGGGCGTACCCAAGGAACGTCTCATTGAGGGGATTAGAGGGGTCACTGCTATTTCCCCGAATGGTGGGGAGGACGGGGCCGCTGAGGACGACGGTGTGTAGACTGAGGAGGGCGAGATAGCTAAGGTAGAATTTCGAAAACATCTTGGAATGGAAACAAGCCATCTAGAGAGTCAGCTTTGTTATGTGAGATACATAACAAAGTCTACCGGCCAGTTGTACGCATGCTGTTTTTGTGTATACTTTGTATTGCATAAAGTTTCCTGGAGACACAGCTCGAAGTCTTAATGCGGAGATTGCAACGTAAGTCATTGCTAAGCTTATGTCTTACACCTACGCGCATGTCTCTTCCGGTCTAGTCTTACAGATCCGGACAGAATTGTACCATTGCAATGTATTCAAGACGGTATGCATGAAAAACACTGTCATTACCTTCTTATGCAGCTTTCCAACCTTCACTCAAACCTTCCCGAGTCCTTCTCAAACCCCAGTCTCCAAATCTTTTATTCTCCTATCTACACTGCCCTAGCAATCTCCCAAAGCCCAACAATTCCTCCACCCCTATAAACGCCCATTCGTAGCGATAAATCCACATCCACCTCCAGCCGCCTAAACAGCCGCTTCTTCACGGGCGTCAACGCTATATCGAGGTTCTCGAACGTAAATATCTGGAGACCGAGGCACGAAGACAGGAGTAAAGTGGAAGGAGAGAGGAAAGAAAGAAAGAAGGGGAAGTACTCTAGAGTATTATTTGATAGGCTGAGTGGATTGCTGCCATCGTTTTAATAAGCTCGTGCCAGGCTGGAGAAAGAGATGAGGGGGCTGCTTCGGACGAAGGAGAAGAGGCTTTACAGAGGAAAAAGAAGATTAGAGGCCGTTGGTAGCGTTACCCGACAATTCGACGATTGTATTACTTTTTGGCAAGGAAAAGACGGCTGATATAAGGCTCAGATATTCAGAACAACAATACGCTCAGATAGCACAATCATCGAAGGGTTTACGGCTACTCAATCTCCGAATGCACAGTCTGCAATTCCCTGTGAAGCACGGCTATTCATCTAAGCGTGGAGCATATAAGTCATCGCTTAGCCCGATGTCTTGAAGTGGCGTGCGCGTTTCAACAATGGCATACTAGCGATGTGATACAAATCTCCGAGAATGTCGATTCGTGAACATTTCTTCGCCTTGAAATCTGGGACGAATCCATGGTCACCAGTCACTGCTAAAAAAGCCCTCCAGCCTACACTTGTTCCCAGATCTTTCTACATCCCATCGTACCACACGCACGAAACTATTTCGCCCTGCTCCCTTTAGTGATCTGTCCTCTTTTGCTCCATCTTACCCTCCCGTATCATTCCTCACCTCCCTACTCTGCCTCTCCAGTTTCCCCCGAACTTGATGCTGGCCCAAGAACCTCCCAACTCCCCAATTTCTCCTCGCCCCTGAAAACCTGCACATTCAACGGCAGGCCAAAATAATGATACCCACCTCTCCCCGGAAAAATCCAGCCAACAACGGGCAGGAACGTCTTCTGCAGAATCTCATACGTGAATTCTGGCTCCCATACATCATCCACGTACAGGATGTAGCCTGAGTCCCTCCAGTGGTCGTGTTCCTGTGGGGAAGAATGTTAATTGTGGGGTAGGAAAAAGGGAAGGGGGTTTGGGGGCTACGGAGGAGGGGAGGGGAGGGGGAGGGAGGAGAAGGCAACCTTCGCTACATCCCGAATATGGTCAGGTTTCTTTTGGTCTATTGAATCTGAGGCTGTGCCGATGACATCGGCGACGGCCCATCGCGCTACAGGTGCAGATTCGCCGGGGGAGATGTAGAGGATGAGCGGCGGACTGCCGGAGTCGGGGACTATGACATGGTCGTCGACGCTGCGGGCAATTTAGTATTGTGGTGTTGCATCGATGTAAGGGGCGGAGCAGGAAGACGTGATTGATGAGGGATGAAGAAAGAGAGAAGGGGCTGATTATGGGACTAGGGGAGGGTGGGATACTTGATAGCCGTCTCATTAAGCTGGGCCAGTGGTTGAGTAGAGGGTAGGATGACGGAGCTGCTCAGAATGGAGGGGATCAAGGCCAGGAAAGAGAGGGGGATCAGGGGATGGAGTATCATCTGGTGCATTCTCCAGAATTAAGAAATCATGACGTTTGATGATGAACATCAGAGGAGACGAATGTAGATCTGTTATGAGAACATTAGTTTTAGGATTGCTATTGTTTCGGCTTGCTGTCTTAAGGAGAATCATCGCTTAGGATAATGTCTTCAATAGCAAGCGCATTCCTAGAAACTATGTGATATAGCACTAATCTCCAGATATACAGACTCGTGACGCTGCATTGTCGTGGAACTCTAAAGTTTCCATGACCACTACTCGAAAAGCAATGGCATCCAAACTACTCACCAACGAACCACCCGATCTCTCATTACCCTCCACAAACCCCCCTACCCCTACACCCACCCCTCATCCCACACCTCCCACACCTCCCACACCTCCCACACCTTCTCCCCACCTCCCTACCACCCCCCAAGCACGTCCCAACTCCCCAACCCCTCCTCACCCCTAAAAACCCCTACGGACAACGGAATATCAAACCGCCTAACCTTACCCGGAAACAACCACTTAACAACCGACGGAAACGTAGCCTGCAGAACCTCATACGTGAGCCTCGTCTCCTTATCCGCCCGGTTGACGATCAGCATCAAATGCTCTGCGCGCCAGAAATCATGATTCTGTTTACCCCCAGGTTTTGTGTTAGTTTTGAGATAAGACCCTGCGGGTTTTGAAGCGGAAAATGAGAAGGGAAAGGATGGGGAAGGATGGGGGAGGATGGGGGAGGATGGGGGAGGGGAAAAGGGGGGAGGAGGAAGCACCAGCACAGGATCCTGGCTATGACCCGCGGCTTTCTTCTTGTCGATGTATTCAGAGGCGGTGTCGATTACGTCGGCGATGGCCCAGCGCAGAGCGGGAGCTGCGTCGCCGGTGGTGAGGTGGAGAATTAGGGGCGGGGAGCCGGAGTTGGGGACGGTGATTTCTTCGCTGATGCTAGGGGGGTTAGGGTTAGTGTTATTTTGTCGCGTCCGTGTGATGGGGGCGGAAGAAGGGTTGAGCGGCGCGGGGAGGAAGGGGGAGGTGGGAGGATGGAATACCTGACAGCTGTTTCGTTGAGCCTGGATACTGCTTCGCTGTCTTCGTTTGCGATATCAAGGTTTGGTGGTGGAGATGAGAATACAGGGCTGCTGAGGGTGGAAGGGATGAAGGTCAGGAGAGAGAGCGCGGTGAGGAAGAGAGGTGGAAGCATTGTCGGGTTGCTGCTCCTGTGCAAACTTGAAGAACGAAATCCTCGTTATGGGCGAAGGGTTAGATAGAAAAGAAGATCTCAGCAAGTCATCATCAAGCGAGGCTTAACATCACAGATGGTATTGTTTTGTTTGGACGTATGATCTGTGTTTATAAAGCACTGCTCGCTGTCTCATTGTAAATAGTCTGATGTCTTATTAGTACGCGCATGTCACGGAATTGAGTAGCAAAACCTCAGCCTCAATCTGTCTAAAGCTTCCTGTCGCGTCAGCTCTAATGACCTGGCACGAGTTCAGGAACTAAATGCACTTCGTGCAATCTGTACTCTACATGCCAGCCCGAACAACTATTCACTCAGCAGCAGTTTCGAACCGTCTTGTATCAAACAAATGCATAGCCCCAAGAACCTGCTCCTTTTCGTCTGCAGTATCGATCCTCACAAGTTGCATGGTCACGGATGGTCTTCCCTGCATGGTCACCAAATTCCGGTACCCATTGACAGCTTGCCGCACAATGTCATACGTAAATGATAGGACCTGTTTTCCCGAGTAGATTTGGGCAACTTCCAGCCCATGGTTTTTGTCAAGTCTGTAGCTTACGCCGCATTGTGGGATAGGGTCGTAAACGTCGTATGGGCGTAATTTGTCGATTTCTCCGGTAGCGTTGTCAAAGATGCGGATTGCTTCTTCAAGTTTGATGGTGCGGTACCGGGAACTGTCGTGTATTACGAGGCTGATAGGTGGATGCGTTCCGGGAAGTGGGAGGGGAATTGCCTTATTGATGTCGTTTGCGGAAGTGAGGGCGAGATCGGTTGTGTTGAGAAGACTTGCTCCTATGTCGCAGCTTGTAGACAATGGTATGCTCGTGACTGATTCCAAGAGGGAGAGCAGGATTAAAGTGACTGCTAGTAGAGGGCGCATGGCTATCTGCTGATGGTGGATATGAAAGCCGGTGTGACTGAGGCCTTTTTGATTGATTTGACCCCTTCGAGAATGGATTTCGTTTTGTCTACTGCGACTGTACTGCCCGTTGGTCCGTGTGATTCAAGTCAAGGCCAAGAATAGGCGACTGAACGCTGAAAATAATGAATCCGACACGCATTTACTTGATGCGCTCCAAATTTGATGACGCTCTATTCTTAGTTCCCACCGTAAATTCTGAGACAGAAACACCAAAATATGTGCTCTTGAGGTCCCAGCTTTACAGATTTGGCGAAGAGTGCTCCAACATGGTTTCAGATCCACAAATCTAAGAAAGATGCTGCTGTTGAGGAGTGTAAAAACGGGTACTTACCCGGCATCAGGCGCTGTATAAAATCATACCCTGGTCCATTGGAACACAGATCTTTCTTCAAAGGGTAAAGGAAGTTAAAGACACATCAATTGCTTGTAAATGACTGACGAGAGAACAGATCAATTAAGAATGACAGTCCTGCTAACGAAATACGACTTTGACTTACGACCCATTTACCATTTTACGAAGTCGCAACAGATGGTAGAGCAACCACGCTCTCCACAGCGGATTGCGCTGGCTTTGGAATAGACAACACGCCGGTCACTCCATTCGTAGAGTTTGTCGCCTGAGTCAGTACGCTCGTGAAAGCGTCGCCAACATCAGTATTGTTATCGCCCCCAGCATTTACAGCATTAGTCCACGGAGGTTTCGTGACATCCGGAATACTCATGCACTGATTCATCGCCACTACTCCAACGTCAGTATCCCATACACATTGTACACGAAAGAGAAATTATATCATCACTCACACAACATGTACCCCACAATTGCATTACTCGACACTCGATTTCTTCCCTCAACATCCTTATTCAGCGTCTTATACTGTATCCCCTCCTCCGTATAGCCCACCCCATCAAAATACATCGGCAGCAGTCCCCATAAGAGAATAAAACCCTGCGCCTGCTCAAAGTACCCCGTTTCCTCAAACTTATTATCCACGACTGTCGGGCACGGATCGGTCGGCGGGGCGAGCGGGAAATCGTAGAAGCTGGGGCAGACGAAGACTCTGCCCGTTTCGGCGTGAAAGACGCCCGCGGCCTTGCCGTCTAGACACTTCTCTATATCTCCGGGGGAGAGTATTTGGGGAAGAGGTTTCTCCTCGCTGACGCAGTAGAAGATGGGTTTTCGGGGCGGGGTTGTGTAGGGGAGGAGATTGCGCTCGACGAGGTTGCGCAGTCCTTGGTCGAAAAAGGCGTGGGCGCCGCGGTGGTTGTTCATGAGGGTGAAGAGTTCTGTGTCGAGGGCGACTCCGGCGCGATTCACGCCTCTGTCCATCTCGTTCAGGGCCCTGCGGAGGATTCCCCTCTGCTCTGAAGTGCATTCATTAAAGTAGGGGTCTGGAGGTTTGTAAGTTTCTGTTTGTTTTGGGAGGCGTGTTACAAACAAACTGGGGCAGCGAGGCTGATAGCTGCAAAGGACAATCCAATGATGGCTAGTATCCCATTGAGCTCGCTGAGAAGCATGGCGAAATTCACACTCTCTTTGTCTAAATCAACGAGGTCAACTGGCGAAAAGACTGCGATTTCTTGAGCAATTCGAAACGGAAAGATGCGACAGCCATTCATGGGTTATTGTTTTCGTCATCTCTCATATATGAAAATTGTAACACAGATTCACCTCAGCAATTATCCCAGCGCATACCAGGCAACCCCGACCTGAGTTCTTCGCGCGTCTGTCGCATTGAGTGCATATGTCACCAAAAATAGGCACTCGTGTTTCGCGAAAAGGCGAAACTGTCCTAGTCATCTTCTCGTAATAAGTTGAACAAAGTAAGGGCGGAAGGGAAATATAGGGTGCAGTGACAGGAACATCTCATGCAAAGTGCCGGAAATTTCACTTTCCTTTGCCCATCGGTCCTTGGCGAAGGACGTACAGCTATACAGCCGCCTTCCATCATAAATTACACAGTCCAGATGCCAACTTACTCACCTTTCACGTCTAATACGCCTGATCAATCTCACGAAGCACACTCGCCAATGTGTTGCACCGACACGATGCAACAAATGGGTGACAGGCGTCACAAACTCCCACTATCAACAATCGTAGCAGACACATCCCCCAACTCAGCCAATACAGTCTGAATTCATTAGCCGTGTCCCATCCCATCGGTCTGCATTACCAGGAAGAATTACTCACCTGCACAAGCTGAGTCGCCTCAGCGCCCGGAATATCCCTATCACCAACACCGTCTCGAACGATCGAGATATCGTAACCGAGCTCAAACCCCGCTCTGGACGTGGAGGAGATACAGACATGAGCCTGAACCAAGGTCAAGAAACGCTCGTGTACGAAATGCAAGGGATGAGTGAGGAGGTGGGAGAAGTACCATATACCCGACCAAAACGACTTTATTCTTCCCCAGCTTCTTGAGATGAGCATCCAGTTCCGTCGCCGTGAACGCGCTCGGTGCCGCTTTCGTGATCGTCTACAATACGTGCTTCTCGTCAGCACCTGCCAATTGATCCCGCGTTAATCAAGTACTACGCCCTCCTTAACCCAGAAAATCACCACAACGTCCTACCCCCCTCTCCCCCGCCGCCAAGTCTAACTCACCATCTCCCTCCCCTCCTCCTCCTCCGGTTTCAACTCCTCAAACTCCTCCACCAACTCCGTCCCCGCGGTGAAAATGGGCGCGCCCTCAGGTGTTTGGTGCAGCACGTGCACGACATCGCCCCTCGCATGACGCCACTTCGCCAACAAGCCGGCGATTTTCTTGCGAGAAGCCTGCACGTCGTGGATGGCGAGTTTGCCACTGGCGTACTCGTTCTGCGCGTCGATGATTACGAGGACGCTGTCTTGCGGGTTGGGGGACGAGGGGGGATGGAGAGGATTTCGCGGAACGAGGGAGGGGGAGGCATGGTGGGTGAAATTGTTTGGTGGATTGGTGGATCGGTGAGTTGGGTTTATGATAGGGGAGGAGTGGGCAGGAGAGTTGGTGGTGTGGATTGGCGGACTTGATGGATGGGATTGGATATGACGTCGAAGAATGAGGGAGGGTAGCATCGCTCCTTTCTACCGATTGGTCGAGTGAGGTGCTTAGTCATGAGTCTTCATTGATGATATGTCCATGGTGCTCAAGGTGGAAATATTGCTGAGCTGAGAATCAAGGTGGTGAAGCGCCGTTGAATTCGCAACTAGTTGATAATGTCAATGCCAATGCAGGAAAGAAGCACCATTTGACGACGGTATTCGAGCTGAGAGGTCTGTTTCAAGCACATTAATGCATAGCTCGTCCATTGTTCAGGTTCTGCTTACATCCTATTGTTATGGAGTAGATGAATCATACACCTGTCTGTTAGCTATTCACGAAGAGACATACGAAAGGGGCTGTTGGAAGCTCTTCATTGCCGCTAAATATACAGAGTTGATATCACAAGTGTACCAAGATGTGTATGCGATGCTAGTATTGATACATAGAGTAGCCAGAACCAAAATTGCAGCATGCATCTCTAACTTTAGCTAGAGGCAGACTAATTCTATAGCTTCATCTCGAACTTCTTCCTGATCCTTTCCCCATAGAAGTAGAACACAAAGGGTATCGGGCATAAAGCAAGGGATATAAAAGCCAGCAGGGTATTGCCCCACCCTAGCCCTAGGGTGGCGTACATACTCCTACCAGCCAATGGTAGTAATGCTCCAATCAAGCTCCTAAAAATGGTATTCGCAGCCAGCGCGCTCGCCGCATAAATGGTGAAGGCATCGACTAGATACGTCTGAATCGGCATGAAAGTCGCCAGCAGCCCGAACCCGACGAAGGAGGTGCCGATGATGGGAGCGATCCAGTGCACGCCTTTGTCAGCTGTCCAGCCGTAGATGAAGAGGCCGATGGGAATAACAAAGGAGCCAGGTATGAGAGGTGGGAGACGGTATTCTGGCTTTCGCTCTCCAGTTGAACTTCTGTTTGTGAGGTACTGGAGCAGCTTGTCGGAGTAAACACCAAAGATGATCACTCCGAAGAGCGATCCCATGCCAATGCCAAGGTAGGTGAGCCCGACGCTGCCTTGGGAGAAATGGTACTTCTCAGCGAAGACTTCGTTTATTGTGGTGAAGAGGAGGTAAAGGTAGCCGTAGACGACCGCAATGTAGGTTGATAAGGCTAGCACGATGGGAGAGAAGAGGAGGAGCTTCATAGGCCGTACAATGGAGACCTTGAAGAGTTGTGCGGGCGTGTAGGGGAGCGCCATCTTGGAGCGGATGTTGGGATTGCCGGTTTCTTTGCGAAGACGGGCGGCTTTACGCTCGAGAAGGACGACGGGGTAGGTTTCACGTAAGGCGAAGAGGCCGCATGAGGCGATAACGCCGCCCTGGGAGTTCTTGAGTCAGCTGGTAGTCTCAAGCATAGAGGTAGGCAAGCTCACGGCAATCGCAATGACCCAAAAGGTCCAACGCCATCCCGCAGCATCAGTGAGGTATCCGCCTGCTACAGGACCAATGATAGGACCCATCAGTGGACCTAGGACCCAGATAGCCATCACACCCCCTCTCTTCTCCTGTGGTATCAAGTCGGCTATTGTGCCTCCGCCGATTGTGAGCGGGCAAGATCCGAAGAGACCTGAGATAAAGCGGAAACCAATAAGCATATTAAGGTTCGTTGATAGGGCGCAAGCTACAGTGAAGACTATGAAGCCAAGGTTGGAGCAGTGATAGAGTGGCAATCGCCCATAGAGTTCGGACAAGGGAGCGAGGACGACAGGACCAGCGGCATAGCCTAGGACGTAGATTGAGACGACGAAAGCGGCCAGCTGCTCATTAGTAGAATGGAACTCTGTCATGACTTCGAGGATGCCCGGGGCGAACATGGAGGAGGCGAGGGGTCTAGAGAAGAGTCAGTGAGGTTGAGGGCGTGGGATGGAAGGGACGTACGTGAGGAAGGTGATGGAAGATATGACGGTAATATTTGCCCACTTCTTCTTCGCTGACCAGTTTCGCGGATTCTGTGGATCGTCCGGGCCGTCGAAGTCGACGACGTTCGGGTCTGGTGCTCCTGCATTGGCTGGGTCGGTATGCTTCTCGTCAGGCGCGCTCGCGGGCTGCGCTTCGAGATCTAGGTCCTTCTCTTGGCTTGAAGCCTCTGATGATATCTTCCCCACATCTTCTTTAGATATTTCAGCTACAAAAGCTCCTGAGGTGTAGGTTTTATGTTGTTCTGAGGGTGCCGTGGATCGCGCTGATGGTGCGACGGCGATAGGGGGAGCTGGGACAGATATGTGTCATTAGAATCTTGATCCTCATGACTGTCTACGGGCATTCGAGGATTGGGGTCGTCTGCTGTTGCATTTGACCGGTGAAGGTCTACATCATGGCCTGAGTAAAGAGCGGAGACGATTCGGGCATTTGCTGGCTCATCATGGGTGAGAGCCTTCGCAAGAGGCAATTCCGTGTCTACCGAGCATTGTCAGCCACCTCTAGCCATGTTTCACCCCCAACAAACCCGAGAGAGGGTCCTGGCTGAGATGAAGTTGAATGGTAAATGAACAGTAAGAGTCTCACTCATGTTGTTGTCAAGCCTTCATATTCCAGCGGCAATTGCCGCCTTCCCAGGAGCCGCTGATATCATCCAATGGTTCAAGAGATTCACGAAGCAACGGCGGGTGATCGAAGCCCACAATTTTGGCAGGGTATAAGGAGTCTAAGAAGAAACGAGCGGACACGTTCATTATATACAGCGATCAATTTTGAGCGACCAGCTCCGCATTCGATCTTCTTCATGCCTTCCTAACCGAAAATCGCGGCTGCTCGGCACAAAGAATGTCATAATTGTGCATTGACGTGCATTAGCTGCGCATAGGCATGCATAATCTCGCAAGACCCGGAGTTAGGGAGATAAGATGCCAAATCTCCGAGGTCGTGCCAAGACCTCACAAGGACAAGAAGAACAATTGGTCGAGTCAGTAAGGTGGTACAGGCGTGATACTTGCAGAATACGCGACGTATATCATTCACGACGTAATTCTGTGATGGGATGGGCCATGTTAGACCATAGGTTCGTATATGGCTGTTCTGATTGGCGGAAATTGCTATGGCATAGCCTTGCTCATGGCCGTGAGGCTGAGATGAAGCAAGCCCGCATGGTTGCCTGGTCTCGTACCTATGACTTTCAACCGTGCTCGATGTCTGAACTCTGAGTATTGAAGGTCTCACGTGGATAATTAAGCTTAGTCTACGCGGAATTCTTGAAAATGCCAATCGGGTAGGGCAATCATTCGGCGGAGGTCAAAACACTAGATCGCAAATCCCCGGCTAACAAGATATCTCAAAGCCCCAAATCGTGGAGTCTGTTGCACCGCCAAAATGAGTGGAGGCACTGTAGCGACCAATGATGCCGATGATGTTCTCGGACATGTATGACAAGCGCCCAACCCGCCATCTGTCCAGGTCCTTCTTGGACAAGAGCCAGCTTTTGCGGCTTTCGAGCCATTAGTGCCAGCAGATATAACCATACAAAAGCTGTGGCGCTGGCAGCCCAAGAACGACACGCTCCGTATCGCAGGAGAAAGTGGATCCGGTGAAAGCGATTTTCCTAATGAACGTGACTCTGATCCTAAAGGTGCAGTCGGAGATGAAGAGTTTCAGACGCGTAGGAATCGCTCACTTTCTCCATCTCAAAGCTCTAGCTTTAGGGAAGAAGCTCTTGCAAAGGCAGAACGTACCGTCGAGGACGGAAAACGTCAAAGAGCGGCGGTTGTAGAGCGCAACGCCCGTGCTAGGGTCGAAGACGGGGCGGAAGTAGAACAACGTGCGAGAAAACTACGCAAAGAATCTCGCCTTTTCAACAAATCAACAATCGGAGGAAACAGCTTCGATGACCGCAGGCGTTCTGAGAAAGGGTCACAACGGCGTAGATTACTGCCCTCAGCCAGTCGTTCTTCTAGCAAAACACTCAAAGACGTGGAGGAGGACATTCCTCCGAAAACAGCGATAATAGAGGAAACCCCGGGAAATTTTGGAAATCTTGAGCCGCAGGTGCTAGATGATTCTTCAAGCAGGACTCGTGACGACCAAGATAGCCACAGGTACCATGAAGAGCAGATTGCACAAATCCGACAGGGGATAGACGACATGAGAAGTCTCGAAACTCATCAAGCAAGACTTCTCAAAGATGTGGAGCACAAAATAGTCTTGTTGCAGGCAAACACGTCGCAAACAGAGAAGCCTATCTCTTCTCCCGCTCAGCCTAGTCTTCAGCATGAAATTACAGAACTCGAAATCCCTGCTCTTCCAAGACACAGGAACATTTTGTTGGAAACAGGGGATGCGCAAGATGAATATGTAAACAAAAAACGTAAAGAGGAGGTAAATACTCCTGACAACAGCCCACGCAACTCTCAATCTAGATTGGCGGACTTCATGACGGGAACGATCGGCTTCATCATTCCCATAGTGTCACAAATCTCGGAATATGTCACCAAAGAGCCGCCCCTGCAGGATGGACAGACGCGCATTCGTTGGACATGTCAATGCGGCAGCCTTCTATGGGATGATTTCTCAGAGCTACGTCCAGGCGCAGTGGAGGCTTTGCGCAGAAGTCTCCATTTCCCTGATATCATGGGTGACTTCAACGACGCAAGTACAAGGCGTCGGCATTCAAAGGCAGCTGAGAAGAGGATCACACATCTCCTCGACGACGATAGTGAGACGTCTTCGCTTTCTGACGCGCCACCGCAGATACCTGGCTATATCTCCGACGACGATAGCGAGACGTCTTCGATTTCAGGCCCGCCTCCCCAGATTCCTGGTCATTTCCCGGAAGACATGGATGATGCTCTTTCAGGCTCCGAGGTGCCGGGGCAGAGGTCTGGCCATGCAAACATTGGCTTGCCGACCACTGGCGACCCTTCGGGCAACCCGCCCAGTGGTCACGCTGCAGGCGAGCAAGATATCGTCCCAGGCCAAGAGCATAGGACTACGTCTAGTGGATGGTCATTTGACTCCATTTATACTGAAAAGAAGTATCTACTCTTGTGTATCAGTCGGAAGCATGACACTCTGCGGTTGTTACAGCTAAACGTTGAAAACATCGGTAACGACTTCCAGCTCTTCAAGATGCTTCGAGACGTCTATACGAGTCGGCTCAATCCTGTTTCTCGCTACATCTCCTTGCGCAAGCTAGGATCAGTCAAGTTCAGAAAGGCAGGTGGACCTGTTTTTCATCAAATACCTAGGCTGACCATCTGAGTAGATCGAGCGCCATCCTCGAGAACGCGTTGTAATACTCGCAGGTCAAGACATCCTCCCACAACGAAGCAACCCCAAAGTTTGCCATAAAGACCACGCGTACCCAAAATGTGACACCGCCTACAACATTGATCCCTCACCTCCAGATCTCGACCCTTACGTAGGCCGCAATGGACTGGAGCACCTGCTGACGCACCCCCACGAAGCAGAGGAAGACGGCAATCTCCCTCCCGCGCAAAAGGTTTGGCTAAGGCGATTTCCAAAGAAAGAGAAAACAAAGCTGACGACTTGCCCGCCATACCAATACGGTCTTGGTTGGGCTGTCGAACTCGAGGAGGAGTGGAACATGAGCTGGTTGATGAAGGCGATTACGATTTTCCTCATGCTTGCTGCAACAACTTTTCTCGTCTGTTGGTGGAGATATAAGGGTGATGTACAAGGCGCTTCTGGCATGGCAGGCCTATTGGTGTCTTGCGGAACGCTGTTGATGGCTTACTTCTCTGCCGTCAGTCTTGTTTGATAGTATCTTGGCATCAAATCTGGATCTTATCCGTCGGGCTTAAGTTCTTGAGGCTCGCCTAGAGTGCCTCTGAAGCTTCTTGACTAAAGACTCAGAATTCTCAATGTACGGGTAGCCCAATTTCCGGTCGCAGAACCGTCGGAACGATTCTTGAGCAACTTTGTCACACCGTCCTTTCGGCGTCAAGAGCGATGTTACTCTCCAACGCGGACGTGCTAAATGAGTCTTCATGAAACGAGGCTTGTGTATTTCCTTCTTCGAAAATATGGTCCAACCCTTAGCCTTGGCGACCAGGCTTGCAATTTTGCTAAGCATGGTGCGTTTGCAGACCACGCTTATAATCATGAAATTCTCAACTGAAATGCTCATGAGCATGTCTATGAGGGTTTCTAGCGACCCAAAAGGGAAAATCCTCAGAAATTGGTTGAGTTCTAGAACGAGGGTACGAAGTATGGAGAAATTGAGACTGAATTTGAAAAGAAAGAAGTACCAGCTGTGACTGAGCAATGCAGGGGTGTCATCAAACCACAGATGGCGCAAATTCGCGAGCCTTGGGAAATGCGTAGAGACCTCTTCGCAACGGTCGCTGCAGCCGCCGTTGGGGAATTCACGAAACGCCGCGCGATTAGGAGATTTCCTGCTGCGATTCTGGAGCGGAGTCTCACGGTAGAGTTGTCGGCATGTCTGGAAAATGGATCTATGAATGCATCGCGTGACAGCATGCAGACTGCGAAATGTCAGCTATAGCCTTGGAGCCAGGTAGGAGTAGAGCTTACCGGCCTGCTTTCTGGAAAATACTGAAGGTTTCGCGGTCTTCTGCGAGGTAACGATAAATTTGCAGACGAATTTCCGCAGGTAAATCTTGAAAAGAAGTCATTGTGCGTGCGGTTCCACCCCCGTCTGAAGCTGAAGATGAGCCGGTGACTAATCTAAACTCTTCGCGCAGATATCAGAGTTCACGCATGGATTCCTAGTATTCCATTCTGGATATTCGAACGTATTCCGAGCGAACAGGAAGGGCGATATCGAAGGGAAGGTGAATCTTCGATTCATTTACTACGAATGTGTAACTCTGCTGTCCAAGCCACCCGCCACACACGAGTACTCTAATTTCTCTCAGCTTATTTTTGAATTGACTTGCCGAAGGTTTTCAGGCATACAATACTTGGTCGGCCGCATGTGGTCATGTGTGGATCCATCATATAGGCAATAAAGCAATAAATCAGCTCTCCGCCACCGTCCGAAGGCTCGCAGAACCAAGGTTTTTGGATTAAAGTCTGTGATATATACATACTGACGTATTCAGAATGCTCAGACGCGAAGTTTCCCCCACGAGAGCTATAATCTCCTCTAGTTCCTGCTTTATGATAGATCTTTGTGATCCCAATCTTTTGAAGCCACCTAAAGATCACGGAGCTCGCCTCGAAAATACCTTTCGTCTATCTCACTTCTATATTCACGGGTCCCAAGGTATTCACATCCTAAGTTCTTATCACAAAAGCGTTTGAAGGCTTTTCGGGCGAACTTATCGCATTCTCCCTTTGGCATTAACAGAGATGTCACTCTCCAAGCACGATCGTTGAACCTAACCCCGGAGTTAGGCTTAAACATTTCCTCTTTCGAAACAAGATCCCAATTTCTCCACTTAGCGACCACCCTCGCAACTACGTCAAACTTCCATCGGGACCATGCAGCCCACGCGCAAGTGATACTTATGATCATAAATCTCGATATCTTAATTCTGACGAGCTCCCCAATGAGGTCGTCGGCGGAGAGAAACTTGCTACTATACATGTCGAAATCTTGAAGCGTAAGCGTGAGCGTACTAAGCGGCTGGGCCAAGTGAACTAGTCGGCCTTGGAAGTAATCTCTGCTGCGTGGTAGCATTTCACCCCGCTTCGGAAGTCGTAGGTGCCGGATATCGTAGTTCCAAAGACGCAGGTGCCGGACATTCTCAACCCTGGGGAGGGCCGTGGCGATCTCTTCAATTTCAATTTTCTTGTCCTTCAAAGCCCTAAATAAAGGCTTCTCAGACTTATTAGGCCGTGGCCTCTCGGCGTAAAGCTGTCTGCAAGTCTGAAATATCTCTGGATGGTGGCATCGTGTGACAGTACGAACGCTTGGACAGCATATCAGTCGCTCTCTCGGCGTCAGCGAATGCAAAGCTTACTAATTCTCATGCACAATAATCATATAGCATTCCTCCTCGATTGACATTTCGTCATACACTTGCAAGCGAATCTCTGCGGGAAGGGTTTGGAAAGTTATGGCTGGTGGCGAACGCATACTCACCCTGCCTAATTTTGAACCGACTCGTAGGAGCCTTTAAAGAGACCGCATTTGTGCAGAAGCCTTAGCAATCTACGTTGTGATCTTCAAATGTGTTCTGGACGTTGAGTCCAAGACAGTGCGGGAAAGAGGCCAGATCATATAATATTACTTGGTGAATCATCGTGGTAAGCCACCCGCCACAAACGAAGAGTGTAAACTATATTCGTCGTTTAACATCTAACGCATATGAGGCTTTTACTCAATACTACATAGACCATCAAATGATCTGGGCATAAAACCTCTGAATAGCTTCGTAAGGCTGCTTCACCGGTATCAACTATCCACCGCCTACCCATGAACTACCGTGCAAGATGAACAAGATCCAACGCTAACCTTCATTACAGTATCTTCTACCACCACCGCCCGCCACCCATCTCCACATCAACCCCCCTCCATCCCCCTGACACATCGCCTAAAATCACTCATCCCAAAAACTCCCCACCAAAACCTTATACACCGCAATCCTCTCTTTCGCCCCACACTGCACGCACCCATCCCCCATACACCCAAACCCACACTCCCCGTCCGCCGTCGTCGCGTTCTCATTCAGCATATTCGAGCACCAGCAGTCCCCACCACTTTCCAACCCAAAATACCAATGCTGCCCCGAAAACTTGCTTCCGAGATTTTCCTGGCACTCTTCGAGGCAGTTCTGTGGCGTGTTGTCGGGGAGGTGCATGCGGTAGGAGGGATAGTCGGAAGGGACGGGGGCGTGGCGTTCGTGGGGAAAGGGGAGGAAGGGGCCGGGGAGCGTGTGCGGGATCGTGCTGTCGGTGTAGCAGCCTAGGTAGTCCATGGAGGAGTTGAGAGGGAATAGGTAGGGGGTTGGGCCGATGTTTAGGGGGTTGGTGCAGGTGGGTGCGTTGTTAGAAGGGGTACTAGTGCTGGTGCTGGTGGTCCTATTTGCATTGTTAATATATGGCTGTCGAAATGATTGACTAAGGCTAGCATCGGGCGGATCATGAAGAGTGCCATCACGTACGTGCTTGAAGAGGCCGAAAATGAAGACGAGGGGACGTTCGATGTGCTTCTTGAAGAGCTGGACAAGGAAGAAGTGCTTCTGGTCGAAGTCGAAAGTCTCGGCTTGGAAGTCGAGCTGTGTGCAGCATAACCAGAGGCTCTTGTTGTGAACTTGGGAGTCGCGGAAGTGGTCCATTGCATGAATGCAAGGACTATGATGAAGAAAAGGGACTGCATCTTTGGTGCGAGCTTTGACTGGGGAAAGATAGATATGAACGGTGGGCTAGAATGACTAAGATGTATCTTGATGTCAAGTCAGAAAACCCTCTGAAAGAATTTCCTATTTATTTATATAGTGTGCCAAATGTGATGTGGCGTATTTCTCAAGTTGGCGCTCCTGTGTAAAGTATCGAGATGCATTAGCTTTTTCATTCAAAGCCAAGGGTTTTGATGGTTTCCAACGGTGCAAAAGACCTGAGAGGAAAAGATACGTTTGCGATTTGTGCGAAATATACATTCATACTCCTCAAAGCCTCTCATTAAACGAAGTCTGATAATACTGTTCAATCACCAAGGGCATCGATGGTAGCACCACAACAAGCTCGATAGGCCTTAAATGGGGTACCTTCGCATTCGAGAAATCGTAGTCATTGCCAGGTAGCCAGAAGCAATTTCTGGGCTTTCTCTGCGAATTAAAACGTCACCAATGAGTTTAGATTCCAGATATTAGCTGATCTCGAGCTCGCGTTGACACGCGCGAAGATGCGCAGTAAGAAGGCAGGCGAAGGAACGATGACAAAACAGAAAGAACGAATTACAAGCAAGCTGCTAGCCTTGTCCTAATTCAAAGCATACAAAAGCCATCCCAAAAATCCATAACTTCGATGTGTCCACCACGTGTGCCCCTCCCTCTTCCGACTCCATATTTACTTATGCCAGACAAAATTGAGTCTTTCGCCATCACACTCGTCCCTCAACACGGAACTTCAGTACCTAAACCTAGCTTGCCCGGGTTCCAAAGGTATAATGGGGAGCTTGTTGTGCGGCTCTGGGATCGGTGAAATCAGTTCCTCGTTCCACAAGGATTCCAGGAGGTCTCGGCCTCGTCGTCCTAACCGGCTGTGAATGCTCGCGCTTGTGTATGGGTGCTTTGTTCAGCGAGAGAGCAACTTACCTTGCTGGTACCGCTTGCAACTGAATCGGTTGCGACTGCTGTGACGGCTGCGACTGTTGCTGCCGCCTTGGGGGGTTTTCATCCCACACATGATGAGCTGTACTTTTAAGATTCTGGTCGTGATTGGAGTTTAAATAGCTGCTTTGGAATTTAATGCGAGTGTTTCAGACGCTGAGGGTGACTTCTCAATTAATGAAAGCATAACGTGTAGGAGTAGGCTTGTATATGTACGCAACCCAGACAGTAGGCTTCTCGCCTTACTCGCCTTCTTCGGTGAGCCAATATCACCCTTTTTGAAGGCCTGGAATTGACTGCCTCCTTTGGGTTGGATGGCTGTTCTTCTACTAAATCAAACCATGATTTTCGTCAATGTCCTCTAATCTGGCTTGTTACACAACCCTCATCGCCACTGAAGGCACAATTTCGAATGTGGGCACTGAGGGACATGATGAGTAGTCAGGCAGAGAGATCAAGTGCTAGAAAATAAATAGGCAGTAGATTGTCTGGCTTCCTGGCGTACAGTCATGGCGCCTTCCAATTAAGGTCGGTATTTTGCCCAGGCAAAAGGAGTAGAAGCGTGGGTGAAATGGCGGTCAAAGTGTCCAGAGCTCCCCAGAGTTCTAAGATGAAGTATAGCCATCCCCAAAGCCTTTTCTACCACAATGATTGGGGCAAGAACATCTAGGCTTTGACCTCTTCTCCACGCATGTTCTCGTGTTGTGAGAGGGCTGGAAGAGGGGCAAGGCGAGGCACCCAGATCTTCACAACGTGCACACTCAATAGCTTTTCCCTAGACCTCAGACAGACTGGAGTTTCCCTAGTCCGAGTGAAATCAGAAAGTCGTGAGCAGTTGAGGATGGTATCATAGCCCAGGGCCGTGGCCTCACCTGATTGGGGCGGGTACTCGGCACGGATCATCATTGTTCCTCGCTAAGTCTTGGCATGCTTGACGCCTCCTGCTGTTCTATTGACTCTTGCAAGAATCGGTCGCTTCTCATCCTTATCACATATAGCATTGAAGTAATTCGAGTGATTGCTAATAATTGTGCCTGAGGTTCCCTGACCAGCAGTACTCTCCAATTCTCCGAAGATCCGTCAGAATCAGTAGCTGACAGAAGAGGCATGGACCGCAAGGTATCCCTGTGGCTGACACCCGCGGTCCCCACCCATTTATAGAGGCCTGGGAACGCCCTCTTATCCCAGGTTTTGTTTCGGGGAAGGTTTTGTAAGGGGTGTTAGGGACTTTCGCAGGCGGGGTTTTCAGTGACCCAGACAATAGCCACCACGCCAGTCAAAGGGATACTCCTCACTTTCCCTCATGGCAGAGATATTGGGAGCTGTATCTAGTATTGCGACCCTGATCGAACTGTCCTTCAAGGTCTCAAGATATCTTGTCAGTGTCAAAGATGGTTCCAAAGACCGCGATAGACTCCGGCAGGAACTTTCTAGTATTGCAGGCCTGTTGTTCTTCATGAAAGACCAGGCAACTCTGGCTCTGGCCGGAGAGGATCCTGCCATTTCATCTACCCTTGAAGTGCTCATGGGGCCACAGGGACCGATTGCGCAATTCCAGCAGTCGCTAGATATACTTGAGTCAAAGTTGGCTGGTGGAAAGATTGGTAAAGCAATCATATGGCCGTTTCGCAAAGATGAAGTGAAGGACATTCTTGCAAGGCTTGAGAGACAGAAATCGCTTTTTGTTCTAGCGCAGCAAAACGATCAAGTGTACTGTCAAGTGCCAATCTAGCGTTGAGATCAAGCTGACAAGTCTCCAGCCATCTGTCCCAAGCGATAAGGTCTGACATCGCCAACCTGAATCAGGTGACACTTCGTGTGGATACGAAACTATCTGATCTTGCTCGAGGTACACCTGAGAGGATGTCGACAGATTGAAGCGTGGCTTACTTTTGGTAGACCATACTCTCCTACAAGAGTCACACCGAACGCAGCAAGATGCTCTGAGAAAACAGTCCGTCTTAGATTGGCTGTCTCTCATCAACTTCCGTAGCCAACAGAACGATCTATACTCAAAGTGTCAACCTGGTTCTGGTCAATGGCTTTTAGAATCCGAGGTCTTCAAGAATTGGATAAATCGACACGGTGCCGTCCTCCATGGGAAAGGCATCCCAGGGGCAGGCAAAACCTTCCTCGCCTCAAAGGTCATTCACCATCTCGAAGCACAAACAAGTGCCCCCAAAGCTACAATCGTGTACGTCTACTGTAACTACCAGGAATCTCACATCCAGACGCTGGATAATCTACTGGCTAGCATTCTCGGACAAATGGTGCAGCGAATGACCAATGTCCCTCCAGAACTCGATGCGTTGTATGGCACACACATGATCAACAAGACTAGACCTACCAAGGCTGAGCTTCAACCAATAATGCAAAGCATCTGTGAACAAGGCAAAAGAACGTATCTCGTCCTAGATGCGCTTGATGAATATCAAGATTCCCGAACCATTATCACCATGCTGGATCAACTACAGCAATACGGCTTCAATTTGTTGATTACCTCAAGGCCTAATGTCTCTCTTGTGGAATATCTCAACGATGTCGTGGTTGAGGAGATACGTGCCAATGACGATGACGTTAGACTGTACTTGAAGGCTCGTTTACCTGCATTGCAATGCATCAAGACCAGATTGGAGATTCAGACCGTGGTGGTCGACGAGATTCTACGAGCAGCTGACGGAATGTGAGTGAGGCCCAGGTCATTGCCACCTGATACTGAAATTGTCAATAGGTTTCTGCTTGTTCGTCTGCATTTTGATTCACTCCTCGACAGAGCTAGCCCAAAAGCCATCAAAATGGCCCTTCAAGAAATTCCGAAGGGAACTACTGCTTTGACGTCAATATATGACAGCGTGATGGCCCGAATTTATGACCAGACACCTTACGCTCGCGATCAGGCGATTAAAGTTCTCTCATGGTTATTTTTCTCGGTGCGTGCACTAAGTGTTGAAGAGCTTTGCTATGCGCTAGCAATTGAGCCTGGCTCAGATGCCTTTGATCATGACAACCTTTCGAACATCGAAGATCTGGTCGCCGTCTGCAAAGGTCTTGTATCTGTTCATCAAGAGAGTGAAATGGTTCGGCTGTCGCACTACACTCTTCAAGAGTATTTCTTGCAGACAGCTGCGCGATATCTACAAGACGGTGAACTGACCATCGCCTCGTCATGTTTGACTTGTTTGTCGTACAAGAACACAAGCTTCTATACCAAAGGCGAAAAGTCCCCTGGCTCGGGTGGCTACAAGGACTCGAGTGACTTTACACTACAAATAAGTGATACCAAAAGCCAAAAGAAAGACATCATCAGCAAGTGCGATGCCGAGCAATGTCCAAGTTTACTACTATTAGAGCCCCTGTTTCTCTATGCTTCAAAATACTGGGGGCATCACGCTCTCCATGTTCAAAACGAAGTTAAAGAACTAGCCTTACGGTTCCTGGCCCTAGGGCCTAATGTGAGAACAGCATATAGTGTCATGAATGAATACGATTATCCTACTCGTGATGGACGACACACATTGATACAGGGCGCTCATTTGTGTGCCTTTTTCGACCTAGATATATTATTCCCAGCGCTCTTGCACTTATATGGAAATCCTGACGTACGAGATCATTGTGATCGAACCCCATTGATTTGGGCTGTTATGGGAGGAAGCCTTTCAGTCATTCGTCTACTGATGGAATTGCCTGAAGTGGACTTCAATTCCAGCAGCTCAGAGGATTATTATTACTCCTCACAGATTGCCTTTGACGGCATTCGCCGAAAAGGGAATTCCAGGCGCACAGATTATGATAGGGCTTTCTTGAGTTCGGACGGCAGTATATCGCACACTAGCGCAGCTACACCGCTAATGATAGCAATTTTCATGGGCAATCATGAAGTTACAAAGATTCTTCTGCAGCATAAGGATGTGGATGTCAATCTACAAGACAGCTTAAACAGGTCTCCGCTGGCAATAGCGGCGGGTCAGGGATTTACAGATATTGTCGATTTATTATTAGGTCACCCGAAGATTGATGTGAACGCAAGAGATGACAGCAATCACACTGCACTGTCTTACGCAGTACGTGGATGTCATGGTCTTGTTCTTCAGTCACTTTTAGCAAGAAAGGACATCAAGTTGGACTACAGCTACGAAGTGGACCACTCACTATTACAGGATGCTACCCGACGAGGTAGTTACGAAGTACTCGATGCGCTGTTGACTAAGACAGATATCTTGTCATATACGCAGCCAGAGCACAAGCGGGACATTCTATCTTATGCCGCCGAAGGTGGCTTTCCAACAATGGTGAAGCAGGCTTTACTACAAGAAAAGGTTGATATAAATGCTCAAGACGGCTGTGGAACCACCGCACTCATGTATGCAGCCGACGGAGGACACGAGGCTGTAGTAAAACAACTCCTGTCAATGCAAGCCATTCAAGTCAACCTCACAGACTGTCTCGGACGAACAGCATTAGTGCTTGCCGCTGGAAATGGACACGATAAGATAGTAAGCTTGCTGTTGAAATCTGAAGAAATTGATCCGAACGCTGTCGACGACTTGGGCTGGAGACCTCTTAGCATTGCAGCAGACGCCGGATCTTTGTCAACCGTGAATATCCTTCTGTCTCATCGTAGGATCGATTTGAATCGGAAGGACGATGGAGGCCAGGCACTGCTTCATTGGGTGGCTGAAAACCGGACAGATGTCCCAATCGTACAGGCATTCCTAGCAAGAGAAGATATTGATGTAGAACTGCTTCGTGATGATGGGAAAACCCCACTCATTTTAGCGGCATGGTCAGACGAACGTTTAGCTACAGTGCAGCTTCTTGTCGCGCATCCGGGCGTCAACCCTGTAGCCCGGGACAACTTCGGTTGGACAGCGTTGGACTACGCTCTGGTCTTGAAGCAATTCGAGAACATCAAAGTATTTCTCTCTCTGGAAGCTTTCAAACCTCTAATCCAAAAATGGGTGAGGGAAGATGGCTATCTTTACACGGAAGACATCGTTCCGAAATTCGAGAAGCAGAGGTATCAGATCATGAAATTTACGGTCACATTCGATGAATATACCCTGTATACAGGAAATGATTTATAGCTGAATTAGGCAGCATCTACAAGCCCGAGAGGAGAAAGAAAGCAAAACCGCTTTGGAAGGTTCCAATTCATTGATCATACCGCACCATTGGCTAACAACCGAAAATATCCGTTTGCGAATACCACTGTTGAAAGGATTACTTACTTCAGCTCAGATCTCGTTGTGAAAATCCAGTAGACAACCAAGACAACACAACAATGCTCTAGATCTGTCTGTGTTTCTTTGAATGTGATGAGTAGGCAGACAAATCTCTCAAGCAGCCAGACTCGTACCGCACCAATAATCATCTCCTTCTCCGATAGAATTTCCATAATGAGATGGTGTACCAAGCGAATTGTATCAATGAAGTAATGGTCTGTGCCTAGAATTCGCAGCTCGTAATATTACAGCCTGCACGATGACTAGAACCAGCTGCCTGGAAAGCCGCTCGAAGGAATATCTTCCCGCGATCCCCACCTGTACAATTTGCGGCTCAGTCTGAGTAGGATGTAAGCACTACGCGGTTCAGCTTTCCACATAAGACCAGTTCATCGCAAAAAAGAGTGAGCGATTCTAACAAGCATCAAACTCTCGCTGAATTACATTATGAATATCCCACTATCCTTCCTAGCACTCGGCTGTGTTCTACAATGGATTGCCCCCGTGTACTTCCCTACCAGCTACGCTCTTTTTCCTAATGTCTTCCTCATCTCCATAGGACTTCTCTCCGCCGTTTCTTTCTTGTTTAACAGGTCAAAATCCCAGCTACCCTCGTCTCTGAACCCAGCACCGGGCTTGAAGATCCTCTCTGGTCGCTGGACAGCGCGCATCCGCCCTCAAGATGGCGCTCCACCGCAAAGCGCTGCCAATACTGGTGTCGTAGTTTTCGTTATTGGCGCCAGGAGCTCAAGGTACATATCCAAATTCCATCCTCCCTTTCCCTGGCTATTAAATACTCACCCCAATCTAACCGTGGGATATTTACCAGCCCTTCTGAACGAGTGAAACCGGGCTTCCAACGACTTGGAAAATACTTCCAAGACATGTGGAAAGAGGCCGCTGCGAATTCTGGGACAAATGGCTGTATGTCTACACCTCTCTTGCCTGCTCTTCGGCATTTCCTCCTCAAATCTTCAACACATATCTGACTCTACCACAACCATTTACCCCACCCATTTCCCACCTCTTTTCCCCAACCACTCCCTGCCCCTCTCACATATACTCATCTCACTCCATAGACATAACACACACAAGGCCCTTCACCGGTACTTCCCCCAGCACATCCAGCATAACACTCTCGCTCTCCTACTGGCGCTCGATCGAAGCCCTGCACGCATTCGCCCATTCACCCCTTCATAAAGAAGGGTGGGACTGGTGGAACAAGAATGTGAAGGAGTTGGGAAGTGAAGGGGAGGGATTGGGGATCTTCCACGAGGTGTATCATGTGCCAGCAGCTGGTGGTGGTGGTGGTAAAGGGGGCAATTGGGAGAACATTTACGTGAATTTTCCCGCTTTTGGACTTGGTGGCGCAGCGGCTGGGCGGGGAGGGCAAGGAAAAGGGGAGGGGGAGAGTACGACAGTATTAGTGGAAGCGAAGGGGAAGGAAGGCGGGTCGATGTTGGGCAGGATGGGGAGGCTGTAATGTGAGCGTCAAGCGAGAGGGATTGGAATCAAGCTATGGAAATTTGGAGCGGAAAGAGGATGAGAAGCAGTAGCTGCTTATGCTTATGCGATGATTGACACCGCGTGACGGGATTTCCCAACCTTCATGTTTTCATCCCACATTGCGGAGACATGTTCAGCATACATGTCGAAATGGGTAGATGACCCTTACACAGCCTCACAGCCGAGAAATACGTCTATGTACTTCCTCTAGTGAGGATACTGGACATGCTTGCTAAATTCTTCGGAAACGGGGGGCCGTAAAGGATGAGAAAACGATACTACATCTTCAATTTGAGACCGTAGTCACAGATCCAAATTTGGAGTTGGATAAGTCATTTTGGTTGTAGGGTTTGAAAGCGGTGCCTGCATTGCCCGGTAAGGTACCAGTCTGAGGAGATTATAATGACTTGGATTCAAGCGGCTCAGAATTGCCTCAGGATATATCATGAAAGCCATTTTTGCAAGGGGGATGAGTGGGTTCATCCAGTGAGGCCCAAGGTCAAGGGATGGGGTTGTAGGAAACTCGGATGCAAGAGGCTTTGCAAAGTCGCAAAGCTATATGGTGGACACGGTCACTCGACTGTAACAGCAACGGGGAGTCGTATGTTACCACCCCTCTTCATCAATGCCGTCCCAAGCAGCAGCACATTCCCTCTCCCCCTCCCCCTTCTACCTCCCCAACGGCACAATACTCATCCTCCAAACTGATTCCGGGCTCCGATACCCCTGCTCCGGGCTCCCCTCACAGATAGCAATGATCACACTCGCAGCCCCATGCCTAATTAAAAGCCTCTTAAACGCCTCCAAACTCGCCTCCGCCAGCTCCGTCAAGATCTCCCGCATCCAAAACCCCCGATTCAGCGAGATGTCGTATTTTACCGCGCTCTCTGGGTCGAGGGCATCCGCACCGACGGACAGGGCGTGGATTTTGCCGCCTCCTTCCTGGTCGCCGTCGTCTTCGTTTGTGGGGATATCGCGTGATTTGAGCACCGAGGCGTTGAGACTGGTGGTGACGGGGGGATATTCGTGTCGTAGTCGCCCTGCGAACTCGGTGAGGAAGTCCTGTAGATTTGCCATTACGAGTGGGGGATATCCAGTCGGTTCGTCGTAAGGGTGGACGGAGAGGTAGATGTTGTATCTGTCAGGGAAATGGGGGATACGTTGGGCGAATTTTGGCGTGGGCCAGGGGTTGTAGGTGAGATTTGAGGGGTTAGAAACGTCCTCAGGGAAGTAGGGCGTGCCGGGGTCGTTGAGAAGTGGGGAGTTGAGGTAGGGATTGGGAATGTTCGAGGTGGTGAAATTGATGGTCGTGGAATGCGCGAAGGGTAGGGTGGCGAGGACGAATGGGATTAGTGGTGGGAGGCGCATTATGATTGAAGATCGCGAGCATACAGAGCAAAACGATGTGGAGATTCCAAGCTGTGGGAGGAAAGATTTCTATCGCTTCGATTTCACCCAGTGTTTGTTGATGAGTATGACTCGAGTATTCGAGGGATTCATGATTATTGATGCTTCCTCGCCACGGCCATGAGTTTCTGGGAGGATGAAGACTGATTGAGTGTCACCGATTTTGATCCTTACGTTCAAACGAGAGCACGTGAGTGTCTCAGCCGTCGCATGTCGTGACTGCGAGAAGGATTGCTATACTTAGGCCAAAGCGCTTTGAGCCTTTAGATCTGCCGCGGAAGCCGATTGCTGGTAAATCTCCTTGAGAGCCGAAGGTGAGTGAATAGATAGGACGTGGAGGTTGATAAGTCATAATTTGCAAAATATGTTGGGACAAGTACTATACATGCGATCCCCGTCAGACGTATGTTTCAATTGTTCTGGTCCTTTCTCGACGTGGAGGATATGCTGCTCGCGCTTGCCCCTTCGTCTCCTTTACTACGTCCATTACTCGTAATCCATATCGATTCTGAACCTTCGAGTGCGGACAAAATCACTCGATGGTAGTCGTCAGAACGCTGTCATTAGACGAGTCCTGAAGACCAAGGGGACCGGCTTCAGCCTTAGCCATGAAGAAATTATTCAACCCAACTGTGGCGTATCCGCCTCGCCCTGGTTTCCCAGGCCCGGCACAAAATCTGATGAGCTTGTATCAGTATCACCTCTACTCTTCTTCTTTTCTGTGACATCGTTCCCACCTTAGAACCTGCTTTAGCCTTTGTAGCCAATCTTCAAGAGACAATACATCTGAACCGTACGGACCATATGCGTCCAATCTTAGTGTGCAAGTCTGCCCGTCGTAATAATGGAGTGGCTTGAAGTCGAAGACATTCACGACTTGTTTGATGTTGAGATTGGGGATTTGGTGGAGGACGTCGAAGAGTGGAGAGCAAGCCGATTCCGTCACTGGGAGGTATGGAAAGTTGGCCCAACATGTTATGGCGAGATTCTGATCTGTCGCAAGTGTTGTGTTGGTGAATGAAATCGATGAGGGCGGGGAACTGTCAGCCAGAGATATTGGGATGGCATCACAAATGTAGAAGAGCGATAGGAGAAATATGAATATATCAATGCAGAAACGCAATGAAAACGCCATGTGGGTATTGGGATTCATTCAGACAACGTAAAGACGAAGGTCATGGCGTGATGCAGCCCTAGAAAATTTGGGTCCAGCAGGATCGGCTCTGAAGACTTGTATGCATACCTATCGACTAGTACACAAGCCAAGTAGGCGCAGGCTTGAAATGTCTAGCGGCAGAAGCCTCATGTGTTGCGAGGCCTATTCTGCGCTTCATTCTGCGTACGACAGGTCCAGGTTCGCAGAGACATCTCGATAGCCGCCCCAGAGATCTGGTACATTGCCACACGACTCCACGGCTACGGCACCAGAGGGTGTGGGCTGGCACTTGGAGGAGGATGAGAGCGAACCCAGGCCTCGTGTTTTGTAGAATTACTATACAGACACCGACAAAAGGCGGGTATGTGGGTATATCAATATTGCTGTCAGCATAGCGCAATCCACGAAGCAGGAATACCGGTCCGATCAATAATAATATGTATAGGAAGACAGGTGAAAGGTGAACGAGTTAGGCCTAGTGCGTAAGGTTCGGCCGAAATCACGGGCTTTAAGGCAGCAATCTCCGAGACTTGGCGGGCTCGGTACTTTGATATCCTCCGAGATTCCCGCCCCGCATATAATTTCTACGAGCAAAAGCTCGCAAGAGTCACAGCACTAGAGACAAAGCGCCAGGCTCCAGAATACGTGCCAATCGTATTCGCCAATTCGTATCCTCGGACTATCCCCTAGTGCTCCGAAAAAACAAGTCTATTGAGCCTACCGAAATGTCCGTTTTGGGTGTATATGAAGGCTCGATGACTCCTCCTTTCCTGTGGGAGCCACCTTGATCGCAGCGACAAGCTTCTCTTCTCCCTTACCACCTATTCCTCTGCCCGTCCATCATCATGGAGGCAAACCTCGATCTGGAGAAGACGGCCAGCACCAGACTACCCCTCCCTGTGCTTGGTGGACAAGAGAAACAGGCAGAGCCTACAATCAACACCATCCCTCAAATCGTCGACCTCAAGCAGGACGCCTCCCTACCAAAACACGACCATGGCTCCGACCACGCCTCCATCTCCTCCTCCACCGACCTCGAAAAAGCCCCCTCCAAGCCCGCAGCCCCCTCCACGACCACCCCTCAAGGCGTGCACGGCGACGAAGAGCCCACCTACCCCTCCACCCGCAAGCTCATCCCCATCATCATCTCCCTCTACCTCGCCTTCTTCCTCGTCGCCCTCGACCGCACCATCATCGCCACCGCCATCCCCGTCATCACAGATCGCTTCCACTCCCTCGGCGACGTGGGCTGGTACGCCTCAGGCTACATGCTGACCATGTGCGCCTTCCAGCTCCTCTTCGGCCGCATCTACACCTTCTACTCGCCCAAACGGGTCTTCCTGACCGCAATCCTGCTCTTCGAAATCGGCAGCGCAATCTGCGGCGCCGCACCAAACTCCACCACTTTCATCATCGGCCGCGCTGTGGCAGGGATAGGCGGATCGGGCGCCATGTCCGGCGCCATCGTCATTATAATGTACACCGTTCCCTTACACAAGCGGCCGCTTCTGCAGGGGTTGATAGGCGCGGTCTTCGGCGTCGCCTCCGTCGCTGGGCCCCTGCTCGGCGGCGTCTTCACAAGCAAAGTCAGCTGGCGCTGGTGCTTCTACATCAACCTGCCTATCGGTGGCGTCGCCATGGTGATTCTGGCCGTCATCCTGAAGCTGCCACCGCCGAAGAACGCACATACCCCTTGGCGGCAGCAGGTGCGCCAGCTCGACCCACTCGGCACCTCCCTCTTCATGCCCTGCATCATCTGCGCGCTGCTCGCCCTCCAATGGGGCGGGACGACCTACCCGTGGCGATCTGCCCGCATCATCGCCCTACTCGTCCTCTTCGGCGTCCTCGCTATGGCTTTCGTAGCCGTCCAGCTTTGGAAACAAGACCTCGGCACCGTGCCCCCGCGTATTGCGAAACAGCGGTCTGTAGCGTGCGCGATGTGGCAGATGTTCTGCGCCGGCGGGGCCATGATGGTGATGGTGTACTACCTACCGATCTGGTTCCAAGCGATCAAGCACGTGTCGGCGTACAAATCCGGCATCATGATTTTGCCGTTCATCCTCTCCCTCGTCGTCGCGTCTATCACGACGGGCATCACGGTTAATAGGGTGGGGTACTATACGCCCTTCATCATCGGGAGTGTGGTTCTTATGTCCATTGGGGCTGGGTTGATCACTACATTCACACCGGGCACTATGCACGAGAAATGGATTGGTTATCAAATCATCTTTGGCTTTGGCATCGGTATGGGCATGCAGCAGGGCACGATTGCCGCACAGACCGTGCTCTCACGCACCGATGCCCCCACGGGTGTCGCGCTCATTATGTTCTGCATGCAGATGGGCGGCGCAGTATTCGTCTCTGTCGGGCAGAACGTATTCACGAACAAACTCGCACAGAATGTGAAAGGGATTGCGGGGCTGGATCCAGATGTTGTGGTGAAATTCGGCGCGACAGAATTGAGAGATCATGTTAAGCCTGAGGTGTTGGGGCAGGTGTTGGTGGGATACAATGGCGCTTTGGTGAAATGCTTTGAGGTTGCGCTGGCGTTGGCCTGTCTTGCGTTTCTTGGGGCGGTGGGGGTCGAGTGGAGGAGTTGTCGGGAGGCGAAAGATAGGGAGGATAAGGCGAAGAAAGAGAGGGCGGAGAAGGAGAAGAGGGAGAGTGAGGAAGGGAGGTTGAGTGGGGAGAAGAGTGCGAGTGAGAAGGTGGATGAGAAGTAGGTGAGGTATCTTTGGGGTTGGCTCGAGCTGTCCGAAATGTACAGAGTGTTGGGAGGTGCATATTGGCTCTGTTGACTTGCATGGTTCGAGTGTTGCATTGGGAGGCAGCAAAAGCATTGATACCCCGCTCAGCGTTTACGTCCTGTAGCATAGCATATCATTTGTACATACATGATATCTAATTCGATCTATAATTACGTTCACGTCTCGCCTCAGTATGTTTCGCTCTTTCCCACCTTACGAGTCTTGCTACCCCTCGATGTCTCCAGCATGACAGAGGACGAACCACGATAGCTCCACTAGCAGCAACGCGGAAAAGAGATTGTAGGGAACCCCCGTGATAAAGGAACCTAAAGGGGATGATAAGCAGAGAAACCACCCACAAGCTGGAATTCGTTCCTCCTACTCTTTCAATTCTCTTTACCCTCTTCTACCCACTGCTAGAACACATAACATACTCCTCGATAGACCAGCCTACCCTTCCTTCTCTAAAAAGGCGTCCCAAACCACAACTCCTTTCCCCCTTCTCTCCATCACCCTTCCCCTTCCCTGTCCACAAACTCCCCCTCATCTGCCCCTCCATCCACTCCTTCCCCCTGCCCCACCATACCCACTACTGCAATGACTCCCGTGCTTATACCCCCCAATATCCCCCAACGGCTTAAACGCCGCCATTTGCGCTCTACTCTGTTTCTTCGGCTTGAGCGGCGACGGTGGGGGCAGCGCGTCCTGCAGGCCCAGCTGATACGGCGTCAATTTCGGCTGCGCGACGTGTCGGGGCAGGAACGGCGGCGGTGGGGCGGAAGGGAGGGGCTTGCGCGCGTAGCGATCGTTGTGCATGGGGGGCAGATGCGAGGGGTGTTTGTAGCCACTTCTCCCTCCCACCCCACCCCCAGCAGACGAACTCGATGATGGTGCTGCTTTCGCGAAATACAGCGTGTCACCCTTGGTTTTCGGCGGCGGTGGCGCGGTTCGGTAGTTGATGTTGATGACGTTGTGGTAGTCCTTCACGGCCTGCCTGTCCAGCCCTGCACGGCCTCGTTTGTCGAACGCGCTGGTTTTGAGAGGGGGCAGGGGTGCGTGTTTGCTTTTGTAGAATGCTGGGGCGCCTGTGGGGTCGCGTTTTTGGGCTAAGGGGGCGGAAGGGGTGTTTTTGCCGTGGCTGTGTGAGAAGGTGGTGGAGCGGGAGCTGTATTTACTGGTTGGGGGTTTGCGTGGGTGGGAGGAGTGGGAGGAGTGGGAGGAGAGAGCGTCGTGGCCGAGGATCTTAGCGGCGCCATGCGGGATGGATTTTTGAGGGCCTTTGGGGCGCGGGCCGTAAGGGTGGGCGTGGGTGTGGACGTTTGGACGGGCTTTGTGGTGACGGGAGCCTTTTTTGGGTTTCTTTTGGGTGCCGAAACACATGTTGAGATCTGTCAAGGATATTGGGAGTGGGAGGGTATGATATGACACAAAGGGTGACCAAATATGTCTGCCAGAGACTTTGAAGCGAAACGACGTGTTGAGATCTGTAGTGTGGAGGCTTGATATGAAGGATATAATTCAGGTTGAGGAAAGGCATTATGCTCGAGGACAAGCCCATGCTGCGATTCTCTTTGTTCCGATGGAAGAGCATTCATAGTAAGTCTTTGTTCAGGAACCGTGTTCTGCTTGAAAAGAAATGACAAACTGGAAGACAAAGCTATGGTGAAATGGTAAGTGAAGCTTTGTTCTCTTGTAGGGCTGCAGAGGAAGACAAAGAAATTTTTGTGGGGAGTATCTTCACAAGTACGGTAGACCAACATAACGGCGGAATGACGAAGCAAGAGTTTGAAGTATTTGCCAATTGACATGCAAAAGTAGTCAAGCAAGACTGGTCGTTGATATGACAGCAAAGCGACTTACTTTGTCCCTAACTTTCATGCGGTAGCCGTCGGCTTCATTTGCTGAAAGAAATGCCATTGTTTAGGCTGCCGAGCTCTGCGAGCATAGGCCAGCCGCAGTGTAGTCGAGTAATCTCAGAGAGCGATGCCGCGGTTGGTATGCACTTGAATCAGAAGTCTTCGGAAAGGCGAGGATGGGAAAAGATTTGCACACACGAACATACTGTTAGTAGATAGACGTCACATCGCATCCTACTTCATCCTCTCGATCATACCCCCTTTTTTATCCAACGCAGCGTACCATTCCCAGAACAAGCACAGATAACAAAGGGGCCACAAAATCGACAACATCACTCCTCCATACATCGTCTTATCCAACGGCAACACACACGCGACTACCATCAACAACCCTCTCGGCAACAACCTCAGGTAACGATTGTCCACCTTGAGCGTCCCCTTCTTATCGAGCGGACGGCTGAGGAGCGCCAGTATAGACATAGCAAAAAAGGTGGCGGCAAGAGCGACTGAAGAAACCCATTTTGCGTTGTTGACGAACAACTCGATTGGGCGGTCACGGGCGGACGGGGGAAGGATGCCGAATTGGCCTTCATCATTGAACTGTGCTTCTCCGGTGCTGTTTGTTGGGGCTTTGGTAGAGGGTTCTTGGCGTTTTTCGGGGGAGGAAGATTCGTGGGGAATGACGGCGGAGGTGGCAGGATGCTCAATCAGGAAGATGAAGGAGACGCCGAGGATGAGTGTTGTGTGGAAGAGCATGATGTGTGCGCTGTGGTGGGTCAATATGGGTTAATCACATAGGTCATGATATGGGGAGGAGAGAAAGGCACGGGTAAGTGGTGAGGAAGAGAAGACTCACACGCTCCACAAATTGTTACGCCACCACGTGCGCTTGACAGCATGAACGTAGTGGCGTGATTGATCGCCGTTGAAATAGATGTTCAATAGGGCGTAGTAGATAGCGAGAGCGGTGACAGCCGTGCCAGCTTTCTGATTCAGACCTCGCTCTGCAGGGCTCTCGCGCACAAAGGACAAGACGCCCTCACCGAGAATGATAATGAAGAAGTCTCTGATTCGCTCAACCCAATGATCGAGATCATGAGGGACCATGTCATCTTCTTTGAGAAAACGAATACCCCAGGGTGTGCTGAGAACGGTGGTGTAGACAAATTCCGCTGATACGGCCGCAAAGCAGAGGCCTATTTTTCCAGGGTAGGAAACGAAGAGGGCCGCAAGCCAGAGCGCGCTGAGCGGACCGACGAACACGCCGCGTATAATGGTGCTTCTTCTTAGTGCGGGAATGAAGAAGGCGTAGACTATCTCCAAGCCAAGGAGGGATGCTTTGGCTATGAGATAGATGACGATGCAGATGTTGTCTTGCTCTGGTCGAGGGGCGAAGAGGTAGGGTGCGTTGTTGCCGAACAAGAGGCCGAGGATGAGGTACCAGAAGACGAAAGCCCGCTCGATTAGATCGTTAGTGGCATACTTGCTCATGAAGTCTTGCAGGAACTTCCATAGTCGCCATGCAATTAGGACTAGGACGATGGAGTTGAGGAGTGCTCTGCCGACGGTGACCTCTGAGTCCTCGTCATAAGCCTCGGAGGCGAAGTTGAAGGCTATATTGCCAACGATGCCTGCCCAGAGCAGATCGATGAAGAGTTCGAATCGTCGTTTTTCTGGGCCTGCATCGGACAAGGTTTCATGGGGGAGGTCACTGGTTTGGGGGTCAATTCATTGAGCTCGCCGGATTGAGTGGTGGTGTGGCTCGCATTGAGCTGAATCGAACTGGACTGCGTTTTGTTCAAGTGGGCGAAACGAGGCCTTTTGACGAGGTAGATTTTCGAGACTTTCTCTTGCTGGGCGTCCCCTAAGAACGTCTGTGCACGAACGGAGTGGCCGAAGGGAGGCATCGCGGGGCAACGTCTATATCATGGTAATAAATGCGAAGCTATATATTTCTAGTGTAGGGAAAGGCAGCAGAAAGTCCATCAAAGATCAAAGCTAGAGGGCACGAAGGAGCAGAAGGCGGACCCAAAGGTGGTATATATGGGGGAAGTATAAACATCGTGGTCGTGCCACGCAGATTTATGCATATCAGCGTACTAGCAGCCTCTGCCCGGAGCCAGCCTCTGAGTGCGCGATGTGATTGGGTCCCCTTCTTCATGTTGTCAGCTTAGACGCAGCCCTAGCAAGGCTAGACGATAGGAGGCAGAATTCGCGACGCTCCAACAGCAGCTCTGCTAACTTCGCGAGATTTGGGCCCAAAGATGAGAGCTTTGGTGTCATTTATGGGCCCATCAACAAGACTTGTCTGCAGGTCTGGCGTGCCCGCGATCATTAATATTCGGTGATTGAATACCGCCATGCGGTGAGTAGTAGGTGTGACCGTGGCTCGTTTACTCGTTCCTGGAGACGGGACGACGGAGATTGAAGACGGGATTGCCCAGACAATGCCAAGACCTGCGGGAGCTCGGGCTTGTCTTGGTATTGGAGCTCGAAAATTCATTTCCCCATTATTCCCTCCTGCTGTTCTCTTACTACGGTGCACCACTTAAAGGTACGACGGTCAGCTCTTCTTGAACAGCAACAAGACGCAGTCTCTGCCAGCAATGACCTCCTCCCTCCCTATCAGCTCCCTGACTCTTTTGATCGCCTTGACTGCCACATCCTCGTCCGTGTCCGCCAGCTGAGGGTTTCCCTCCCTCCACCGTTGTACCATGCTCGACGTACAAATCCCCTCATATACCAGCTGTACGGTGGTGGCCTTGTCTCCCAAGAAGAAATGATCGCCCGAGCTCAATTTGCCCTCTCGGTCCCACTCCATCCTCTTGAAGCCTTCCCTCGAGAAGCCTGCCACGGGCGGAGAGACATCCCAGGGCATACACAAGTTGTGATAAGCCTCGCGGCATATACGATTGCCAGGCTTCTCAAACTCCCCTGTGTCTACCTCAATCAGCCGGTTCAGTATCGCAGTGGCCTCCATGGCGTTCGGCATCGACGGATCTACAGCGGTCAATCAACATATGGCAAAGAGAGAACGGAATCCAAAAGATGCAACATACGGAAGCATGCAAGAGAAGGATACTGCCACAATGCCACAGTCCCTCCCCTTTTCAGCGCCCGGCCTGCCGCCTCCCAAAATTTCGGCAGGTCGAACCAGTGTGCCTGCGGCTCGTCAGGCCAAACACCACTACCATTGCACTGAACCTACCGCCATGCCTGCGATGATCAAGTCAATTTCAATACCTTCCTCCTTCAATTTGAGAGTATCCTCGTCCACTCTGCCCACCTTATACTCCACTTTTCCTCCCGTTTTCGTCTCACCATCAACCGCATTCCTCCCAACCTCTATACCCGTCGCAATCATCGCTTCACTCGCGTCGATACCGTATGCCCTCTCGAAATGCTTTGCTATCGGCCTGGTGGAGTTTCCTGGGCCACAACCAAGATCAAGGAGTGTCCCGAAATGCCCACCTGTGGAAGCATGGTGCTCACAGATGACACCGAAGAGATTTTCATTGTCCTGACCTCTACCCGAGAGGTAAGCTTGTGCCTGCTTTTGGCTATATGCCCGAAATGTTTGTTCTTCCATGGGTTAACGAGGAACATTCAATTACTGCTCATGACAAGAAAAGGCGATGACGCAGGGTTGCGCAGGCCGGTAGTTTCCGCCCGGCATCACTTGCCGGTGAAAAAGACCGGACGAGGGCTGGTCTATCGGAGCATGGCGACGCCAAATCCGGTATTAGGGCCTGTTGCAGGGAGTTGGATATTGGAGAGCGCCCTATAGACAGCGCCTCTAAAGTTGCTCCTACCCCATTTCGGGGCCTACAAATTTGGTACAGCCATGTTCCGATAGACCAACCCTCGGGTGGTGGTCCCCTCGGTCTCAGATCCGTGGAATCAAATCATGCCTACTGGTATGTGTGCTCTATTCTTTTCCCTATGGGTACAAAGCCCAGTCTAGGTACAAGCTCAATTAGGATCAATAGGATACCACTTGTTGAACAAGAAATCCCGATCGTACTTCTGCTTTAGCTCTTTCAACCTCGGAAGATTCGAACCAAAAACGCTCTCGATTTTCTCAGTCCCAGCAGACACATTAGGATAGAAGCTGGACAAGTCTCTTTGCCCATCCTCTTGAGTCTTTGCAAAGATACGCTGCTCCTTCACCTGCTCCTTTGCGTAGTTGGTGATACTCTTGGCTTCTTCTCTGGCTGTCTTATCAAGCTCTGGCTTATCCCACCTGAAGTCGGCGATGAGAATGGCGGCAGTATATCGGCCAGCATAAGCCGTGGCAGACGATGATACCGATGCCACTTTCCTGTAATCTCGGAGATCCAGTATGAAGGTCGAATGTGCAAAGTCGGCTCCTTGTCTTTGAACGGCCTCCTGAAACCTTGCGACGCAGCCAAGCACGATTGCTTGATTGACTGGATAATCTAGGTGCACGGAACTACTGCCCCATCGATCAAAGCCCTGCATTTTCATCATGCCGTATATTCCAGTCACTTGAGTATAAGGCCAAACCCCACCCATCGTATTCACAGGACCTAGAGAGTACATTGGCTCTGCAATCTTGCGAGCTTCTTCCTCGGGTCCGTCGTAGAAGACCATGAAACCAGGACAATGAGGCTTCCCAGGTGGTGCCATCATCACGAACATGGGCTGGAACCTTCCGTTGGCCGGCTCAGTCATGTTTGTGTGAATCTTGTCTATGAGCGAGATGCAGTCCTTCAACTTATCAGGGGCAAACGTGAGCATTTGGCTGTCAGGGCTATGTCAGCATTCTTCAAGCCTAGGCTTTCAACGTAAACATACAAAAAGCATAGACCTTGATCGTGCGCTCGGAAGGTGAATTCTGTGCAGATCCCGAAATTGCTGCCGCCTCCACGAATGCCCCAGAAGAGGTCCTCATTCTCCTGTTCAGATGCAATTACCAGCTCGCCATTAGCGAGGACCACGCGTGCAGCGAGTAGATTGTCGATAGTCAGGCCATGTCGTCCAGTCAGCCACCCTGCTCCGCCGCCGGTTGTTAGACCCCCGATCCCTATCGAATTCAGTCAGGTGCTGTTTACTCAAAGCTGCTTCAGAAGCATACCTGTCTCATTGATCGCGCCAAATACGACCGACAAGCCTTCCGCCTCGGCAGGTTTCTCAAGATCGCCTGCTACGCAACCACCACCACCAGTCACAGTCTTCGAGGCTTTATCAATGGTCACTTTGTTCAGCTTGCGCAAATCTTGACAGTCGTCAGCACAGCGTGTACTATTCTGTGGCTGTTTAATCTCACCAATCACCATCCCGGTGGTAGAGCTTGAGCCATGATAAGAGTGTCTTCCTCCCGCAACAGCGATGTCGATGTCGTGCTCTTTCGCGAATTTGATGCATTCCGACACGTCCTGCTCAGATTCAACCAGGGCGACAATGTTCTAATCAGGTGAGTCAGGTGCGAGAAGGCTACGCAGAGTCTTGTACGCACAGCTTGCTCCGTGAAAGCCTCGTTCCACCGCCTCAGAAGCTGATCGTAATCCTCTGTTGAAACCCCAGCTCTGAAATGGACGTCACCCCTGAGGGCTGCTTTCAGAGCCTGTTTCTCTGCATCAGATATTGTCGAGCCGTCGCTTCCTACTTTGATCGCCATTGTGCTATGCCAAACTTTCTGAAATGTCCTGTCTTGTGATTTTGTGCTTTCATGAAATGAAGAACGTTGAAGCTGTTCTCTCTCCCATGATCATTCGGCAACTGCATTCTTATATCACGAAATGAATTCCAGAGCAGCCTTCTGCAGCTGACCACGCTTGCCATGCACATCAGCACTAGCGTTAGTCTGAGCATGAAGGCTTCACTCATAAGCCCTAGAGCACCCACATTAGCCGGGGCCAACAATGCCATGTGGTTCGGCAGCCTAAACAAAACGCAGGCTCATTGTAAGATGGGTAATTCCATAGCTACGGTTGTGACTGTTGCATCAGATTCACTATCACAAGATCAACGAATCAACGCTAATTGACTATTTGTAGTGTGGCAAAACCGGCTCGAGCCACAACATACTTCCTAAGAAGGCGTGGCCTACACTATGATGACATGTAGTCCATTACCGGCTCTGAAATCCAACATCAAACACCTATTCGTTTGTTTTTGAACATCGGGGACAAACTTATCGACAAAACTCCGAAGATCTGGTTGGCGCAAGTTGACGAGCTCATCTTGTCCGAAGATCGCTCAATTCATACCACCCAGAACTTCCATGTGACTTGAGAGATCGACGCTAGTGTACTCGCAAGGAACGTCCTGGTTCGTACATGAATAGTCATACTCGAATGATCTCAAAGGCTCGGTCAGAATGGCACTTCGAGCACTTCGAACCCACAACGGCTTCTTGCAACTCTGATGTACACAAGACAACGAATCAACCTCCGAGATTCATGGACCATCTATCATACCCCGCATGACTTGCTGTGGCTCTTTAATTATTAACATTCTTCGGCAAGCACGCTTGATATAGAATTCTGGCATGCTTAGTGGTCTGCCATCCATCACTCATAATCAGACCCGACATGCAGTGCACCAACGACGTTGGGCGTCAATCAAATTGAAATTCATGCCCTCCCTAAGGCGAATGTGCTGTGGCAGCTCCAGAGGCTCACCAACATCTGTTCGCCGGCTTTGGCGTAGCGCCGTGATCATGCGACAAAGACGCTCTTTCAGTGTGCACAAATTGTGAGGAGTTTTGTATGATGGATTTCGCCGCATCTAGCATAGTGTGACCAGTACACAGTACACGACAATCATACACCTGAGTCTTCGCTTTGTCGGTAGAAAGGCTATGGACCTTTCTCCCTCGGTCCAACTACCACGCTTCATTACACTCCTTTGTCAAGTTGTCGTCTACCAGTGTTCCTTTACCATGCGCTCTACAGAAGGTTTGTTCAAGCAATTTCCCATACGAGATCATTTCCATCGAGCTATATCAGACTGAAGTCTCTATCAAGTGCTTCTCTATGACTCTCTGGTCTCATTCACCTTCTTAAAACTTATGCTTTTAACAGCAGTTACTTTCTTTTTACAATACATTACATCTTCTTTGTTTTGCTTCCGTTTGCGAAACGCGACCAAGCTTTTGCAGTATCAAATCTACTAACATCTACAAATTCTGAAATCATCATCATCCTCAGACAGTCACACACATTCCACAATGGTCCTAAGACTAGCGGCAGCCTTCGCGGCTGCTGCACTTGCATCTTCTACATTCGCACAGGTATCGACGAAGTGCGATCCAACGAAGAGTAAGCTTTGAGCATCAAGTCTAAGAGAATGCCACTGACTGCTGCAGACACCTGCCCTCCCGACAAGGGTCTCGGCACATCCTCCTACTTTATCGATTTCACTACCCTGACGACTAAACCGTCTGACTGGACCTACGCCGATCAGACGGTTGTCACCTACAACACCAAGAACAGGAAAAATGGGGCTGAACTTGAGTTTCTCAAGAAGCACGATGCGCCTCTCATGGCGACCGACTTCACCTTTCTATTCGGCAGAGTAGACGCAGTCGTCCAAGCGGCTCCAGGTCCGGGCATAGTCACCAGCGTCATTCTCTTGTCTGATGATCTTGATGAGATTGACTGGGAATGGCGAGGCTCCTATGACAATATCGTGCAAACAAATTGGTTTGGAAGAGGCGTTACAGGAAACTACAATCATTCAACTTCACCTGGAGTTGCTAGCCCTTTCAAAAACTTCCGTACCTATTCCTTTGATTGGAACCAAGAACGCTTGAATTGGGAGATCGATGGCAAAGTTGTCCGCACTTTGAAAGCTTCCGATTGCGTCGGGACACAGAATCAATACCCTCAAAGCCCTATGAAGGTAAGCCTGAGCTTGTGGGATGCTGGTGACCCTGACGCCTACAACTCTTGGGGTGGCGGCAAAACACCAATCCCTCCACCCGCGGACGGGTATTCTTTCTACGTTAAGAGCGTCAAGATTAGCAATATGTTCCCAGCGCAATGGTACACATATGGTGACAAGACTGGCTCTTTTCAAAGCATCAAGCGGGAAAATAAAACGCTTCCTAGCAGCGCTACCAGCCTCACTTCTACTGCTTCGCAGAGCATGAGCTTGAATCCGAGACACACTTCCGAATCACAAGCTCCGACGCCAGCATCTTCTGCTCCACCAGCTTCCTCTAACAAGCCAGCATCATCGGCTCCTCCTGCATCTAGCAGCAAACCTGCATCCGGTGTTGATCAGTCCACTTTGCACGGTTCGAGTAAGAGCGGGTCCTCAGCCAAGTCGACCTCGGCTTCAAAGACATCGGGTTCATCCCATCAAAGCTCCTCAACCGTCAAAACGATTACCACTAATGGCAAAACTGTTGTGACAACCGTGCCATGCTCTAGCTCTTCTCACAGCACTTCTTCAACCGTCAAGACTATCACGACAAGTGGTAAGACAGTCGTAACGACTGTACCGTGCTCGAGCTCTTCTCGTAGTAGCTCTTCGACCGTCAAGACTATTACGACAAGTGGTAAGACTATCGTAACAACCGTGCCTTGCTCAAGCTCTTCTCATAGTAGCTCTTCAACGGTCAAAACCATCACTACGAGCGGCAGGACAGTCGTGACGACAGTGCCATGTTCGTCATCGCACAGCTCCGGCAAGACTACCGTCTGCACAATCACGTCAGGCTCAAAGACCACTTTGGTAACAGGCACTACGCCTTGCTTAACTCCGCCACCGCCAAGCACGTCTTCTCATACTCTTTCGCCTCCGAGTACGAGCAAGTCTTCCACTATCTGCACAATCGTGACTAGTGGAAGTACGAGGATCACGACTGGGACCGTTCCTTGTTCAACACCAGGTACGCCACCGTCAAGCAGCTTGTCAAAGGCACCACCACCTCCAAGCACAGTATGCACAATCATGACTAGTGGCAGCACAACGGTAACGACAGGGACTGGCCCATGCTCGCCCCCAATCTCTTCGCCGCCGGCTTCTTCACCACCATCAACTGTCTGCACGATCACAACAAGTGGAAGCACCATGGTTACAACGGGGACAGGACCTTGTGCGCCTCCCCCATCAATTTTGCCCCCGAATACGAAGCCCGTTGTTCCTCCAAATAGTAGTCTGGTGATCAGTTCCATGTCTTCCACTACGACAGTTATTACCACTTCAGGTAAAACTGTGACAACTGTTGTACCGGGTCCTCCACAATCCTCGTCGAAGGTCACTTCACAATGCTCGACAACAATGACATCGGTAAGCTCAGGCAAAATTTTGACTCTGACTAGTGGTGTGCCTTGTTCTCCACCAACTAGTGGAAGTAGCCCACCAAAGACGTCCGTACCACCATCGCCGCCGTCCTCTGCTCCAAAAAAGCCTCCAGGTTCTTCAGGATCCGTGAAAAGCTCCTCGATATCGACGCCCATGACAACCGTGACCGTGGTGACTGAAGGCAGGACGACAACGACGACTGTTCCATGTACTCAATGTATCAAGTCAGCTCAATCGCCTCCAGGCTCATCCACGCCTCCACCTCCTCCAGGACAGTCAGGTGCGCCAAAAGGCCCACCCCCAAAAGTGCCTCCGCCTGCGTCGAGCCAGATCAAGGTTGCCAACATCACAATCTACACCACCAAGATTATCTCGACGTCAGTAACTGTTTTCTCTTCTGGTGGTACTCTAGTCACATCCAAATCGTTTGTTCAGACGTTCTCTCCGACTGTCATCCAACAGAAACCAGTCATTACAACGATAGATCATGTGGTTCATACTATTCCACCGAACGTCACACAGACTGTTAATGTTACCGAGTTCTCTACAAAGATTATATCCACGGTCACGAGTATATTCTCTTCTGCAGGCAAAGCAATAACCACGACGTCTGTGGTCCAGAGTTTGTCCCCCACCAGCGTGCACAAAGCCCCAGTGATCACGGTGGTAGACTACATGGTCCACACTTTGTCATCGAGCATCAGTACTTATACCTCTGCTAACAAGACGTATTCGTCGACATCATACCACACATCTGCTCTAGCGACTGGTATTCGCAGCGGCGCACTAGTCACCGTGACGGTGCATACAACGAAAACAATAGCATGCACAAAATGTGGCTCTGTCACTAGCGCAGGGAAGACATATGCTGCCAACTCAACCACGACTGTAATTCCAGTATCCACTCACTCTGGCATCCTAACCACAAAGACGGAGTACGCAACGAAGACTGTCTCAACAAAATGTGACACCGTGACCACCGGTGGCAAAGCCACAACACACACCACATTGATCACAACCCTGTCGCCAACAAAGACGCACACAACGGTTGCACCGATCATCACAGCACCACAAACCAAGATCATCACCGATTTCACTACCAAAACATTGACAGTGATATCAACCACGATCTCATCCGGTAGCTCAGTGATCACAACAAGCAGCCCAGTCGTCACCGTCGTCCCCGCCACCGTCACAGAATGGAAGACCGAGGTCGTAAGCGTGAACTGCTCCACCGGCATTTCCCTCAGTACAAAGATCGCACCAGTAGGCTACACAGCCACCGAGTGGAAAACCATCACCACGACCTTGTCCGGCCAATCGACGCCTGTCGTTCAGGCAATCCAGACGGTGCCTGCGAACTCGGTCGTCGCGCCGCCGCCCCAGGCACCATCTCCGGACACTCCAGGAGCTGCACCACCCGCACCAATTGCGTCTGGCCAAAGCGCCGCGGCAGCACAAACCTCCCCGCCAGCTCCCGGCGCGCCGAAAGCCGCCCCCGTCGATGCACAACCCGCGCCAGGCCAAGCATCGCCTGCATCACCAACTCCATCTTCACCAGGCGCAGCAGCTCCCTCCTCTACAGCTCCATCACCAGCATCCGCCTCCGCCTCCGCCCCCGCTCCGGGTAAAAACCAAGGCATAGCCATCGGTCCCCCACCAGACGAGCCCAACCTACCCGCCTCCCCCGCCTCCCCTCCCTCATCTCCAGCTGGTAGTGGCGCGGACGCAACAGTAACATCTGGCTCCACAGCCACAGACTTCAACACCAGGACCGAATATCTATCTAATACGCCAACGGTGGGTGTTACGTCGACTATTCAGGGGCCTGAGGCCGCTACGCAGGGTTCTGACTCAGCAGGGGCTGGGAGTGGGGCTGGGATGGCAGGAATGCCCGCGCCGACGGACGCGGCGGGCGGGCCGGAGGAGAATATGAATCCTGCGGACGCTACTGATGGCAGTGGGACTGGGGATGCGGCGCCTACGCCGGTGAGTTGTACGGGGTATATGGTCAATGGCACCGTCATCGCCACCGCCGCTCCCAACCCAACCGCTCCAGGTACTGGTACTGGTACTGGTATGGGCACAGGTACGGCGGTGGGTACGGCGGGGACAGGTATTCCCACCGGTGCGGTCTGGGGTACAGGGATTTGTGGAGCCGGGTTGGCGAATGGAACTGCGCCTGCTGCGGCGACTATGACGCCTGCTATGCCTTTCACGGGCGGGGTGGGGAGATGGGCTGCGCATAGGGTTGATGGGGGTGTTGTGGGGTTTTTGGTTGGGGTGGTTGGGTGGTTGGTTTTGTGAGTGGTTTGTGAGTGATTTATGAGAAGGGCAGGGAGGGGGGAAAGTCTTTCTTTTTCGGGGGGGTGAGGATGCGAAGGGGCATTAGTTGTTGTTTTGGAAGCGCGAAGGTGGAAAGGAGAGAGGACCTTTCTTTGGAGTTTCTTTGTTTGGGAGAGCGGGAGAAGTGGGTATATGAATAGTTAACGTCTCCTATTAAATTCTTTCGTTCTTTACTTCAGATCATTGCAGAGTCTGACAACGCTGCCAACATCACACACGCTCTTCCGGCTTCTCCTTCTTGAACATACCTCTCCACCTCCTTCTCTTCGGGCTGTCCTCAAGCTCAGCCCCATTCATCTCCCTCTGCAGCTCCTTAGCCTCTGGTGGAGAAGAGTCTTCCTCGCCCTCACCACCATTGCCAGTCTCGTCAGTCTGCTGCTGTGTTTCTGCCTTACCATTCCAATTGTCATCATCATCACTGTTCAACTCATGGCTATAGAAAGACGAGACGTCGTCAGACTCATCACTCGAGCTGCCAGCCGAATCAGATCCTGCATTCGCCGCGTCCGGCTTCCGAGGCCTCCATTTCGCAGTATGACCTCGAATCGGGCGTGGAGGCGAGATAAGCCAATCTGTAACTTTCTCCAACCCGTCTTGTACACGACTGGGTCTGGCTGTTGTGGTGGCGGTGTCGCTTCTCTTTGGCACCTCATTGCCCTTCTCTTCCTTTCTGTCTTTTTCATCTTTGCCTTCTGCATGCCGTTCTATCCGCGCTTGTCGTCTCCTACTTCTAAAATTCTTCTTCCACTGAGTAGCTGCGTTCTTCTCATCTTGTCTTGGGCTTAGTACCCATAGCACCATGGTCGCAAGGAAGTTGCAGGTATCATAGCCTACAGTCAATAGTACTTGACAGATGAATATCAACGCACAGATAGGTGCGAACAGGAGGGCAGCTAAGATCCTGCAAATAAGTATAAGGCGATTTGAGGAGAATCCGGGGTAGGTCAGCCATGCCGTGTAACCCTCCATTACCAATGTTCTGGGTACTTTGGCAGCATAGAATGCCCAGAATAAGAAGTACCACCATTTGCTCTCGGCAGGTAAGCGACGTTCATAGTCTGACTTAGTAAGTCTCCTCTGAGCTGCCTCATCAAGCTCTCTCGATACTTTGTTCCAAGGCACAGCCCATGAATGCTTGCTAGCTTTCATTCTCTTCCGAGCATCGGTATGGAGCCTATTCATCCAGAAACTCCAATTTCGGTCCAACAACTTCATATTCGAAAGTAGAAGAACCGTAGCGGCGAGGGCGATAATGGTAGTTGGAGCCATGATCGAGATAGTATGACCCGCCGGTGCGCCCTGCATACTGAACAGGCTCGAGGAGAATGAAAGAGGTAAGAATATAATGGTCACGTAGGTAAACAAGCGAACGTCCTCTGCTGATCGAGTGCTCGTACGGGCCTCTCGGAGTTGCATGTAGCTAACAAGATTGTTATGTCGCTGCTCAACAAAGCCACGTTGTTCCTGAAGTCGGCTCTGCTGTACTCGGAGCTGCTGGAGGTTAAGTTTGCATTTTCTAGAGAGGTCTTTCAATCTTTCACCATGACGTTCTTCATCCTTTTCTGACCATCGGCTACGAAACCCCCGGGTCTCCTCCCTTCTCTCCCACTCGGAGATGGCGTTTATGGACATGTTCAACTGTGACAAAATGTCACGAAGTATCTCGCCGGCTTTTAAATGCAGGCTGGAATAACCGTAGATGAATTCGAAACTCTCACCTTGAGGGTCTCTAGTTTCAGGTACAGCCAACTCTTTTTGAAATGCAGCTAAAAGCCCGTCAATGCTTCGCTTCATTTCCCCAAGAGCACGTTCGACATAGACTAGCTCCAGGATCTTTCTTTGGCCCTGCTTTTCCTTGTAGAAATCCTCAGTTGAGTCCATAGACCGGTCATGTTCTTCGGCCAGGCCCCTAAATCCGCTGATAGTTGCGACTGAAGAAAGAAAATGGCATGTCCAAAAGCGATCACGAAGGTCGCCGGCGAACCGGAAACTGATCGCAACCGGCATGATTTCGTGACGATGCGAAGTGGTAGTCAAGGTTGGCATCCTTCTGGTACGAGACGACTGACCATGGAGTGGAACAGCGTCATTGGGATAATCCCCCCTTTCGACATCCACCAACTGGTAAAACCCAATATGAAATTCTGTTTCCCAAATATTACCTAGCATATGTGCACGTTCACCAAAGAAATTCTCAGCCATCTCATGCCGACGAATGAAATCAAGCAAGAATGGTTTCTCTTGATCCGAGGCTGTGAGCCAGCACACCAAGAGGCTTTCCTTGCTTTGACTTGGCAACTCAATCAGTCGTTTCTTGGCTTGATCGATGGTCCGAGATTGAAGCAACCGCTTTTGCAACGACCATCCATACCAGCAATGATCTATCACGATCTGACGTTCTGCTAAACCGTCTCCAGAGCTCGTGGGTTTTTTGATTCCCGAATCAATCACAGATGGCGCAAATGGCAAGTCCCAGTAACCATCAAGATTGAATTCTTTCTGATCTCTCCATGCGGTGATAGCAGACCTTAAGCTTTCGACATATCCAAGCTGCTCTAGCTCCTTACTAATATCAATGACTAAGGTATCATTATGAATGAAGTCCGGATAGTGATACATCCAACTTGGCAAAAAATTCGTGTTTATGGCATTTTGACTGTCCTTGCTCGAAGCCGTGTCCAACATCTCGGGTATCACTACCACTGGTGCCACCGTCCGACTTTCAAATTTTGACTCGGAACTCGCGAGTGGCAGCGGTAGCTTTTGTGAGCCGGTCAGCAAAACATTTGCGCTTTGACGACGTTCGCTTTGCTGATTATCTGAATAAGGACTATATCAAGATATTAGCTAGCGTCAAGGTATCAAGGTTTGAAAGGCGAATTCGAGCCTTTGCATAAGGAGGAATTGCGACTTACAACATGCGCCGACATTCCTCAAACAAACTTGCAACGAGAATAGTAATGGTCTCATAAGACCTAGATGACCATGCTCGTGTTTGCTCCAGCCTGTCTGCTTTGATATCCCTTGCGAAAGCGCCTGAATCAAACAGGGCGTTCGAAAGTCTCAGGTAGGCAGCATCTGTCACGGAGGATCCATTTGACTTACAAATTGCATAGTTGAAATTAGAAGCCCATGATGCTAATGCAAGGTGGCATGGGTCGTCGATGGTTTCAATGTCCTTGTTCTGTTGTAGTTTCATAGTGTTGAGCCAGGCCTCTCCTGCTTTATCTTGAGGGCCGTCAAATATTCCGAATACAACCGCTTCGATAGTCGCATTATCATACGCTTTTATTTCGAAGGTGAGTTCCTTAATTCCTCTTTCCAGCGCAATGACTTTTTGAACACGCTCATCTGGTTTCGCTGCCTGGATATTTGCTTTCCCTGTCGTTGTCGGGTCGCTCTGCGATTGTGTTTGCTCTGAAAAGTCATTTGCTCTATGTGTCCCGGAGGCAGAGACACCAGTCGCCCCAGCGCCAGTGAGGGCTAGCACTTCTTGCACCGTCGAGGTCCCTAATTCGCCGACTGAAATTCCGTGAGTTTTGAGTATGTCTGACCGAAGCCTGCGTAGATTGAGAGCCTCTCGATGCTTGTTAAAGTCTCGTCGAACGTCTTTGATCATGATCTCAGTGTTTTCTTCAAATTGACCATTGGAGAGCTGAATCTCATTTTCAATAAGCCCAATCAATTTCTCAAGTTGCAAAAGAGCCAACCACAGTAACGCAGAGTCCGACAAGTGGTATCGAGGGTGCTTGCCATATACATATGCGCTGTCATGGGACGTCGTATCTTTTACCTTCCAGCTCTCGACGTCTTCTCGCTCCACCCAAAGATTATTCATGTGCCGAGAGCTTACTAAGTAGGACAGCCAATTGTCCATCCTTAGATGGAGTAACTTTAGAACAAAGGGCCACTTATCTCTCCATGAATGGAAATAGAGACTAAGTTTGAGGAATTGGCAAGATACATCAATCGGGTTGGATTTCGATGTAACTTCGCGTCGCGATTCTCCATCATTTGATTCAGGGGCCCCATCCACGGCTTGGTAATCGTCCCATCGATCCAGCGGTGCGGCGATCTGAAATGCCCACTTAAGTTGACCTTCGCAAGCGGCACGGATACGGTGCATGGTATCAATTTGAGACCGGTTTGCCGTGGGAATTCGAGTCAGTATTTTTTGGCACTGGACCAAAAATCGGTATTGCCAACTATATTAATTAGTCCCTGTCTCGCAAGGGCAGACTCTCGTTACTTACTAGGCACCGCTGGAATCATTAATGCATTTGAGAGGGTCACCATCTACGAATGCATTGCCAGAAGTACCATCCTCTCCGAGTATTGGAATGCTGTACACAGACAAGAGCGTTTCTAGGTGCCTTGTCATCGTAAATTGGAATTCGGCTTTGTCGAAAGGAGACTCGAATCTTGGCGAAAGCGTGATGCGAGAATTGACGTCGACGTATCCTCTGAGGGACTTGAGCTCACTATCCGACTCTGCATGTTTGCCTAATCCACGCAGACAAGCGAAAAGCCCACTCCTAGTGATCATATCATCTGTGGCATTTGTTGTACCGCTGTCGGAACAATGCAGAGCACTTCGATATAGTGACTCAGCTTCTTGAAAATATCCTGTTTTACGCCTCACGAATGCAAGGTTGCAAAGCATTATTCGGCGAGGGAGTGATCGTTGATTTAATAAAACAGAATAGCTTTCGTATGCTTTCTCGTGCTTGTTTTGGCATACCTGAGTCCATGCTGCTCTCTCCAAGAAGCTGTAGCAGTTTAGATCGGGAGGGGTCATATCCTTGTTGAAATACGACCAGGTGCCGTCAAATATATCACCAGCTTCCGTAAGGAGGCCATCTTCAAGGTACATTGAAGCAAGACGATACCTGATACCCCTCGTAAGCTCTCGGGACTTGGGATCTTGATTCATTATATCGTCGAGGTCCCGGTATTGGTACACATCTCGCATGATTTTCAACGCAGCATCGTGCCAACCATTTTCATGGAGAAATTTAGCATACTGAAAACGAATGTCGCTCAGCGGAATCGCCTTCTTGTTGTAGACTACCTCAGCAATCAGGCAAGCCACCCAGTAATGGTATCTTGCCTCCCCTAGCCTCTCGACTTTTGTACAAGCCTTAGCAATTCGAAGGTGCTCGTTGATAAAACTAACAGCCTCCGTAAATTGCGGCATCTGCGGCGAATTGGCGGCATCAAGTGAGGTCAAGACCGAGTGATTGGCATTCGCAGTCAGCCTTCTCTGCATGTGGTTTACCTTCTCCGTAATCTTTTCTTTCTGCGTTTCCGCTTCTTTATCTTTCTGGCGTTGTAGGTTAGCTGTAGGAGTATCACTGCGGTTTGGTCAGCACCATTTGATAACAAATGAATTTAGCCCCAACCTAATGAGCGGTAGATCTGAGACCTCCAGGACGGTGCAGAGCTCTTGCGTAGACTCTCCAGGTATGGTGATTACGCTTCGAGATTGTGCAAAATTGTGCTTTCTGTACATTTCGGGTTGTTTGCGTCCCGGCGCTCTGTTATAGAACCTCGTACACTGACGCCTTAAGCTATTGTCATCATACCTGAGCAAACCTCCATCCGCGGAAATCGTGTTGGCCAGCTGTTTTGTAGCCACCTCCTTTAGGTACAGGTCCTCTTCCTCCTCATCATCTTCTTGTGAAGCTTCAATGACCGGATTGACTGCCCAAGCCGAGAATCTTTGCGTGTTCAAGAAAGTCGTCGTTCTATACTGGGCCTTGAACTTTGTATTCCTGACCAGGACCTCGGAGTTTTGAAAAAGCAGCAGCCTTTCCTGACTTTTCTCTGTGGGAACAACATGAAAAGGATTTCGCCCCGGTCGGTGCTCACGAAAGCAGATGTCGGAGCTGATCGAATATGGTAAATCTGCCTGTACCTTGGCGTCATTCCGGATCTGATATTGCTGGATGACGGAATTGCCTTCAACGTAATACTGAAGCCTGATGTCTAGATCGTTGTATCTGAAACTGAATCTTGGCCAGCGATTGTGGACCCAGCACACGCTGTAAGGTTCCAGACCTTGCGCCAGAGAAAGTCCAATTCCATATCCTGATCCGTGCGCGCTTTCCACAGCGCGCTCCAAAAGCTTTCCTCTTGCGTTGTACCCTTCACCTCTTTCGATGGTCTTCTTGTACTCGACTCCGATCAATCTGCTCTTGATACAGCTTGCGACCTGTAGGAGTTCTCCGGCTGGTGTGACCCATGCTATGGTACCATCAATGCCAAATGTATAGATCGATTTGGTTTTCGAAGGAGGCTCGAGCCGAGAGGTAACGTCTCGAGGCGCGTCGAAGAAGATATCTGAATCGCCGTGGTCTTGTCTTAGAGCTGGTTCAGTGAGTAAACAAGTCGCAGCCTGAGGAGGTGCATCGCGACCTACAAGAAGATTCCCCCGCTACCTCCAGACAGCCCAACTCTAATTCTAGATCCGCAATCGCAACACGGTCCATGGCATGGACAGCGATCACCACAGACACACGCCCAGTACTAGACGAGGTTGATGCGCGTAAAGCGCGGTGTTCTGGTTCTTTGACATGGTCATAGTGAGCTTCGCAACCATACGAAAGGGTCAGCTCCGCAACAGCGAAGCTTTAGACTTCACATGGCAATCTGTGGCAGTACATAGCTCAGCCCGACGCAACGGCTCAGCCTTTCTCGACCTGTTTCAAGTGCCCATAGCTTAGCTGCAGGAGGCGGCGATCTTTAGAGCGAAGGCTCTAAAATCTGACAGGCTGGAAGCGTCCATCAATGCAGAGTTTGACCGTGATACCCGGCCCTTAACAAGCCCAGCCTTTCCATCAATGCCGACCTGAGCACACGCATTTAGGACAGACCATCATTCACGGTCCCATGCGTTCGCTCATACGTCCTCGAAGCTGAGAACAGGCGGGCAATGGTCAGGATGAGGTGGGAGAAGCCATCCCATACTAACCCCTAGATGCCGAGACCTCGGCATCCTTCCGGCACGCTTCAGTTTTTGGCTTGTTGGTCGATATCACCAAGAAAACCGCTCCATATGATGGAAGTACGAAAGCATGAGAGGCCGTCTCGATCGGGCGGACAGAAACTGGCAGCCATAGATAGACAGCTACGGCATTCCGAGGCCAGTAGAACCTTTCCTCAAAAATCCTCGACTTTGGTGCGGCGTCTCCTACAAGGTCGCGCTCCTGGCCGGGCTTGTTACCCGAAGAGCCTTTATGTGTCTTGGCAGGAAACAAGACAGGTGCTACGGTAAGTCAATCGGCCCTCGAAACACAAATGTGCTTTCACTTGTACCTGTCAATCGCTGTCAAAGCTACGAGTTGGGAAAGGGGAATCCAACGAAATGAGGGAGCGATATCAACTCGGGAGAACGTTTTGCCGAAAGTGCCACCGCCTAATTCGGCACTCCGTCGGCAATTGCAGTGTTCCCCGCAACTCCCAAGAACCAGCGTCGTAATTGACTATGACGGGATGCTGTCAAGTCCTCATAGCCTTCGCAGGCTTTTCCATCACCTGCGCGAAGACAATGCTAAAACTCCCTCACAATGCTAGTCGAGTCCCCCTACCCCCCGATTGACGTCCCGAACGTCGACATCTGGAGCATCCTCTTCGAAAACCAAAATCGCCCTTACCCGGACGACAAACCCATCTACATTGATGCCAATACCTCCCGAACCTATACCTACGCCCAAGTGAGAAGCACAGCTATAGACTTTGGTAAAGGCTTGAGATCAGCCTGGGAATGGCGGAAAGGCGACGTCCTCGCGCTGTTCACACCCAATTGCATTGATACGCCTGCGGTGACATGGGGCACCCACTGGGCGGGAGGAGTAGTCTCGCCTGCCAACCCAGGATACACCACCGATGAGTTGGCATTTCAATTGAAGGATGCTGGCGCGAAAGCATTGATCACGCAAAAGGCGCTACTGAAAGTGGCCACAGAGGCCGCGCAAAGAGCTGGGATACCAAAAGATCGAATCATTTTGATAGGAGATGATCGAGATGCCTCAGCAGAGTTCAAGCACTTCTCTTCAATACGGAATGTCGCTGGCACCTCAAGATATCGCCGGGCGAAGGTTGACTCTCAGAAAGACCTGGCCTTTTTGGTGTATTCGTCCGGTACTACAGGGAGGCCGAAAGGTGTCATGCTTACGCATGAGAACATCGTAGCAAATATACTCCAATTAAGCGTGGGTGAAGGTGCGAATCTGTCGTGGAAGGGAGGATTAGAGGGGCAAGGAGACAGGATTCTAGGGTTTCTACCATTCTTCCATATTTACGGTCAGTATCGTTCGTTCCATCCGATCGCATTAAAAGTTTTGCTGACAAGATGCAGGTCTCAACTGCCTCGTTCACCAATGTCTCTACAGTGGCTGGACCCTTGTAGTAATGCCTAAGTTCGAGATTGAAAAATTCTGCTACAATATCCAGCACTACAAGATCACCTATGCATACGTTGTCCCACCAATTGTGCTGCTTCTGGGGAAGCATCCTGTGATTGACAAGTATGATCTCAGTAGTCTCCGCATGATGAACTCCGGTGCTGCTCCCCTCACGGAAGATCTTGTCCAAGCTGTCTACAGGCGCATCAAAGTACCCATAAAACAAGGCTATGGTCTAAGTGAGACGAGTCCGACTACGCATACGCAGCCTTGGGAGACCTGGAACACAAGTATCGGGTCAGTAGGAACTATGCTACCAAATCAGACTGCTAAGTTCATGTCACCAGAGGAGACAGAGGTGCCTATTGGAGAGACAGGAGAGCTCTGGATTCGTGGGCCCAACATCTTCATAGGCTATCATAACAACGCGGAAGCCACTGCCAATGCCCTAACACCTGACAAGTACTTCAAGACTGGCGACGTTGGGTACTTGGACAAAGACGGCAATTTCTTTATTACTGATCGCGTAAAGGAACTTATCAAATACAAAGGCTCTCAAGTTGCACCAGCGGAGCTTGAGGGCATATTACTGGGTCATCCAAAGATTACAGATGCAGCAGTGATTGGCATTGAAGACAAGGCTCAAGCAACAGAACTGCCAAGGGCATATATAGTGCTGAAGACAGACGTCGAAAAGCGCCAAGGGACAGCAGATGAGATTGCGACTTGGTTGCAGGAGAAGGTCGCCAATCATAAGCGTTTACGCGGAGGTATACGCTTTGTCAATGAAGTCCCTAAAAGCGCAAGTGGCAAGATTTTGAGGAGGCTTCTCAAAGTGAAAGCTGCTGAGGAACAGAAGGAAGTAACGCCGCCAAAGCCGAAATTATAAATCTTCAAGTGTGGTCACATCCCTGGCCTATTTGAACTATGGGACGAAGACCTGGAAGAGCTTTCTCACCGCTCCACAATCCTATGTCAGCGACCACCGACTCATCAAAGATCTGCCGCATCAACATGTCTTATGAGCTATTCAGACAGTATTTCGAGGCTGCAATACCATACCTCAGCGCCTACCCTTCATTACCATGCCTGCAAACCCTTCCCATAGATCCGTTCCGCCAACATCCTCAACTTCATCGGCATGATATTATCCCCATATTTCTCCTGTATATCACTCTTCTCGACCGCAAAGTAGACGCAGCCAATCCCATCCTTTTCATTCCGATCCCGCACCCTCCTTTCCAGCTCCCGTCTCTTCTCCTTCGACCACCAGGACGGCAGCACTCCCTTCTTCTCACACTTATTTAGGAACCTCTTGAAGTCAGGCATCGCTTCCGCTTCATCCCCCGAATACAGCCCTCGATTATCCCCCCCAAACGCATAATCGTCCTCTACTCTCAACCGGTAGCAATCCACCAACTGCTTCATAGCCTCCTTCTCCGGCAGACGATGGAGGAACGTGTTGTCAGCAAGCCCGTCGAATGGTGTGCGCACATTTTCAATCTTTTCTGGGCCCGATGCGCCTGGCTTTTTGCATGTGCGCTTGTGAGAAGACCAGTCCTGTGATTGGCATATTTGACTGCAGTACCACTTTTCAAGACAGCGGGCACAGCGTTTGAGAGACAGTTGTGGCGAAGAAGGCTTAGAGCAGACGGCGCAGGTACGGTCGGGGTTGCTTGAGGGTGCGATGGGAGTGTCCAGGTCGATCGGGGCGATTTCGTGGATTTGGAAGGGTGCTTGGGCCATGATTGATTTTCAGGGTAGTTGAATGTCGTTCGGAGATAGATTCAGAGAAAGTTAAGATTCAACAAATTGTGTTCAAAATCCACAGGTGCAAACTCTACAAGCGAGACTGCTGCCAGCTTCTGTTTTCCAATTGTGGCTGTGGAAAAAAAGATGGCAGGAATGGAATGCAAAATTATGTAGAATTAGAGGGAACTATGGCCGATTACACTCGCCAAAATGCATGGAAAGGGATGAGGGGACTCAGCCTCGTCAGAAAAGGGGTATCTCGGCAACGCAAGAATATTTTTCCGGGCGGAGATAGCGAGCTTCCAAGGTTTAAAGCCGACAGAAAGAGCTTATGGAACGCGTTCAAGTTGCCTACAAGACTACATCACATCCTTGAGTATCTGCTCAGAGTCTCCACATCACCCTTTAAAGCGCTCACACTAAAGCCTCCAAGATGGTACAAAGTACTGGTATGCTGGGAGAAGGTAGGTTTGAACCGCAGCTACACGAACAATTCAATATCAATCGCTCACTGCCTCTTCAGATGGCATACATGTGGATATGAATCATCTCAAGACAGGAGAAGTGAAGTAAGGCTCCTCCTATACACATGACACTCCATCAAATCTTCCAAGTGATCTGGCTAATCTCTCGTACCCTGCAGTCTAGGAACCTCAATGTCTGTTATCTCACTTATGCGCCCATTGACCCTACTCACGTCTTGAGCAGTATGGCAATAAACTTTCGTGACGGTGTTATTCTCGGGGCCGATTCACGTACCACCACAGGCGCCTACATTGCCAACCGTGTCACGGACAAACTCACACAGGTGCATGACACCATCTGGTGCTGTCGGTCAGGTAGCGCCGCAGATACACAAGCAGTCGCAGACATTGTACAGTACCATCTAGGAATGTATGGGGTGCAACACGGTGATGAGCACGGGTATGGAGGTCCGACGACGCAAACGGCCGCGGCGCTTTTTCAAGAGTTGTGTTATGATAACAAGGATCAGTTGAGGTGAGCTCGACCTTACAAAATTTGTCAAGAAAAGAGTGCTGCAGAGGTAGCTCCGTCTATCAGGGAGATCACATCGCTGATACGGGCTATGCCTTTCAGTGCGGGCATAATCATAGCAGGCTGGGATCCGCGAAACGGCGGCAACGTCTACAGCATTCCACTCGGAGGCAGTCTACACAAGCAACCATACGCAATCGGAGGATCTGGCAGCACGTACATCTACGGATACTGCGATTCGAATTGGAAGGAAGATATGACGGAGCAGGAGGGGGTGGAGTTTGTGAAGGGTTCACTGAAGGAGGCTATTCGTTGGGATGGGAGTTCAGGCGGTGTGATAAGAATGGTGGTTTTGACGAAGAAGGGCGCAGAGAGACATTTGTACCTGCCTGATCAGGGATACAAGGGGCCAGGCAAGGGAAAGTGAAAGAGGGTTGGGGCAGCTAAGTAAAATAGAGAAATTGAAATGATTGAAAGCATGTTGAAGGACCAGCATTTATCTGCTGCGATTTGTAAAGAATGTTCAATCGATGGCCCTGTAGTAGCAACGCAGAGTTGTAAACGTATGTTGTAAGCTGATAGACTCTACAGTTTTGCGGGCTGAGTCATCGGTGTTAATGCATGACGCTCGCCACTTTCCACTTCCAATTTTCCACTGCAACACTTTTGAAAACTTGTCGCGCCACTTTGCTTTTTACTGATCACAGAGGCTGCTTTTTTAAGCTTCATTTCCTTTCTAGCCCTACTCTTGAGAAAAAGCTTCATACCAAACCAAGAACATTCACCGCCGACACCTCAAAATTTTTAGGCGTAATTCTTCGACACATTAGGCACTCACGGTCAGAGTCTAATGTCCACCGTCCAATCCGGCCCCCACCATACTGCCCCAACTGGTCCACAGTCTCACCGCGGAAGACGGGGCGGAGGGCGCCACAGACAAAGAGGAGGAAGCCAGAGGCAGACCACACACGAACAAGTCGGAGAGCCTGCTCAAAATGGCCCACCAAGCTACAATATCCCGATAGCATTACGTCCATCACAGATAGCGTCTCCTCTTCCTTCAGGGTCGTTCAGCGCCGAAGTCTCAATATCTGAGACCGAGAACAACACAGCACAAGGGTATGGCATTGGTTTGAATCGGAGAGGTGGTCGCGAAAGAGGGGGCTTAGAAACGACCGAAAATAATGGCTCCGTCAGTCACTCTCGTGGTTTTCGGAGAGGCCTCAGTGGGAGTATAGCTCAAAGAGGACCCAACAGGCAATTTGGCACGAATCTGGACGCTGAAGATCATGCCCAAACCAATGCTCCTGCGTCCCATTCAGGATTCCAAGCTGATGCAGCGGAGTTCGTGCCTGGCAAATTCCATCACGCACCTCCATCTGCAAAAAGAGGAGGCATGCAAAATCGCGGGCAACCGGCACCAGGAAAAACAAGAGCACGAAAGGCTTCAATCGCAAAGTCTCAGGCGCAGGACATCGCAACTCGAACGCACGAAGACATCGCAAATGGTGTCTACGAATGTCCTATCTGCACAAGCGAAGTAACGAACAAGTCAAGAATATGGTCATGCAAGACGTGCTGGACAGTCTTCCATCTTAGCTGCGTCAGAAAATGGTCCACAAACGAAGGCTCAACCCAAGCTCAGCAGAGAAATGAAGATGGCGAAGTTGCACACCCCAGGCAATGGCGATGCCCAGGGTGTAATTTGCCGAAAGATGTCATCCCATCGAACTATGCTTGTTGGTGTGAGAAGGAACATGAACCACGGCCAGTACCAGGAGTGCCACCCCATTCGTGCGGCCAGAGCTGCGCTAAACCGAGAATACTACCACGAAAGTGCGATCATCCATGTGAGCTTACTTGTCATGCTGGACCTTGCCCACCTTGTAAATACATACTACACAATGTAAAATGTTATTGTGGTAGCAGGAAGATAACGCGAAAATGCATCGAAGGCGCGGCCTGGAGCTGTGAGGGGATATGCAACAAAATGATGCCATGTGGTATCCATCGCTGTTCTGAAACATGTCATGATGGTAGTTGTGGCCAGTGCAAGCATCCAGTGCCCTCTCGTTGTTATTGCGGCAAGAACTCTGAAGTATTAGCTTGTTCAGACCGTAGGGATACAGAGCAGAGCGAAATAAGACATGACGAAGGTGACGGCAAAGACGTGGGATTCCTGGACTCCTGGGTAGGTGGCTTTGATTGCGGTGAAGTATGCAATAGGCCATTCAATTGTGGCAAGCACTATTGCAAACACAAATGCCACCCCCAGCATACGGAGCCAGCTCATTGTCCTATGTCTCCAGACATCATCTCACATTGCCCTTGTGGTAAGACCAGAGTTCAGGAGATTCTTTCTTCATCACGTATGAGTTGCGAAGATCCCATTCCTAGCTGCGACAAACAATGCCAAAAGTCAATGCCATGCGGTCATCTGTGCCCAGATGTCTGTCATGATGGAGCTTGTCAGCCCTGCTCTGCAACGATAGATGTGTCCTGTCGTTGTGGGAGGATGAAAAGCAAGGCAATCTGTCATCAAACTTCGTCAGATCCACCACAATGCACTCGAGTCTGTAAAGCGACTCTCAATTGCGGACGGCATGAGTGTGGCGAACGGTGCTGCCCTGGAGAACGTAAAGCTATGGAGAGACAGGCCACGAAAAAGAAGCTCAAATCTTTGAATGCCTTTCAAATGATGGACGATGGCATTGAAGCGGAACACATCTGCACAAGAGCTTGCGGCCGACTGCTCAAATGTGGAAACCATACCTGTCCTGAGCTTTGCCATCGTGGGCCCTGTGGTAGCTGTCGGGAAGCCATCTTCGACGAGCTTGCTTGTCACTGCGGGAAGACAGTCCTGCAACCACCTCTACCATGCGGGACGGCGTCTCCACCATGTCGATTTGAATGCGAAAGACCAAAGCACTGCAGCCATCCCCAGGTACCTCATAACTGCCACGGTGGCGATGAGAAATGCCCTAAGTGTCCCTTCCTGAGCCAGAAACCATGTCTTTGTGGCAAGAAGGTGCTTAAGAACCAACCTTGTTTTGCAACTGAAGTTCGTTGCGGCGAGGTGTGCGGTGCAAAGCTGAAATGCGGGGCTCATGCTTGTCGTAAGCAATGCCATCGACCTGGCGAGTGCGAAGATGCCGGTACAAGATGTCTGCAGCAATGTGGCAAAACGAAGAAGGTATGCGAGCATTCTTGTGATGACATATGCCATGCGCCCTCGTCATGCAAAGAAGATAAGCCTTGCCAACACAAGATGTATATTACGTGTGAGTGTCAAAACTTGAAGCAAGAAGTCAAATGCAATGCTTCCAAGAACGCGGATGGCAACAGCAAAAAGACTTTAACCTGTGATGATGAATGCGCAAGGCTTGCGAGGAATCATCGACTTGCGGAGGCGCTCAATATTGATATCGAAACCCACACTGACGACCACGTACCCTATTCCACGGAAACCATGAAGCTGTACCGTGCCAACATCAATTGGGCACACGCCGAGGAACGAGAAATGCGTATATTCGCCGCGGATGAAGACGAGAAACGCCTACGCTTCAAGCCCGGCCCACCTCATCAGCGAGCATTTCTGCACGCCCTAGCTGAGGACTTCGGCTTCGACAGCGAAAGCATCGATCCCGAACCCCACCGCCATATACTGATATTCAAGACCCCTCGATTCGTCAAAGCGCCCATGAAGACGCTCGCTCAGTGCCTTCGTATCCGTCTTACACAGGCTTCATCTCTCACAGCATCGACAGAAGAGCCCGCACGCCGTATCAATCCTTTCAACGGCTTCCTCCTCCTGCACCCCCGCTTCGGTCTCACGGTCGACGACCTACGTGGCGAACTTCTATCCGCATTCCAATCGACCCCTGGTCTAGCCTACGACATTTCCTTCCCCTCATCAGGAGATCAAGTCATCATCCGCGCCCGGCCCGCAACAGCCTCAACAGCCATCTCCCCTACCGCCGTAGAAGCCTCCCTGAAATCCATCAAACCCACACTCTCCGCCATCATCAGCGCTAAGAAAATAGCTTTTGCCCTCCACCTTTGCACCTCAGATGCTGAATTGAGTATCAGCAGGAGAGAGAATGACGGTAAAACAAGTACGGGCGTGGATGGATGGAGTCAAGTCGCAGCGAAAGGCGCGGCACCCAGGGTACTGAGGCCGAAGGAGGCGGTAGGGAAGAAGAGCGGATTTACAGTGTTGGGAAGTAGGGTTAAGGAGAAGAAGATGAAGGAGGTTCAGAAGGAGGTGGTAGAGGACTGGGAGGAGGAGATTGAGAGGGAAGAAAAGGAGGCTCATCATGAACGAGGAGATTCTGATGAGGTGAACGATAGGGGTGAGAGTATCCTGAATGAGGGGACAATAGCTGGTTCCGCGATGGATGGGGAAGATGAGGCGGTGAAAGAAATGGCTCCACAAGCATGAGCCCCTTCATAAGGTAGATTAATCCTACATAGTCTCGTTGCAGAAAATCACTTGCAGAGTTCAAGTTGCTTCAAGCTGAACCAAAAATAGTAATAAAAAATGTTCCCATTCTTTGATCGCGCTTCGCTACGACCCCCATCATTTTGAGTGTATTACAAATGCCATACCACGCTGGCCTCTCACATCCATTATACTATGCCTTGGCTTGAGGTACCGCTATTAAATAAGAAACGGATTACTATTCGCTTCTAATCGGCCGCGTGGATCATGCCACAGTAGTATCTCCTGCTCTCTGCGTCGGCTTTAACCCTCCAACGCCCTGCCACACATCAGACTGCCTATTAGCCTCCAATTCTTCTCTGAAATCCAAACAGTGGAAATCCCACACACAGGCGCTATGACTCACGCGAGCAGGGCGTTCAACCTCCTGCTAGATCTAATAGATACATTGCGGCGCTTTGTCTTAGTTTGTAAGTGAACGAGCGTGTCGCTCGAGCTTCTGCACTTTTCCGCCGTCGCATCGGTCTTCTTGGCACTGCGAACAGTTTGTGGAAGGCAGAACTGGCTGCGCACGCGATGACTGTGTTTGAGGAGTTGTAACCTGTTCGCCATTGATGGCTAGCAGGTTTCGAGTCCCAGGGTCCTTTACTTCAATCGCTGTTCGTAGCATAATAGAAGCAATGATCTGTGGACGCTCCTCGGCGCAGCAATTCTCGCTTTCCATAGCTCAGTACGACCAACTTGTCACGAGCGGTGGTTGAGTGCCATTTCGAACTCATTATTGTCGTACATATAAAAAGTTTCATAGCGCACTTCCCGGCATTGCGCCTATATTTAGCCAAAGTTAGACTGTCGTCGAGGTGTGCTGGTGTCGAAAGATCATGGGCTGATTTGATAGCGATATAGCTCCGCCTGGATAGCCTTTGGGGACAGCGGTGGATGGAATCTAGATTGACTTGGCGCGTTGCAGCAGGCGAACCTTCCTTCCCTCTCCAGATTAGAGCATTGGCGAGAGCAAAAATTTCGTCACGCCTTGCTATCGGAGTCTATGTCATAAGCTGAAGTTGCCAAGCGAAGTCAGTATGTGGAGATGATATCTCCCGCTCGTCTTGTACATCATTACTAGCCATCACAGCCTCCTCCTTACACAATCTTCTCGGTCTCCTCCAGTAGATCCTCCACCCTAAATCCCCCATCGCCCCCACTGAACTTTTCCAGAAGACTTTTTCTCTCGGGCTTTTCCCCCGTCCCCCCATAGAATTTCTGCAAACACATCAACAGCCACTTTCCTTCATCAACACTGATTCCCCGATCCGGCACCACCTTGCCCTCCAGAAGCACCAGCTCTTTCTCTTCCCGTAAGTCTGTGTGATGTGTCACCGTCGTATGCGGCTGGGCAAATTCGCCTCTCATTTTATACTCTGCCAGATGTGTGAATAGCACCGTCGCTGTCGTGGGTGTAGGGAATGTCCATTGCAAGAAATGAATTTCCGCCCCTTGCTCGCCTTTGTCGTCGGCTCGCGGGAGGGGGAGGATGAAGCGTGGGTGCTGGCGGGCGGTGGATTCGATACGGGCGTATGTGGAGGAGGGGATCACAGCGCAAAGGGACTGTGTGTCGTTGGCGTGTCGGAGCCGCCAGATGTATTCTATTTCTTTTTGAGGCAGCTCGCGGGTCTTAGGGATGTCGATGTAGGAGGAGAGTGTTTTGATGCCAGGAGGTGGCGGTGGGGCGCTGGCCGTAGTGGTAGGCTGTGGCGGAGAAGGTGGTGCGGGATATGGTGAAGAGGATGATTGCGTCGGCTGAGGGGATGCGGTTGACGATGGTGATGGCCGTGGGTTTGTCTGGAGTGCCTTCTTGCGTTGTGCTTCAATCTTCTCTTGGTAGGATTGCTTCAGCTCTTCCACGTCCCTGTAGCCTTCTCTGTGCAATTTAGAGTATTGTGTCTCAATTTAGAGGACTATACATACTGTTTGGCTCGCTGTTGGAGCTTTTGCTGGTATCTCTCGGCGACCCTCTGGCCTTGATTGTGCGTTACGAGAAACCGAACATCGTGGACCTGGGCCCATCGCCGCTGGGTGTTCCGCAAACATGGCGCGGCGTTGCCGAACGTATACCGCAAGGAAGGCGTCCGAATCGTCAACATTCTTCTTGAGAAGCAGGAATGGTCGAAGGAATATTAAGGACAAGATATATAAAAACGGAGTCTAAGATTGCAGACATTTAATGCAATTAGGTAAGCCTTAAACGCCAAGCCTGCCTCGATGACTAAGCAGGAAGAGCCCTTTCCGAGGGTTGGGTAATCGGAAGGTGGCCACGCTAAATTTATAGGGAGAAGGCGTGGCCACCTTCCGATTACCCAACCCTCGTTCTACCCAGAAATTTTTCACTCTCACCAGTGACCTCCGTGAAGGGGCCCTCGAGAGATTGAATCCCACCGTAAATACAGTGGATATCGCCTCGGGATAGTAGGAAAGTGCAGTGTTCGTCCGATCTCTGCCCTTCAGCTTCAATGTAGGTCTACAGCCAAGTGACGAAATCATAAGCTCACGAATCGATTGCATTGCAGGTGTCATTCGCTGGCACCTCCCTCTGTATAAGCTGTTCTCCTTCTTGACAGCCCCTTTTGCTCTTTTGATTCTGCGACTGTCAATTCGTTTGGCGCTGTGACTTTTCACTCGAGGCTAAATATTCATCGGTATATCCCTTCCAATTTCCAGGTATCACCCCATGACTTGAGGACACAATTTAATTAAATCTCACTGATGATCTTTGTTTCTCCCCTGAAAAGATCCTAGGACCTATCCAGTCACTTTCTCCACGCCCGTCTCTAACGGCGATGGAGTTGTTACATAGGTCACAGCCTTAGCTGCATAAGCGTGGGCGTCTACGCACTACCAATAGCCTTGAGGCAAACCAACTCCCCTGGATTAGATCAATGTCGCGTGGATCTTTATTCATTTGCAAGTTCTCAACTAACCCCGTCTTGCACGTTAATCAAAGTGCCCTCACGGCTTACTGAAATTGGACAATATCAGACTTCGAGATCATGGGGGTCAAATGAAATATGAAGACTTACTGGCGAACACTCGCTGCTTTTTGGCATACAATTTTCGACTTTGCTGATGGGTTCGAATCTTCAGCAGCCCCACAATTCCAACATTTCTACCCCCAATGGCGTCCGTGGCAACTCCAGTTCTCCTCAGAAACTTGCAACGCGACCTTGACTACATACAACTTTCAATATAGCACGGAAGGTGCTTTAGGCCATCTAGCCGTTGACACGTGCTATAATCATACCAGCTGCATTATAAGCAACATGCCCGAGGCCTGGAAGGCCTCCATGGCGGCCGCCAGTGTCGCACTGGGCTTACTACCGACCCTATTGGCAGCTATTGGTCCCAGCATTTCCGAGACCTCATTACTCTCCTCCCAACGTCCCATGCTTGCCTTCTTGCTAAGCTTGGGTGCGCCAGCTGCTCAGCCTAGCCGTCTCCTTGAATATGAAGACCCGTTCGATCTGCTTGATGCTCGCGGCGGCAGGCTCGTTGTTCCTCCATTATCTCCTCTGTCAGCCATGGCTGTTAGTGGACTGGAGTATGTTGCTGCTGCAGCAGCAGTGGCTAATGCACTACACACGTCCTTTCAGCTAGGGATCAACACCGTGTCGGCTGCGTCATGTACGATATGGGAACTGCCGATGATATGGTCACTATTGTCTGTTGTAGTTCACCTCGTTGCTGCGGTTGGCTTTTGGAATAGAGTACGAGACAACACACGAGGCAGCCAAGATTCCAGCACGGGGACACCGATCCAAAATACCTCGTCGCCAATAGTTCCTGCAGAGCAGCATCACGGTGCAGCAGAAGTAGAGATCACCCTTATGCCTCTGACTCTTCAACGCAGGTCGGGCTCGAGCCAAGTGAAAAGCGAAAACTCCTTGAACGCATTGTGGCATTCAATTCTCCAGCAAATGGAGCGCGAATTTCTCCCCTGCTCTAACCGCACTCCTTCGACAATTAGTATCAAGCCTTCAAAGATGCCACGATTAGCAGTCCTACTTGCAGTCCTTGCGAGTTTCGCAGCATACGTCCAGCTGATATGCGGGACCGTCTTTCTCGCGTCTCTACTATTCGTCTCTGTGAAAGACGCAGTGGTGAATATCGTGCTCCGGTTTGTCCTATCCGCCATTCTCTGTCGGTTGGTTTTACTTGTGGAGCTGGGCGGTATGAGAAGACCGGTCCAATAAAATAGCCTCTAAACATAGGATTCGACAGGCGTCAGCTTACTAGCCTTAATGAAGCAATGGAGACACGCTTATCTTCTTGAAACGCTGTTAGATTCTTGGCATGCAGCCAGCACAAGGAATAGACATCATTATCAACGAATGGGCGCGATGCTTGTCAACATACCCTGCTCACGGAACGGCGCTGCCGGGCCACTGACAATCTTGTCAATCCTGTCAGCACTAACGTTGGTTTTAACATTAAAGTAATCGTCGATGAAAGCTCTGGACTAAGAAATTCTTTTAAAGCAGGACTTTCAAGCACTTACTCTAGCAGTTGTCCGCCTCGACCGCAAAGTATTCATGAACAAAGGACGAGCAATAATGTCATAAGTGGAGGAGCTCTGGGAAGATCTTACGTGCATGGGAATGTTGGCTTCGCAGGAGCAACAGCATCCTCTCGCTTGCGGCACGTAACTCAGCCTTCCGGGCAATGCTTTTCTGCTCTTCAAGCACGACTTGTCTTTTTGCATTTATTTCCATCTCTCTTAGGTAAATGGCAGATAGCGCGGACAACGTCGTCGCTTCCACCGGTCAAAGTCGGAAACCCAGAGCCTATGAGACTAGTGGCCAGCGAAATGACCGTGGGTATCGACTTATTGAACATATTCACGATCTACCCCTCGAAGAGATGAACAGCGATGGTGGTCGCGATCCCTCACCGAAGCGAAGGCTTTCTGGGTATGGAAGACCGCGGGACAAAGCATTCATAGAAAAGACAGACGTGTTCGCGCTTCTCAGCTGTTTGGTGTTATTCATCGCGGCCTTCGTCACAGTATCGCCATCCACGTCGACGCCCTGGAAGCTTGGGCTCACTCGTCAATTTCAAGTAATCGGATTCTTGTTGAGTGCGATGAATTTATGCTTCTTAAGCATCGCGCCCAAGATTTTCGTTCTCCTTGAGGCTCGCTTTGGCCCTTCGTACCTTCAGAACTATGACGCTATCTTACGCAACTCTTTCGTCAAGACTAATACGAACATCGTCTGGCGTGGACTTCTGGTCACAGTCACAGTTGTGCCTGTCGCTCTAAGTTTAGCATACAAAGAATTCAATCATGGAAGAAGCCATAACACTCTGGGGAACCATACCGGCAATTTCTACGGTCTTCTCCCTGCTGCTGGGCTTGAAGATCGATTCGTTGGCCTCACATTTTTCGAGAATACTACGGTATCATTCACCTCAGCGACGTTCGCTGATCCACCATTACCATCATTCCCAAGTCCCTATGGATTCAATACCTTATTGCTCTCAAATACCTCTTCTGCCAAGCTCGATGCTCCGTCCCCCAAATACGTTCGCCATATTCAGACCAATTTGATCTCTGATGAGACATATAACCTTACCGCAGATGTACTCGCAACAGTGACAACTTACAACAGCTCCGTCGAAACCCATCGAAATGACGACCAATTTTGGAATCATTATCTCAGCTTGATGCACGACCCTCCCAATAAATATATCAATCAGTCCGATGCCTCGGACAAGGATGCGTACCTTGTGTCGAAACTTACCAGTCAAGACCTGTATACCGGCAAATGGCTCTCAATGCTCGTCAACAGCCTTTATAGGACAGATACGTCCTGGATGTTCTTCGCCATCACCCCGCCAAACGCTACTGAGTTCCGACGCTCCGCTCGACTTTACCATACACGCAGAGAAAGCTGCACCGGAACGTGGCGAATTACATACAACTCCATTGAACTCGTTCACGGTCTTTGTAACAAGCCCCCTTTATCTGATGATCGCCAGAAAATCTTCACGAATGCCACCTTTGCTTTGCCGGAGTGGTACATGCCTTCCCTCTCCGAGCACCTTGGGCCTCTTACCGCCCCCGAGCGTGCAAATAGTCCCTGGCTGCTACCAACCTATTGTACCCTCTTTGCAGGAATGTACTGGTCACGCATCACGGCATTCAACACCAAAAGTCTGTTTGATTATCAAAAGACCACAGAACAAGACATCGATAGCGGTCCGGACCCGAACAGATCGCCGGACGATTACTATCACGTCGCGGACAAGGTGACGTCGAGTAGACGGACAATGAACGCTTCGCCCGGCTTGTATGTCACTCTCGCTATCTATCCGATTCTTACGGCTCTATTTTTTACGGCAAGTCTTTTGCTGCACAATGTGCCTCTAGACAGTGGGTTTGGAACCATTGCGCTGCTTGCCGGGGTTCGAGTGGAGACTCTGAGCCTGTTGGAGGGAGCCTCGAGGTCTGGAAGACTGCGAAAACCAATCAGAGTTGCCATCAATGCGGACGAAAGGCGGGTCGAAGGGGACGGTGGGACAGGTGGCCGCAATGAATATATACTACATGACGAGAAAGTAGGATGGAGGGGCAAGACACTTGGCTAATGCCTGCCCGCTCTCACTGAAACGATCGGTCAGTCGAAAGGGGAATATTGCCACTAGAACACCAGCGACAGAATGATGCATGTACTTTCCAGGGCAACATTCATCCATTCGATCTCGTGCCAGCCATATAGCAAGTCACAAGTCAAAAACCATTCTGCAGCATTCAACATTGGTGTAGTGGCTTGGCCGGAGAATCCATGACTGCTTCACGCAGCTTACCCATCTAGGCAGTCGCATCTACAAGCACACTAAGTTTCGGGTCTGCTAAGCACGCTTGTGTTAGAGTTTCTGGAACCGCAGCGCAGACGGACGACGCTGCAGCCTCAGACGGGATGGCCACCACTACTGAAATGATTGATCTATAAAATCTCCCATCTCTAGCGCAATGAGTAGTATATGCAAGCTACGAGCCAAGCGAGAGAATGGCTACGTAGCCTATGCGAGATCATCTGCTCGTCCGAACGGAGATATTCGGCTATCGTGAGAGTTTGCAGATGGACATCTAGATTCTCTCCATTTCCTTGCTTATCGGCCGAAGTTGACAGATAAATATAGTAAGGAGCTGAATCTCCGGTCGAAGGGGACATCATGAACTTCAGGTCGTGGAGCTTCTGGTTCGACATCTCTTTCTTGTTAGCTGGCGATCTGGAGAAGGGCAGATCAGCACAGGCAGGCAGGCAGGATGACTTTAGAGGACGGGCACACCCACGATGAGCGCACACCGCTTCTCAACGGCAATGGCGCGGCGGCAGAACTTGGAAGTAGTCGGAGCGCGCGACGGATCTATATGATCATGGCCTCAGCATGGATAGGTTCTTTTCTTTCTGCTCTGGGTAAGTCAGTCGCACCGCTTTCGGTGCCAGAAACACGAGACCGAAGAGAGGATTCGGCCGCGTTAACACGTAACCGTCTATTTTATCAGACACCACCCTAACGACGACCCTCTCCGCAACGATCGCCACATCATTCGCCTCGTTGCGTTTAATTTCCACGCTCGGCTCCGCTTACATCGTCGGTAACATCGCCGTCCAGCCCGTGGCCGGCAAACTCACCGACATCTTCTCTCGCCGAAACGGGCTGCTCGTCAGTTACCTACTCTTCGGCGTAGGCAATCTCGCATGTGGATTGGCGCAGAGAGAGTGGGTGATGGCGGGCGGGCGAGTGTGCAGTGGCCTTGGAGGCGGCGGCTTGAGTGCCATCTCGAATTTCTTGGCCGGCGACTTGATCCCCTTGAGAAGAAGAGGTGTCTGGCATGGCTGCAGCAATATCATGTATTGCTCTGGGTTAGCGCTCGGCGGCGTCTTTGGTGGCTTTGTCGGTGATATATTTGGATGGCGGTGGGCGTTCTTGAGTCTTGTTCCCTTTACGGTCGTGGGCGTGGTCGGTGTGTGCCTGGTGGTGGATGGGGATGTTGGTATGCAGCCAAGGGAAGACGATAAGCTGATGCAGCGCCTGAAACGGGTTGATTTTCTTGGGGGGTTTCTGCTAATTGCATGTTTGGTGACGGTCGTGTTCTTGCTGATCTCGAGCGATATATCCAGCTTATTTAGAGGACTATTAGGGTTGTTAGCCATCGCGCTCTGCGGGCTATTCGTCTGGGTCGAGAAGGCTTACGCATCAGAGCCTATCTTACCTCTCAGTCTGCTCGGTATCCCAAGCGTGCTGCTGATAAGCCTGGCCAGCTGCCTCGTCTTTATGGCATATCTCGTCAACTTCTACTACATTCCGATATATCTTCAGATCCAAGGATGGAAAAGTTCAGATGTTGGGCTCCTAATCCTGCCCGAGAGCTTGGGGATTGTTACCGGCTCCCTCGGGGCCGGGTGGGTCATTCGTGCGACAGGTACATATGCAGTAACAAAATTCGTGGGCATGTGCATCTTTGTACTGGCCGCGACAGGTTTCTCAAGCCTGAGTCTGACGACTCCAACTTGGACAATAGAAATATTCTTGTTCCTCAACGGGCTTGGTGTTGGATGCATGGGGGCTGTCTTTATTCTGGCTCTTCTCAGTAGCGTATCACAGGATTCGCAAGCGGTCGTGACTTCAATTCTGTTGACATTCCGATCTATTGGCGGTACTGTCGGACTCGCAGGCTCTTCTGCCTTGTTCCGCTTCATGTTACGCAAGGGACATCTCTCCGAAATGACAGGGTCGGATGAAGATCAAGCTATTGAGGTGATGAACCGGGTTGTGGAGGCATGCAGACAGCAAACGGATGGCTGCTCTATCTCGGCGTTGGAAGTCTTCGTGAATGCCGCTCGGGCACCCTTCGTTGGCTCTCTGGTGTGTGCCATATTGGTCCTCTTGCTGGGTATCTTCATACCAAATAAGAAGTTGGAATATCAGAAGTCGTGAGATGAATAATTGCAAATGCACGTGCAGCTCATTGAACAGATCTTAGAATCTCAGAAACCTTGAACTGGATTGAGTAAACAAATTTGAGGGAAGAAGACAGGCTGTAGTCCAGGCGGCTACCAAATATGTGCCTAAAATGCGTAGGAACGTATCAGGCTCAAGCTATGTCAAAAAAATGAATTGACTTTCAATCTTCGGGCCCTGATGCATATCATGATGGGACTACGCGAACAGCATGCAAGCATCTCAGCCCGAGCCTATCGGGTTAACGAGTCGAGAAGCTCCAATTGTTAGATTACTACCCAAGGTGCTAGCCCTATGTCAATCACTGCGTGAGCCATATCCTCGAGAGTTGGTGCGCTGTCGATGGGAATCAATCATTACAGCCTACCGACCTTCTCTGATAGGGTTCTAGAGGTTGAATTCTTTTTGCTGTTTCTTTAAATCCGACTCATAAATCACCTTTCTCCGGCTCTGACTCCCTTATTGGTCCTACACCCCTCTACTGAAGATGACTGCACTAGCGTCGTCTTGAGGATGAGCTCATCAAGATCAACTGTAGCATAATCTTGTTGTGGGTGATGAGGCAATCGTTCATAAACCTTTTTACCACGATCAGCTTCTACAACTCTACCTAAAAGATGTCTTCCCAACACTCAAACCATCCAGCCATGGCTCAGAACATAACGATCAAGCAGATCAATCCGGAGCCTTTGATGTCACAAGACTTACCAATCCGCAAGACATCAAACTACTCTATCCAATCAGATACTTGTATGATTTTCTGCCACAGACTCCTGCATGGCTCAAGCCACAACCAGTCTCTCTACGCAGGATCTTCGCCGGATTTGAAAGTGGGAGGCCTTCATGCATTGACCACGAGGCCAAGAAGATGAACAGTATTCCACTTTACCCTGAGGCAGCAAATCTACCATATTACACGGATTGGAAGAGATCCTGCAGAGCAAACATGGGAAGGCGAACGAAGATGCCTGTAGGGAGCTCCTCGAGCTCTTCGCTGAGGATCAAAGGTCCAAAGAAATCGTGTTGTTCGATGAGCAGTCCCTGGCGAGTCTTGCGCGAAAACAATTGCAGACGTCATTCATGGATTCGTACAGCCGAGATGGCTTGTATATGTTCCCCCAAGCAGACGAGAATCAGGTCAAACTCTTATCACAAACCTTGGTTCTTGTCTTTTTATTTGACGGTCAGTCATTGCCGCTATGAAGTAGAAGGATTTAGTTGCGGCCATCAAGGTCTCCTATCGACTTACGGGGTACAGCTAATATTGACTTAGACTTATGGGAGAACGCATCGCCGCAGACAGTTCGTCTTCAATCGAGCAGACCATGTCACGTTCATACACTAATTACCAATTGATAGTTTGACGTTCTTAATCAAAATTTTATTTCTCGATTGCAAGGTAGCAAACCGAGCACTCCGATGGACACACCGCTAGAACGGCGAATTGACGACATTCGACAAGGACTGCTGGCTAGTGATGAAGGAGGAGGTAACGGTGGCGCCGAGGTCCTAGGTGAGTTGGTCACGTTTTACCACCATGCAACCCCTCCAGAAGATGGTTACCAGACCATACGTGACTATCTGGATTATCGAGGGATTGATGCTGCGACCAGGTATTACAATCTCTCTACCCCATCCGTCCTTTTTTGGCTCCACACTCGTCTCTGCAGCATAACCACTGACTGGAAACAACGCCCAGCTACGTGTTGGCCGTCTGCAAATTTTCCGTCGGCTCCTCCACAGACCTCCACAATCCCGACCTCTATGACTTTCTCAGCCACTACCGCGATCACATCGCCATCTCCAACGACCTCGCCTCCTACGAAATGGAGCGCCAGGGATTCGAGTCGGGAAAAGCAACGGCCATGATCAATGTAGTCGAAGTGATAATGCGTGTGGAGCGCGTAGACGTGGCACAAGCGAAAGCTCTGGCCTATGCGTGGCAGCTTTACACAGAGGACGAAATTCTGCGAGAGCTGAAGAAGTTGAAGGAGAGTACGGTTTTGGGGGACGAGGATTGGAGATTAGTGGATGCTTGTTTGCTGGCTAACACGGGTAACGTGATTGTGTGGGCTATACTTGCTCGGTATGGAGGTGAACAGGCTAGGATTTGTTGATGGGGGACTTCCTTCAGTCTTCACGGCTGGCTTGAATTCCACAGCCTCAGTACGTATAGAATACCTTACCTACTTCCCATAATAACAGATGACATTATGGCCTACATAAGATCCGCACTTAATTTGATTTACCTCGTGACATGCTAGGATTCTTCAAAAAACGATATTGTCCAGTGCCAAAAAACACTGACTAGGGATCAGGACAAGTCCAAGCCACGCCCATATTCGTCGTCATGTTCTAAAGCCATTGCAGATCCCCGTCTGAATCTTAGGATCTCAGAATTTCCCAAAGAGGGTATTGGTACACGAACGAGCCACATTCGAGAGTAGAGTCCGTCTGTGGTCACAATAAAATGCTGCCTCCAACACGAACAAAATCCAAGATGCTTTCGGCACTGTTCGCACAGCCTTGCCATCACAAGCGAAGGAGGTGGAGCTCCACAAGGGATTGGTCTGCTGTCCGAAGGACTTGCTCGGTCGAGAAAGTCCAGCTTGATCATCCATGCTCTCCACAAACAGAAGGACTGTTCATGAGCTTAGCATCAGTAGATTTTGAAAGGGAAAGAGCGAAGGTGGGATGACGTTACAGCCACATAGACCCTCCAACACTGTTACTTTGATGTGTTCATACGCGGCTGGGCCTGCAGATCGTGTATGCACGGCAGAAACATACTCTTCTGTAGTTGAGAGCAGGCTCTCAAACCCCATCGCCAGCAGTTCAGGGAATATAAAGCATGTGTTAACTTCTCACACCGAGTTTGAGGACGGCGACGACGACGCGGCTGGCAAGGACCCAAAACCTGACGTCCTTTCCCAGCCCAACCGGGCAGCTGTAACGCTTTCAACGGACAGATACCAAAGACAATCGTGCTCAGAACGTCCCTTGAATTCGCAATCCGAAAGCCTTTGCAGGACGAGAAACCGAGTGGTTCTTTCAGGCCCTCTGTAATATCGACAACATTTAGCCCTGCTCGGGTTGTCGGCTCTGATGATCTCAGTAACAATCCCACTAGCATCTCCCGCATGTAGCCAGGCAACAGGCTCAAAACCTCAATTCTTGATTATAGCAACATTCGCCACGGCTGTCGATAGATCTCAGAATGAAATAAAGCACTTAACTCCTCGCGCATGGTACTGACAGGCAAGTGCGTTTAAATCAGAAAGAATCGACATGAAACCCAACTTGGAGGCGATTATTTGCCAGATACTGATATGATATGTGCAATTCCAAGGATACAAAAAGGGGGTATCTCAACTCCAGAACCCAGCCCGGTCCGTCCCAAGCCCTAATCTTCGTCTTGCTACTCGAATCAACAACCAAAAGTCTTTTCCGGGGAGTATTTAGGACGATGGTTAGCACGTGCCTTATTTACACTATCGTCACCGCCTTCTCCCACTAACGTATATATAGCCCTTCCAAACCTTCCGAACTCGGTCCTCCGCAGCCTCGGATGGATTTATCATCCAACACGTTGCAAGAACTCGACGACGTCATGGAAATACCCCGGTTGCGCCACCGTCTCGTTATGATTCCCATTCGGGAACTCCCTGTACGTGACGTCCGGTGAACGGGATAAGGCGCGCAGTTCTCTCATATGTGAAGACCTGGGGGAGGGTCCGCGTTAGCAGATGCCAGAGCCAGATTCACCAGGGCAGAGTCGAGGGGTAGCCACGCGAGAGGGCGATGGAAAGGGAGGTGGGAACTCTTACGGGATGATCTCATCCTTCAACCCCGACAGAAACAGTATCGGCACATTCCTGATCTTGGGTATATACTCCTCGCTCTTCCACGTCTGATGGCACAGCGGGGCTAGGTACTTCGCGGGTGGGAGAGCACTGGATCTCGTCAGCGCTGTCTTCTCCTCTGCCCTACCATCTACCCTCTTTTCCCTAGGACCAACCCCGATCCCATCCCCACAGGAATCCCAGTACATACCTCGGTATCAACTTCCGCATACTCGTCAACGTATTCTCAAGCATCAATCCCCTAATCTCGCCCCCCTCGCCCTCCTCCTCACTCTCACTATCTCCTCCCCCTCCATTCCCCCTCCCACCAAATCTATTCGGTTGATTCGTCACCACAACCCTCACCGCCACCGCGCCCCCAATACTCTGCCCATAAACGACAACCCCATCCCCCCTACACTCCTCGCTCTGCCGTACCCAATCCAGCGCGGTCTGCGCATCTCTCACAAGCCCCTCCTCGTCCGGCTGACCAGTACTGAGTCCATACCCTCTATACTCCACCAGAAACACCCTGACGCCAGCTTGTTCTGCGATGATCTTTGCGATGGGTAGGCGGTGGCCTATATTGCCTGCGTTGCCGTGGAACATTATGACGACGAGCCCGCCCCTTCCCCCCCTCCCTTCCGCGCCACCGTCCTTTTCCCCCTCCTCTTGCACCCTCCCCCTCCCATTCCCATAATTAGGATGCGTGCGTGGCGGCTGCACAAGGAATGTATGCAACCTCTCCCCATCAGGCGTGATGAGTGTCGGCGAGCTCCAGTCCGAGATACCGAACTGGTCTGGGGTGGGCACGCCAGCGGGCTCGCGGCAGCCGGGGGGCATGAAGCGCGGGTAGATGATCTCGTTTTGCTTCCAGTAGAGGGCGCCGGAGCAGAGGGTGAAGAGGGAGGTGAAGATGTAGAGAGGGTAGCGGGCGTAGGCCAGGAGGGTCGTCATTGCTTTGTTTGTGGTGGGGGAAAGGAAGAGGTGTGGTGGTGTGGCAATGTAGAGGGAGGAGCAGGGAGGTTGTCGGGGGGCTCAGAGGGGGTGGGTGGACATATTTGAGGAGGTGTTGGTTGGGAGGTCGTGCGTGGTGCAGAAGTCTTTGAAACGGCGTCGTAAAAATAAGAGAATGAATAAAAGGATTGGGTAGCGATATCAGCTTCTAGTCTCATGCGCTATGGATATGGGAAAAATGAAGATTGGCATGTACAAGATCTAGATTCAGCGATCGGAAGACGCAGATTGCCGCGCTGATTGATTATTGAGATCTACAGAATATCGTCGCTCGTTCTCCTCGGGGCATTCAATCAAGACTACTAGCAAATCTGATTATGCTACTAAATGCCGTAAGACTTCCTCAACAATGTCTTGTTTGAAGGATCGAGCGATCGACGGTCTTGTGCACAGCTGCGAGAAACATTTCACAAATAGTCCAGAGATGGCATGTGATTTATAGACTCTATATCAGTTCTTCTCGCAATCTCCATGAACTCCTTCATAATCGTCCCTACATCACTCTTCATCCTCGCAGAGCAGCGGCATACGGAGAGAAGCTAGGCTTTGACGCAGTGCCAAACAAACCATCGATGCACTCGCCAAGCACTTGTGGGATGGGAAAGGAATTCGTCATGTCGTATCATTCTTCTTCGATCCGGCCTCAGCTTGAGCCGAGATCTGGTGGTGGAGCATCCACCTCCGCCATCTTCTCCATCGGCCGGCATCTCCGACCACCGATCGCCGATTCTTTTCTTTGAATATTGGTGATCAGGGCGATGCAGGCATCCTCATATATATCCCCTCTCCATCGCCAGGACTCCTCATACCAGGGCTCAGAGGCTGTTGTTGCGCTTGTTGCTCCTTTACTATCTCTTCCGCGTAGAATTCCACCAATAGAGTCCCATAGGCCTCTAGCTCTTCGATTGGGATAGACAAGCGAAAGTCGTTGAGGAGAAGGAATTGGATTTCGAGATGGTTGAGCTCAACGAGTGGGAGGCCACCGACCTAGGTGAATTCACTGTGTCAGCATAAATGTGTCTGTGGCGCACAAAGCATCCATTCTTGATTTGAGGCAATGATTACCTTTGCGTATCTTGAATTAGTGTAGAAAACATCACTGAAGAATTTGCTTGCGCAAGTCACACCAGCCATGACGAGCCGGTGAATGTTGAAGCTGTCAACAACGAATCTGTCGTAATCATGCATGTTGGACGCAGAGCCTGCATTGCCTGGGGCCGTGGATGAATATGGGTCTCTTTGCGGCGACGCGTATCGTGGTGGAGACGGAGATGTTGACATCTCGTCATCTGGCCGCACTGTAGCGCTTGAATCTGTGCTTCCTGTTCTCGCAGCTTGTTGTCGACGCCGTTCAGCCTCCGCAAAGGTTGGTTGAGATTCCTTGTTGATTTCCGATGTCATTCGGTCGAAATAGATCAGCAGGCTAAGGAAGACTTCATATGTGGTAGGGCAGTATTTGTGTATGCGCATGAGATAGCTAGCGATGGTAATGCTCGGTACATTCTTGCCATGAAAAGCGAGAACACTGGATGCTTGAGGCGTAAGGCTGGAGGAACCATCCGGGGGAACATGCCGCTGTAGATGTTCATGCTGCAGGTCATTGTTTGTGGTGATCTTAGTCAACAGCCCCGCAACCATCTCGATGATGTCTGCCACGGGCATCGAACTGATCTCGTATTGCTGCCCGCCTTCTATTCTTCCCCTTAGCGAGTGTCTCGAAGGATGTCGAGATCTTGTCAGAAGGTCTTCGCTTGCAAAACTTTGTATGTGACCAAGATCGCGTACTCTTATCTTACTCGGTGAGTTGGCGAGTGATTGATTGCTCAAGGACAATGTGGAGTAGGTGGGTTGTAGGCGCGGCGATGGCGGTGGGATGTCAGTTTGCTGGCCGTCTCGCAAGGGAGGCTGCGGCGATGATTCTGTTCCTGGGTCATCATTGCGTACGTGTTGAGGATGGGCATCTGATGCTCCTCGAAAACGAATATGGGGTGCTTGTGATCGAGAGGCAGTGTTTGGTGGGGTGGGCAAGGCTTCTGAGGTGCTGGCAGTGGTGGAGGCAGTCGACGCAGAAGGTGTGCGTGTGTGTGTAGGATAGTGGGGTACCCCGATGGTAGGTTGCTGGCGTTGATGCTCAATGGAGATGGATTGTGTTTCGCCAGAGTTCATCATGGGTGTCAAGCGTGCAGTAAGGCCACTGGGATCGACGTGTCGAGGATCAGCATGCGGTCTGGCATTGGAGTGGAGCACGGTCGTAGCCATGGTGAGGATTCAGGCAGATCAAGTATACTGATGAGAGTGAGGGAGTGAGGGTACCTGGGATGCCCTCATGCCTCTTGTAATGTGTAAACGAGCGCTTCTGACGAGACTTGGAGAGATGGTGGGCTGAAGCTGAGCGACTGAGGCTTGGCACAAGGCCGGGTGGACGAAGGAGCGAGGGAGAATAAATGGGAATCAACACTCGACGCTCGCAAGACACAAAGCAGGAACGACTCGCGGGATCAAGAGATAATGGTGTACTAAGAAGCTGTGGATAGACCCATATGGCAATTGTGATATCCGTATCTTGAAGCTGGAGGGCAAATTGGCTGCTAAGACGCCCTATGACGTCAAGTTTGAACCCTCGTAGGGGTCCTTGGAGCCTTCGGATCGCGACTATTCAACCGCCGACGCCTCTCCTTCAATCATCCCTTACCTGGTGTCGAGTCGTGTTCATCACGTCTCAACCAGTCACTCCCTGATAGAGCTCCTGAGGGACCAGCTTGTGTCATTTGGCTGACTTGTGGACAGCCAGAAGGCATCGTTGTTGAGTATTTCATGCAATCACCATGGGATCGAGGGTAAATGCTTCGAAAGAGGGACATCGCATTCATATCCTATCTATCTATCGATCTAACTTGACACCACTTCCATTAGTCTACTCCTTCAATTCCAGATACTGTCCTGCAACGCTCTTCACTTGTTCTTCATAGCTGGCAAATTCCACCCCAAGGGCCTTCTTCGTATACCCATTGTCAAAAATGAGCCTTTTCGTGGGATTACTCCCAGTCAAAGGAAAAGTCCCGTCTTCAACCGCCTTGGGAAATTGCTTCTTGACAATATCAAAGGCGTCCTCCCACTTTGTGTTTGAATTTTCACTAACACCTAGGAACAATTGTCCACCGGCAACTTTCGGATCGAGAGCAAGCACATGCATCCTAGCCACGTCGTTGACAAAGACGCTCGTCGATGGCGTCGGCCCTGCGGCACTACCTAAAATCGGTCCGAGGGCTGCACCGTTAGTGCTAGCCAGGATATCGGCTCTCTTAGTTGCCAACTCGTTCTTTCCGATGACAAAGCCGGGGCCAATGTGATTGACTTCGAAGTGTGGCCTCTGCGTCCGAATATATTGCTCTGTTGCATTAAGAGTGGCGACTTTGCCGGCGCCATAGGCCGCGAAAAGACCGCCATATGGTTTGCTGGCAGGACCGGTACGTGATTGTTCATTGAAGACGCTGCCGGTCTCCATGAACATTTCCGGCCACTCGATGATCGAAACGATGGAAGCTGTGATGACGATCCTTTTGGTTGTAGGGGAGTACTTGCTGGCTGCCTCGAGCATGTTCAGCGTTCCCCGAACGGCAGGTTGGAGGAGCCATTCGTCATACGTCTCCTCTGTTGGCGTTGTCGGCAAATTTGTGGTCGGAGAGGCAAGGTGAATCACGGAGTCAACGCCTTTCACAGCTTCGTAGTAGGCATCTTCTTTCAAGATGTCCGGGACCAACGTGAACTCAAGCTGGCTGAGATATGGCCTAGTTGAGCTGGCGGCTTTGATCTTCTGGATGCCGTTCTCGTTCCGGACGGCAGCTCGGACACGATGGCCTGCTTTCAATGCTTCAATTAATGTGCGATATCCAATGAATCCAGTGGCACCAGTGACGAGCACAAGACTGGTCGGGGCTGTCATGTTGATCTCTACTAGAAGCAAAAGGTACCGTTGAAATGGTGATGAGATGAGATTTTCTACAAAGTTTGTATACGTATGGTTGAGATGACTAGAGCTGATGGAGATATTTCAAGGACCAGTCGTCCTTTCCAGCTCTTTTATATGTTTTAGGAGGGCAGCAGACAATCCAGGGACCTTGGTCGCGCGCCTTGAATTCAGCTTCATAGCTGAGTATGAGTGTTCCTGCATTACCAATTGATCAGTAACCAGTAAAGCCTCGTCATTCTTTTAGACCAACTGCCTAAACAAGCAAAAGTGTGTACACATTATGGGTTCTGTTGTTGCATGAACACATAATTGTATCTCAGTCCAGGCATACTCATCATTCGTTAGTTTGATTGTAGTATTGGCCGCCAATGGCCAATGACCAAAAGGGGTAATTTTGAAGGTCCAATCAAAGTCGAGTTGATGACCAAGCCAGAAAGCCACAATGCTGAGTAACGTGCCTGCGTTTCGCAACCACAAATCTAGGGATCACCGCTGGATTTCTTTGCATAATCAACATGGAAAAGGTGATTCTCGATTCGTGTTTCTAAGACAATGGCAGTAACATTGCTGTCCGTGATTAGGCTACAGGTTGTCAAGCAGCCACATGCAGACGCAGGGTGGACGTAGGGTCTCGCTTTGCAGTTGACAGCCCTGCATGGGTCCAGAAATGCGACATAGAGAGGCCTCCTGTCTTCCGAAGCAGTCTGTCTATTTTCTCCCGGCTTCGCAGAAGCCAACGTCAACAGAGTAGTTCTGGTAAATATACGCCGGATACCACATTTGGCGAGGAACAATTTGCTATCGAGTTCTTAACCTCAATTGAATCATGGCTTTCGTAGAACAGAGAGATTCTAGGGCACCACGCCTTGGGGCGAACACGCAGTCTAACGGGCAGAGTTTGACATTGCAATTTGTTAACGTAGCTTTGACCTCATCACCTGCGCTTACCGCTACTCGTACTCCGGAAGAGGGAAGGAGGATCAGAGCTCATGTAATGAAAGACTACCTCCAACAAAGAGCCAAGTCCTCAAACACTCGCAAATCTCCACCAGCCTCATCGAGCCTCTCTGACCATCTAGGCCGGTTCCGGCTGCCTTCACTGCATGTTCCAAAGCAGTCACGCCATAGGAAGACGGTACATAGCTCAAGGGGGCATGTTATAGCGCCGGCACCTGCAAAGGCGGAGAGGCAGCCAACCAATTCAAATAAGGACGAGGTTTCATGCAAAGCTGGCTTGGCTACTCCTCTAGGGAACAATGCAATACTTGGCATGTCGACCCCTATTGACGTATCGAGGGCCGGGACGTCCACTTTACTAGAATATTACCACACCTCTTATTGGGACAATTCGTTGGCTGTCAATCCCGAAGGCCAATTCATGTCGATTGCTATTACGGATCCGGCGTTGCTCCATGCAACACTTTACCTCGTTGCCCTGCATAAGCTTCAGACGCGCAGGGAGACACAAGCCAGTCCTTACCTCTGGCACCGAGGCGAAGCGATGCGTTTGGTTTCAAATAAACTTTGTGATCCTGAGACTGCCATTTCCGATGCAACTCTAGGGGCTGTGGCGCTTTTGTCAGCCGTTGATAACAGCGTGAGTTGCCCTTTTCCATATCTTTTAGTATCAACCGCCTCGGAATTTGAGGCCCAAAAAGATGTGAATGCTTCTCTCCTCGATCTGCTGAAGAGCATCTGTCAGTTGATAATAGGCCGTCGAAATCCGATGCGATCCCACTCCTCTGCAAATTCGGGTGACAAAATTGCTAACGTCTCACTGTTCATAGATGACTTGGCCTGGCGCTACTCAGACATCCCACCTAGAGGGTATGATCACGCTCGTCAGACTTCGAGGCGGCATCGACTGCATAAACGCAGGCCGACAGATCAAACGCGTTGTCGCCTGGGCTGACACACTCCACGCCACTGCACACAACTCACTCCCACAATTGAACCTTCCTCTATGTACTGCACACGATCAAAGAAAGCGCTTCATGGACTTTGTAGATCAACACAGGCGCCCAACAAGAGTCACAAATAACGCCCTACCTACTCCATACAGAAACATCTTGGACGACTTGCGAGCTCTGGCAATAGCAAAATCTCTTCTCAGGAAGCAGCCACCAGGCTCAAAGACTCAAGAATTGCGGCTGATTTTCAGCGACCTCGTTTTCGCAACCGAGCACAAGATCCTACAATTAGGACACCCGTCATCTCCCCCCAAGCCACACACCCTGACGGAAGACGATAGAAATCTCGAGGCATTCAAAGCCGCAACACTCCTTTTCACCTTCTCTCATCTTCGAGACATAGCAGTCACTGCAACATTCTTCGCCACACTCGCCCGTCGCCTGCGTAATGCACTCGCCGACGCCTTCTCATACCTTCCCACATCAGATTTAGGAAATCCAGCCTCTCCATTAGCTTCCTTCCTTCTCTGGCTCTGTATGAACGGATGGAGAGCCAGTACTGTGGAAGGCCGGGAGAGCGACCGAGAAGTCTTCGTGGAGAAAGCTGCCATTGTCTGCGAAAGAGCTGGTATTTACACCGAAGAGAATCTGAACAAGGGAGTGGATGAGGTGGAGTTCCTACCTGAGGTTGATAGGCAGGATTGGAGCGGGCTCTGGGCGGATATTGAGAGTTGAGCTAGTTAGTGTCACACTTCGCCGTTGACCATTCCATGATACAACCCTAGAACTCTCGCTTGCCCTAGCGAAAGACCGTGGGTTCGGGATTGCCCAAATAATAGCTGACGCACGAGCGATGCGGGCAAGTAGAGGTGGGAATTAGGTCCTTTGGCCTATGCTAATGTAATCTGCGGTTAAAATCGTGTAACATCATGAATGCTCTATTCACACCTTGGGGAAGGTCTGCGAACTAAACAGACGTCAAGCCAATTACTAATCGCAGGCCCTTTCATTGGGATGTACGCATCACCATGAGTGGAGAACGTGGCAGACAGTGCACATCTAGCGCCCAAATAGTCTCGCAGGCCTCAAAATGCGTAACCACAGCGAATCCAAATACACCTATGCCTTGATAAGGCAAAAATTTCGATTCCCCGCCATGCACTATTCCAAAAGTCAATCAGCACGTGATCGGGCATTGCTTACAAGATAGCGAGTGTGTAAGCAGGGCATGCCTTAGCGCTCGTTCACTAATCACCAGGTTACCAGGGTCTGAGAAGTCATAAAAAGCTGCTATAAAAGCACACGAGTAATGCCCAAAGATACGTTCATCAGCAAATTACTTACCTTGAGACTTCAAATGGCATCCATCCTCTTCCTCGGTGCATCCGGCCAAGTCGGTGGGGCCTTCCTCACCGTCTTCCGCAAAGCATACCCAGACACACCAATAACAGCCTACCTCCGCTCGACCACCCTCGACGAGGCCCTCACGTCCCTCGGCAACATCAACATAGTCCACGGCACATTTGAAGAACCCGATCGTGTCGAAGAACTTGCCGCCACCCACTCCATCATCATCAATTGCGCTGGCTCCTTCAACCCGCCCCTAACAGCCGCAATCCTCAAAGGCATGAAAAACACCAAAGCCCTCACCCCTTCCGATCGTCGCCCAATCCTGCTCCACTTCAGCGGCACAGGCAACTTCGTCGACCACAGCCAAACGGGCGCCTACCTCCCAAATTCACCCAAATTTAATGACAGCAACCCCAACCACGTCCGCAAGATCGACGCGAATTACCCCCCAATGGCGCCACGGACGAAATGATCCTCGCTGCCGCGGCGAGAGGCGATTTCAACGCCCTCTTCGTCTGTCCGGGCGGAATATTCGGGCAGAGCGCCGACCACGTCGGTCTCAAGACCGGGGATGCCTCAGCGAGGGCAGCGGGTGTATGGGTGGAATGGAGTCTCAAGAACGTCCAGAACCTTGGATTCTCGCCATACATTGGGCCAGGGACGTCTATCATCAGGCTCGTGCACGTGGATGATGTGGTTAGCTTGGCGATGCTGGTGTATAAGCGTGCGCTAGAGACATGGGAGACGTATAAGCCGGAAGATGTGTATAGCCATTTTTATGTTTGTGTGGATGAGACGGTGGAGTCGAAGGTGGTGGCGGAGGCGTATGCGGAGCTTTTGGTGAGGGAGGGGAAGATTGGGGAGAAGGAGGCCAGGAAGGTGGGGTATGAGGAGGCGGGGACGACGGCGTATTATAGTGCGGGCAATACGATGGTTGAGCCTGTTAGGGCGGCGGAGCTGGGGTGGAAACCGAAGAATAGGAAGAAGTTTTTGGAGACGCTGAAGGAGAGTAAGTACTTCGCGTAGAACGTTGTTCAGATGGAGTATGTGTTATTATAGTGAATGTAATGATCGTAAAGTTTACAATCTTTATGTTATCTCTTGCCAATGTTTAAGATGTGCCCATTGGTCGAGAGAAATGTGACATGAATATGCTCGAACAGGGAGCCAACAAATTTCTGAGCCGCCGTAGCATATGAGGCGAGTGAGGATACATTTCTAACATGCGCTTCCTGATCGAATGAGATTTTGTGACATTACCGTATCTCTATGCGATCGTCGGAGCCATGGCCGTACTGAGTGGTTTGGTTATCCTTATCAATTGAAGACAATCTCAGTACTTCCAAACGAATGATCAGAAAAGCATCAAATGCGAGAAGAGCATTTGTCTTCAATGAATCATCTCTCCTCCTGCCTCAATTTGCATAAGATAGCGGACATGGGGGCAAGATCCCATAGCATAGAAATTATTGCCATCTTTGAGCGTACAAAACCGAGGGCTCAACAGACTTTGCATGGTTCTCTTTGGCACTGTTGGGGTTCTGCCATAGGGTTGTCCCTTCTCCAATGTTGGCTTGATGCAGTTATTCGTAGTTCGAAAGCTGAGACTGTCACAAGCAAATTGGCACGAGGACTCGCTGCCTGCTCGCTATGATATACGCTCTCATTGTTATTATGGGAATGTTTAACGATCAAAGGAGCCGGAGAGTCCATATCAGGCAACAAAACCTGGAATCAGATAATTTCAGAGCATCAAGTTTTGATGCTGGTGAGCCACGCACAAGTACATGGAAGGATGTACGAAGATTTTGCCATTTTGAAGAGTCATGGAATCGCAGGCTGATGATTCATTGATCCCTTGACTATTGAGACATCGCTCGTGTAGCTGTGCAAGCTGCACGCTGAGATATCTCAGTAGGGGAGACCCTCGGACGCAGTCTGAAGGAAGATGGACGGATACGGTAATACGACGATACAGCCAAGGATCACCTAGCGCCCGGATTGAATACGATGCCAAGCCACGTCCAAAAATAGCCACGACGGCGTGTTACAAGTTCAAGAGGTTCTCATACCAATCATTATTTGTGGGCCCAGTTGATGAAGGCATGATAGGGCGAAATAGGCGCTGGAGTTCGAGAAGTTGTACAATTGACGCCCTTTGGCTTGAGCACAAGCTCTGTATTCTTCAAGATGTTCACGCAAAAGATGTATCAAAATTACTGCCCCTATTCATTTGCAAACAAGGGCGAATCCTTTGCGGCTGAGCAATGGGGCGGGATTCTCAGCCCTCAAACCCTCTTCGCCATACTTGAGAGGGCATTTGGTCGTTTGCTTCATGAATCTGTGATCTCGAATGGTATGATAGTACAGTGCGGACTTGAATATGAAATCGGCCGGCTCCATTCCACAACCTCGAAACTCATAAGACAATAGCTCACCCCCCGTTCCCCTCAATCGAGGTTTTTGGAGCTTTGACAGCTGGACTATGGCTAAAACGAAGTTTCACTATCATGACTCTTGGCTGCTTCAGAACCTCGCCATCTTTGGGGCATTCCTCTCACTGGTTGCAATCTTTATATTACTCGGCAAATCGGACAATAAACCAATATTCCACTGGAATGGCCTGTCTATCAACGTCCTCGTGGCCATATTTGCCGCCTTGCTCAAAGCATTACTCGCATTCTCACTGTCTGATTGCCTTGGTCAAGCGAAGTGGATCTGGTTCTCTAAACAACAAAGACCACTCAGAGACCTGTACCTCATTGATGGGGCGAGTCGAGGACCGCTGGGGAGTTTGAAGCTCTTGGGATACCCTGTGGCTCGCTCGTTTATCACGTTTGGTGCAGTCGCAGTCATCATATCCATCGCGATAGACCCATTCGCCCAGTTGACGATTGGCAAGAAGGAAACAGTGGTCCTTAGAGATGACAATGCTACACAGATTGCATTTGCCAAGAGGTACTCCAAAGGGTCATTAAGCACATTCAGTGCCGCGATGAGTACGTCCCCTACCCGTCCACAATGCATACAGAAGGCTTACACCACTACGCAGTTGCTGACCCGAATGGGAATAATTATTCCGCTACTTCTACAGACGCCGATTTTGCGATGAAATCTGCTGTTCTCTACGGAGCATCCCAGTCATTCAAACTTGTGGAACAGCAAGCAAAACGAACCTGTGTTACGGGCAACTGCACATTCCCTGTGTTCTTCTCGTTGGCTGTGTGCAGCCATTGTGTTGATCAGAGAGATCGCCTCGAGCGTGTCACTCCTCCAGATGGCAGTCCATTGTATCAAGAACTCGGAATGGCAAGCAATGGTGCTTCAAGTTTAGGTCCGCTTACTGAGTTTCGCTTGCCGAACGGTCTACGGCTCAACAACCAAAATGATGTGCCCAGTACAACATATATGACTGCATATGGATCAGGCAATCCAGCAGAGAGCATCGCATTCAAAGATAGGGATACGCTGATATGGTCTATGACCTCGATCTTAGTGAACGATTCGGAGGCCAAGTGGCCCAACTCTGCCATAAATGCTCTTGAGTGTGGCCTTTGGTATTGTGTGAATCGGTATTTGTCAGAAGTCGACAATGGAACCCTTTTCGAAAATGGTACATCAGTTCCGTTCAAAAGATCTCCTGATTCCTGGCAAGTCTCGGCAAAGCAACCGCAGGGGGTCCAGCTCGCACATCCACCTTCAGATGACAGCTTGTTATACAATGCTAGCTCCTCAGCCTCCGTTGCTCGCACGGATTTGCAACTGACTTTTGACATTCCTGATGTTGGTCACCCGGATTTAACGGGTTACAATTTGTCCCAAGCCGCGATCTATGGTATCAGTGACTTCATGAATACCACCTTCACAACAAAAGGAGGTCCCAAGTCTATAAACTCATGGGTCGTATCGGAACCAGACCTCACATACAGTCCAACAGCCATGCAAGTGCTGTACTCATCAAAGGACTTGCAGAGTACATTTAAGACCCTTGCATGGAGTATGAGCAACAGCATTCGGCAAAACAGCGATGACAATAACTTTGTATCTGGCATGTCAGGAACCTATGAAACACACGTCAGAGCTCACTGGTACTATTTCATCTTGCCAGCCGTTCTAGTACTGGCAGGCGCTATCTTCCAAGCCATAGTCATGATCTACACCCGAAAGACCAAGACAGAAATCTGGTGCTCAAACGTGCTTCCCGCGGTAGCACTCGGTAGAAAGGTCGGAACGGTCTTCGACGATGCGCCGCTGTTAAGTCAAATGGAAAAAAGGTCGAAGTTGCAACGACTAGAACTTTCGAGATCAGATCATGGTAACGTTCCGATGGAAGATACAGGTCATCATGACGCAGCGCACTACGAAATGATGCCACGAAATAGTCCACCTACAAAACAAGGGAGGGTTTCGGATGTCGTGAGCGCACTTTCAGACGAGGACATGACGCCGCGGGACGGAGCTCAGAGCAATGCCCGGTTGGTCTGAAAACGCTACCCCAGACAGAAGACTCCAAGATTTCTGATCATGGACGGGAGTAAATTCTCTCAGAGTCTGCAAATCTGAAAGGCAACAATGCATTCTCAACAGTACCGTTCAAGAAAGTCCCAAATATTGAAAGCACATCGCAATCCTACGTGATGATGAGCCCATGGTGTGCTTCAGGTCCTTGCATCATCCTCTGGAGCAGTGAGCGGTTCATTCCAAAAACGAGTCAGACCGGCGAGAGCTCTTTATCGAGTGTAACCTGATTTTTAGATAAAACATCGTCAAGGTTTCTACTACTTGAGCGCCCTGCTAGCAGCTGTCAGAGCAGAAGGTGAAATGAAAGTCGAAAGATTATAATTATTGGCCGCTAGCAAATCGATCCGAACTCAACATACCCCCACGCTGAACACCTCGACCATTGACAAGCAAGTAAAGCCAAAAGCAAAAGTTCGAGCGGACGAGGTTGGAGCAAATACAGCCGAAGCAGACACAACCAGAGTACTAGAAGCAAAGAAGTCTTTTGGCTTAAAGCATTGAGGAACGCCAAGTCTTACTCGAACTTGGCAGAAATGTAGATATTCCAAAGAGACCGTTTAATCGAGTCAATCAGCAAAAGTCTTGCCCATTCCCATGCCTTTGATATGATCACACATTGATAATTTCCCCCTCACTTACAACAAGCTCTCCACCCACACATGAATCTTCCCTCCCACAGCAACCAACACGAATTTCCCTAAACTCCACACTCCCCACACTCCCCTCCTGTACCAGCGCATACAGCCCCCCCGGACTCCCAGGCGTGCTCCTCGTCCTCGTCCCCGTTCCCGTCTCTCCAATCAGCGAGATGACCCCAACAAGCTGGCACACAACTCACCAATGACGTTTCCCCTCAACCCGTTTCCCCAGAGACAGCACCGTCCGCATCCTCCCTCCCACCAGGTGTATGCACGCCCCCACTCCCAGAAGTGGCTCGGCTGAGAGCCCTTCAAACTTTTGTGAAGCCATTATTTGAAGTGTTTATATTGTTCGATGTTTGCAACTCCATGGATATCTTCAGAAATTGTTTCACAGTCTTCCTTCCACCAGGCAACGCCTGGGAACTGGAAGAGACCTGTTCGACGGCAGAGTTCGGGCTCTGACATTTTAGTTGCAATCTCCTCGCGTGGCCCAGGACGTGAAGGCTGCTTCTTGGAGATTGCCTGATTGTATTGGAGTAGATTTTTGATCTGAAGCCTGTTGGTCTGAGTCGTTGGTGGAGCTGTGCTTGCTACCGAATATCTTCAAGTCGACACCAGTAAAATCAAGAAATCGAGGTCAACTTCAAAGCCTGTTGCAAGCAACAAGGCCACCACAGCGATACCAGATGAAAGACACTAGGATCTACCCCTGATACAGACCACCAACGAATCTAAAGGTTAGCCCCCTCGCCCCTTCTCCCTTCGATATCAGTGAGGCATCTAATAACCTCATACCCCTCCGTCTCATACACCTGCAACGCCTCCTCATGCTCTCTACTCTCCACTTTATAGGCTGACTCTCTTTCCACATCTTTCTCATCACCATCCATAGAGCTCGATACTTGCCACTCCATGACTTAACTTTGCCTCTTGAGATACTGGCTGGCACCAAAGTTGTGCCGTACTCAGTCAGAGAAAGCAGACGAGCGAGGACGGCGGGATTTGCTAGTATACCGTAGAAGAAGTGAAACACCGGATATTCATCATTTATCGGGGAGATAACCGACAATTGCGCTGCGCTCACGACACGGTTCTGGGGAAGACTTGCGTCCAGGCCAAGAGTTGGATAGATAGAGGTAGAGGAAAGGTCCTTGTCAGCCTATGCGATGGAAGGTTGGATTGAAGCCTGAGTGCTGCCGTAGAAGCTAGTTCTCCAGCCTATGCTCTACCCTGGCAAGCATTTCGACGAAAAAAATGTCCCTCGCATCTGACTCGGAGCTTCCATGGATGAACGTAGGAGCCTGCTGCAGCCCTGCAGCGTTTTGAATTGCTTCGGGCGAGTTCAAGATGCCAGTCAGGAGGAGCAGACAAGAGGCATTCTCAGTACTGCTGGGTGCCTTAGATTCAGCCCGCTTCACGCTTGCCCTGAGCTAATGCTCACAAGCGTCTCGCGTGAAGCCTTGAGCTTCCTTGTCTGCCTTGATGCTTCCCAATGTTCATCTGAGACTCTGGTGCGGGCATAGTAGTTGTGCTGTGCCTTTGTCTGCTTCAAAGCCTCGGAGCAGGTGTATAAGAATAGAGTTTGCCATCGGCTGACTTTCTTATTAGGTGGTTCAAGGTCGTTGGAGTCAGCTGCGTCCGTCGCCATCGTCTCAAAGTCTGCCAGGATATCCATGTTAATGACGCCACAGGGGGCGCAGTTAGAGCAACAATTTGGAGAGCAGTTGTGAGTCAAGAGGGGTGTTGATAAACGAGGATTTCGATTGATCGACCAGTAGAAAAAAAATCCGTCAATGATATTCAGTCTGTGCGTTTGCTCTGAGGCCTCCCATCGATACTTTTCTTGACATTATCAGAAAAGTCAAAGTAACGCCACCACTACGAAGATCAGACTTCATATAGGATATACGTTGAGTAAAGCATGGAAGCTGAATCTCCCTTATCTAATGTTCTGTTCAAGCGTCAGAGGCTAATTCAATAGAGAGAGCCACAGATTCCCAGGTCGAGGAAACCCAAAAGAAGGCTTCATCAGGCAATTGGAAGGGTAGAATGGTTGAAGAAGGGCTTCTAGGCAATGATATGAGGAGACTCTAAACCCTGGTCATGAAATAATCAGCCATACAGTGAAGGCAAAGGTTTGGGTGACGGATAATAGGTCTCAGGCCAAGGAAAATTCAAATGTGTTCCAAAGTCTTCAACTCGCTGAGGGTTTGTTATAAGGCGACACCATGATATGTTCAACAACAGGGGTCAGTTCAAGATTTGACTGCACAGCTCGATGTGAAGTGAACTCAAAAAATATGGTCAAGCTTGAACGCTGAGAGCACGTCAACCTGTTGAAGCGCGAGTGCTAGCAGCACCGTAGCTGCAAAGCTCGTTGTTTTTGTGCGCTTGGTGGTTTGGAGATCGAAAGCACGTCGGCCTGTAAAGCACAACGGCCAGTAAGCACGTATGTTCCTCACGGCTTTTGGTTGAAGAATTGATAGCACATCGGCCTGTTAGAGCGCGACGGCCAATGAGCAAGCTTTCCTTCACGGCTTATGGTATATGAGAAGGACGAGGGCCTTGAACGGCACGACGACCATAAACACGCTTTGGTTGACAGCTTGTGTTTTATCATAAAGACGAGGGCCTTGAACGGCACGACGACCATAAGCACGCTTGAATATCACGGCTTATGGTTTATGATAAGGACGACGGCCTTGAACGGCACGGCGACCAGAAGCGCGCTTTGGTTCACAAAGCTCGATTTGTTTTATGCGCTTCGTGATTTGTAGATGGAAAGCACATCGGCCTATTAAAACACGATGGCCAGTAAGGGCGCGTTGTCATCACGGCTTATGATTTATGATAAGGACGACAGCCTTGAACGGCACGACGACCAGCAACCACGCTTGAATATCACGGCTTGCGACACTGCATGAAGCAGGTCTGATATCGTTATTATTGATATCGGGTTGATTGAGTTTGGTTTGAGGCCCTTCAAGGGCTGAATCAGACTTATTAAGGTCGATTCGATGAAAAAACTTGGGAATTGACCCGAGTTGGTCTAGTGCACTTGGCACGATGATAAGTTTGGGTCAGGGGGCTCCCCAGCCACCGAATTTTGCGTGCAATTTCCTAGTTGAGGGGAATGCGAGGTGGGCAATAGATTTGTGTATGATTTGGTGATTCCTATGGACAGCATCAGCGTTAGACTCTTGGACGGAGCGTCATTCCAGCGGTGCCAACACCATTGAAACATGTAAGCATTGCATTAGGGCACTGTAACTTGCTCAGGCGTTGGGTTCAGGCAGATGTGGTGCTAAAGCTTTGCGGATCGTTAATGCTTCGTGTGCATAGGCAGCTGTATGCAGGACATCGACGTACGCTCATCTCGTTGTGTATGAGTCTTGCTAGATGAACAAAGGTTGTGTGAATGTCTGCAACATAAGTAGGTTTTGGAGAATTCTGCATGAAGATGAAAAGGTGTTCTCGTAGAGTGGAGCGAGTGAGATGAGAAAGAAAAGAAAAGAGGGAGGCGGGGAGGGGATTATATATCTATGCTGGTTGTAGACTAAACCTCATTCAGTTCTGTATTCCCCGCAGATCGTTTGGGCGCTCCACTAGGGCATGTGCAGTGGCAGTAGCACAAATATCCGTTCGAGGGATTGAATTTTGAAAAAAGCAAACTCTTCAGCGATGTAGTCAATGCATGCATTTGTTGCACGCTCTAATTTAAACTTCTCTAAATCAGGAGGCTGAAGTGGAATCTCTATTCCAAATCTCTGTTACCCCTTCCACAAGGCTATCAATCAGCCTTGGATCGGTTACCATTAACCTCGAACATCAAGCCTTCCGTGTCCTTGACCATTCTCCTCCCCACCTCAATCCCCACCCAAATCCAAACACAATTCAAAATCCTCCAGCGCATCCTCCCTAATCCCTCGTTCCACCACTTCCTCCACACTCTCCCTCCTTCTCTCCTCCTCCTCCATCTCCACTCTCTTCTCCTCTGCCTGCTCCGGGAACAGTTTTTCCTTGAAACATTCCATCCACATCTGGCTCCCCTGCGGCGGCTCGCCGTACCGATTCCAGTATTGCGATGCTGAAAGCGCTGTATCGCGTTCTTCAAAGGGCACGAAGCCTGAAGATTTTTGGTCTTGAGTCTTGGGAAGACCATTTTGTTTATTTTGAGTGGGCCGGAGAGTTGGCGTTGGGGCGGAGGCGGATGTCGGACGGGCGGCGTGAGGGAGGGAGGAGGAGACGACACGGCCTTTGGTGTGGCCGATTGTGGATTTTGAGTTCATGACTGCGGCGGCGTGGCGGGTGGTGTTGATTGCAGGTGGGTTGAGACTTGGTGGAGGTTTCTTTGCGTTGACTGAGAGGCCAAATCGGGGCTTTGGTGCCGCAATAGATTTCTTGATCGGGTCTCTGACCGGCTTGGCTGATATCTTGGGTTGGGACAGGGCGGGAGCTGCAGCTTTTGATTTCAGTGTGCTTGGTGATGAGGGTTTAAGTGGTCGTTGCACTTGTGCGGGCTTCTTTGGCGCAGCTTCTGCGTCAATTATGGCCATCGTCTTCTCATATTCTTCTTGCGCCTCTTTGTGGATTGCAATGGTATCCTTGCAGAGCTCGGTAGGGCACTCAGGAGAGTGCATACATGGAAGCGTAAGCATGTCCATGTTGCGCTGCTCGCGTGCTAGCATCCTGCGCTCGTCGATTTCCCATTTCTCCTTCTCACGCTTTTCGATACGATCGAGGTGGCTGAGGCCATCGGGACCTTTGCGAGTAGCGAAGTAGCTCAGAGCCCCTTCGAGAAGATTGCCTTTCTTGAACATGGAAAGGTCTCGCTCAAAGTGGTCATCTGGGAGGTCTGGGAGGTCTGTCTCGTCTCAGCTGAATTCACCAATGTACTCTTGACTTTCTCGTACCTTTCACCCGCGGTGGCATGTACTCGATCTCCGGCACTTCGTCCTCTTCATTGTCTCCCAAAATGTCCACTTTCTCTACCTTTGTTGTTTCGGCAGGTACAGGCTTAGGCTTGGCCTTCTTCGCTGAGACGCTCGCTTTCTTGGTCTTGCCTAAGTCTCCTTTGATCGTAGGCACCGGCGTCTGGAATGCCTTTGCCTTCGCATTCGTAGTCTTTGCACCTAGCGGTGCGCGATTGATTGGGCCTGGGTCTCTTTAGTCATTGCCCCTTTCATTCTCATACTCTTGGTTCCTCTACCTGGTGTAGCGAATGCATTCTTACTCTCTCCTCCTTTAGTCTTCAGTCCAGTCTTGCCGCCTGCTCCACCATTTTCATCGTTCAAAGGAAGCTTGAAGGGAGTCTTTGGGACTTTTTTGCTCGGAGTCTTGGGTGCAAGCTGTCTGGTCCCTTGGTTCAGGGGCTTGGACGCCGCAGCGGCCTGATGGCCATGAACGAGATTCTCTTGATCATGCGCTGCAAACATGATACAATCTGAATGCTCAATTGCGTAAAGTCATGTGGTTTATCGGATCTGCGTAAACATTTGATGTGCATATGTTTATTTATGGAGTTGCTTGGGAGACGTTTATTTGCGGGACATCATTTTGCCGTGCCGAGACACTCCTTTGTTGCATGTCCAGTCAGCAACTGTCACTGCCATATTCAGGTACCACTACACCGTAGATACCCGGTTCAAAGTTATTGCGAGATCATTGAGCACGTATTGATTTGTTCTGGCAAACCTAATCGCGACCGCAAAGCAAGATGTCGCAGCTTGAAGGCATCAAGAATGTGAGTCCCGCCAAACCCCTCCAAAAACCGTCTGCATCTCATCAGGCGTCCACTATACCATATATTCGAGGGCTGACTACGATTGCATAGAAACTTAGCTCCCTTCGCCTCGAGGCCGACACAGCCCAAGCACAAACTGAAGAGCTCAAAGGCAAAGTCAAGACCCTCGAGCAAGAGAACCTCGCCAAGGAGAACGAGATCAAATCCTTACAGCACCGCAACCAACTGCTCGAAACGAATGTTGAAAAGTTAGAGGAGGATGTTAAGAAGTCCAAGCATGAGATAGGTGAAATCGGACAGCAGGGCACACACAACGAGGCGCTGCAGCGAAGACTGCAGATATTGGAGGAGGAGGCGGAGGAGAGTGATAGGAATACAAGGGAGGTTAATGAGAAGTATGTTGTCCCTTTCGGATGTGGGGTTGGTGTGTAATCACGAGAGATGTGGGGCTAATAAGGTGGTACAGGCTACGTCAAACGGACGTCAAGGCTGGGCACTTCGAGCGCAAGGTGCAAGCTCTTGAGGCTTCGCGTGATCAATGGGAGGAGAAGTACGAGGAGATGGCGAAGAAATACAACCACGTGAAGAAGGAGCTGGAGGACTTCCAGGTGGAAATTGGCAACATCTGAGCGATGGATGGAGAGTGAGAGATTGCTAGGCGACCTGAGATAGTTGCCTGAGGCTGTGCCTGGTGCGACTGGGCTTGCTTGACAGTTCCTAGAGCGAACTCATTACAGTATTGCATTTAATCAAGCTTTCACAAATCATCTCTTCGTGTCAACGGCAAGTTTTTATAAGTCATCCTTCATGCATGCTTGCAAAGCCTACCCCCGTCCCTCCCTCCGTGCCTTGGCTGCGCCGTTGCGCAGCTTCTGTTTCTGCTTGCCCAACTTCCTCTCTGCCTTACTCTCATATCTGAATTTCTTCCGCTTCTTCGTCTTTACTGCTGCACCTCCTTTCCTCTTCCCCGCGTGCATTGTGTCCCCGCTTTTTGCACTCACGTCGTTCTTGCTCGCCCTCATTGCAGCGTCTTTGTCTTCCTCTTCATCCTCTCGCACCTGATGGAAGCCATCCCTGTCAATGCCGACCTCCTCCACCGTAACAGTGGTAAATCTATCCTCATCCACATATTCGTCTTCCCTATCCCGGTTCATCTCTTCCTGTCCAGCGTCACCAGCCACGTCTCCAATCTCAATGTCATCATCCTCACTCAATCCGCTACCCTTCTTGTCCTCATTCCGATCTTCATTCTCCAACCCTTCAATCCCCCGCAACTCCCCTTCCATGGCTTTTAATCGATCTGCAAGCTCAGCTTTCCGCTGATCTCTCATTGCTTTTCTCGCCTGGATCTTTTCTTCCCTGGCCTTCTTCGCTGCGACTTCTTGGCCATGTTTCATGCGCGCCTGTTTTCTTTTGTGGAAACCGGTCAGGTATTCTTGGCGAGCGGAGGGGTCGAAATTGATGGATTCGACTGGGGCCGAGAGTTTGCGGCGCTTTGAGCTGTTGAGGAAGGGAGCGGGCAAGTGATGGCGCTGTCTAGGCGTAGCGAACATCTTCGCTACTTGACGGTAATAATGGGCAAAGATTAAGCAAGGATATGGCAGTGGAGCAATCCATAAATAATTGACGGAGACGGAAAGTTTCCGCAGGCTTGGAGAAATTCCATCATTGGCTTGATTGGGCCAATGTAGGAAAGATCATGGTGTTGTCTGTTGGCGCGCAGCACTCCTCTACAGTATTGAGGATGTAGGAAGTGACATTGCGACGATGCAAAGGTGTTCCCATTTGGATGAAATCATGCGACGCATTGCGGATGCTAAACGTTCAGGTTGCATTGCGCCAATAGCGAGGCCAGGATAGCAGCCTGCAGGGCTTAGAAATCCAAGGCCGGTTAGGGGGTCAAAGTGCCTAAACTTCCATCCCGGAGAGGGGGCCCTCCTATTGGCCCCCTGTGCGCCTTATTCGCGCCCTAAAAGACCCACCATTAGGGAGCGCAACAGCCTAGAAGCTACTGAGTACTGGAAGCGGGGCATCAGGGCTCCGTGCATAAGACCCTAGTAGGGTTAGGGTTAGCCTCAACTTTCTGCACATTTTCCTGGCCCTTCCCTACCCTTCAATTTCCCTTCCCCCGCTCCAACATCGTCCTTTGCAGCCTTTCCAGCCTCACTGGCATCAGCATCAAGGCAGCGAGGATGCATGGTGTGCCGTTAGATAACATGTCTGGCATTGAGCTCCAGCAAAGGTCTGATCAGCCCTTCCCCGCCTCATCCCGCGAAGCACAGACGGTGGTCGAGCAAGATCGCCTTGTCGAGTTCTTCAATTACCAGAAATGCGAGGCGTGTCAGCTACGACAACGTGACTGTATCATCAAAGCTGGGGCGGGCAGATGTCTCTTATGTTCAGATGCAGAGCGTGAGTGCTTCTTTGAGCGTCATATCTATGTACCGCTGCGTGGACCGCCCAACTGGTTCTCGCGCTCGGTCTTGTTGGCAGGCAATACATCCACCAAACCGCAGCATATGGACTCGATCGTTGGAAATATGCTGTACATACCTCCTCCACTCTGATCCACTGATTTCCAGTTGCTAATGACTGCACAGAGCGAAGGCGCACTTTCCCGGAAACTCGGCCGTCCCTGGCGAGGGATTCGACTATCGCCAAGGCCCCAACATCACCAAGCCAAGTCTGACCAGACATTACGAAGTCCGCGATAGACTTCGTCGCTCCATCCGACGGGCATGGCTCGTTTACCTCGCCGTCTCCACGTTCCGCGTACGAGGCGCCATGTACGCCCAGAGGACCAACGGCCCCATGTTCCCAATTCAGATCTTCAACCCAGCGGTGCCCAAGATTAAGGACCATCGTCGCTCCTACCCGGAGACTGACAAGCGTAAGTTCGCCGAGATCTCGAAAGCTGGTCCCTGCGACGATTGTCGCCGTAAGAAGAAGGCCGTACGTACTCCCCCTTCCCTTTCCACTTTCTCACCTCCCCCCATCCCACCCCATCCCACCCGACTGAGCTTTCCCCATACAGTGCGACCACATCCCCTCCAATCCAGAAGACCATCTCATCTCCCCCAATTCCGGCAAACTCAAACGTCTTCTGCCACCCATCCCGCGCACACCGGCTCACACAACCACAACCAATACCAATGCCTCCGGCCCGGACACCCAAATTCCCATCGTCAAGCTCTCCCACTCTCGCAGGCCCCCGGAAAAGGTAATGTGCAAGCACTGCAACACGCGCCCCGAGGGTTTCCGCGGCGAGCACGAACTCCGCCGGCATATGCAGCGTGACCACGCGCCTCGCCGCAAAATGTGGATTTGCATCGACCCCACCGCATCTGGAGATTTGTTGAAGGATTGCGAGTCTTGTTTGAGCGAGAAGCAGTATAATGCGTATTACAACGCGGCTGCACATTTGCGGCGGAGGCATTTCAATCAGGGCAGCAATGCGGGGAGGGGAAGGCGCGGGAGGAAGGGGGATGACGGCGCGGGTGGGAAGGCGAAGAGTGGGAGGGTCGGAGTGAACGATCCGCCGATGGATGTGTTGAGGAGTTATTTGAGGGAGATTGAGGTCGATCAAGAGGGTGTACCTTTTGAGAGTGCCGGGGATGGGGAGGGTGAGGGTGAAGGTGAAGGTGAAGGTGAGGGCGAGGGCGAGGGCGAGGGCGAGGGAGAAGGTGAAGCGGAGGCGAAGGAGGAGGCAAAGGAGGAGTGAGTGGGGCTTCGTGTAGAGACTGCTGGAATGGAGGAGCGAAGGATGAAGGATAAGGGTTCATTCACTGGCTAAACAGGCATACTTACGATCGCTTTTGAGCTTCGCGTTCTCTTTGATGAAAAGCTGAGTAGGTGGAGGATGAAGAGTACGAAACCGGCTTTACTGACTATGCTATGTCGACGAATATTACTATCAACAATGTTAACGATAGAACAGGCGGTAAGACTGAAGAAATTGAGAGTCAAAATTTGTCCTTTATTTTGCAACGATTTTCTGCAATGAGCCTATTTGTTTCCTAGCACTAGGCTCAAAAAGGACCTTTGAACATCAGACCGTCCGCAACCCAGAGAAATTTCTCATTTTTCATGCAACTTCCCATTCCCAAGACGGTTGACAAACTTCAAAAGGGAGGAATTGCATTAAAAAGGAGATTGTCCGCTTGAAACAGTGCAAAGTAAGGCTGGGGAACGCTACAGTGAGGTTACGAAATGCCGCCTCGTGGTGGAGTGAGAGCAACCATTGGTGCGCGATCAAATCATGAGCATGATATAGGTATAACGACTGGTATCTCTCAGCCACTTCGAACTAATTGAAACTAGTGGACTGTGCCCTGCAACACTTAGAGCGGGTCACCCTACTCTACCCTCATCGTTATGATCCGACTTACCATCTTGAGGTCTTTGAAGATGTCAAAGAACTTTTGTTTCTTACCCTAACTACGAACAAGAAGGATGTAGTCAAGAAGGACAGCAGGGCTGTTGGCATGTCAAACCGGTCATTGCCCATGCTATTTGATGAGGCTAAAGCCACAGTCGGTCGGACCAAATTTGTCTCCCACTCGCCTGGCGTATGGGAAATCGAGGTGAAGAGCACGACAAGCCCTATCATATTGCTTGCGGCAACTACAACAACAGCACCACCACCTCCAGCAGGTGAAAGCGAAAATACGGATGGTCAAGACCAGCCTCTTCCAGCGGATTCCGTAGGTAAAAATGAAGACCTAGATACCGTGCAGCCCGGAGCTAAGACTACAGACGACGATACTCCTGCGGAGGAGATGAAGGCTATGCAGAATTTTCTTGAGAAGCAGTTCAAAGCTATCCAGATATACAAACGTGACCTTGTGAAGCTCGAAACAGATCAGATGACAAGATTGGCGCTCGTGAAAGAATACAAACAAAAAATTGCGAGCACTTCGGCCGACTTTCAAAAGATAGAGCTCACGATCCTCTTTGAAAAGCGACACAAAATCAGAGGTTGGGACAAGGCATACTTCAAGAAGGTCAAAGAATACGAGGATAAGAAGACTAGTCAAATAGCAGGAGAAGGAGAAGAGACTAGTGCAGCTGGCTAGGGGAAGGCACTCTTTCGGTGGCATTAATCAATAGCGAAGGAGGAAGCAATACAAAGGAAATGCTGATCCAAGGGCAGGACATATTCAGGACCTGCATTTTCTACCAAGAATAAATTAAATCCGTCTCCATCGACGACGACAAACGATTAGCCAATATATCTACCTTTCATCACCGTCAGGGCCAAAATCCGCTTACATTGGCATTCTTGCAAGATATAAAAACATTAGGAACTAGACATACCATACAACTCAGAACGTGATCCGCATTCAAGCTCTCCAGAACAAGAGTGGAACCCTGTCCCCACTTTGATTCGCTATCGCAACGCCCACTATTCATCAACCGCACGTCTCCGATCGTACCTAAATTTCTTCCATATGAAATAGCTGTAGGCAGCGAATCAGCGGAATGAGCAAGATATCACTTGAGCTTCTCGAAAGTCCTAGGAACCTAAAGCTAGAGCCATCAATAGAAATCCATATCCAGAGCGTGTCCTTTGCGGAGCTGCCATGAATTATTGAGTGACATGTTGATGTAGAGTAGAATTGCTGATGTAGCTCCAGAATGGTTGAATTAATTTGGCATGATCCAGGACATCGACTCCACCGAAACTGTTTCGAACGCATGCTGTCGAGGTCGGCGGATCCAGGGGTTATCTGAACTCCCTTGGGTAAAAATTCTTGAGTGCGAAATCGGAGAAGCTCAAAATACGGCCAGGAAGGAAAGAATCGCAAGACTAAGCTTTTCAAGGCGGATTGACCAAGTCGTTTCGCCTTTGTAGCCAACGCTTGTGTTTGGTGTAGCCTGTGGCGTTGGCGGCGAACTCGATGTGCTAGTAGTCGATGGGCTCGGAGTCAACGAGACCACAACCGTAGGACTCGCCATTGCTGCCGATAATGACGACCGCGTAGCTACCACGGTAGAAGTCCCGCGAAGAGATGCACTGCCTCCAGTATCATCCGCACCTTCGTCCACACCCGAGGTAGCCTCAGCATTCCCACACGCCTTCGTAGTATCCGCCTCGGAGCAAGTCAAAACCTTCGTATCCATAAGTTCTACACCCTTCTTCTCACAGAACGTCTCAATATTGTGTTCCCCACTTGATCCACCGCCCGTATCATTAATCAGACAAGCGCCCAGACAGCACATTCCCTTATTCGTAGGATTCAGCCCACAAAATGCGGTCGCGAAGTCCTTTGCGTTGCGATTTTGGAGCGCATTGCGTAGCTTCGTGACGGCTGGACAACAGCCGCAACTTGGATTGGGCAGACCGTCCGAGCCCGAGATGGCATATTGCAAGATTTGTCGCCCGGAGATGCTGTCGTCCTTGTCAGTGACTGGGAAGTTGTGGTCGGCGCAGAGGATTAGGGCGGAGAATGAGTTTTGGTGGAGGGTGCAGCGGGAGAATTGGACTAGGTCTGATGCTTGTTTGTCGTCGGATCTACTGGCAGAGCATCGGGTTGTGGCTATGCTGTTACAATCAAAGCTCATCACAAGATTTGGGAGGATGGATATGTAAACTAGGATGGCGGATATTGCTGAGATTCTGGCTTTCGGCATGGTGGTGATAGCACGGACTCTTCAAGGCAGTGGTTAAGCGGTTGTCGCTTGTAGTATGGTAACGCGACTTTTCAGTTGAAAAGATGATGATGCTAACCTTGCTTTGGTTGAACCGGATTGGTATGTAGATTTAGAGTCTAGTAGCAGCGCAATGCCGATCCAAACAGAGGGTCATGTTAAGATGCAAGATATGTGAAGACTCAAGGTGATCGGGCTTCTTGAATTGATGACAGCTGCGGCGTGAATCAATGGCTGAACACTTTGCTCAGGAAAAGGCTATCAAGGAAGATTTATGCTGAAGGAGACACGGGGGAAGTCACACATATTTACCTTGAAGATCGACAAATCCTTCAAGACGGCACTGTTGTCAGCACTACCACATCGTGCATAAACCCTGTTTCAACAGATCCTTAGGGCTGTGACGCTCCCGTCAATACGCTTGTTGGTGGAGATGTCTATAGCGTGATAGGCTTTGATCCAGTTCCTTAATGTCGCTAAAAAAGTCAATCTGCAGCTTAGTCTGAGCCTTATGATAGGGTTTCGATCCTGCAATTTGAGGCATGGTCATATTGTCCCACAGAAAATGACCGTCAAAATTCGAAAAGCTTTTTTGCAAGGCTGGAAGACGTTGATACTGACGTGTCAAAAGCCTTGGCTTCAAGGTTGTGAGGGCGAGCATTGCAATGACTCAACGACGACTGGCTAGAATGTGACTCAATGCCGAATCCCAGTCGAAAATTTTGAATCCAGAAATACCACCAAAAAAGTTTACCATGGTCCAAACCATTGAGTTGGCGCGGGCTCTGTAGCAGGCTTTCCATGTTGGTACAACTGATGTCCATTGCATTTGTTCTCCAAAACAACAGTATAAGTCTCGATTTCGCCATCACAATTCCTCGCACTCCTCTCCACTCTTATGCACCTATCTTTCAGGCATGCATCGCACCATTGGCATTGTGTGCAGAAAACCTCCTTGACGTCGATGCAAGCCACACAGCACACAAGGTCCTGCTCCTCGCCCGGACCATGTGACTTGATCAATGTCTGACCAGGAATGAAGCGTCTACCTTCCACACCGCAGGGGATACAGCAGCGGCTCATCGGGTCTTCAGCTGCATTTTTGAGTGTACCCTCGGTGAAATTGGGTCTGGGCCTAATTGAGTGGCATAGATAGCAGGCGTACTCGTCGCAGCCTGTCTTCTCGTTGTATCCTGTGTCGTGCTGGTGGACGTATTGTTTTTTCAATTCGAAAAAGGGCGGATGGCGATAGAGCCGTCTGTTGGTCTGTCTGAACTTGATTGCTGCAAGACCGTCGAATTTATCGAAGATCAAGTCTTGGATCTCTACCGGTAGTCTGAAGAAATCAAAGATGTCCTTTGTTGACGACGCTTCTGGCTTTGTATCTGCTGGCGTAGAGAACATGTTCCAAGGCCAGATGATCCAGAGAAGCCGTAACTTGAAGTGCGATAGAAATAAAAATTCAAATAAGCTCGAGAAGTAAGACTTGGGACGCCGCTCAGCTCTCATGCACGAACACGTCATCTCCTGCATAGCCGACATGCCAGGCATACTATTTCCTTCAAACAGACTCGTGTTAGTCATACATTGACAGAACTCGCAGGAATGTGAGTTGAGAATGATAACTCATTAGGGCTTGAGTGTACAAATTGAACCTCCAAAGAACAAGAACAGGAAAGCTTTTGCTCAGTCCTGAAGCCTGTCTTGGGGAAGCCTAACGAAAGGATGTAGATGACAAAAATGATATTGACTTGCGTGCCACATTACCCATCTCGTCTCCATGCGGAGCCACTATTAATTCCATCACCCTGCAGATGAATCTGAACACCGAATGATTGTTTTTCCAGCAAAGGAAGTGTCAAAATTGAGGATGGAAATGAAGTAAAGATGTACTGCTATGCCACGGGAGAGTCGAGAAAGTACGAAGACGGTCTACTTTTGCGTGAATGTCAACGCTATTTTGACAGTCCGATGCCTCATCTGCATTACATCTGCCTGAGTTGCCTCAATTTTCTAGCCTCAACACCCACGTTACCTGACATTAGCTACTCAACCAGACCATTACGGAACATGACAGGAAACTTCATGAACCTTTAGTCCCCAGTCGATCCCCTCACAAAGGTTCCCGCAGTCCAATTGTATGCGCGCGAAAGGCGTCTCGCAATCCTTCTTGCAATATTAACGCCAATCTTACTTGCAGGATGCGGCTCATGGAAGATGATGCTCCTCAAGAGAAGCGGATCAGTCGGCGAAAAGACCCAAGCCGAGCCGTCCAGCTTCTTTATGGCAAATCCTGCTGAAGCCATAGCGGACAAAAAATTAGTCCAGGGAATCTCACCAGCCTTCTCGTCCTCGGCTATGCCGCCGAAGAGGGATTTGAAGGTCTTGTAAGCTCTCTTTGGAACAGTGATAGGCGGGTGAGGAGGAGGGCGTGTCTCATCATCGTCCGTGGTTTGCGCATCAGTGTCAGTGGAGCTGGCTATGTTCTCTGATGGTTGACCACGTGTCTTCTTTTTCGGCTGACTCGCCGATGGCTCGGACGAAATGACGGTCGTTTCAGTCCGTCTCTGTAGTTCTGCAAGTGCATCTAGAGGTTCATTGTCACTTGTGGATGTGTTGAGTTGGTCAGTATTCGATTTGTTAGCCAAGGGTACCTCCCAGTCAGGCGTTCGGTGAATGTTTCGAGGCACTAGAACGTCCTTGAGAATTTCATGCAATGTCGCCTTCGTGTTGCGTCGGACACAGACATCGAAAAAACTCCAAAATGCATCTAATTCACTTTCTGCGCGCTGCGTCGCACGAGTACTCATCTGCGTTGTAGATCTGGAAGGACATGAAAATCGGTCCAATGGTGTGCCCTTGTCTGAGAGTGTGACAGGCGTAGCCAGTATCTCTGCAAGCTTTGACTCCGGGCGGTTGCGCGTTTTGAAGCGCTTCTCCTTCTCTTCCTCGCTTGCTGTAAGAGTCATCCGTGGGCCTGCCACACGCAGGCTGACTTGACGCTGCAGTTCACCAAGCAGCGACAAGTCAGAAAGCATTTGAGCCAGGTATGGCGTCAAGCGTTCATTTTCCTGCCGCTTGTTTGTAGAAACTCGCTCTATCTCGTCGCATGCAGTATGCAACCCGGTAAGCATAACCTGAGTATTATCACTAAGCATTAAAAGAAGAAACATAAAGTAATCGGTTTTTCCTTTCGTTGCAATTTTTCTGCCATCTCGAATGAAGCTTTGTCGAAAGTGGGTTGAGCTAGGGAGAGCCGTTCTCCAAGTGTCTCGAACTGCTGAAATGGTCTTTTCAATTCGATAGGAAAGGTGCTCAATCGCTCCCTCGTAATCCTCCGGGGCTTTCGAGCCAGGCCGCAGCACTTCACGGTATCGGCTTTGTAATGATATAACATGTTCGAGCTCTTTGGCAACGTTGTTCCACATCAAGAAGCGGGCATATGCCTCCCAAATGACATTTTTGAGAACTGAGTCCCAGAAATCAGATTCTCCCAGTATCGAAGACGGCCTGCCAGATTTGTCTTTAATCCTTTCCAAGCGATGCTCTGATCTTTGCAGTGCTGCTTCATGAAAGTATAAGGGGTCTTCCCGAAGCGACCAGATGTGATCCTCCGCTTCTGCTAACCTTGCAACGACGAATATATCGATGCGAGAAAGGTCAAATGGCATGGATCGTTTGTATGGAGCCTCAATAATGTCCTGTTGAAGTGATGGCCTATCGTATGTAACGGGTAGCATTTCGTCCGCCTTCAGTGGCAGCTGCTTCGCAATCGAAAGATCGGCATGTGGGATGTCGTGTAGAATCAAGTGGACGCACTCCAAGAGGAATCTCATCTTTCGTTCTTGAACTTGCAGAACCAGTAAACCCTCACCAGGTAGATTGCCAACGCCAGATGACATATCATCAAAAGCGTCATCATCGTCATCCCAAGCTACAAGGCGTCCGTAGGTCTGGCTGGTATTCTGACCTATAAGATACATTGTCCAACAATTCAGAAAGACTGGAATAATTGCCTGACTAGACATACCCAACTGTACAGAGTTGGCATCCGCATTTACGAACTCGCTTGGCGCGAAACGGGTTCGACTATGAAGGAACAGGAGTAAATTAGTTGGCTGAGACAGATCCTGTAGATTTAGAGACGGTAATAGAAATGCATCGTAAAAGCGCGTCCGTCCATTCTTTACTATTGATGCATTTTCCTCCCTCACGGCCTGGAAATCTGGGCGATGATGGGCAGCAATGCCTGGAAAAGCAGCAGATAAAGTCTTCCGTCGTTGCTCGCCGGTCTTTTTGAGCCATCTCTTCCGGATAGTGGCCTCATGGCGGTCAAGAAGATCGACTAGATTTCGGCGAGTTGTGTAGATTTTGCGGGATAGCTCTTTTGCCTCCTGCTTGACTTCCGAGGCAGACCCGTATTTTGGTTTTGGTAAATTAGGATTCCCCGCACGCATATCCTCATAAAACTGGTCCATTTCGGCCATGGTCACGCCTGAGAAGGTTGAAACACCGTGATGGAAGTAAAGGACGCGTCAGATGCGTATGTGAAAGACACAGGATGCTTCAGATGAAAGCAACACAGCAAAGCAATCAAGACAAGTTTGTGGGCCGGGGGCCACACGGCGGGCTGTTTCCGGTTGGTGGATCCACAGCAGTGATTGCTCCACAGGATTATTCTTCAGAAAAGGACTTCCTTTCTCATTGATGCAGACTGAGAAGCCAAATTAGGTCGTGGGTGACGGCGCGCCAAGGCATCCATGGACACCATATGGCGTCCGTAGTCAACGGCAAATCTATGAAATGCTTAAAGAGGTCTAGCTTCGGATTGAAAGGTGACAATCCTTCCACGCATAATCAGGAGATTTCCGGGGCACGACAGTGAATGTCAAAAACTGTCATGTAGAAGGCTCATGCAAAGTAAATGAACTTCCTTGCCCGCCGCTCATATCCGGCCGAGGCAGCAACTATGCAAATGCAAACCAGCACGCTAAAGCCAATTCCCGGCACTCACATAATCTCCTCGACCTCATCCAGCACTTCCTCGATGATCTCCTCCACAACCTTCTCCCCCTCCTTTTCTTCCTCCTCCTCTATGCCCGGAATCTTTACTTCAGCATCCAGTCCCAAATCCTCTCTCTCCTCCCGCAGATCGGCCCTCTCGCGCTCCTTCCACGCAATCCATTCACTCAGTATCCTCCTCCTTTCTTCCACAATGGCACCCTTCTCCTTATCCTCCTCGATACGATCCTGTTCCTCAAAATCCTTGGAATACTCGCGCAGATTCTTGCGGATGGTCTTTTGCTCGTCGCGGGAGAGCAATGTGGGGGCCGGGGACGCCAGAGGAGTTGTTTGAATTTCTCGATGGGGGCTTCATGCAGTAGGTCACCTTTAAAGTCGTAGAGGTGATAGCCGTTTTCCATCTATATGCGCTGTTAGTAGGCGGGACCATTGTAGAGGGCTTTGCCGTGGAAGGCGAAAAGGAAGGCTGTTGACGAATGATGAGAGGACAGGGAAGGGGGAGCCCACCGTATGCTTCCACACGCTAGCACCTGTGGTGACATAGCGACCTGTTGGATCCCACTCTACCTCCGTTACACCGTAGTGGTCTGCTGTGTTCACGAGCTGCAAGTTTGCCGTGAGATCCTTGTTGCCCTCATGCGTATCTCCCTCATAGTCGAAATCCCAGAAGTCAAGATCGAAGCTTTGCTGCGAGAGCACGGTCCCAACCACGCAAAATCGACCCTTCGGCGACCAGAAGATGGCATTGTTGTTCTTCTTCTCAATCGTACGGATGTGCTTGAAATTACCTACACCAGCCCCTTTGATCTTCTCAGGGCAGAAGAATGAGACTGAAGTTTTTGGGGGCACGGCCGTGGTCATGACGACTTCTGCTGTTGTGATGAGAACGAATCGATCGCCTTTTGGCTCCCAAGCGAAATTTATGACGGTGTCTTTAAGAGCGTCTACGACCTCGACAGGCACGCCCTTTTCGCGCACACGGAAGATCTCAAGGTTTGTGGCCAGCGACTTGCGGGACTTCGAATGTCGATCTACTTTGACGCAAACATAGGCAGCTTGTGATTGCCAGTGTAGTTTTGCATCTGTGACGTTGAAGAGGTTGCGGGTTCTTACGATTTGTTTGGAAGGAATGCTCATGAGTCCGACTTTGGCAGGATTGCTGCCAATTTCGGGGGTCCAGAAGCAGAAGAGTTGCTCATACGTCTTGACATCCGCACGTTGGGGCGTTGCGGGCGACCACTCGAAGTCCATAACTCCTTCAATGGGAATCTAATCACATCAAATTAGCACTGAAGTTGGACGGTCGAGAACCAGCGAGGGCAAGTAACTTCAAGCATCGAAATCTGCTACATACTATTTTCTTGTCCAAAGCCTTCATCGACGGAAGCTCGTAGATATGAATGCCTTCTCCCTCTTTCATGCGCGCAACATACTTGTCGTCTGCTGACCATTTGAAAGCAGGCCATGGGACCTGCTTTTTGATTGGCTGGCCTTCTGGGCCTATTGGTGCGGTAACGAGGTCATACATGGCAAAGGACCGTATCGGGCGCCCAGTCGTGAGATCCCATATGATGTAGTTCTTTCCATCGTCATCTTGAGATAGCACTGGGTCGTCCTCCGCAACCTCGATGGGTCGGAACGACCAGGTGCATACATATTTTTCATTCGGTGAGAAGTCGACGAGATCAACATTGATGTGTGGAAATCTTGTTTGTCGCGACCATGACGGCCCTCCCCATAGTTGCATCCCACGAGCGTGGATTGTAGCAAGATAAGTTCCGAGCGGAGACCATTGCACAAACCTCTCGGTCCAATGTTGCCTGTCTATGATATTCTCTGGATTGTCTTTTTTCTTGTTCCACATGATTGCCACGCCATCTCCTCGATATAATGCGAACTGGTCACGACAGTTGGGATCGCCCAGCCACCATCTCAGGTGCTCCTTCTCTTGAAAGTCATCGATCTCTGGCGGCTGATATTCATCATCGATTCTACCTTCTCTTCCATATCTTTCAATGTCCGTTATCTTATTGACGCCGAATGTGTGCTTCTTATCGATTGGAGTGCCATGTACCACTTTGCATGCTTTCTGCGCTTGTTGGGGCGTTTGGTATTCAACGAAGGCAAAGCTACCTGGCTCAGCGTGATTCATCCACACGGAATAGGTTCCTCTCACCCTTCTGATTTGCCATTCTCTCCCATGGGCATGTAGAAGCCTTCATCTTTGATTTTGAATCCAGAGGCGTTCAATTTACCGGTCAAAAACTTTTGTAATTTGGCCTTGTTACCGCTCTCAACAAGTGGGAGGCCATCAACCACGACAAAGCTGTCTAAGCCTTGTTCAAGTCGGACATCGTATTGCTCTCGTAAATCTGCGAAGCTGTCAGGCGCGTTCTTTTGCTACCGTTTTTCGCTTTATAAAGCACACCTGAGAAATCAAGGTCGTCTGCGGAATCGTAGCCGTCGTCGTCTTCGCGTAACGTATTGAAACCTGGTGCCATCTTTGTAACCGTGAGGAAGGGTGTGGGAAGAGAATATGCCTCAAATGATATTGGGCAACGAGTCACGATTGTGCGCGAACATTTTACTCATTTCCCCGAAGCAGCCTAGCGCGATATCACGGCTGCATGTAACACCGCGACCGAGCTTAGCCGCTGCAATGAAGATCGCTCCCGCGACCGGCATCAGATGGATCTCCGATGCGTGCCAGCCACATCCTTCAATTCGTGACGACGAGGTCGACTTTTGAAGTCATTGGCAATCCGTGAATGGCCGCTTCATTCACTACAAGGGTCAGCTTCCTTGAGAGCGCTTTCTCCCTAATACTCCCTCCTTAGAGCTCTCATTCACTGCCACTTCTTATGCGAAAACATAGAACGATACGCAGCTTACATTTACGAACTTCTTCTTGTTGACGAACCCGTAATATTCGCTCGTCCTTTTCTTGGGAGCATTGCCTTTATTCTCTGGTCGAGATTATACACACAATCTGGTACAAGTATTGTGAAGCAGGATGTCTGGTAAGTGACTCTTGTTAATTTCAGGTTTGATACTAATTAACCCGAAGTATCTTCAGAAGAGAGAACTCGCTATGTCCCAATCATCGATTCTATACTTGCAGCAAGCGACCTGAACACTATTTCTGAGAAGCGAATTCGGAAGGGACTGCAAGCTGCGGTGGACCATGACCTCAACCTCCAGAAGGTTTGCCACGCCACTGCATACGTGCGTTCACTACTAAATTGATGGCAGGATGCTATCAAAGCTCTCATAATGGAGCGCTTCGACAAGAAGATGGCCGACGAAGCCCCTAAGACCAATGGCCACGCCCATGCCTCCTCCAGTGAAGAGCGTTCCTCAGCATCCACCCCAAAGCACGTGGCTACCAGTCCTCCAAACCCGAAGAAACATAAACATGACGACGACGACGACGAGATGTCAGATGTAATTGATGAGCCAAAACCGAAGAAAAAGAGGAAGCCAAGCGAAGACACGGACGCAGCATATGCTGCCAAACTACAAGCGATGGAAAATGCGCGGTCACGGACTACGCGCGGGGGCGGATCCAAGCCGTCAAAACCTGCCAAGAAGAAGAAGACTCCAAAGAAGAAGAGCGCGGGACGTGTGAAAGCTGAAGACGATAGCGATATTGATGGGTCAGGATCGGACGTGAAAGAAAGGAAAGTCAATCGAAACACAGGGTTTCACGTGAGTGGTCTTGTTTCAATCTCAGCGTCCAAGTGAAGCTGACTTCATGCTCAGAAAGAGCTGCTACTCTCCGCACCCTTATCAGCCCTGCTTAATAATGAGATCAAGGTTAGCAACCCTAAGTAGGTTTGAGCTCAATGCTGACATGATCCAAAGCTATCACGACCACAGACCGTTAAGAAGATATGGGAATACGTCCGGGCAAACGACCTTCAAGACCAGACTGACAAACGTAATATAATCTGCGACGACGCAATGCGTGCAGTCTTCAAATCAGACAAAATTCACATGTTTACCATGAATAAAATACTGGGACAGAACCTTTACCCACAAGACGAGTAACATCGAACACAGGTCGATCTCTACTTCGACCACAGATTGACAGGCATCCTAGGCGTCGAACATTCCAACGCGAGATATTCTGCAAGAAGGCGGCATTAGCATGTTTCACAGCGCGGAGTTTAAGACAGGAAGCCGTGACAGTAGCCATTTGCAAGGTATCCTTGGCCTAGGGAGGCGATTTCATGCATTTTATTGAATGATGCGATACTGAATACTACTGCAAGACAGTTGAAAGACTTTAACCCAATCGTGCGGCCATCAATCGAAATTGAATGACCTTACCTGTACTCAAGTTATTCACGCAACCTCTGCATTGCCAGGACGGTGATATCTGCCTTCGATTGCAGCACATCTACCTCCGCAATGCATGCTTTCTTCCATTTCACCCTCCTAACCCGACATTCGGGATTATCATCAATGCCTACGCTCGTTTTCGAGTCTGATGAACCGCAACGTACACAAACAAAAATTTGCATGCCCTACTTTCTTCTATAGATCTGACGTACGAATAGCTTGAACAGATTCCTTTTTTCAAGGCGCTGAACAAGACGATTGAATTGCTGGCGGCCATTGGCCTCCATCTTACCTGCCCAGACGCATGACCCCTTTCCTCAAACAGGTATCCTAATCGATAACATCACTCGCTTCATACCACACCACCGAGATGACAACAAGCATTCGATTCCAAGGCCCGACGGTTGTAAAGAACGTCGACTTAAAGCGCCATCAAGAATCATAGCGATTCTTCTCCACGCGGTCGCGAAGGGCGGTCGCTTGTCAACGCCAGTAGTCTCACCATGCTCACTTCTGCGAAATCTTGTGATAAGTCCGCAGACTCAATTATTTGATCCGAGACCGAAAATGCTGTCTGAGCTAGCAAATGGATTCTACTGGGTATGTCAAGGCGAGGAAAAGAGATTCATTGAGGGGAACCCATATCAGAGATGGACAGTGGCAGATCGTCATCACAAACGGTGGCTTTGAGGTGCTCAACTCAGCTGAAGCGGAGGGAAATATTATTCGCGGTCTATATGCACCGGATGTAGAGAAAATTGGGAACAGCGGGCCGTTGACGAACAGGCAGAGCGCGTGGAAGAGCGTGAACCTGATGGCGTATGACTTGGACATTTTTGGAAGAAAGAGGGAGAAACGGCGTCGAGGTTTCACGACGAGGCTGAAGAGCGAGAGATAATATTCCATATCACCATGAAGAGTGCATTAGATGATCTCTATCTACCTCAGCACGCACATACCGACAAGTGATACGGTGAGATTGTGATAACCTATGGCGTAGCCGGCCTCCTTTCTTCCCGGTTCATGCAGAGAAGAGTCCGTCCGAGCTGGATAAAGGTCTGGGGGAAAACTTTAGGCTTGGTGTTGGTTTTGCGTGATATTGAATGACCAACTTTGTGAGTGGAATGCACGCCACGTAAGAGACATATAACTACTAGCAGTAAAAACAACAATGACTGCGCGGGCGCAATGATCAAGAAGAGTTGCATTAACACGATTCATAATGCCAAACCTCGACAAGGAAGTCAGCAGGATCGTTCAATACCCTTAGATAGATCTAGTCCTTCCCAAGAAATAGCCTAGGCGAGCCATCTCACCAGGTGATCAACCAAATTTATACAACACCTCCTTCTTCGCCTGCTTCCCCTTCTTCTTCCCTCCCACTTCCTCCACTTGTCCAGCATCTTTTCCAACACTTGCTTCTCCACTCCTCTCTCCCCTATCAACCACCACACCTCCCCACGCACTCACCGGACTTGCTCCCCTCCCATCGTCCCACCTAACCGTCCCCCTACTTAACCCAGCCATCAACGTATTCGGTTTCGGCGCCATCGGCAACGCAGGAAACGCATCCGCAGAACCCGGTTTCGGCTGCTGCTGCTGCTGCTGCGACTTCGGCGCCGTTGAGGCAGGCCGGCTAGGATTCGGACTCGTACCTGAAGCAGTCGTCGTGACCCAAGGCGTCGTCGTCCCCACCCGTGCAATACTACCCGTGTTCGATATGGCTGGAAATTGGTTTGCGGAGGCAGCGGCATTGCCCCAACTTCGTTGCTTGCTGACTGCGCTGCGGGAGCTTTGCGCCGTTGAGCTCTTGAGCTTTAGGACGCGGTGGCCGCCTCCGCCTACAGCGGCGTTATTGCCGGATGATGAAACGGGAAGGATGCCGTTAGGGCCGGGGAGGGATGGATAGTCTTCGTTGATGGCACGCCAGTCATTCCAGGCTTTGAGGAGCTCATTCCGTTTGGGTTCGGATTCATAGAGGTCGGCGAGTTCTTTGAAGAGTTTGCCGAGATCGGAGCTAGGGCAGTCGAAGAGGGTGAAGAATTTGTCAATGAGGTTATTGGCGGAGATGGCATTATTTTTGTAGGCTGACACACCATCACGGAAGGAGGTGACCTTGGCGGCGTTGTGGTGAAGGAGGATTCCGGCGCGTTCAATGATGGCAGCATGATGGATTTGGCGAGCTTGCTGCTGGGGCGTCAAAGCTTGATTTTGAGCCTGAGATGCCGTGTTGGAGGATGTCGAGGTTAGATTGAGGTTGTCAATAGCTGGAAATGACGGATTGCTCGACGTTGGATTGCGAGGAGCCGTTGTAGTGTCCGGTGACCTTGAAGGTGGCCTTGCGGCATATGTCTCTGTGGGAGTTAGCTGACTGCCAAAGGTCCGAGGTGTTGTTGATTGAGAGGTTTGAATCGCCATCTGTCTTTGAAATGCCAGCTCATCTCTTGACATCGACTGAGCTGTGGATTGGGGCAAGGTTTCGGAGTTTGGATCTCTGCCTCGCCCTCGCCCTCTTCCCCTACCATCTCTATCGCCCCTTCCTCTTCGTGGTTCTTGATGAGGCTCACGGTAATCGAAGCCTGACATGTCCACCCGTCTGGCGTCTCTCCTAGCGTCCTTCGTCAACCCATTAGGATGTACCTCCAGCTGATGTGCCTTCAGGTCCATCTCAGATTCGAAGACCACGAATTTCTTCTCCAAGCATTCCTGATCAGGACACATGAAATGATCAGTTCGAAAATGTTGTTCTAGTGAATCATAATTCACGTAGTATTGTTGTTGTCGTCCCTGGCCTCTCCGATCACAAATGTGACACTTCTCGTGCTTCTCTCTACAGTGCACGTACAAATCATCATCACCATAGAATCTTTGTCTACAGAAGCCGCATTCCGGATGCCCCTTGAAGCCGCTTTGATCTACCGCGCCCGGGTTGTCATCCCCAAATTTTTCGTGTTTTCTCAACTCCTGAGGTGTGAAAAGCTCATGCTCGTGGGTGAAGACTTTCTTGTTACGTGTACATAGATCACACATGACCTTTTGATGCTCTTTCTTGACATGACGATGAAGATCTGGCCAGCCCCAACAAGCAATGTCACATTCGGCATTTGGACAATTGTATCGTAGAAGCAGTCTAGTCTCTTCATGTATGTCTTTCTGGGTGTACTTGACACCGAGCGTCTCATCGGTGTGTTCAATGTCCTTGTCGCCAAACTCTTCAAAACGCTTGTTTGGGTCGTCTGTGAAAATCACATAATTAGCTTCTGCCTATAGGTATTTCTGTCAGCGTTCGTTCACATGATCATGGGCAAGGGGTACGTACGCGACAATGTGCGCATGCCCTAGTCTTGTACAGCGCTCTCAATCGAAGCGCACAGATATGACACGTCCTATGATTGCAAGGAGCAATGGAGTTGTGGGTCACAGGAGAAGCGCAGATAAAGCAAACTTCTGCCTCAACATCCTCTGTCTCTTCTCTTTTGATTGTAGGAACAACGAATTGACCCTTCATGTGCGTGGCGGCGTCTCTGGTTGGATCTAAACCAGAGACGCCGCCACCACCAAGGTCGTCGGGTGGGGCTCGCGGAGGAGCAGGGCGCTGCGGTAAGGATGTTTGCTGTGGTCTTTGGCGGTGTGGGGCCGCATCTGTACGATGGCCCCTATTGCCTCTACCTCTCCCTCGACCCCTGGAGCCATTACTGCTGGATGCTGCTCTCGAGCCTCCCCGAGCAGCTCTTCCGGATGCGACAGTATTTACGTCTGGAGTGGGATTTTGGGGCGGCGGTACGGTCGTGGTTGCGGAAGCCATTGCGGTTTGGTTTCGAAACGAAGGCGTCTCTTTTGACTTGTGGGGCCTTTCTTGGAATCGTCTAAAGCGTTGATCAATATGAATTGATTTGCGTGCGTGGAAATGAAGATGTGAAGGAGTGGAAATTCCATTCGCACGAGAAATGACGGTGCCAAGACTTTGCCAAGGTGACAAATCTGCCCCGGCCTCACCCCCCGCCGCTTTACGCTGTGGGTAAGGATTCTGCTACAATCAGAGAATTCCATTCCTGAGCTCGCTCCCTAAAAGCGGCAGCCCTGGGAGAGCTTCGCTGGAGCTGGGAGGCATTTCTAGGCGTCTCCTTGTGTTGCCAAGATTTAAAATCAAAACGAAAATGGAAATATGACTCTTCCATCCACCACTCTGTCATTCGTGCATTGACCAAACTCCTTTGCACTTGAGCTTTCTGAGTCATCTATTAGCATTGGAATTGCAATCTGTTATGTGTGCCGACTATTCGTCCGGACTACGTGTCGAAGACTGCGCCTCATGAATCAATCACAGTGGTAGCGCTGGCAGACGCATTTTGCATCCCAATAATCCCCTCTGGTGAGTCAGATGCGATGGCTTCCTTACCCGTCTGCATGTCCGGAACTCAATTAAAATTGGGTACCTCGGATAGCGTCCGGCGTCAATAATGGTTCTTATGCTCCTACCGTATTCCACGTCTTGCAACTGAGGAAGGGACATCTTGCCCTCAGCACAGTCTTGTGAATACTCGCTATCTCCACTCAAGTTTTGATATGCCCACACACCCGCCTTTCGTGGGTGGGTGCAGATCGCAGCCTCAAAACGCGGTCCCTTTTCACGAATCGCCTCGTCATTGCATCTATTCCATACAAGATCTTGCTTCAAAGGCTTTGAAGATGGTGCGACTACAGCACCGCATTCCATTCTACCTGCCTGTGCCGTGCTTGCGTCGCATGGTCGAGGATTCACACGCTCACCCTTCCAAGTCATGTCTGGACCCAGGGGTCGCGGTGCACCCTGCCGGATGCCAATGCTCAAGCCGGCTTGTGTGAAGATTATGAGCAGACTGTTCGCACGGCATCGAGCTTTTCACATCCGACGAAACCTGCGGTGGCTGTGTTGGGACATGCGCTGCCCTGCGGCTCTTGTCCTGAAACGAGGCAACTCCGGACGATTTGTGATAATCCCGCTTCGCCATGCACAACATCTGTCAATTATCACCGGATGTCTTTCCTTTCAAGCCACTTTCTATGTAGACCGGAAGCATTGGTTCAATGCATGCGCAGTAGCAATCATGATGCTGACTTTGTAGCATCATTTGAAGATCAATGCTTCGAGCTATCCAGGGGAGATCATGGGCTTGTAGGCAATGTGGGCCAACTCCAACATGCTCGTAGCGCTTCGACGCATCACAAACCTTTTGCAATGACTGCTGTTTCCGCTGTTACTTGAGCAAGGTATTGATCATAACAAGAATCGGTCAAATATTAACCTCCTACATGAGCCCCCACTCCTTCTCGTTCGGCATTGATCCCTAATCGCGCTCTTTACTTGTCTCTTTGCCCCCATTCCTAGCCCACTCAAATGCAGCATTATGCAGTTTCTGTCTTTCACATTAATCATATGGTCATCACTATGGCTACTGGTAGCTTCAGACGCCGTCTGTTCCCATCTTCTAGGATCACCCACAGCACAAGACTGCGCAGTGCTTGTTGGAAAGCTGAGCTGGGGGTGGCCGTATGACCCATTTCAACAAGGAACCCGTATCTTAGGCCTTGCGAAAAGAACATTCACCTCGGTTGAATTGACGACAAAACCAAATGGGGTTGACGACACAGCCTGGATTTTAAGGACGAACCTTCCCTTAGAAGCTGAGCTCAGTATTCTCACTTAGTATTTTCTGGGCAGTGTCAGCGAAGCTGACGAGGCGAAGGAAATTGTAAGATGCTGCTCACAAGCACCATCATACCAAGTCGGGGCGCGTCCTGGGATACAGGCAGCTATGAAGCCATGATCACCCCGGGCTCTCGTATCATCGAGAAGTGCATGTCATCCGAAGGTGCTCTTTCCTCTGGTGGATGGGTTCTGGTTGGTAAGCGTTCAGGAATTCCTCAACCTGATTGTTACGAAACGTTGCAATGAACATGCGAGTCGTACGATGCACAGTGATCTGCAGCAATCTCGTTCGAATCCCTTGAAACTTACTGACCTCTGCCCAGGAGATCGACAGCTTTTAACGCTTCACTTGATGGCACCAGATTCCGGCTTCGCAAGAGTCCTCCAACAAGTGGATGCTAGCAAGCAAGCTTTCTGCGAATCGACAGCTCAGCGTTCTAACTATGAGCTCGGGCTTATAGGATACGCCCCTTGCAATGGACAAAGTAATGGCAACATCCCCAAAGGCCCCGAAATTCCTGGCGGTCAATTTTCCAATATAGTCCTCAATGATCCCAGCAATGTCTTCACCGTTCCCCACGATTACAGCGTACCGAAAGAACCTGCCTGTGGCGCCTCTTGCACCTGGCCCAGCAACTCATGCGGGGGAGGTTGCCATTGCGTCGCTGACCCGTTACAAAACCTTGTCAACACTGGCGCCAGGTTTAAAGGCACTTGCAAGGACTCATACTTCGCTTTCCTGAGCCGCAGGCGGATCTTGTCCTTCACGCCTGATGAAACGCCAGATACAGTCGTCGTGCTAGTGGATGGACCTGAGCCAGAGCCAGATGCTGCACTGGACCCACCGACGGCATCGGGCGTGCAATTCAACCGTTTAGGTAACGTCGTTTCCGGAGCTTTAGCGTGCGCGTGCAATTGTACGTATGTCTCTGTGGGGTGTTGCACGGCGCCCGATAGTGGATTTATCCAAGAGTACCCGTGGTTGAAGTTAGGTGTGATGGATCCGCCAGAGGGGCAGTGTTGTGACGCTGGTTCGGGACAGTTCAGGGAGGGAGTGCAGGGCGGTGGTAATGATACTACTTGCTATGCTACCGCGTAGACTCGTTGATTTGGATTATGCAGTAATAAAGAGTGACTCTGAGCACCGTGCCGGCCCTTGTCACGAACATGCAGCTTCATTCTTGATTCAATCTTGGTTTTGCCTGGTTGTCACATGATGTTGAGGCGGCTTCCATGTCCAACTGAGATTGGATATTTATATCGATGGTCCACAGGCATATGGCAATTGTGTTAGCCACGTCAGAGCGGCTGGTCCGCAAGTAGATCTTGTGGGCATGCCATTTTTGTTGCGGCGGAAAAGACGATCTTCCGTGCTGGTGAAGCTTTCTATCCCTGCTTGGACCGTTGAAGGGCACTTTTGGTGTCTCTACAGCTGTGTCTGGCTCCCTTCAAAATTAGTGAGGGGAGTGATATTGAGAGTCGAGTTCCGTTCGAGACTAACGATTCATCAGCCATAGAGTCCGCGTGCCATCTGAAGATAACCCATTACCCCAGTCCATCACCCACAACCAGTTCACCGGCTTCCTCCGCCGTGAGAATCATCTCCCCAATCTTCACTTGCCCCCCTTTCCAGAATTATCTACCCCCAAATCCTGATAAACATCGGCCCTAAAAGTCGCAATCGTCCTCGTCGGCTCCACCCCCCTCAAATGATCCACCACCGCCATAAAGAACTCCTTCATGATATTGCCCGTATGCAGCCGCCCAGGTCCACCCCGCTTGACCTCAAACAAGCGAAACATAGCCCTCACCATCACCCTCCCGAGATGATACCGCTGAAACGAAACCAGCTGCGCCTCCTCGTGGTAAACCGTCCTCGCGAGATACTTCTCCTGTCCATCGAGCGCTATCTCCGTGAGCATAGAAAGGATCGCAAAGATGAGCACCGATGCCGCGACTACCGTGACACCAACAGGGTCTCGATGATATATTTGCACGACGTAATTCCAGAGCTTGCGACTTATCACCCTCTCGATCACATCACGGCTTCTCTTGCCCACGAGGTTCCCTCTTACTCTCTGCTGCCCTATCCTCCCTCCCCCTCTCCTCCTCATCAACGTCCCTTCATCCCCTATCCCAATTCCAGTCTCGTCAACCCACGCCAGCCACGCCTCCCCAAGAACCATCACTCCTTCATCCACGCTTCCCTGCCACCCATAAGCCACCACATCAACCCTCTCCCCCTCCCTCGCGCCCCCAGGCCCCTCAGGGATCACACTTCCCCCGGTCCCCGGTACATCCCCCAGCCTCGCCGGCAAAAACGCCACGTTCGCGACTCCAACCCCACCCATAAATAAGACGCCCACCCTCGCCGGGGCAGGCACATCGCTTACACCACCTCGCTGATCATTACGAAGAAGATCGAGCAGCGCGAGGATGATGGTGGAGACAGTGGGGTAAGCCAGTCTCTGGGTGAGTCCTGACCCTCCTGGCCCTAAGGAAATAGTAAAGCACCACTCGTAAGCACAGTACTGATACCCCGACCCGGGACCGAAATCTCCACCCCCTTCTGCCGCGCATCAGCCAGCGCAAGATTCAGAATCGCACGTAGTTGTCGGCCGGGCAGCACGAATGCTGCGAGTGTTGCGCCGTTGATTCCGGAGAGGAGGCCGGTGGACCAGTGGAGTTGGATTTTGGAGGCGAGGGTGATGTTGTGGTTGGTGGATGCTTGGGCGATGGCGAGGGTGGTGGTGTTTAAGGTGGTGGTGAGGGAGGAAGCGGGGGAGGAAGAAAGGGAGAGGTCGATGGTGCCTGTTGTGTTGATTGATGAGGGGAGGGAGAGAGAGAGAGAGGTGTTTGGGGGGGTTGAGATTGGGAGAGGGTTGGGGGTGGTAGGAGGAGGAGGGAGAAGGAGAGGAATATGGTGCGGAGAGGTTGTAGCATTTTGTGGAGTAGAGAGACGGCCAGGATACGTTCTTTGTGCGGTTCCTGGTAGAGGTGGTCGGAGGAGTCTTTGATGTTCTATAATTGCTGATGTCGATTAGATGGTCTTGGAGTTGTGGAACAGTATGCCGGGCAAGCCAGAGACATCCTTTGAGTCAGACACCTCCTTTGAATTGTTCTCGCGATGTACAAAGGGTATATATCAACGGTTCGTTGATTCATCAAGCCTTGTCCTAGTTTCACGTGATGTGTGCGAAATCTACATTGCGCGTGTAAGTAGCCAGCACTGATTTGGTCTTCCCGTAGGACGTTCGTTAAGGTTAGATGAGACAGACCGTTCACACCTCATCAGCTCCGAGGATTGATATCCAGGAAGAAACATCGAGGCAACAAAGATTCCTCCAAGAATGCGACATCTAATGACTTATAAATAAGCACACAAAGGTCGGGTGATCTGCGACAGGCTCATAAGCAGCTGTCTCACACCGAGTGGGAGGTGCAGAAATGCGCCTATGCACGGGGCAGAGAGACATGTTTTGGCCTGCATGAATTCCATCACGGAATAGTTGAAACAAACGTGTGGAAGCGCAAAAGCGTTCCGCGTGACTTCAGACATATCTAGCGAGATTCAGGGAGGCTTCGTAGCTAATAACGCATCGAATGTCAAGGCATTGTATCTTACAGGCACATTCAATATTCATCCCTTTTCCTCAACGAGCCGCAGCCATCGCCATCTGCGACACAAAGCTATTCATCTCTGTCGTACATGTAAAAACACAGTTCTCCATCATGGACGTGTTCGTCCACGGCAGGCACGGCAGCCCCTCTTGCCTTGACCACGATCCCCTCTCCGCCAACGATCCCGAAGTCTCGCGGCAGCCATACACGTCCTGGTTGAAGATCGAGTACATAGCTTCAATCCTGTCCTTGACTCGGGGATCTTTGGTGCAGATCGCAGCAGCACTGAGGAATAGTGTCATTGCAATGCTGCCGAGCGGTCGGTACGTGACAAGTGATTCGGCGAGTTCGAGGATCTGGTACGACATGCGTGTGTTTTCATTTACTAGGTAGAAAGCGTCGTCGCCGATGATGATGTTTGCGCGGATGAAGTTGATGAGCATGCTGATCGTGAGACCAAAGGCGAACATGCGGCCATAATGGCAGTGTACCATACGTTGCTGCTCGCTTCTTTGGGAACTTGAGCCTGAGAACTTCCGCAGTATGTATTCCCAACGCTCCCGCAGCCTTTTGAGTACTGGCTCGTATGTCTTTTGCAGCTCGATCAATTCTGATTGCACGCCTAGGATCTCGGAGTTGGAAATGGTTTCGGGTTGGGTGATGATTAGCCTGGCTCTTGCCATTAGGTTTGGCAATTGGGCTAAACAGATCATGACATCGCCATCGATGACACGGCCATCTAGCCCTATGGTTGCGATTGTGCGCCACTCCTCTGATGTAAATTGTATTCTATCGTCTGTGATAGCTTCGATCGCCTACCACCGTGAGTATATCCTGTGGGGTTTCAAATCTTGATCACTCACCATAGGACCCCTGAGAGTGAGTAGAATTTGTTTCTCGAACTCATCTCTTGGGCGCAAGAGGCCTCGCCTTTTGAGGATATGTGAGGCACCGACAAAATGATTTGCTAAAGATTCATTGTCGCGTATGAAAATCTGATGATTAGGGTTAGTTTCAATATGACATCAGTGTAAGGTACTCTTACCCGGCAAATGGACAGCAGCATGACCGTGCAAAGTGTTTCCGATGTGGAATTCTGGACTGGATCGTCCAAACATTGAGCTAGAGCCCTCAAGGCGGCAGAGTATTTGACAAGCGTATCGGTTGAAGGATTCAGGTGGCCCGCGCAGTAGTCAGTATGAGCAGCAACGAGGACACAAGCAGCCCTATCGAGAGCTACATGTGTGCCTAAGCGCCTGGGGATTTCGCGTAGAAAGCCTCCAAAATTCATGACGAGGTGGTAATTGATTTCGACAGAGGGTAGAGCTTTGCTAATGAGGGCCTTGGACAATAGGTCAATTTCGTTGGACGGCTCCCGGGCTAATGTCACAATGAATGTGTTTGACAGCTGATGTCCTGCGGTGATCCTGACAGCCAGGGGACCCGATCCAGGATATCGTCGTCGAAGACTCGGGCCTTCGTCTCGAAAGTTGTAGCGCTGCTGGCCGTATCCGACGCATGGGACATTGGCTTTCCGGCAATAGGAACAAGCGTCTGTCACGGCATCACACTAGTCACTCGTTAGAGCCAAGGCGACGAATAAGGGACGGTGATGTATCGATGCATTATCACCTTCTTCTTCCTCTTTCGACAGGCATCGCAGCCACGAGAGGTTGGAATGCCGACCATTATCTTAATTGACGTTTTGATTATTGAATGGGTTCAGTCGCTGCGACATGCTTTCTTTTAAGGCTTCCTACACCGCAAGACTCAGGATATCAAGGCTCCTACCAAGTCTGCGAAAATGAGAGATATTTGACGATCATCATGACTCGAAGGCTCAACATCGCGAGGCTGTCTAACAGGCGGAGTGATTCCTTATCCCACAGCCATACCAAGCGAACCAACAAAAAGGCTCGGGAAACCAGCGGGCGCATCATGTGACTCGATGCAGTTAGGCTGCTACTGACGAAGGTTAGTCAGACTGCATGACAAAGACCAATTCTCGTCAGCTGGACTTCTTGACCAAGGCTTGGATGTATGGATTGGCTAGCTGTGAAATGTGCTTGCATGTCTCGCCATATTCTACGGCAGGATTCACGGCCGACTTCACGGCCGAAGCGGTCAGGAAGGGTAGCCCGCGCCGTTACCCATTTTCGTTTCCGATGAGCCTCCACGGCCAGCTGTAGGAAAGTGGAGCCTGACCGCTACATAGCGATGCTACCTAAAGTCAATTCAAGGGTCTGGAAACGAATGAACGAGGGACGAATATGCGAGTCAGCATATACAAAATACGGAGTACCGAGTCCCGGCCGAAGTGTTCGGTTGATACTCCGAGAAGCTGACGCGCCAATAGCGCCTAGACTTTGGTCCCTAAGCGGCGTAAGCGCTGATTTATAGGCTCCAATGTAGGGCTGGCTCTAAGGGACGGGCCCCGAGAAGATGCCAAGGGTTCTACCCTTATATCATTATTCTTACACTTACACGAGGCAGATGATATTACACCCTATCTCAAACCCTGAATCCCTTTTCGACCGCAATACCATGGTGTGCCACCTTCAGCCCTTACTCCTCATCCCTTGTCCTGCCGCTCTCTTCGCTCTCCGAATGATGCGCATCCGTCAAATTGCCCATCCCCTCCTTACCCACTCCCATGCCATTAGCCCCAGCATACTTCGGATCCAACGTCTTCACCACATCCATCTCCTTCTGCCCCAGCTCACCTTGCCTCAACAGCTCTTTGTCACTCCTCCTCCTGCCCATTAGATCCCTCCACCCCTTCGGAGAATGTGGGGAATGGGTCCAAGCGGCTGTCAAAAAGCAAACAGGCAGGATGGAAGAGTCTTGGTATTTGCGACATGGAAAGCTGCCATCGCTGGACAGGATATTGGCACTCGTTCGGGCTACCGAAGGTTATTGAAAGGTAGTGCGTAACCAGCAGCCACGCAAACGTTGGACCTGACAGCCCCTTACCCTTCCGTCGCGTCTAGCGCCATGGAGAGTGCGACATATCAATCTCAAAGAACCAGAAATTCTAGATGGCGTGAAGTATGTAGGTGACCTTAGTAAAATTCGTGTGTGCCCCGTATCTCCGTTACTCCACACACGGGACGGAACAGGCTTGAAGTGTATCCCGGTCATTGATGCGATCAGATGTTCAAGCTTTGCGATCCAGCTTCATCCGAAAAGGTGTCAGATGTTGGTCTGGGGCAGATCCGAGGAACATGGACGTCACTCTGCGCTAGGAGTTCGCATGAGATGATCTTGCATGATGAATCTGTATGTTCATTTATCGTTCAGGTACGGACTCGCAGCCGGCGGTGCAGATGACAAACGTACATCAAATCCGAAAGTGATATTCATTTCATCAGGGTTTAGGTGCAAAGAGTCCTTTCAACCAACAAGCACACCGCTTATTGTCAGCTGACTCTTTGATCGATTGCAGTCCTCCCAGCGCGAAAGAGCACCTCACCACTTTGACCAAATACAGGAAACTGCAGAATCCCGTCTCCATTCGGGTCGCCTGTCTTCGCGTTCTGCACTATATCGCTCAGCAACTTTCTCAGTTCGTCCGCTGAACTTGCTTGCGCGGCTTTCAAGAACAGGTCCAGACCCAGTTCTCCAAGACGGGTCGATGATGACGGGGGCTGGACTTTGGGCGATGGTTCCTGAGATCAAGGCGTCTTCCTCTGGTTTCGACGCACCATACGCAGCTGTATGGAACTCCACCGAACCACTTCCTGCAGACTGTCCGATTATCGTCACCTTCTTTAGATCGCCCCTAGGTAGGTTGTTATTCTTCTGCACCCATTTGAGCGCGAGTCTCTGATCCAACAATTCAGCATTGGACGACGTGATATTCTCTTGCTCTCGACAAGACCACTTAGAAAGCCGAAGGCCGAAAGCCAGTATTTCATTGACACCTATACAATCCCGCTCTCACTCTGCTGTAAGAGCCCTTGTGGGTCAAGGTTCGTTGTCTTGTGTCCCAAAAAGAAGCCCCCACAGTGTATGTTGGCCAAGCAAGACTGGGGCCAACCCCCTAGTATCCGTCTCAGTATTATTACCAAGCTCCAATACTGCACTTCCTAAAACAAAGTTACTTGAAAGAGTGAATAATTTGGTCGGTACGTGAACATCCAAGAACAGGCAATCTTCATCTTGTTGTTGGCTGCTCATCTGCGGCGGAAACGAAGCTAGCATTTCGCCCAGACCTGGGATTGCGCTGGCCCACCATTCAAGTAATGATTGAAAGCAGATGTTGCCTACGGAGCCATCTTGGAGCGTCGAGTTCGCGAGGGGAGCAGAAGGAGCAGAAAAGCGCAGAGGACCGACAGGTGGTGCATCATAGCGAATTCCCTTTATATATCCGAGAAGAATGGAGTTGGTATGCTCATGTACCACGACCTGAGCCCGAGCATCTGGTGTGCAGTTGCATTCACGTGCGGAGAAACGTTACCGAAATTGTTTCACCGTGTTGTCGGCTGAATCCCCCCACGAGAAGGCTGTCTAACAGGCACAGTGGTGAGTACAGCAGCTTCATGGCGTAAGACACAAGCTTCCTGGTGCTCTGGCGGAATTTGGAAATTCACTGCGAGTGGTCGGTCTCTGAGACTTTGGATAAAACTTTTAGCCTCTTGATGTTGGGGTGATCATCTATACATCAGTGTACAAAATCTTGAAATCCGAGAGACAACAAAGCTAATAAGTATTGATAATTCTCTGCGACTGGCATCACGCCGTTGTATAACATGCGTAGTAGCGGCGTTAGGATACAGGGTTGGAGACATCATTTATCAAGTCAGGTAAGAGAGCTTGCCTTGGTCGTTGTACCTGTCATCCAGGATCATTCATGAGAAATATATAGCTTTTATTCAGCGTGCGTGGCTTTAAGACGCATTCGTGAAAAAATAAAGAAGTCTCTTAGAAGGTTTTCTGCATTGTTGCGGGATGACTGGATGAGATTTCTGGCGACCGTGGACAAAGCCATGCTTGATCGAATAATGACATCGAATTCTGGCCGTTTACTCAACAGAAGGGCCCATGTGATTGGTGGATTTATTGTAACATATGAGAGTATGGATCGTCTGCTACTCTCAAATACAGTGCATTCGAGCAAGATCTATATTCAATCATGCACCATCCTCGTCGCTCTTGGATGCGGTAAGTTGAGACCTGAGCAGAGGCTGAGGGCGCCACTTGTGAGAAGCTTGTACCAGCATCTAGGAAGGTTGAAGTAGAGTAGTGTAAAACATCAAAGATCCAAGAAAGCGTGTGGTCTTGACATTCACAACTTATTAGAGGACGCCCTAGTGTGTCCTGTCCGAAAAGCATCCCAGCCCTACAGCTATCAAAATTATTCCGACTCAATCAGTTCCATTGCGTCGCGCACGTCAGGACGAAAGTGATCAAGATCAGCAGAATGTTGACTAATCAGGCTTCCCTACGCTCTGCGTTCCTTTGTCTCAAGCTTCAGCCGGCAGCTCTGGCGCCAAGCACGTCAATGTCAGTGATTCTCGCACCGCTCCAGACAGTCCTTCAACCTCGAGCATACAGCGCCCTCACAGCAACTTTTCGCGCGCCGAGAAGAGGGCACGCCCGTTCAAAGACCTCATTGAGCTCCCATCAGCTCCGCTTCGCCTCTGCATCCACCATCTCTACCCCTCCACCAGCACCTTCCAAACAGCACTTAGCCTCACGAAAAACGCCTGCCCTAGAACCAGCAACCACCACTCACCCCGCAACCTCCGCCGAATCCACCCCCTCAGGCACTATCCCCACCTCTGATCTTCCCGATCCTACCACAAGCTACGCCGCTCCTATTGCCTCCATCCCCAACCAGAAACAACCACTAACCTGGAATGCCTTCCTCCGCCTCCGACGAATTCGTCGTCGCTACAACCTCATTTCCTCCATTGCCCTCGCCTCAGCCACGACTGCTGGTGGCGCTTTCGTGATAGGAGATGAAAGCAGGAGTATGGAGACCTTCAACATTATGGGAATAGACCCAATATTCGTGATGGGGTTTGCGACCCTAGCTTGCGGGGCCGTGGGATGGCTGGCTGGGCCAGTGGTGGGGAGTGGGATCTTTGGAATAGTGTATCGGAGGTTGGGTCCGGAGATGGCTGCGGTGAGTCTACCTGAAGTGAGGGAAAGGGGGATGGTGAGCTAATGTGTGGCTTGTAGAAAGAGAAAGATTTGTTTCAACGCATCAAGAAGCAGCGGGTCGATCCCTCGAATTCTTCGAGTAGTAATCCCGTGCCGGATTATTACGGAGAGAAGATTGGGAGTGTGGGACAGTATCGGACTTGGTTGAAGGATCAGAAGGCGTATAATAGGAGAAAACAGAAGGACTTCGTATGAACAAGTCAGGCGTACAAGAAGCGAGGAGTTGAGTCAACACGGAAGAGACAAGAGTAGTAGTCTGGGGAAGAAGAGAGGAATGTAGTAGAGTTGTGAGATGAATTGGTCATTGTGAGATATAGCAATACGAGTATGCATTTAGGCGGAGTGAAGGTCTCCACCAACTCCGCTATGGTAGCATTGCATGTGTATGGCTCAAATTAGCCTGTTTGAAAGCAATTCAAATACAATATCATGATCCTCCTCCCTCCAATATCCGGAAAATGATGCATTCATATTGATATTGCGATTCATCTCACTGCCCTGCAAAATTGCGAATTCGTTGTGAAATTGCCGTTAAGATATTCAGAGTATGAGGTTGTGATTCAGAGTGGACTAGCGACTTGAGAGCAAGGCTCAGCGAAAGCGTTTTCAATCTGGAGACTTGTAGAGTGACGATGCAAAGTATAATCTAAAATCTGCGAAATCTGCGAAATCTGCGAAATCTAAGGACCTTAAGGTCCAAGTTGTAGCACTGTGATGTTTCTGTACTATGAGAATGCCGATGAAATATTGAAGTCCGTTCGATGGCGGTTGAATATCAAGAATCATTTCAAACGAAGATGAGGCGCGAGTGGTGAGTCGGCCTTAATGGTCAAGTTGTCAGACTGAAAACCTCGCCCTTTGCGCACAAGAGCTGAGACTTCATCATCGATCTTTTCCAGTCTTGCTGCAGTATCTTCTGCTTCAAATTCACGTAAAGTCAAGAGTTTTGAGACAGGATATTGAATGGTGGCCTTCCCTCCAGTATGCGAAGCCTCTTGGTCTGGAGCCTCGATGTCCTCCGCGGATCCTTGTAAGCACAGAAGCTTGGACACGGAGAACTTGACATCTGCTACAGTGAACGGGTCATTCATATACGCCTCTTGTATTTCCATTGAGGGTTTAGGCTCAGGCTTAGGTCCGGGCTCAGGCTCGGGCTCAAGAAGAGTATCGAGGCGCTGGTCGCATGGATCTGGTGTCCAGTGGACGGTGCAAGCACCAAACCGGCCGTTGCAAAATACTCCATAACCATGTTTTGCATATTTCATGGCACTGAAACGAAGGCGCAGAATCCCATTCTGATAACTCATATCTTCCAAGCCCGTGTATTTCATCGTCAGCGTCACTGCCAGTAGTTCAACCACCTCGCTCGGTCCAATCGATTGAGAAAAATCGTGCACTTCCAAGCATCGGCTAGCTTCAGATTTAGTGACGAATTGGTTGATTTGAGAGGAAATTGGAAACGTCGGAGTTGGAATCAGCTTGACATGTGCAATCTGCCCTTCAAACTCAATTAGATAGCGCTTCACGAAGTTCACGTATGCGATCGCCTCATGCTCCTTCAGAAAAGTTACGAGCGCTGTTTTCGAATTGGTGATAGACACCGTATTCAGAAGCTTAACATCCAGGATCTTTCCTCCGCGGACCTTTTCCAATAATTTCCGCATGCTTATGCTCAATGGTATATTGGATATGATGACGGCGCGATAAGCGTTATTCTGATGATCTCGTGGGAAAAACCGTAGGCCATAGCGGAAAAGATCAGGTGAGCGGAGGTCGCTTGGTCCAGCGTTCACGGCATTGATTTGGGATGCATTCTTCTGTTCGAGGGGACTTCCCCAGTCTCGTGAAACCGCCCAATTAATGTCGATGTGGAGAGACGGCACATATGCATTAGTACTTGTAAGCTTGGCAGGCATAGAGCCGAGGGATTGCATTTCGGTCTTCACGGACGCAATCGCTCCACTATAGATGCCATTGTCAAGTTTGTCGCCATTGAACGCTTTAGTCTCTATACTAGGGTCATGAACGCAGACCTTTCGACTCGGTGTTTGTCCAATTGAGGATTGGCTGATATCTTTTCCGCTTAAATTGCTGCTGAATGATGAGGCTAAGTTAGGCGAGTCAGAGGACGTAGCCTGCACCATATTAGCCCGAGACATCATGTTTGTGGAGCACCCACAGATTCTCCACCACTACGTTCGTAACCCGAGTCAGAAGACTCTTTTGCCTTTACAAAGCGACGGATGTAAGTGTTTGTTGACTGAGTAGAATTCGTACCTGTAGAAGTGAACGATGTCGAGACCGTTGGCAGGCCAGCTTTTTGCATCGAGACATAGTCCTTTTCCTCACTGTCGCTTTCTTGGTCCGAGGTCGAGCTATCTGTGTCCGAATCCTCATGGGTGCGTGAACGACGTTTGACATTGACGGGCTGTTTGACGGGCTGTTTAGTCAAAGCAACAATGGTCTGATTGAGCGTTGATATCAATGCATTGGCTTGCATCAGCTGCCCTTGCAGCACCTCCATATTCTTGCTAGACTGCGTAAGCTGCGCTTGCGAGTCCGTGTTATACCGATCTTTGAAGCCATGACTTGGAACCCTCTCTGAATCCGATGCCACGAGGCGGGCGAGGCGAAGTAGTGCGATCTCAACTTCACCCTTCTGAAATTTGCAGGTCTCAACTTCTTTCTCAAGGATGGCATTGCGAACAACTAGTTCCACGTGAGTTTGATAGCTAAGATAAGGGCTGTCGTATGATCGCGGGCCGGTTCCAAGGGCTTCCTGGTATGGATGAGGCGCATACTCAGGCGGGTGATAGTGATTACGGGGTAGAGATCCTGCATTTGCTCCGTTATAGTCCAAATTCGGAGCCGGAGAAGACATTGGTGCCGAAGGGTCAGTAGGTATGGCAGCCATGCTGAAGTCAAATATTCCACTCCAAGTGGAAGAAAAATAAAAGCTATTACAAGATATATCAGGAGATATAGCTAAGATGAAACACAATGAGAGGACTTACTGTACGGCTAGAAGGCCTCAAATGAAGATTTTCAGCAGGAAGATTGGAGATGGCTCCGAAATATCTCGGCGTGAAAACCAATAGCAAGAACATTCAGGAAACTAGAAACGAGTAAGAGGGATTAAAGAAGAAGAGAGAAGATGTTTCCTGATACCAGGGACACACCTTTTGAGATTCGACTGGAACTGAAAGTAATCACCGAATGAGCTGAGTAAGTAAGAAGAATCGTCCCACAAGTAAGCGGTGAGCAAAACGAATCGAGTAAACGCTGAGGCTGCTGTTTCTTTGAGATCTTGAAATCACAATGAGCGTTTCATGATATGCATATGATGAGCCTAGGATGATTCCCAAACGGTAAAGAAGAAAATGCGAGGCTAGGTCGTGCGAGTAAGACTGTCTCGGAGAAGATCCAGGTCAAAGCGATTGATCGATTACAATGAATGCAACGCCTCGGGCCGTATTCCAATACGTTGCAGAGAGACCCCCAAGATTGATGAGCCTAGGATGATAGGCTCAATCCACGAAGAGGAGGGGATGGTGGAGGTGGGTAGGGCGGAAGGAGGAATGAAGGAACGATGAAGAAAGACAGAAGGAAAGGAGAACACTAGCGTCTTGGCGTTTCTCCTTCATTCACTTTCTTTTGAACAAGAAGTCCCTCAGGCACAGATTTAGCCGTAGCTCAATCTTCATAACTGTTATGACGATACCTCACGACCCAATCTCCAGAATGAAGCAAGTGTCCTCTCGGTGATGTTTTGTATTGTGTAGACAGCGAGTCAGAAAAAGCAATTGCACCACCAGAGCACTTGACAGGTAGGAGGAATACGCAGACGCCAACACAATCTGAAATGGACTTGCCTGCTCATGTGCCCATTACCTCTCCACTCATGCAACCTCTTCAATGACGCTCTTCCCCTGGCCGTCATTGCTTCCTCGACTCCAGAGATCAAAACATCACTTCACGAGGCTGCAGACTCTTGAACCACCAGCACATTCCCATACAGACTGATTTCAGCGTCATCATGATGCATTCGGTGGCCTGTTGAAGCTTTCACTTTGTCCGAACTCCTCAAAGCTGTGTAAGGTTTGTTTTTGACAATCATAGATCCCTCTACGCGTTCAGCGTATACCCAACGTAGTCGTACACTCATTGAAGATGGAATGTAGTCAGCATTAGAAAACGTGAAGAAGGTTTCCCCATATCCAATCCAGACGGGATGACATCGGAGATACGATAAGATCCGCCAAGACAGCGCGGGGAGCGCTAAAGTCCCAACTGCCGAGGCAGCTAGTGCGTTCCGGGCAGGCGGACAACAGCGGGGAAAAAGGAGAACCTCAAAACGCGACTATCAATTCGGGCGACATAGTCCGATACGTGGGCATGCGCCAATTGGCCCTATGCCCATGCATCTGCAGGCCTAGGGCGTGCAAGCAGCTGACTAGCTGCTGGGCAACCTGGGGTAGACGGCACGGGCGACGATGACGCTCACTCCCTCCTCAGGTTCACCTATCTACTAGGATTGCCCTGCTGTGCTTCACTCAGCACACTGCCAGCGATCTAGGTAGCCCCAGCTCGAGCCAACAGCCATGAAGTTTCCCACGCTTCCAGGCAAGAGCCACCGCGACAGCTCCTCCTCCTCAGACGGAAAACAAGTCGCAGAAGACATCGAGAAGACGCACCACGAACATGACAACCTCACACCCGATCCAGACGAGGGTCTCAGCGACGCTGAGCGCGCAAAGATTGTAAGCACCTGCAGTGCCATGTGTCTTACGCACCCTTCTTGAATAAGTACTAACATCATTCCCAGGACCGCCGTCTCCTCTGGAAGCTCGACCTGCGCCTCATCCCCTGGCTCGCCCTCCTCTACCTCATCAGCTTCCTCGACCGTACCAACATCGGCAACGCGCGCCTCGACGGGCTCGAAAAGGCGCTTCACATCACAGGCGGCCAATACAACGCCACCCTCAGCATCTTCTTCGTTTCCTACGCCCTTTTCGAGCCCTTGACCAACATCCTGCTCAAGAAGCTGAGGCCGAGCGTCTTCATTCCGTGCATCATGATGCTGTGGGGCGTCACTATGGTGACGATGGGTTTGACGCACAATTTTCAGGGCATGATGGCTGCGAGGTGGTGGTTGGGGTTTGCCGAGGCGGGGTTGTTTCCGGGTATCAATTACTATTTGAGCTGTTGGTACAAGAGGTCGGAATTCGGTGTGCGCGCCGCAATATTCTTCTCGGCCGCAGCTGTCAGCGGCTCCTTTGGTGGATTGCTTGCAGCCGCGATCGGCTTGATGGATGGAATTGGTGGGAAAGGGGGATGGGCATGGATTTTCATCTTGGAAGGGCTGGCAACGGTGCTGATCGGTATTGCGAGTTTCTGGATGGTATTCGACTTCCCGGACGAGGCGACATTCTTGAGCGTTGATGATCGAAGGAGAGTGATTAGGAGGTTGAAAGAGGATAAGCAGAGCTCTGCAGAGCATGAAAGCTTCAAGATGGAATATTTCTGGGCCAGCGTGAAGGATTGGAAGACGTGGCTGTATGCAGTCATCTACATGGGCTGCGATGGGCCGTTATACGCCTTCTCGCTATTCTTACCGTCAATTATTCAAGGCGTAAGTATCTCTAGATACCCTACTCCGATCCAAACTGACGATGTGATCATCTAGCTTGGTTACAAGTCGACCCGCGCTCAGTTACTTTCCGTCCCTCCTTACGCTGCTGCCGCTGTTCTCACAATCAGCATTGGTTACATCGCTGACCGTACCCACCAACGTGGTCTGTGCAACATGGGATGCGCCCTCATCGGTATTACTGGCTTCGCCATGCTCGAAGGCGGCACCACACCCGCGGTGCAATACGCCGGCACGTTCCTCGGCGCGCTAGGAATCTACCCTTGTATTGCGAACACGATCGTATGGGCTGCCAACAATACAGAAGGCGTCTACAAGAGGGGCGTGACGTTAGGATTTGTGATCGGATGGGGAAATCTCAATGGGGTCGTCGCGAGCAACATCTATCAGACTAAGAACAAGCCATTATACAGACCAGGACATGGAACAGTGTTGGGGTATCTGTCGCTGTTTCTGCTGGGGGGAAGCGCGTTACAGTATTTCTTGCTTGGCAGGGAAAACAAGAAGAGACTGAATGGCGAGAGAGATGGCTGGGCAGAGGGGAAGTCAGAGAAGGAGGTGGAGCGCTTGGGGGATTGGAGACCGGATTTCATCTATACGCGATGAGAAATTGTTGGCTTTCCTGTATGCACTACATCAGCTCCTGCCCTTTCATATTCCAAGGCAATACATGCTTTATCCAAGCACGCATCTAGCTTGTTCTTTGGATGGTCGAGTCGTTCTGCTTTGATGTTGTTCGAAACCTAGCCCACAAATCGACTTGTTCAAACCGAATGATTCCAACATCAGTTCTGTTGTCACTAGCTCCACGTGTTGGGATTGGGTAATTTGCGCGCCTGCTGCCTTCCTTGGATGTGGTAGCCGTTTCTCAGGCTCCCTCTCCGGAATCGAACCCTAGTCAACGAGTTAGCATACAATTAATGATAAGATTCGAGAGTGGTATTTACCTAATTCCCTGTCACCCGTTGTCACCATGCTTGGCTACTACCTAAACATCGAAAGTTGATAGGCAGGAATTTGAATGAACCATCGCCGGCGCAAGGCCTTGCGATCTATAAAGTTATTATGAATGACCAGATAATCCCGGAGCACGTTACGCCTTCTATGACGACCTTGTGAAAGCAGACAGAAACACAAGCAAGACGAAAAGCAAGAATATCAGGCCAAAAATCTCAACGTAAACTCCGTACGCACGCACACCATTAACATTACATTTAAACACCATCCCCAACTCCCCGTTCCCCTCCTAACGCAGCACGTACCCCAAACCCATAACAATATCCCGACTTTTAATACTGAAATAATCCGCCCTCGGCTCTTTCGTAACATTGAACGCCTGACAATACCAAATGGCCTGACTCGCTAGATGCGTCAACCCAAACCACTTCCCACCAAATCCCTGCGTATACGCCACACACTCCTTCACCGCCGTACACACATTCACGCTACCGTCAGCGATGGTGAGCGCGTGATATGATTGGCCCGGCGTCAGGTTGCTCAAGTCCGCCAAGTTGAAGATGTAATACATCGCCCCATAATAGAAATTCTTGTACTTCGTCCCGCAGTACGGGTCCGCGACGGGCTTTGGGGAGGGACAGCTGCCGCTGAAGTATGGCGCGGGTGCAAACTGATCATTCGGGGAGGGCTGAAGGAAGAGCCTTGAGAAATCGGAGGTGGTGGAGCGGTTGGGGAGTTGGAGGGTGAAAGTCGAATTTCCGCTGGCGCCGGCGTTGGCGTAGAGGATTGTGAGGGGGACCTTGTCGCCTTTATTCCAGCGGGTGCTGGTGGATGCGCCGCCTGTGCGAGCTACGGCGTTGGTGCCGTCCCAATTCTTGTAGGCGGGGGAGCCGAGCCAGACGAAGCCGAAGTCATTTGAGGAGGTCGTGAAGGTGTAGTCACCTGTGTCTGGGACGAGGAGGAAGCCGTGGAAAATAACCGTGACGAATGCGAGGTCGGTTATGGTGGTCTGGCCAGGCAGCAGGCCAAAAGAGCTTTGGTTGGAATCGAGAAGTCGGCCGGTTGAGAAGGAAACGTTGGGGGAGGTGCCGCACGCTACGAGTGTCAAGCCAATCCCTTGAGTTCTCCATCTCGTGAGATTGCTGGCAAAGACACTGGGATCAGTCGTTGGGGGTTTGTTGCCTACACCGGGATTATCGTAGGCGTTATACGATAGTCCATACGAGTAATCCTCAGGACTTGATTTATCAGAGGTGTTCGGATCCTCGACAAGAATTGTCACCTGGCAGTTTGACCCGGTGGCAGTCAGCGTTGCATGGGTTGGTCCGTAGACGTTCTTCGAAATCGTAAAGCAGTTCTTTCCAGTGGACCCGGCAGTACCAGTGCCAGTTGGATATATCATGGTATTGTTCGGATAAGGATATAGGTACGAGTTTGACAAGGTAGGGGAAGTTCCTGGGATTGAGTAATTACCCGTCGGTGAAGGTGGATATGCTAAAGATAAATTTCCAGAGGGTGCAGGTGTTGCTGAAAACCCAATTGACGCTGCAGATGGAATTAAAGATGGGAAGGCGTTGGATGCAATTGGAGACGTCGAAGATAAAGAAGCGTTGCCAGAACCAAAGCCGGGACAAGTAGCCACTACAGCGTGTTAGCAAAATGAGCTACAGAGAACCCAATTTTCTCACCAGATGCAATAGTGAAGTCAACTTTCGAACAGTCAGAAGGTGGCGGCACTTTGTAATATCCAATGACGTTCCCTGCATCGTAGCAAAAGGATGCAGCACCGTTGTAGAACAGCAAATTCTCCCATCTTAGTGAGTTCCCCGACGCCTTCCAGACCCCATATATGCTTTCAATGGTTCTCGACGCCACGAGTGGTGCTGATTTGACAGTAGAGTTCACAGAGAATATTGCCCCTCCACCAGCCCCCAGTATTCCCGCATCGCTGAGAGAGTATGCGGTTGACGAAAGACAATTAGACACGGCGTCCCCATCCGATTTGAGGAAGACTTGGGCTGTCGCTCGCTTTCGTGCAAATCTTGGTGGAGGAGCCCTGGTGCCGAGATCGATGGATAGGGCAATCAAAAATCGAGATGGAGTATTTGTAGAAGAGGGCGAAGTGCTGCAAATCACGTCAATAATATCCTTTACCATAAGATCTTGGAACGCCTACTTTGCTCCAGTCACAGATAGAGACGGAGGAGGGCTGCCACCAGCACTTCCGCTTGGATTGCCACTACCCAGTCCACCACCAGTATTCCCACCATTACCACCCAATGTACTGCCAGGGCCAGCATTACTGTCTCCACCAGGGGTTCCTGATCCTGATGATCCGCCTGAAGGAGAAGGACTACTCTTCAAAGTATACGTTGGAGCACAAGGAGCGGTATTGACGATCGCGGTATTAGTATGCTGAGAAAGACATGTGCACGTTAAAAGCGAGAGAATTACAAATCGATAGGAATAATGCGTCCACGCATACATACTTTTGTATTTCTGTAGGAAACCTGACAAGAAGGAAAACAAGCGATGGAATACGTAAATTCAGACACGCTATAAAGAAAATTTCGTGTTTTGGGTGCAATTTTGAACGCATTCCTCAGTAATTGACGTTGGTATGCTGGCGAAAGTTGCCAAAACGCACGCGGTGAGCGGCTCACATGGCAAAGTCGATCAAGAACGCCAAGGGCATCGCCAAGGGCAAAGATAGAGACGAGAACGCGCGTTAACATTCGATCTTTGCTCATCAACTCACTTGTGGCTGGCTAACCACCAAACCAGAAGGCCCCTGTATAGTCCCCAGGATAGGACCAATAAACCGCATCGAAAATCCCAAATTCGGCTCTCCAGGTCCTCTTCCCAGGATCGCTCTCACGCTCCTTAGAACGACTTCCTCGTCGTCCAAGGATGGACTTAACTGTGACACGGGCCCGGTCGAACCGCCTGTCAAAGGCAGCTGTAAGGTTTCACCCTCTAGACTCCACGCATCATGCTGAACGGTCGAGTTCACGGCATTCACAGTCCGCTTGTAAGTCTCAAAAGTCTTGGACTTGGGCTGCACGTCCTTACCTTGGAAGGTGAACTCTTGTGCCAGACTACCGAAACTGTATGCTTTGCTGCTGGTCGACAGGTAAGAAGCGGAGCCTTCTTGAGTGGTGCTAAGTGCTGCCGTGATGTTTTGAGGTAACTGCGTATTTGCGCTACGAGAAATTTGCTCGAAGCTAGTATCAGCAGGGATGAGCGCATTGCCTTGAATATTGAAGTTTTGAACGCCGTTTGGAAAAACGGATTCACCGGCGTCCTCAAGAGTAAGCCCGCGAGATAGTGTGGCATCGATGCTAATGCCATTATTAGGCAAGCTTTGAAACCCAGAGTTGACCGTCAGCGGGTAAGAGAAGCGGCGAGAGTAACCATACTGCGAATAGTCCGTGCCATTTGTGAATTGTGTAGTCACTTGCGTCAAGCCTGCGTTAGTGAGAGCCCCTTGATTGTGGAAGGTAAGATGCTGAGTCCATGTTCCGTCGTGCGGAGAAGTCACGCTTATAGCACGAGAGACCTCAACGTTGTACGTCAATGTACTAGTTGTCTTGGAGGAGGAGACGGAAATCTCGGGGGGTATGTCAGAAACGGAGAGATCTCCAGGTCGAGACAAAGTGGAAGTACTCGAGGTAGCACTGTGGAAAAGGAATATTGTCCCAGTGACAAGCCAATATCCTCCTACAGTATCCGAGAGCTGTGCATTGCCCTTTCCGTCATCTTGCAATCCAACAACTCTGATCTCAAAGCTGTGCTCGTTTCCATCGACAAGGTAGCTTAGCCAGGGAGTGACGTCGATCTCATCCTGCCTCAAGTCGTACGTATCGATGCCAGCAATTGGACGCCATAAGCCAGGCACTATGCCTCCTGTGAATATGATCGGAAAAGGCCAGGACACACCAGCTAGTCGGCCGTCAATCAGTAATTGTACCTCGCGAAAGGGCGAAAATCCGCCGAGGGTGCCAGTCGTATTCTTGAATGTATCAACGTCAGAGCTCAGCACATTTTGGTACCAAAACTCCTCTCCTTGCTGTCCAGTCGCAGCCAAAGACACCACGGCTCTTTTGTAGCTTCCATTAAGCGGGTATGACACTTTTGCGGCATCATTTGGCACAGTGAATACGCTACCCGAATTCCGCAGCGATCCCTTTGCTGTAATTGGCAATATCTCATCTGCAACGGCTTTATTCTCTGGAACAGAGAAGAAGGTAGCAGTCAATGTGGTATGTAACAATCCAGTGTATATTTCATTGACGTTGTTTGGTAGATCAAAAATAATTTTCTGGTCTGTTTTCCATAACGTATTGAAATGATCCATTTCCTTTACATAGGTCCACACAATACCATTGGCCGTTGGCTCTGAAGTAGAGGTTCTGAAAACCTCAATATCGCCAAGGTACATTATCCCAAGCCGATCAAATTGTCTACCTTTGACGGTGACCGTGAAGTTCATCGTCACGCGATTGAAGGCGCAAGGTGGAGGTTTGTGCGTTCCTATGCAATGTGTTAGCAATGCGAGAGCACGACATGCGGCTGGCAGATACTGACCGATGAATGGGAAGCCATAGCTATTCTCAAAGACGTGTTCCATAAGCGTCGTCTTATAAATGCAGCCATTTTGATTCGTGTCTTCCGGCGTGAAGACGGGCTCATAAACTTCGAAATTGACCAACGTACTTCCAGCTTCGGTCTGATTCGCGAGTGTGCTATTAGAGATCGTTTGAATCGGTAAAGAGGCAGCACTGGCATGGCTGGCAAGGTATAAAACGCACGTAAGGGGAAAGAGGTAACTGCTGGAGCTGAGAGCACAGTGCATGCTGGAAAGGAACAACAGCTGGGCCGAGTGAGTCAATGACATAGAAGCAAGCTTGCTAACACGTACCAAGAAGATATAGCCATGGCCATAGCGAATCCATCTTCGCAGGCAGCGAACGAGCTTGTTGGTGTGTTCACAGCTTCTGAGACCTCATGTCGGATAATCGATTGGGGCTATGCAGGGGAAACCCGGTGCCCTAGCGGTATTCATATTACAGATGAAGACAATAATAGCCCCTGCCATACCAGAGGAGCGGATTTCATTGAGACTTTTAACATGCAAAGGCACCTCCATCTTTGGAACATCCTACATTCGGAGACATCTTCATGTCGCGCCCGCATTGACATTCTTCGGAAAGGACCACGTCTCGTACACCAAGACTTCTTGTCGTCTGAATTCAAACAGCAAGTACAACTGTATGACGTAAACTATCATCTGAAAGCCATGCATAGCCTGATTTTGTCGATATTTGTAATCCCAACTACATGGAGAAGAAAAGCTATCGACAAAAGAAGCCATCTGGCTCCATATACGGCAGTCATGCCACACGCTTCATGATCAATTCTTCGTCCACGTCCATTAACACGTCAATACTATGTCTGTTGGTCTTTCCTCATCACCTCCTTTTCCCTAGCCGACTGGCCAACCAGCTTCCCCCGGCTTCTCCTTCTCCTTTTCCTTTTCCTTTTCCCTCTCGTCTACCTCCTCATCCTCCTCCTCAACAGGCGCCGGCGTCCTCCGCTCAGTTCTCCTCTTCGGTCTTCTGACCCTGCTTCTTGAAACGTTACTTGCCGAATCATCAGGCGCAAGCTCGCTCTCAACATCCCAGTTTTCTCCATCAGTGCTTTCCCCATCCCAGCCACCATCGCCCCACGCACTTGCAGGCGTTCCCATCCGCGCATCTAACGTGCTGTCTGCTCTTCCACTGAATCGCCGCCGTTGGCTAGCCCTGTGCTAAGCCAGCTCCCCGTTCGCGGAGCGCAGAACGAACGATTTCGGCTTTTTGGTGTAGAGCTTCGAAGGCGTCCTCGAGGGACTCCATTCCTAGGTAGATTTCACGCTCGACTTCCGCGAGGATGGCAATTTCGGTCTCTTCGTCAAGTGCGACGGGGGCGCCGTGAGAGGCTGGTGATGCGGAGAAAAGTTGGTGAGAGATCGAAGCGGCTCGGGAGGGTGTAGTAGATGGCACGCGCATTCCGGGCGTGGGACCACGCGAGGGTGAGGAATTAGAATGATTGGTGTTAGGTGTGGCATTTGGAATATCTTCTGCTCCGCTGCGCAGAAAGCCGTCGAAGCGACCTGAGATTAGGATTTCCCACTCTTGGTCGCTGACGGCTGCAAGAGTGGCTAGTACATTATGAAGGTGAGGGTTGTTCAAAAGGAAGAGAGCTGATTCAGGATCTCGTGGACATGTGGGCAGGCGGTAGAGACGTTGGATTGCAAGACCCGTTGTAGACAGAATAGGGGAATTGGCGCTTGGAGTCACAGTAGATGTAACGATAGATTCGGCAGCAGAGACCGGGCGGCTAGGAGGGACACCGAGAAGCGATTTGAACGTAGGTCGTTGATCGGGATCGAGGCGGGTTAACATGGCAAACGTCAGAGTCTCGTCGTCAACATCAGTCGGCGCATTGATAGGATCTGCAGGCTGGCTTTCAAGCCATTTGTCGACGGTCTGTTTCGTCTTCTTCGACTGCCGAATGTAGTGTGCTCTGAATTCCTCGGGGACGTCGATATCCAGCTTTTGCATTGGCGTCGCTTGCTCGGTCCCTGCGATACCAAGACCAACATTGTCAAAGCAGAAAGGAGGCCACTGCGGGAGAATTTGCCGACCGGAAACGTATTCCAAAATTTCTCCCCAGCTGACACCTCGCGCATCATCCGAATCATCACTGTAGTCTGGCGATGACTGGCAGAGCCTACAATGGCAGACTTCTGAGGATATATCTCTTGCGAAGACCGCCTCTAGCCGGTCAAGCAGGCGCCGAGCAATCGATCTGTATCCAGTCGCAACGGCGATAGATCCATTTTTCGAGATGACTTTCATGTAGTCCTCGAGCACGTAATTGAATGGTTGAAAGTAATTTGCTGACCCACCTGGTGCTTCGGATAATTGTGCAGGCCGGCCAACAACTGACAATCGTCTTGGAGCCTCTTGTGGAAGGCCACCGTTTTTGAGAAGGTAATCGACCCTTGGCGCAGACACGTCTGGAGGCGGGGGAGGTGGTGGTGGCATGGGCGACTCTTCAATGCCTTCGAATCTGCCGTTTATCGAGAAAGCAGGTGTCACTTGGCGACTGAGAGGATAGTGGGGCTCTGAGACTGTGGGCGTTTTCGGCTCGTTTTCAACATCGAGCGCTGAAGACGAGTTGCGGTCATCTTGAGGAGTTGATGGTATCTGCATAGCGAACTGGGTTGGGGCGATAGAAGTGGCATCAGAGTCTGTCGACTCTGTGAGACTTTCGCTTTTTGAGGTCGTTGAGTGGACCGACGAAGACGCCATTCGAGGGCTATTGCGTACTTGTAGCTCCTCACTGATGTCAACCTTTGTTGCTTGCTTTGATGGCGTGCCAGGCTTTGAGCTTTTGGCTGAGGGTGGCCCTGATCTGCCATCTTCTTTGGTTCCTTCGCGCTGACTGGGTCTTGACCTTGCCAAATCTGACTTGCGACCTCTTACTTCACTCGTGCTATTGCTCTTAATCAGACGCTTTTTAAACTCCTCTGCTCTCTTTTGTAGATCATATTTTCGCTCGAATTTCGGTGACTCCACTCTTTGCTTGTCCATCTTCGCCATCTCCTCCACTGTCGTCTCGGGAGGACTTGGTGGGGCAACATTTGCGCTCTTTCGCCGCTCCACCACAACATTCTGTTTGTTTCCTTGCTCTAGATCTGTAGGGTCTGGTGTGTAATAGTCTAGCCTCACATTGTCTCGACTGCCAACCGCCTCTTTGCTATGTTCTTTAGAGAAAGAAGGGTATGGCAAGCTAGACTTGCTTCCTAAGGGTGAGTCAGAAGGAGTGACACGATCGGATTTTGATTCTGGTATTGACGCCCTCCGCTTTGTGGTAGGCGAAATGCGCTCAGCGCTTTGGTTTGTAGGCGTTGAAGCCTTCTTGGGCTTGTGGGTGGAACGGGAGGATTTGTGGTGTCGATGTTTTTCTTTCGTTCGCGGAGCCACTAAGTCCTTGTCCGGCTCTTTCTCTTTAATTTTCGTAGGCATATTGAACAAGATCTGGTGATTGGGGTAAAGAAGGCTGGGGCGGTGGGTTTCACGTTGTAGGAGGCCGTGGTCTTGGTATTGGGTATGCAAGACTGTAGTAGAGCGTAAATACAACTAGAGATGAGTCGTTCGATGCTTGTACATCTGAGCATGCACCTTCCAACTCTTCTCACTTTGAGCACATTCTTGGAATTGGCAGACAGGAGGACCGCATCTGACCCAACAGCAATGCGTCGAGGCAGACAAACATGGGGCGTCGGGTCATGTGATTTCAGCGACAGACACTCTACTCATAAGAATGAGGTCGTTATCGCACGCTGTCATGTGTGTGGCACTTGTCAATGTTGACGCCAGGATTGCGGCGGCGAGGGCGGGTCAGGCGCCTCGGGCATGTATTAAGGCTCATGAGACGTTTTCGACCACCGGAATCAATACGGCAGGCAGTGAACCCAGACTGTCCTAAATTTACTGGCTGCAAGGTTTGTTGCTTCTCGTTGCATGCCCGCATCTTCAAGAGGCATATCTGTTCAGTCTGGTGATTGATAGCCATAGCCATGAGAACCTTTGGACTAAGAGAAGCCACTGCTGACCTTTACTTTACATGTACTGACTACTAAATCTAAAGAAGCAAACATGAATGAATCTCTTGTCCTTTCAGTCCACATGGTCGGTCAACGTACGGAGAGGACGCTACTTAAATTAACGACATGTCGCGTCACGCGCGTGTAATTTACCGTCACCTCAACTTAATTTGAACTTTTGAAAGCTCGAAATGTCCCACGGCCACCCTACCAACCTCTACCCTGAGATTCGATTCGATTCTTGTGAGTTGAGTGCCACACATAAGAACTCAAATCCAATGAGTAGCAGCGCACAGCGTGATCAGGTCTAGGACATTGCCACGAAAATGGGGAGCTTCCTCTCCAGCACTAATGAGGCACGGCCGACGACAGCACAACCACGTCAAAACATCAACCCAAATGTGTCCCTTTACAATAATATGAGCACCGAGCATTCGTCTCCACGGCCTACGTCTATGGAGATTAGTCATGGTAGCGGACCTTTCATTGACACTTCGTCTGGTACATCAGGTATCGATTCTGAGAGTGAAAAGGAGGAAAACGGTGCAGAAGAGGGCACAAGTCAAAGGGCAGCCAGTCCAGGACATGAAAACCGCGTAGCTGAAGACACACAGCATCAAGAAGATTACACTAGTGGCCCACATGCTCAGATGACTGTGCATCCAACGGTTCGCGTGATTATTCCATCAAAGGTGAAGGGGGTGGATATCTTGGAAGAGAAGCATAGCATTGACACCAGCGGAAACGACTCGGAGGCCGCAACGCCGCGTCAGATACACAATGATTCTGTAGACCAGGAGCTTATAGGTTTTCGCACTGCAACAGAGGTCTATCTCCAGAGCAAAGATGATACAACGCCACAAGAAACAAAACGCCATCATTCGACCACGTCCGAGTCTTCAGAAGATAGCAGCGATGACGAAGTAGGCGTCATTGACAACAATGATGACAACAGTAATGCAACAGTCGTAGATCCTCCAGGACCAAACCACAGCGATGATGTTGCGATACAACATAACGCCGGCCCAATTTCAGATGCGGAGAACGATGACACTAAGATGACGGAGGTTGAAGCACATGCGCAAATATTTGAACATCCATCATCGTCAGAAAGAATGGGAGAAAGCGACGATGACGAGAGCGAGACGTCAAGCTTGTATGCGCAATTCAATTTTGATGGTTGGGAAAAACATGAAGTCAAACGGTACAATAGGATTGCTCCACCAGGTGGAAAGTTGCAAGATTTTGTATCAGAAGAAGAAGAATCATCAAGCGATACTGAAAAAGGGAATCCTGAAGCGGGGAAGGGAATCCATGATGCGCTCTCATATGCCGAATTAAAGAATCTTCCAGATATGCATGAGGATGGGCCAGCCATTGTAGAAGAGAGCAGCATATATACAATGGACGAGGAAAACCCAATGGCTCATGACGAGGAAACGAATGAGGACGACAGCGGAGACGAGAGCGACGACACAAGGCTCTATCGATACTTTGACTTTCACGATTTGACGAAGCATGACGTGAAATATCTCAACTCCATTGCAGAACCTGGCCAACGGTTAGAGGATGCGTTAATAGCAGACCAACTTACAGATAGGATTCTTTCTCACAAGAACGAGAAAGAGTCGATAGAGAGGTTTGTGGCGTCACTACCAAACCCAGTTGCTGGCGCGCAGTCTTCTTGTGGTCTTCCCATCGGCAACGTCGCGCGAGATTTGAATCGTTTTCGGGAACTGCATCCATTCACACAGCTGGTCAAAGAAGGGCGCACGTTCACAACATCACAGCGCCGCAATTTTGAGCGTGAGATTTACGATTTTTCGAGAAGCTATGGTCTGACTTCTACGGAATCAAATCACGCTGTTGCCTGGGCTAAGGTACACGCGGAAACATTGCATGAAGGAATTCACTCTAATCAGAGTTGGGATTCTTCTCAATGGGATGGTGAACAAGACGATCAAATCGACTTCGCATCCATCAAGCTTCAGGATATGCAACACGAGCGGAAACAGCTTAAACGGAAGCAGTATAGAGAGCGCAGAAAGCGGAAAAGAAAGACGAATGGCTTCTGGTCCTCAAAGATTTCTCAACCAAACATCGAGTCGTTGAAAGAGATCAGCAACAACCAGCGAGGCACGCCTACAACCAAAGAAGCCAATCTAGCAGATGCTGATATTCAACATCCTTTGAAAGGGGAGGGTACGGAGAACGACGTGAACCTTGGAGTAAAGAACGAGAACACATCCTCTACAGCAGTAACTACCGTAATAAACACAGTCAAGCGAAAAAGACAAGCATACAATGCTACGGTTCCCCATTCGAAAAGACGCAAACGTGGTCACCTTGTCCCAGAGAACCAGGACAAGACTTTAACGTCAAATTTTCGATAGCCGATGAGGCAGTTACAACTGCTGAGGCTTTGAAAGATGCCATTCATGCTGACAGGTCATCGATTCCACTCTCTTCATCTACGACCCCCATGAAACACCTCCCAAGCGTCTCACCGCCATCCACTAGAACACGATCAAAAATAATGCTCACCCATGCTCCAGTCGACGCTTCAGTCTCTCCGGTCTCAAGTGCTGAGGACGGGTACGGAGCTGATTTGTCTGAGAGCAAAGAGCTTAATGATTCACGTGATGTACACACGCAAAAAAAGGTGAAGCCAGAGCCGACTCAACGAGAATCGGAAAAAGGCAAACGACGTCGCAAGACACCAGCACAACACCAAGAAATCCGAGAGAACAAAAGGGAACCAGTAAGCCATTCACGGAGAACTCCGACTCCTGCCAAAGGCACTCGTACAAAATCATCGACGAAATCTCCCTACTTTCCACTGACCAAGTCTATCTTGTCCAAGCCAAGAGTCTCCAGGAAAGACATTTCCTGTATCCCATTCCCACCCTTGTCAGCTCCAAGTTTCGGACTCGCGCAGGAGCGACTCCGCCACGATCCACTGCACCTCCTTGTCGCATGCATATTCCTCACCAAAACACGTGGCGCGGTATCAATGCCGATGTTTTATCAATTGATTGCCAAGTATCCAGACGCCAACCAACTAGCCAGTGCAGATTTCGAAGACGTGATGGACATATTTGCTCACCTCGGCCTTCAAAACCAGCGCGCCACGCGAGTCATCAAATTGGCGCAAGTATTTCGTGACGTACCTCCCCACAAGGGCGCACGATACCGCTCCCTACACTATCCCAACCACGGCGATGGGAAAGATGTTCGACCGAAAGAGTCGATTGATGAGGACGACAAGCGGGTAGGGTGGGAGATCGCGCATCTACCAGGTGTGGGTCCCTACGGATTTGACTCGTGGCGAATCTTCTGTCGCGACAGGCTAAGAGATCTTGACGACTTGAGTGAGATGGAACAAGAATGGACAAGGGTCTTGCCACTAGACAAGGAGTTACGAGCGTATCTGCGCTGGCGTTGGCTGAAGAGCGGGTGGGTCTGGGATCCCCTGACAGGCAACAAGCGGAAGGCGGAAAGTGCAGAGATGTTGGAAGCGGAAGAGGGCGGTGTGATGGTCGAAGGCAATGGAGACGGAAGGATCGATGCTGGTGAAGGCGCGGAACCAAGGAATGGCCCGCAGCTTGATGTTGTGGCAGGTGGTAAGGCCGCGCCAGGCAAAGATGGAGAGGAAGAACAGGGTTGATCGAAAGTCAATGAGCATGTACTTGATCTCACAGATTTGCGTGGTCGTCAGTCAAGATCCCATCATGTCCATAGCAGAGTCCAATTCAAAACTTTCGAATGAGCATGTCTGAGCATCTTGTCAACCAGGCGATAAGTTGTTTGTCTCCAGCTAAAAATCCTTGCATCACCATCGTGTTGATATTGGGTCAGGCTTTAGCGCTGGACTGGGAAGTGATGATGCAGTGCAGGACGCGTGAAACGTATCTATGGCTTCAATTGCTGTACTGTTGAGGGCTAAAAGACTAAATCTCAAAGCCAAAGGTAGATGGCTGAAGACCAGGAATTGACGGTCAAGTGTGCAGTCATTTTAGCGATTGGACTAATCATGGTACTTTCAGACCAACTGCGATACGCCGGTGCTTGGTAAGATTTTGCAGTCAATTGTCGCTCAAGAAGCTCTGGATGACAGTCAGCATCTCGATGCTGCTCTTTTCCTGGTGATAGTAGGTGTGCGAAGTGTGCAAATTGTGACTATTAGCGGTCATCCGCTTCGCTCGGTGGATGAACGATTTTTGATACAGGTGTTTATCTGATTGTGAGAACAGACGTAACGACAGTATCATCCAAACTGTCGTTTTGCCCGCATCCAAGAAGCCAGACTCCAAAGATCCATGTTAAATGTCGGATTTTTGCTGGCTGGAAAGCAAGTGAGCCCGGTGGCTTGGCCATAATCCTTAATAATCCGCACAGCATTTGCTACCACGCGGTAGGGTTGACTGGTTTAATATTGTGATTACCACGGCTTGATCGATGCCCTCTCTTGACGAGCTACAGGATTTCGCGTTATGGCTTAAATGTGAATAAGTCGTAACCCTGAGCATCTTGACTTTTGCAAACGCCAGAATTGCAGCGTGCAGAGTGTTTGAAAGGCTGATCCATAGCCAGAACTTAGTAGTAGCTAGACTTCAAGTGACGATGTGCATGCTTGATCGACAATCTACTGCCAAATGCCTTGGAGACAACGCTATTGAAGAACTGAAATCAAAGCCAATAAGCGGTAATTATTGCACCTATGAAATCAGCTTCCCTTCTAGAATGGGTAAAACAAATTGGAAGCATTAACCATACATCAGTCAGTAAGACTGCAGTTAGGGCATTTCTTGCAAGCTATTGGAGAGACCATTCCTGACTAGAGTGATAATGTGAAGATAAGTGTCGAGAAGATTTGTTCAATAAATCTGAGCGGTGCAGAGCATGTAAGGCATTAAAGCACGACATCCTAATTCTGGCAGGGCACGTATTGAGTTCCACAAATTGAAAGATTCGACAGGCACGTTTTCCTATCAGGCAAGCGTACTGTGGTGTCCGTAATGAACAAGAGATTGCCACTAGGAAAATTTATCAAGCAGCTTTTGCCAATTGGGAGGACTTCTATCACCAGGTCTCCCCGGCGAAAAATCTTCATAAGTTAAGACATGATAAGAAACCCTTGTGTGCCTGGGTTAGTTATGATCGGTGAAAGTATTGGGCCTCCTCTTAAATCGTCCTTTCCGCTAACCTTACGCAAAGTTGAGGTAGATTGAGGCAAATTGCAGAAATAGTTAAGCATATGTCAAGTGACTAAAATCTTGGATTCAAGACTCTGCTAGTCTTGAATGCGTAGCTTGACCATCAGACATATACCGCTGATGTAGTGTTTTGATGTGCAAGAGTAGCTGAACCGGACAATTTCAAGAATAAAACCAAGATACTGAGCCCACAAGCAGCAAGAGGCAACAAGAGGAGCGGGTCATCGAGCATAGACGCTTCACTAGTAAAGCAATTGAGGAGATTTAGCAGATATAGAGTCAGTTTTAGTTGCACTGCAGAAATCTAGAGTCACTTGTAGGTTTCTATCATTGGGGCACTTGAACTGTTACATGTGGTCTGGTGGAATTGCTACCGCGCTTACGAAGAAAGGACGCCGGAGAGTTGCCTGTTGCGAATCTACAATCAATAAAAAGACCCTGGAGAGCTTCGAGCACTTGCCTTTCAATACCTGGAAGTTATCACATGATTTTTTCAGTGATTAAAGACGCTGCAAGAAAATACTGGCAATGCACAAAGTCTTTCAACTCCAGATAGCATCCAACGCCTAGATACTTCAGTGATTTGAAGAGTTTTAAAAATGTTGAGGTGCACGTGTTTGGAACCAGGACGCCTCAATAAAGCGACATCGGTCATCAAGGAATTTTTCAACTTTATATCATCGCTCCAGATCCGACACTACGGGTATCTCAAGTCAGAGCGAAGATCTATGTTGCATGAATCTGGACAGGTAAGACGTGACGAAGTTTGACAGATAGTTGAGTAGACATAAGTTCCTGGAGTCTGCTTCTCATGAGGAAATGTAAATGCGGCATAATAGAGTCGGGTAGCGTTTCAGGCGGTGAAGGACTTGCAGACGAAGATTATGTGTTCAAATTTAGAGCTAGTGGAAGAGAGTGAGAGAGTTCGTTGAACAGGCAACAAATTATTATAAATACAAAATATATACATGCAGTACTAGGAGGGAGGCTATCACTGATATCCGAAATGTCATTAATAGGAAAAATAGACTTGCAGTTAGAATTTCTCACCGCCAAGAGAGCCGTCAGGTATACCTAGTCGAGGTAGCTTGTCAGATCGCCACATATTGGTTCATATATTCCTAGGGAGTCAAACTCACAAAGAGACGGATATTGATGGAACGTATGATACGTCTAACTAGATTGAAGCATTAATGTCTAGTCTTCTGCCTAATCTGGAAGATTATCTCACATTTTGACATTCGCTCCATGACTCATCGGCCGCGGTGTAATTTGTTTACGCTCAGAATGGTTGAACTCTTTCGGACTTCTTTCAATCTGAAAAGTGATTCAGCAAGCAGCAATGCCATTCCAAGATTTTTTTCTTACACTAAAGTAGCCAGATCAATTATAGGCACCATAGCAAGGCCTTCAAGACGCCCTACATGGATGTCATAGTTCGGGAAAGAGGATCGAAGACATTTTAAGATACAGTCTACAATCCAGGAGAGTGTACTCTCAGTCTTATCCAACATCTTATGTACTACAATCGAATCTTGGATCTCGCCGTTGGAATGCATTCAATTCAATACTGGACAGAGGCTTTGCTCGACATAGTAGGATGAGAATGCAACTAGTCACAGATCGATATCTTTGGAAGCTGCTGTATCAAACTGCTTTTAGTCTTGACAAGAATGAAAGTAGCAGCCACTTCAGTGTGCTTCTAAGCTTAGTACTTCTTCTCCGAGATAATCACCAAGACTAGATGCAGAAGGACAATCCTATATCTTCAAGGTCGCTCTGACGACTTCAATACGAACGTCCGCTCTCTACCTTCCAACAGATCTTTGGAGCACTGTTGCTTCCTTTGAAAGATATAACTTCTGTTCATGGATACAATTGCGCCTTCAAATGTTCATCATGTAGCATATACGTTCTCATACGTTCTCAGCCTTTCATCTTCTGGCATTATGATCTGCTCCAGTTTTTCTCATTGTTGTGGACGCCCGATTATCGATCATTTGGGTTATGCTGTGCCATCTCACGACTTCTGAGACGTGCTTGAAGCTGGGATTAGCATCAAAGTAAACCTGAGCTATGAAACAAATCCACGCTTATGAGTGAATGGCTTGGCACACTTTGGCATGAAGATCAACTTGGTCAAGCCTGGCATGATATGCAAACGGCTCACCTGGCGTATTGTTCACACGAGTACCTTGGAATAGAGGCATGAGAAACGCTTCGTTGTTTCTCAAGAAGTCTTGTTGACATCTTCCTTCGAAGTGAGCGCATAGACTACTTGTATCAAGGGCTAGAGATCTCAATAACGGAGCTAAGAATTAACGTGTCATTGCAGGCCTGCCGTCCTATACCTATACTCACTCTAAGAGGTGTACTCCTGCCGCAATAGCTAGGCAGCTTGAGAAGACGTAAAAGTTCTAGCCTGGAGGGCCAAAGCTGGCGCATTTTGACCACAAATTCCTTGTGGAGTGGGGAGACGGTACGGAGGCAGGCTTCTCTTCATCGTGTACTCCACTGGTCCATCTCTTACCTCTTCCATGGCTGGCGGATCCACCGATGCAGCCACCAAAGCAACCCGTCCCGCCATCGACCCATCAGGCACGTATATGCAACTCTTAAGCACAACGCAAAAGATGTAAGGCTTCCACCTTGCACTAGGGAGAGCGCAATTGTGACGTTGGCGTATTGGAGGGTGATGACGAAGCAGATGACGCGAGGGCGCTCATGGCGTGAGTTGGATCGAGGGTGCTGCAGCAGAGCAAGGGATCTGTGCCTTCTTTGCCCTGCATCGTTGAAGGAAGTGGAGGTGGACAATTGATCAGTATTGTGGAGGTGGAACGTTGGAGGAGGCACAGGTGTGCATGACGAATTGACTTGAGATGTACGGCTTCTGATGCATGATGAGCTCTCACCAGTATGCGAGGGTGGACATGTGAGGAAACTGATTCGCGGCCGAATATTGAAGCCATCTCCCCAGATTTTGCGCCTTCGATCCGCGAGGAACTTTTCTCAAACACATCGTAACACAATTTCTCTACGGGGCTTGAGAGACACGAGACGAGAGAAAGGTTCAGCCCAGACGTAGACATACTCGTCACAATTCACTGCGCATGATACTATGGCAAGCCGTCTGTCGACAACAGCAAGACATTAGGGTCCTTAGACTACCCACGTCAAGAGATCTCTCTTCCTTTTATGCTCGGCTTCGGCAGCCTGTGATGAATCAGTAACAGCATCTTCTATTTTGAGCTCACGCTGAAGTAGGTTCCCCGCACCTCGCACAGAGTACGCAACTAGCATACAAGGCTCCGCCGATAGTCATAACATGATCAGACACGCTTCAATCATGCGGTGTTGGACTTACGGCAACGGATCACATTGGCATCAGCCTGGCAAAGAACGAAAGAGAGAATCACGGAGATCTGTGATGTTGTGGAGCTGAAAGTGGCTTGATTTCGATCTAATTGTGCCGATATTTGGAGTGCTGCGGCCCCGTCAAGTACATTCAGCGAATTGTCAGAGAGACGATGTCATCAGCACATCTCGCATTGTGAATGAAGAGCGAATTTCCCCGACAACCTACCATTACAAAGGAAGAAACTCAATATTGTTCCTGATCTGCACAAAGCGCATCTGCATTACCATCAACTTCAACGTGCAGATACCTCTCTCATAAATCCGCTCAAAGCATTGGCCTTTCTGGACTAACTCCAGTCCATGTCCGTATTCATCCGTCCCTTGCCTGAGCAGAACTGTGTATGTGGTACACAAACGCCATTCCGAAGCCAAGCCCTTGCATCATAGACTCAGCTCCTAGAATGATACCGTGCAGTTGTCTACGAAAGTTGTAATTTTGCAAACACCGGGATCTGAAACCCTTCACCGGCGCCGAAGTGGGTACACGGATGATTTGAGCTTGCTCGATGGGAGATGATGAATATCTGCGCATCCAAATCTCACTTGAGATCCACTTTGGGGATACCAAATGGTCCAGGTTCCCCGAGTATGTGGGTCTTCATTCTGGTAATTGAGTCATCATGATGAGTACTATAACTTGAGTGATCAGATACGCGGAAGGTGAGCGTTCGTTACGCCGTACGATCCGGCGGTGACGCTGGCGTCCCAGACCTTTCTGACTCACGATCTGCATGTGTGCAAGATCGCTGGAAGCTCTCACGAGTGACTGGCGCAGTTCTTGGGGTGAATGGAATGACTTTGAGATGATGAAAACCCACGGCACATCTGCTACGAGATTTCCACGAGACTTCATTCATCCAGCGGTCGAGTCTTCCGTTTTCTTCTCTGCCGCGGTAATCCAGGTGACCATGTCTTGCGCCTTTCGTTAGCCCGGTAGCGGATGCACTCACCAGGAGCCGCACTGTGGCCAAAAATAGCTACTGGCGATCAACCGATCAACCAAGCGGATCAACAACCTCAGCGAACATGTTTGCGCCCGTCTCGGAAGGCTACAAGCGCACCAGAGTCTATCAATCGATGTTCCTTGCCATGCTCTCCCCACGTTCTCCACGCGGAGTAATTGTGGCGATGCATCCCCAGCTTGTGTCTCTTGTCCAAAGGATTACGTGTGAGATATCTGTTTTGCAACAGTCTGACTCTGACACACTGCTTCTCATCATCGCCCGAGAAAGGCTGTCTTCATCTTGCATATATCTACGCTACCGGCAACAATAACCGCTAGTATCCTTGCTCATCGATTACTCTTACATGGCGCCTTCTCTGACACACTCTTTACTGCCTTTCCGGTCTTTCACCAGATGATTTGCTCCGCGAAGTTGAAATGCATCTTGCAATCGATCGCGATCTTCTCTTACTTGGCTGCAGGCCACCCAAGATTTCCGGCGGCTGTGGAAGATGATGTCTCTGCATTTGATTGGGATGATGATGCATTCATCGATGAGGAGCCAATTGCTAGAAGATCAAATATCGACATTCGCATCGGTGGAGAATTGGTGGACTTCCCCGAGGCCGCACAACTCGTCCAGCGACAAGATCTTGGTGATGGGCCCGCCAACACCAATCCAGCTACAGCTGGAGGAAGTAAGTCCTTGTCTTCTGTCAGTGTAAAATCCAATCTGATGTCGGTCCAAAAGTCAGCCCAGGGCCACAACAGAATGTGAGCGTGACACAGGGTCCGAATGTCACCAACACGACCAATACCACGACAAACACCATACCTGGCTTGATTTCTAACGCTCCAAACCCTAATGCCAACCAAGTCAATTGCTCCAATTTGGAAACTGGACGTTCGAATGACTGTTGGGCTCAGCTGCAGCTATCGGACTATTTAACGGATTGGCTTGACAATCACAATTGCTATCAAGATGAAGGCTTCTCGACATGTTTTCTGAGGCAGAATGGGTTTCCTGCACTGGACTGCTCTATGATCACCGTCAGCGCATGTCCGGCTATACAAAGTGATTTGGTGGCTAGGGACCCTCGGCAGTTTTACGTAGCCTACAACATCTATGGCAAGTAGATTGCATACACTAATACAGGTAGCGTTGACTGACATCTTGACAGCTGTGAATGCTTTCTTCTATTCATGGTGGCTAGCGGTTGGGTCGTCAGGTAGCCTTGCATCGGACAACATCGGCAAGATCGTGCAGATTCTCGACCCCCCTGCCAAAACAAATTTCTTGATCAATGGCTTACTCGTTGCGTTCCAAAGCATCTTCGCTATCGTTCCTGGTGTCGCGGGTGTCTGGGCATCACACAGCGCCCTCAATTACAGGTTTCAGCTCGGAGCGCAGGTGATATCCAACGCGCTTGCCACAGCGCCAAATGTTGGACGCTTTCTCTTCCCAACTGATTCCTCCGCGTCTCAGGTGGTACAGCTCGCTGAACTGTCGAACAACTTCGGCACGATTCTTCAACAAGTGCAGAGCAATCTCAATCAGACCCTTGTCCAAGTTATGTCAAATGTCACGGAATTTTTGGCCTTTGCCGAACAAGGCAATTTCTCTTCGAAACCACAGTCCCTTCCTGATCAGACTGGTTACTTGTATTACGCCTTCAATACATATCTCATTTCGCAGGCGCTGAATGGAAACAACATCTATGGCGTGATTGGCAAAGGTACAGATCCTCTTCAACTGAAGACGAATGGCTCTACACTCGCCCACAATTTCGACGTCAATTGCGACCAATATGACGCTCAAAATGTCTGCGATGCATGGTGGTACAGCGGGAACTATCGATCAGCGTTTACCTTGGACAACTTCAGTAAAATGAACGTAAATTATGGCGCCGAATTGACCACCCTGTTCACAAATCTCACATCTGGAGAGCTTCTATTCGAAGGAGCTTATGCGTGCGCGTCACAGGGCCTCTTTGGTGGACCAGTAAACGTGACCGTGACCAAGAAAGGCGTCAACACTGCATGCATCTCACAGTTGAGGATCCTGACATGGGACATGACTTGTCATGATGAAAATGGAGCGCGAGACGCTACTAGCTGTGAGTTCTTGGAAGCGCCCGAGCAAAACACTTTCTGGTATAGCCAATCGCTGTGGCGCGGCGCTTCGACCAGGAGGTACAGTGTCCCTTATGGTTATCTGGGACCAGGTGTGACTCAGAAAGATTTGTACTTGTCTCGAACCTAGACATAGCGCAGTAGCTAGAGAAGAAGTCAACAAATGTCAGAGTCTCCCCAAAGGTTCATGATCATCACTGACATGCATTGCTTGGTTTGAGCCCTGAAGTTTGTTAGCAACACAAATTCAGACTTCAACTTTGTTGCGCCATCGTTCGCTGACAAATTAGCGGAAGTGTCTGCTGATCAATTCTAATGTTCACTGTTTTGTTCAGGTCTTGAACTTGCTAGCAATACACATTGTGGTCTGCTCATACGACAGCAGGGCGTTCGTGCGAAAGAAATGCGAACATCCTTGCGATATCTGCGATGATTGTTTGGTCACTGCGCCCGATCAAGCATCAAAGGCTAGAGTATATCATTCGCGCTCAGCTCCGGGATTGCATCGCTATGCCACGCCCCAATTCAATTATGACATGAAGCAAAACTTTGACTAATCCAACACAGTCAGGTTTAAAAGTGCGATCCTCCGACTCCGAAGTGCGATCCTCTGACTCCGCCCACATGCAAGACAGCCGTTACTAGGATAAGTCATGAGAATCTCTCTTGCTCACAAACTACAAGCGAACGCGGCCTGTGTCAATCGAGCACGATGCTGCCGCCTTATGCATTGCTGCTAGGTGAGCTGAACAACGTTTCTTGCATCACTAGTAAGCGCATGAAATGCTAGACGGACATATTCTAGCATTCCATGTTCACGGTTTGACAGTACTTGCATGCGAACGCTAAGCAAGCAATAAGCTTTGCGGACACGCTGATTGCAGAACACATTGTCAGGCAAGATGCCTGTCTACCTTCAGGAGCACATGATAACATAGACTGATATCTCATTGAATGTGCGACCCTATCTGGTACAGTATCACGTCATGACTAGCTGGACCGAGCGACGATAAGCGGAGGTATTGTATGACTGTGTCTCTTCTTTGAATGTACAAATCTCTTTGCGCTGGACTTCATCACAACATTACTAGCTGATTTGTGCCGAAAACTTGTCGCCATTCTCCGCGCGAATTTGCAAGTAGGAGAGGAATTTCCGCGCTCTAGAGTATTGTAATTCTTAGACGAATCTGAAAAGAATGGCTCAGTGAAAGGTGGCTTGTTAGAGCACGCTTCAAGCGCTTCTAAATCATAAGCCTACCGCCTTGACATTTGCGCTAGTACCTTGATTGTGAAATGGCTATCTAGTGCTTCGAGAGGAGCTGTACTTCGAGAGGAGCTCTCCTTCGAGAGGAACCGTTGATTCAGATAATTGGTTTTTGCGGCTGTCCGACCGGGCAGTGCCGCGACGCTACTATCTGCTAGATTATAGCTAAACGCCTCTAAGTCAGAATCTATGCCGGAACGCGGTAATATTCCCCTGCATATTGTAGTCGGATATAAATAAGCTTTGGCCTTATACCTTAGCAAGCTAGCGACCTTAGGTCGGAGGAAGATCTAGCTTAGGAGCTAGTAAATTATAATATTATATTGCGTAGGGTTTATACCTTTATAAATAATTTAGTTGCCTAGTTAAGTTATATAAAATATTAAAAAATCTTATTATTTTAAAAATTTAAGTATATCTTATTACTAGCAGTACTTTTTTTTAAGTAATTTCTGCGCCTTTACCCCCTAAAACCCTAAGCGGGTTTAAAGGGAAAGGGGCCTATAAAATAAGGGGAGAAACTAGCTTCTATAAAGTAGAACTTTTACTTTTAACAAAAACCTTCTTCCCTTTTTATATTAGGGATATATAATAGGCTATCCTAGGGCTTAGAGTCCCCCTTTTTAAATTAATAAGTATAAAGTGCTAGCGGATTAACTTTTAAACCTATAAATACTTAGATTTATAAAAACTTTTAAAATAAACTGCTAAGTTAAAAGGCTTTAAAGCACTAGTAAATTAACTTTATAAATACTTTTTATTACCTAGTACTTTTTATAATATTATATAAAAAAGTTAACTTAAGCAGAAAATCTATAGGTTATATACTTTAATAAATTTTTAAAAAGTAGTTAATTAATTAATTCCTAGAATCCCCTTTTTTTAAATATAAAATTAAACTGCTATTAGTTAAAGTTTTTAACTTTTTATTTAGCTTAGGGCCCTTTTTTACTAAAGCTTTAAGCCTTTAGTAAAAGGAGCTTTAAGCCTAGTATAAAAGGTTAAAAACTTTAACTAAAAAGCTTAAAAGCCCCTAAAATAAAGTATAAACTTATTATCCTCTGCTTTAACAGCAGAAAAGGGGGAAAAGTAGGTTTTCTACTTTTTTTTTCTTTTTAGAATCTACTGCTAAGCATTAACTATATTAATTAATAGGGAAATAAGAATATAAATAAGTATAGCCTTAGTCTAGGTATAAGCCCCTTTAAAGCACCTTTTAGATTGCTTAAGCTCTAGCTCTTTTTAGTCTAGCTTTGCTTAAAGAAACCTTTTTAGATTTATAAAAATAATATTTTTAAAGTACTTATTTTTCCTTAATACTTATTAATCTATAAGCTTAGATTAGCTATAAATTAGAAGACAAAAGATATAGTTTCAAGGATATAGAAAGATAATTAAAAGTATTTACTAATAGGCTATAATCTTTATAAGCTAGTAAAGAAACTTTTTAAAAAGAATATTCTTAAGTATATAAATAAGTTATAAATTATTATATTAATTATAATTAAAGCTAGGATAAGGGCTATTAAGCTCTATAGCTACTTATATTTAAAGAAACTAGCTAACTTAGCTATATATAACTATAAATAAAGCTAGGAAATAATTAAGTACTTAGTACTTAACTGTCCACTATATATTAACTTAAAAAAAATACTAAAGCTAGAATACTTTAGCTATAAATATTAATAACTAGCTAAAAATTATTTAAAAAGCTATAATAGTTATATAGTTTTTATTTTAAACTAAAACCTTTAAGTACCTAGGAAGAGCAAAGCTATAAATAAAAGCTAACCTTATATTATAAAGAGTTTTAAAACTAAAAATAATTTTCTAAACTAGCATAAATATAGTTAGCAGTAAAAAACAAGTACCTATAGCCTATAATAATATATATTATAAAAAAGGAAGGAATATAGGGGCTTACTTTATATTAGTTTTTAAAAAGCAATAATTATTAAAACTATTAATAGTTTTAATAATCTAGGTCTATAGTATTTAGTTAGATTTTTAATTTTTAATATTTACTTTTTTAATTTTAATTTTAATTATTTAAGAAGTTAATAAATATCTATTCTATTGATATAAAATAGCTTATCTGCGTAGATAGCACCTAGTATAGCCTATAAAGCTAAAATAGCATAGGATTTAAAAAAAAAAAAAAAAAATTAAAATACTTATTTAAAAGATATAAATACCTTCCCCCTTATATACTTATTAAATATATATTATATTAAAGTAAATATAGGACTTATAAAATAAAAGTTGAAATTTATTTAAAGATCTCTAAAAATTCTAACTTTTTTAAAAAAAAGCTTATTTTTAAAAAAGCCCTTTTAGAGCTCTTATAAGCTCTTTTCAAGGTAAAAAAAGCTTTTCTAAAGAGCTTAGCACTTAAAGATCTAATTAAATAAGATAGTACCCCCCTAAAAGCTTTAAAAGGGTACTTTACTTAATAAAAGATATTTTTTTTTATAGATTTTTCGCCTAAAAGCTTTTTAAACCCCTATAAAAAGGACTTAATAGCTTAAAAAAAATAAGCTTTAAGAAATATTTTTAATCCTTTTTTTTTTAAGCTGCGCTAAGCAACTCTACTAAGTAATAGGTTAAATATAAAATACTTAGTATAATTGCTTAGCGCTAAAGATTTAATGCTAGGTACTATATATAATACCTAGTATACTTTAGCGCTAGATAACGCTAAAGTAACTTTTTTATTTTTATTATTTAATAAATACTTACTAAATATTTAGTATAAATTATTCCCCCTATAATACTTAGCAAGGTTACTTAATAAAAAGTATATTAAATAGCAATAGAAAAGCTTCTATATTTGCTATTTAATGCTAGAATCTAGTAATAGTAATAGTATATAAATAGCTTAAATCCTTTTTTAAAAATAATTATAAGCTTTAAATAACTGCCCCCTAGTAAGCTTTTTTAAATAAAAATAGATTAAAAGTTAAAAGGGATTAAAATAAACTTTTTATAGATAATATTTAATATAAACTATAAGTACTAAGTAACTTTATTAAATAGCGCTATTACTTAGTAAAAAATCTCTTTTACTATTTAATATTAAGCTTTTATTAAGTAATTTTGTTAAGTAATTTTGCTAAATAGTAATAATATTTAATAAATAGCTAAATACTTTTTATATAATATTTAATAAACTTGCCTAGCGCTAGTTTTAAATACTATTTAGCGAAGTATTTTTTACTAAATATTTATGCTAAATAATTCCTCTTTTTTAGTACTTAGTATTAGCAAAGAAAGACTTTTTTAAAAAAAATAGAAAAACTTTTTAAAAGACTTTACTTTTTAATAATTCTATAACTAAGGGTATATAGAGCTTTTATTTGCTTTTTAATAATATTATATATTAACTACTATATAAATAACTTCTCTATTATAGATTTTAATTTATTTCTTCTATTTAATACTCTATAGGTTTTAAAGCTTTAAAGCTTTATTTTTATAAGCTTTATCTTTAGATATTATTATTAGGAGAAGTTTTATAACTTTTAATTATCTTTTATATAAATATAAATTATTTTTCCTATTTTTTAGCTATATCTATATAACTAAAAACCTTTAATTAAATTCAACTTTAAAGAAATATTTTAAAAGTAAAAAATAAAGATTTAATTTAATATATATATTAAAATAATTTATTATCTTTAAAAACCTTAATCTTTAAAAGTTTATATTAGAGTATTTTCTTTTAACTAGTTTTATATATTAGATTAATATCTATATATATATATATATTATTAATATTAATAACTTTATAGCTAAAAAATAATATTTCCTATAGAAATCTATATTATATTTTATAGACTTTTTTATTAGATTATTAAAGTAAAAAT